TTCACCGTATACACGTTTAGAGTTAATAAAGTCGTTAGTCGTATTTTGAATAATAGATATAGGGTACCGTTTTGTGTTGGGTATATCTCCAAAATAATTACATTACTTGGATTTACGCCAATATTAGTCTTCCTACTTGACACATTACCTACTTGACATTATCTTCAGATTAAACTAAATCACTTATATTGGATAAACTTTTTATTTCATTAACACTATTCTTAACAGTGTCATAGCCAAAGGGAAAACTGGAGAATCATGCTCCCCTACAAAATCTTTTTTCTCGTAATGCTGAACCGCAGCTTACATAAATTAGTTATATTAATAAAATGTATTATAAGTAGTACTATTATAAGTGTTATAAAATATATGATTTTGCTGACAACAGACTGAGTTACTGATAAAAGTATTAGGTAAAAATATTTCTTGTATGTTTACATTTTGACATGGGAGAGGTTACAGCCTACGGGAGTGCAATTGCCTTTGTGTGGAAAGCATCACATTTTTTTTAGGCCCTTCAAAAGGAGTTATGCCCCGGGCCTTGCAAATTGTAAAGACGGCCCTGAACGAGAATGTTATCAACAGATTTTTTTTACCATCATTTAGAGTGAATTTATGTAACAAAAAATAATACGAAAATTCAAAAAAACTCTAAGGGACTAGGAATATGTTCCCCATCAAAAAATAAATATGATGGAGGAGCTGGTGGAATGCTCGATAAAGTTTACTTATTTTGAGATTAAACTTTTATTATAATTTGTCACATTGAATAAAAATAATTATCATAATATTAATTATTAATTAATCAGTAAAAAAGGATATCATTGAGTTTTATACACTCAACTATTCTATCCATGCTGTAAAGTGCATGTGAAAACTGTAAATAATTTTACTTACAACTAGTATGGAATTAATATGTACAATTTAATATTTTAATTGAATACTATATGTACTTAAAAACTCGTTGCTCAGTAAGTAAATAAATACAATTTGCATTGTAGGTGGCATGAAGGTAAAATTACTAAAAGCTATTTGTTTTTCAATTATTATCATTGCTATTTTTTAGTATTGGAAACGTACTTTATATTTATCCATAAGTTATATTAAACATTTTCTCAAATGCAATTCTTTAAGTAAGCCATTTTTTCATGCAATTTATTATACCATACAATTTATTTTAATTACCAACTATAATATTGAATTGAGTTGAGGTGTCTAGGTAATTTATACCGACACCTACATTTCCTACCTATTTAATATTATTTAAATTTGTTTCAATAATATTATTATTTTTTTTTTTATGAACGTCGTCATAAAATCTCATTATAATTTTATTAGATTTTTCATAAGTACTTAACAACCAATAATGATACAGAACAAAATAAATTATATCTGACATATTATATTGCTTTGTAATGATTCAGGAATAAAAATTGTAATTTATTATATACCTACCTAATATAATAATTTGATTATGTATATTATACACATGTATTAAGATATAAAGTATAATATTATTCAAATATTATTATCATAGTAAATGCAAAAATATATTTGTTAAAAAAAAAAAAAAGCTGATATTGAGAACAGATGTGGTCACTGTTATAGGTTGGTATTTGAGAAGGTGGGATACATAAAGTTATTTAATTTATACCTGTAACCAACAATAAATCATCGATAACGAAAAACGATTCAGAGCGAAGTTTAGTTATAAATGTTTTGAAGGCCGTAATATTTTCAATGTTCGTAAAAATTTAATTTTAAAATTCTAATAAAATAATAAAAATTCAATTAATTTTTTGTTTTTTTATCCACTTAGTCCCAGTTTTTCAGTTACATTTAACTCGAGGTTAATCAAACTTAACTGGTAGTTATGTACCTATTAAACTGTTTATGAAAGTCCCAGTTAAGCTAACCACCATTTAAACTGCCAGTTTAACCGGGACTATCTCTTTCGAATAATAGATTAAACGTCGGTTAAGGTTATTATTATTTACAATCTACCCACATATCATATCCAAAATCAACTATTTATATCTAGAACCTATGTATGACCATGATCTTAACAAAACAGATAATTTGTTTTTAAAATTTAAAATGAATTTCGAAAGTGACATTTTGTTTTACGACAATGATGAAGAATTGCATGGATTTTTAAATTATTAACGTACGCCTTAGATATAGATAGTCCATGAAAGGGTAAATAGGGCCTTTCAGTAGGTATCACATTTTTGTTAAATCAGAATATGAATATTATATAAAAATATTGTTATAAATATACATTTCTAATATAAAATAATTGAAACATTACAGAACTCTGTATCCGGTTGTTAAAATATATTAAATATATATATCAAAGCCGTCTAATGCCGGGGTGAGCCGGACCCCGTGTCTTGAATTCCTTGTTTAGGCCCCGCACGAGTTATATACATTTATAATATAAATATAGTGTTAATAAATAAAAATGTAGTACTTAAAACCAAATTTACGTATTTCAATTGGGGAGAGTTTTCTTTAAATATGATTTACATATTAAAATACGAAATAAATATAATTTGAATGTTTATTTGACAATATTAAAAACGAAAATACTTGTACAGTATATACTTTATGATGATAAAAGTGAATATAGACCTCTATATATAATTTACTAAACAGATTATTATAATATTATTGTTATCAAGCAGTTTCCGTAAAACAATAAAAGGAAATGAAAAAATGATCACTCATTTTTTAGGTCCTACTAAAAGAGTTATCCCCAGACCCCGTAAATTGTAAAGTCAGTCCTGATATTAATACCTATACTAATGCAATTTCTTCTCAAGCATTTTGCATTAAACGATTTATTTTCTAATCGGTACATGTTTTTTGGATAAGAATAATTCGAGTTTGAGTAATAGTTTTGTTTCTGCATAGCTAAAAATTTGTTGCTCTTTTTCTTTTTAATATTGTATTTGACATATTGAGTTTAAATATTTATTATAGAATTAGTAACAAATTAAGTAATAAAATGTCAATAAATAATTAAAAAATTGCTCGAATATTTTATAAATGTTGTATCAAATACGTTCTACAAAAGGCAAATATAAATTTTTTGTCCTAATTTTAAGCATATTTGTTATTGAATTAAACCAAATTTAAATTTAAAAAATAAATAATTTTCTTAAAATTCTCTGTTCTTTCTACGTATTTTTCGGTTTTACTTAATTATTAAAAAAATTCAAAGAAAGTTTTTCATTCAAAGAATGGCAACCATTTTTTAATCTTTCAATCTTTTTTAACCTAAAGTAATAGGTTTTTCTCATTATCTCGAATATTAATTTGAAAAATGACCTCTCTAAAGTACCACCCAGAAAACATTTCCTTTCGGAAAAGGTGCTATATTTGATAATCGCAGTAAACTTTCTGATTTAAAAAGTGTTCACATAAAAAAATAATAATAATAAATATCATAAATCATATATTGTAAAATCAATATATTCCTCTAAAATTGTTGAACAAATAAAATCTATTGTCATTTTATGGATTGGAGCAATATTTCTGGTAGAAAACATAAGTTGCAAAAATTAAAAACAATGAAAATAGAAACGTCCTGACATGCCGTACATTTTTGCCATTTTACCTATAATTTTCTCAATTATTTTGGAAACCCCTTAGAAAATCAAAAAATTGACTTCCAAATACACCAAATAAAGAAAATTACCTACGGAGCAAGATTTTTGGTGGAAAATTTGTTCAAAGACAGGAATAAAAAACATATCATAGTGAAGCCAATATAGATCTCTCACTACGCTCCGAATCTAAAAATATTAGATATTTAAGTAATTTTAGTTCATTTAAATATTACATTATAAACTGTATATCATTGAAATTTTTAAGTATTACGATATTGTAACAAACCACGAGGAGAAATAATTGATTTTGCACCGTGTACGTGTTTTTTTTTTTTTTTTTTATATTATGTTTTAGATTTAGAAGTGGCGCATGGAATATAGGTATAATAATTTACTTTGATGTGTGTTTTTTTCTTGTGTTATGTGTGGCTAAAAACTATATTGATTAATATGCCTTGCTGGAAATCTTTATCCAATCAAAAAAATGACAAGTGACGTTTTTTTTTGGCAATTTGAAACTAAGTGCTGCGGTTGAGAGGTCATTTTTTGATTTTTCAAACGGTTTTTATAACAATTGGGAAAACCCAGGGAAACCGTTGCAGGTAAATTTGGATAAATTAAGGGGCACGTGCCTCCTATAATTAAATGTCTCGATTTGTAGTCTCAAATTAATAGCAGTTTTACCTTAAACATTTTATAATTTTAAATTTCTTTAATGACTGTAATATGTACTTCGGTAATAAAGCATCAACTCCAAACGTCGCGCAAAATTAATATTGATATATATATTTTTTTTTCAATTTCATAACAACGCTACACCCTATCGCGCAGATATTCTAATTTATGTGGCAGGTATAGCATTTCCCGCACCCGCATTTTAAACTTGCGCAACCCATCAATCAAAAATATTGATGCGTGAAAGGCTACGGCATAAATACACAATATAAGTTCAATTCGTTGGTACAACTTCACAGTCTATTGACATATTGTATTGTAATTATGTAGTTAATAATTTTTAAAAATTCAAACATTTACCACTGTAATTGTCTAATCTCTTTGTTTATAAATGTTCCAACTTTCTAAACTATTTTTTAATCACGTTTGTGATTAAAAAATGTCAGCTGTTGCTTATTCTGTGATAGTACGATAAATACAAAATGAAAATTTAAGGTTATGTTTATAAAAATTAATACTTGCGCCTTGTGTAGAGCTGCAGTTTAAAGCACGTCTTTATATTTTGATAATGTTATATTGATATTCTTATTTAGTTACGTAATATTGCATTTAAATTTCCACTTCTAACTTTATACTCAATTCATTTTTTTTAGATTTTTGTATTCATTTTTAATTGTGGTTAAGTAATAACGTACTAAAATACTAATCAACATGAATTCCCTAATTAGATCGTTGGGACAATCTTTGAGAGTTTCTAATAAGATCATTCATAATTTTACCAGGAATATTGCAATTGCACCGGCTAGTCGTTCACTATGGTATACCACTGGAAATGTGCATGCTTTGAAACCAATCAACACACGGTTTTCACATTCATCAAGTCAGTATATTATTAGTAAAACTTATTTTAGAATATTTTTACTTATTTTTATATAAAATATATTCAATACTTTATTTTAGTTGAAAAAGAACTGCAACAATTTTTGGAAAAAGAAATTAAAACTGAAGAACAGACATCTGATAAAACTAAACTACCTACAATATTTGAAGGGTTTAAATTATCTGCTGATGGGGCAGAAGTTGAATTGGTGAAGGAAATCTCAGGCGAAACGTAATATTTAATATGTATTATTATATTTATATATTGATATAGCTTTATAAAAACTTTAAAAATTACTAACTAACTAAAAATTGTACAACATAAAAATTAATTTTTAAATGGAGTTTATAAGATAATCGACTAATTGTCGTCAGTTATCAGCTATAAACTCAGTTTAAGAATCAGATAAATGCTTTTTTTTACATTGGTGAAAATGGCCCTTAATCTGTTCACATTAATACTGAATTAAACAATCATAAATAACACTGATAATTAGGGTTCAAGACGAATTGAATTTGCATGTATTTTGTAATGTTCGTGTTAAAATAGTTAATAAAGAATAAATTTCATCTTTACTTTCAAAATGAAATACTAGATCTTTTTTTATTGAAACACTATGCTGTATGTTGTGGTAAACTGGACCTGCGTTCCAGTCCTTTCCAGTTTATTTAAAGCACTGTGGGACTATTAAGTTTAAACTTATTACCTACTAACAAAAAATAAATATACTACCGTTAATTAAAAAGAAAGATTTTAAAATAAAAAGTTATACATTTGTACTTTTTCAATGTTAAAATAAAAAAAAATATTTAAAAAAATAACCAACTGTATATTTTTGTATACAATTTTCCTCTAATAGTAATGTTAATGCACACTATATTTTATTTTATTTTTACAAAATCATACTAAAAATGTTACTTTATTTTTGCTATAACTTGTCGACAATAAAATACCAAAAAATATGTGTGTAAACAAGCTAAATAAAAACTTAGCCATTAATCTGTTGAGATGTATTTGATCCGAACAACATCTTCTTTCTTATTATACTATTGAAAATATTACTGCTGTAATAGCAGTAATAACAATTTTAGGATGGTTTTTATATTACTGCTCTATGAATGCCTATAATTAATTAATACCTACTAAGCCACCCTTTCAATGTTAACCAAATATTAAATACTAGTGAGCCACTAGGAATATATTAGGTTATATTGATATACATTTCTTCTTAAAAGAAGATACCAGTATAAAATAAAGAAATTTGTGATACAGTTTCATAATTAATGCTATCATTTTTTTACCCACTTCAAGAAAAGTCTAATATTTTGTACTGATATAATTCTTTCTTTTTTTTTTTATTATTCCCGTTGTAATTGGCCCCTATTTCATATCTTTATCAGATAATCATAACATTAACGATTATGATAATTTCTAATTTTTTCTTTATTTATGTTTTTGTATTTTTGTTTCTTTTTACCAAATATTATAATAGTAAGATTATAACTAACTTATGTGTTTGTTTTTATTAGTGAGCCTTGAAACGTTTTTATTTTTAAATTATCCATTACTACAGAACTATAAAAATAAATCCTTACTGTTTTATAATAATATTATAGTAAAAGTACATTTTAATTTTTAACTTTGGTTTTCACTAATTAATAGTTAGTCAATTACAATCAAAATTAGGTAAAAACTACTATGAACTGTGGGCTATTAATATTTTATACTAAGAAGTTGACCATATTTGTTAATATACCAGTTTAAATCAATTCATTGTGCCAATATAAACCATAAGATACCGGTATTATTATTTACGTGTAAGTAAATAAATTTCTAACTATATACATGGAATAAAAATCAATATTCAAAATAATATAACTGATACCAATTGGTAATCAAATTATAATATATCTATTATAATATTATGTTATGTTTTATTATCTTTTCTAGACATTACTATTATAATTTACAATAATAATTGCCTGTTTTCTGCACACAGTATATTTTTAGCAGTTAAATATGTACTTTTATATTATAATTATTTATTTTCAGTTTTAATTTTTACCAAATAGTATAATAAGTATTTATATTTTCTTTTAGTATTGCCATCAAATTTAACATCAACCATTCAGTATCTGAAGAAGAAACTGAAGGATCAGAAAAAGTCATATTAAGATCTAAACCAGATTTTGAAATAGATATAACAAGAAATGGTGTTATTCTTGGTTTTAACTGTTCATATGTCAGCCAGTTTGACGATACAGAATTAGACGAATCAAATGGTAATAATGGAGGCAAATATTAGTGTTCAAAATATTATAGCCTATAATATTATTTTACAGATGATGTATTTCACATTGATGAAGTAACTATTTATAAAAACAACTTTTCTGACAACAAGTATGCCTTAGCTGGAGATACATTGGATGCCGTAAGTTAAATAATAATAAACATATAATAATATTATGCATAAATATGTATTATATTATTTAGATTTGTAACGTTTTGTTCTATTTTATAGGATCTTTATGATTTGATGATGACATTCCTTGGAGAAAAAGGTGTAACCAATGAATTTGTTGAAAGCCTTTCAGATTTAAGTACACAGTATGAACAAAAAGTTTATGTTAAATTCCTAAATGACCTGAAACAATTCTTTTAAGTCATAATATTAATTTAATTACCAATGTATATTATTTTAGTCTCGTGTAATTGAATTCAAATTATGTAACTTCACTTTAAGTTTTGTTTTCTTAGTATAATTTTAATTATTTTTTTTTCTAACTTAATAAATGTTGGATTATCATCTTAGGTATTTCTATATTTGATATATATTTTTTATTCTTTCAATGATTACCTATTATGACCTCTTTTAATGTTTTTATCCGAGGAGCTCAGATAGTTACATAATATTTAACATCAATAAGTTATGCTACTGTAAAAGATACAAGAAATTAGTCAGCATAAACTGGTTTGCTTTACTGATCCCGATTAAGGATTGTTGTTCGGTGTAAAAATAAACTGATTTAGATAAAAATTTGTGGTACTAAACAGTTTACCCCTCTGTTATTCTTATTACTTATCAGTTATCACACAACATTGGTTCTGCTTATCATATTATTGCTGTTTAAATTTTAAATTTGTTTTTAAATATAAAAAAAAATGGATAATAACATTAAAATTGTCATGTTAAAAAATTATATTCTATATACATATTTATAACATGAAATAATAAAAGGAAAGTCGGATTTGGGTTATGACAGATCAGATCAGTATTTTTCGACCACCTCGCTACTGCAATCAAAGAAAACTAAATCAGTGTGTCTACTTTTAACCTGTTAAGTTCACCAAATTTCTTAAAAGTACACATGTTTACATTTTATGGGGAAATCTAAACCAGTTTACTCTGTTGAATTTCTTGATATGTTTTATACAAATTATTTAAAAATAAAATAGTTTTTGTCTAGTGTACTAATATTACTCAAAACAAATACTCAATATTTAAAATTATTTTTATATTCATTGATACTTATGCAACTCAAGTGTGACAATTACTTTAAGTCTATTCGATTTCTATCATTACAGTAAAAATAGCATATTACCATAGGTTAAATAATAGTATTATTTAATTTATGATATTTTACATGCTAAGCATTGTGCTATGTAGTAATGAATTAATATCTAGATGTGCAATTTTATTTTAGTATACATGTACAATAATCACGACTAAAGACAAAATTCTTGTTTAATTACATGTTTTTATTATGTGTTCCAAAACCTTTAGAAACAAGTTATAAATTATCATGTGAAATAGATTAATTTAAATAGGATTTTATTGTTCGAAAAATTGCATGTTTCAGGAATTTTGCATTACAATGCACAAATTCGTATTCTTTTCGATTTTTATTTTTATTTTTCATATTAGTCCATTATTACAGGTATTATACACATACTATTAATTGTAATCTGTGTCACCTTATCATTTTCACTGGTATTTTATATCTAAAAATAATAATATGGTATAATAGAGATGATATATGGGTGGCTATAATATATACCATGGTCTTAGAATATATATACCATAGATTAGTAGGTGCAGTCTATCCCTCACAACTTTAGTTAATATTTTTACTTTTTGCCAAATATCAAATATTTTAATTTGAAATATGGATAATAGGTCGCATTCATTTTTTTTAAATTAAATGCTCGATTGAAAAATACCCTGAACTTAAATCACATAGTCAAATGATTTTTTGCTCGTGAAATAAATCCATTTGTTGTTAAAAAATATATCCTGCTATTATAAGTTGCTACAAATAATATCCAATAACAAATGTTAATGTTGAGCGTGTGGTTTCACAACTAAAACACGTATTAAGTGACAGAAGACACTATTTCAAAGAAAAAAGACTTGAAAACTTACATGATAATGAATTTTAATAAAATGTAAATCAGATGAAATTTATTTATTTATTTATTTTACTTTCATCAAAATATGTTGAATAAATATTACAATTGTATAAACATACTTAATATACCAATATAACTATTGATACCTAATTCCTGCAAGTTATGCTTGAGGTGAGATTAAGGAATCTAATATATAACTAATTAGTATTAAATTGTCAAATTATGATGGTAGTACATCTAATACATAAAATTGTACTTATTTAACATAATATATGATCTACACTTAACACTAAGAGAAAAAAATTGATTTAATTTGAAATAGTTGAATAGTTATTATATAAGATGAAAAATAATAGGACTACTAGTGGAATAGATTTGCATACCAATTTTTTTTTATTTCCAATTATTATTAATTTGTTTAATTTCGTATGGCAATTCATTAAATAGATTTATTCCTCTGTATACATAAAATATTTTAGTTAAGGTCATATTGGGCTTAAATAATTTAAGTTTACCATTGTTCATATTTCAAGTATATTTAGTATTAAATTATTCTTATTATGTGATTCAAATTGATTTTTCATCATGTATATTTTAGTAGTATATATTTTATTATATAATTGATTAATAGTTAATATCATTAATTTGTTTATCTTTATATATATCATGGAAAGTACCCTTTTTTAAAGCTTAAGTTTGCTGAATAAGTAATAGGTTAAATTATATATTCTGCTATTTGTACCAGTAATCAATAAATCAGATAAAATTCCATCAAACCCAGGTGATATACCTTTCGTAGTTTTTTAGTTAGATATTTCATTTACTCCATATTCAGTAAAATGTATAAAATCAAGTTCATATTGCAATCTAAATATTTTGGTTCTTTGTATTTAATTATGTTGGTTTATTATGATATTTTATCTTTTTGAATTAATTTTTTTATTATAATATTATTTTACTTACATTTATAAAGTGATTATTAAAAGCATTTGTAGATAATTTTTTGTCAGTGTTTATACATTAATTACACTGTTTAACTAAGAACTAATTAGTTTTTTATTAGAAATGATTTCGGAGGGCTATAAATTATTATTTTAATTCTTTGGTTAATATTTCCAGTGTTGTTTTTAATTTTAATTTTATAATATTAATTTTTAGCCAGTCTTATTAGTAAGCATAATTTATTTTTAAATTGTTTATAATAAGTACCTATTATAAACATGTAATCTAATGTAAGTTTTCTTTTTTAATACTATTTTACCTAACTTATTTCTAGTTCTAATTGATTTTACTAAGCCTATCCATGGTTTAATATTCGTGTTCTATTTGATTCGATCAATTAAGTATTTATTTAATATTTTATTTAAATTGTTTGCACATTTATTAACATCAGATTCATTCAAAACCGTAAACCAATTTTGTTTTGTTAAAAATGAAATTAATAAACTTTTGTTAATTATAGGTTAATTAAAGATTTAAATATGTCTAATACATCAAAAATGTAGTTTTGCACATTTCAGCATTTTAATAGCATGTTTTTCAAGTGCTACACAAAGATCCGGTCTTTAATCATGACGAATACACTTTTCATTTACTTGATTATTTGTATTCTAAAAGAAAGTCAAACTTGGTGTAAAGAAAAATAATATTAGCACAATTCCACAAGTAAATTGTTTTAGTAGTTTATCTATCTCTATTGTTATGATATTAAAAATGTTGTTTATGATTATATTACTCACTTGTGCTTGACTATCCAATTATTGTTATTCAAATAATAATAAAATTAACTACCCATGTTATCTATATTAAACAAAGAATATTTTGGTTATAGATTGATTTCTTTTATTTTTATGACATTAAGAATAATTTAGTGGTGCTTGAATGTATTATTTATTACTTTACCATCAATGTACTATTGTACTCATAAAACATTGTTGGTTAACTATTCAACTAGTTATTATACAAATTATAGTTTGCATTTCTAAAATATTTACATAGTAAGTAAAAGCTGTTAATAGTTGTATAAAAATATGTTTTTTTTTTCTAAAGAAATGTTTCATAGTCCAATTACAGGGCTATTAAAATGCACATGTAATTTAACTTCATTGGAACCCAATTTAAATTAAACCATAAAAATAATATTTGAAATGTTGTTGTCAATTGTTTACATAAAATTTAAAAAAAGACGTCCATTGCTTACGAAAAAACGATTCTGAGCAGAATTCAGTTGATAGTGATGCTTTGTCAACAATATGTATGTCATTTTACAGTATAATAATTAAATATGTTTTTATATTTTCTTTAATAATATTTGTTTAATATTGTATTCAATTTTCCTACGTTTTTCCCAGTTTTTCTGTTTTATTCCGGTTTTTCAAATTTGGTGGGAAAACTTCTGAGAAAATCGAAAAAAATGACATCTTTTAAGTAACTCACCAGTGAAATTTACTTTCAGTTTTTGAATGTAGTTTGTTAATTTCTTTAAATTGTATAATAATCAAATACTAACTTGTGGTGTAGATACCCAAGATACCTATAACCATTGGTTATAAAATAGTATTATAACATTTACTATTTATATACCTACCTTCTTATTTATTAAACTACTAGTACATACACGATTTATAAACTACAATAATTTTTAACAAGATGTATTAACTCTTTTAATATATTTCAATTTTTTTTTTAATATAGGTAATAAAAAGTTATTATAACATTTAAATTGTGGAACTAGTTGATATAATAAATAAGAAGGTAGGTATATAAAATGTGTATACCTACCTAATTTAATAGTAAATATTATAATACTACTATTTATAATCAATGGTTATAAAGATAAACCTAACCTAACCTATAAAGGTACCTATTTTGGGTAGGTACTGGAAGAGTTGCATATACATAGTTGCATGTACTGTCAAATTTTAAAATTAATGTTCTATACAATATTTTTTAGAAAATTAATAAAACCCCTTAAATATATGTTATCTTGCGTTTTACAGTCTCTTTTAACAAAATTGATATCCTCCTTGTGTAAAAAATAGGAATGTTTTCTATGTAGGTTAGGTTAGGTAACCTACCAATTCTTCATTTTGGTTTTAAATTTATTTAGTATTAATTTTTCGCCCTTGCTGTTTTATTCCCTAATTATAATTTTTTAAATTAGAATTAGTCTTATTTACACACAACCTTCACACTACTCCAAACTTTGATTAGTTTTTTCTTTGTGTATTGATTTATTTATTTATATTTTAGATTCTGAGTGGAACGAGAAATGTATTGATTTTACAATGGTGTTTATATTTGTTTTTTCATGTGAACACTTTTTCTGACATAAACCATAATCCGATTATCAAGTATAACATTTTCATTTTCTGGAAATGTTAGTTAAGACGATATACCAAAGATGTAGAGGTTGAACTACGTTTTTTTTTGCTCAACTCCAAAAATATATGGCCTTCAAAATTTGTTTTCAAATTATCCGACTCCCTCAGAAACTAATTGCTGACCCTGATTTACACCATATCAATTTTACATATAGGGGAGACCGGGATACAGTGAGGAATTTTTTTAAATTTTTTTTGTATCATTGAAAATATTAATTTTATTGATATGTTCTATGTATGTTTTGGTTTATCATTTATAGGCCTAATGAAAATAACACGATTTAAGATAGTATCTTAAATCGTGTAAAATAATAAAATGATTTTTATCATAACTTAAATACTTTTACTGTTATCATCAAAAATGTAAATTGTAAAATGTTGTCGCACTGCACCCCAACCCCGTACACAGTGATAATACAAATCGATATGCAATAGTATGTGCATAAGTATACCTACTTACCCAATTTACTTAGATACTTTAAAAATTAATGTTTATACACTCTAAAGTATTTAGATAATATAACTGAACTTAGTTATAAGTTACATTATGAACACTTAATTATTTACTAAGAACTTTTCAATACATTTTAGATTCTGAGTGGAGAGAAGAAACGTATGGTTTTACAAGGATGGTATTATTAATTTTTTTTTTCTATGTATAAATTTTCTACCAGAAAAGTTGCTCCAATTTTTAAGTGTAGCACTTTTTCTAAAAGAAAATTGGCGTAGGGAGGTACTTTAGGGAGGTCATTTTCAATTTTCCCGGAGTTTTCTCAATAAATGTGAAAAACAGATAAAAACCACGAGAAATCTGGAAAAACCATAAGAGAAAGGGAAAATTGATACACTATACAAATATTATTTTACCATAATATGAAAATATATACATCGTTAAAAAAATATTACTATCAACTGAATTCTGCTCAGAATCATTTTTCCGTTAGCAATGGTTTATCGTTGCTTACAGGTATATTTTAAATTACCTATAACAGTGGCTGCACCCAACCTCGTTATCCTAGGGCAGCTTTTTTGTTACTAAACGTAAACTTCCTGTTCTTTGTAAGGCATTCACTTTTGAAGTTTTGTATTCAAAGTGTAATCGATCGCATTAAATTGGTTTAAAACACGTTTGGCCACGAAATCACGACCTCAAACGACATCACCCGTGAATTTCAGATTGGCAAGTATATGTGTACCTTGATAAATAATATCAACTAATTTATGCATATTTTTAACGATAATTTATAGAAACTATGTAATAATAACGACCAGTCGTACCACTAGTACCAATAGACATTTAATATTAATGTCTGGTAAGTAGAATTATTCACTTCGCGCTCCTCAACACTGTAGTCATATATTTACTCGTATTACATTTTCACTGCAGATTGAAAATAGTGAATATATAATATTATAATGTAACTACTTTAACCAATCGTTTTCGGTTAATATTTTAGGAAACATTTTTGAATTCGTACGTAAGTGAATTTCATAGGGTAGCTATTACCACGATAATATATTAAATGCTTAAATAATATATTAAAAGATACAGGTTTTTTTTATTATCGATTTTATGATTTTTCAAAAAAATTTTAAATAAATCGGTTTCAAATAAATTCATGTTTGAAACTAGTTTTTAAACCCCGTATTCTACATTTTCAAAAACTGCAGTAGATACCTATATAATACGACAGTAAATAGTAAGTATAGTAACTTATTAGTATAATACATAGAGGTATTTGGCAAAAGATGAGCATGCGAAGTAAAATGAGACAACCACTACGTAATTCCTCCCCAACCAGGTTTGATTGATGATATTATTATTATTTATTTATTTGTGATAAAATCTTGTTTGAATATTTTATGACTGCATGTTAGAATTTAGTGATAACTGATTGATATAAGTCGTATTCATTATTTTTCGGTTTTTTCTTACAGCAGCCAGCAGGTAATTTCGTCAAAATGTTTTCACTATTTTGAAATATGAATAATTAATTAATTCTAATTGAATACTGTTCTAACAATATATTTGTGCACTTCTGTAGTTTAGTTTTTTGTAATATTATTAAAATATATTGATTAGATAGGTATCTATGTATTTAATAGGATAGGTTCAATTGAACACCATTAGTTCTTGAGGAATGTTATAGCAAAGTTCATATGGGTATGATGGAACTAAGTACATAAGTGTACCTATATAATTATTAATTATTATAAAAAAAAAGATAAGTAAACTTAAAAATATTTAAATGTATATAAAATTACTATTTACTATAGGTTGATACCTATATACTTGATGTACAACCGAATTATATTCTTAGCAAACATATTTAAAATGTTTATTAGAGAAACATAAATTATAAGACCGTTTGACGTTGTTCGTTCATGTTAATAATATAGGTAGGTATCATTAATCTTTTCTGTCTATCAAGGATGCACTTATGTGGTATTTACAACTGTATAGACTTGAGTAAATATTTTAATTCTTATTTCATCAGCTATAATGAATGACGTCCAATGAGCGGTATAAGTAACACAATTAGGTAGGTATTTTGAATTAAACAACCATAAGAGAGCCTATCCAAAAAATAAATAAAAATAAACTTGACCATGAAAATATAAACTATAGAGTTTCGCAAATTAATCATAATATACGTACATTATGTAATATTTAATAACATTTATTACGAATTAACAATTTTTTTTTTTTTATGCAATTCTTAGGTATATTAACTTGCTTAACGAAGACAAAATGGAAACCCTGGTTTTCTAATAAATCAAAAAATGACTACACAATTTGACCAAATGTACCAACTAAATAATTATGATACCAGAAACAGCACCGGGTCGAGTGTTAATATTTTTGTTTTATTGAGGGGGGGGGGTAGAGGAGCAAAACCATTTTCAACGATCAAATCTAATATATATATATATTATATAAATAAAAGAAAAAAAATTAATCTACTAGAGTTTTTTTTGGGTGGGGGGGGTAGATGGGTAAACGGATCCACCATTGATACCACACGTAAAACTTATTTTCGGGATATGTTACTCTACTTGTATATAGACGGACACTAAAAAAAATGCACATTTTTTATATAAATAGTTACATTTAATTTTTAAACTGATATAGGTATCAGTTGTTTTGAAACTGTGTGCCACGGCTGTTGTTTGGTGGACTGCGACGTTTCTCTTTTGAAATAAAATTAATAAATTGACAGTTTGCAAAAAGAAAATAAGAATGATATTACCTTAGATAACTATCGAATTTAATTATTAATTTAGTTTTGTAAAAACAATTTTTCAGGGTAAAAAATCTCAAATGCGGCAGTGAGACTAAGTGTAGATTAATTGTATCTTCTATTATTAAATGTTCAAACATTTCGTGTAATGAATCAAATAATATTAAATGGTATATAAGTATACAATTATAATATATTATTATAGGTAGGTACCTGCCTATATGATACATGTATATTATAATATATTCTCACAAGGACATCATTATAATTTAACGAGTCATTTTATCCGAATGTTACTAATGGGAAAAATAACAAATTAACCAAAATGAGATGGGGTTCTATATTTACGTTTAAATATCAAACAGCAAATCCTCTGACCAATGACCGTGGTGAATACATTAATGAACACTGTGGTTACATTGCGGGCAATGCAAAAGTACTAAATGTTGAATGTAATGAAGGTTAGAATTAATTGGAAATTATCAAATGATTCACTACATTGCCATGGTCAAGGGAGACACGGGGCCCCATTGACCGTATTTTGTAAATATTTTTATTATAATCATCTCATGTTTAGGTTACTTTAGCCTTTATTTTTTTTCTTCTAATATTTGTTCTACCTGCTCAAATCAAAAACCGACAACAGAGCTTTTTGTAACAAATTTTTATCAAATAATTTTTTTATTTTTCTGGTAGTTGCCTTCATAATTAGGGAAAAAAATAACAGAAAAACGGGAAAATTTACGAATTAAAATTTTTTGTTATTTTCGAATTAGTTTTTTCATAGTAATTCAGTTATAAATAATCATAGAGACTTGACATTTTTACTGAATACTTATTAGCCCCTTATAGACGTATCTAGAAAAAAATTTCAAAATTGTTGAGCAGTTTAAAGTTATTTGAAATTGTATAGTTTTGTCTGTCAGTTTTGTTGGTTTTTATGTGGATACAATTTTTTGGACTTGTAAAAATGCTCGAAAATTTGATACAAGGTTCATCAAAATGTGTTGTTTTTATGATACTATAAAAACATCGAAAAACCGTATTTTTTTTTTTTTAAATAAGCATTTATAATGTTCGAATTTTGATAAAAATCTTTCCTATTTTTCTGGATACAAATTGTTTGATTCTATATAAATGATAAAACATTTGCAACCAAAAACATGTATAATTGCAATTTATTTTGTAATAAGGTACAATTTTCAAATCAAATCATAATTAACTGAACTTCACTCAGAATCTTTTTTCGTTAGCAATGATTTATCGTCGCATACATATAATATAAATTAAGTCACCTATACATATTTTATCTAACTTCCTAACTTCCCATCTATAACAGTTGCAACCTATTTATAGACTATGAGTAATAAATATATTTTGTATTTGTTCCCCGCCAATTGAGGAATCCTAGTTATGACACTAATTCACTATAATAAAAACAAAATCGTTGGCTTAAGCTATAATTATTTTTAATTTAAAAACAATGACAAAAAAATTTGTTGTAAGATATTCTAAGCTGTTTGAGTTTTATTAAAACATAAGTTTTCATAATTATTAAATGTATTATAAAATTCTCCGTAGCAAATAATCAAATTGTCATATAAAAAAATTTTAATATTTTTTTGAAAATGACATTAAATATGTACATAAATGCATTCAGTTAGTTTTGGGTATTAGTCGTTAGATGATTATTAATTATTGTATTTAACAAAAATACTGTTTATATTTATACTTAAATCTATTTAATATTAAAATCTGAGATAGGACTTATAGACTAGTGTTCGTAATGTAGTCCTGTAAGTAAGTACCTAGGTATATGCGTATCGTTAATAACTATCGTCCAAATATGAAATCTATTCGGACCGCTTAAAACTGTTCATGAAATTAAATATGAACATCACATAATTCACATTCGTGTCGAATGTGAACCAATAATAAAAGTGTTTTTAAAGAAAACATGATAACAATTTAATATTTTAAAACTACTAAAACGTTCTATAGTACGTGTTTTTCTATAAAATTCTAAAAAATCTAAATTTAAATTGAAGGTTATACTATATATTTATATGCGTATGAAATATGCTATACAATCGTTAATATTTGAAACCTATAGAGGTATCGTGACTAGTCATAAAAATAACTAATTGGAAAAAACTAGTTTAAAAAAAAAATAAAAATGTTTAAATGTTCAAACAGGTTTTTATTGTTTCATATAGGTACGTTTTTGTTATATCTCCATAAAGATATTGATTCAATTGTATGGTGGTTTATACATACAGATATCACGAAAAATATAAAACCTACATCACGAGGGTAGTACCAGTAAAAACCGCAAGGAGAGCCGATTCAAATTTTATTTTATTATAATAAATACCATATATATTTGAAAATTTAATACAAGGTACATTATAAGTTGTACTTAGTGGTCTAAAACATAAATTTAACGTATTAGTCTTTTTCTCATAAGCGTTTTAAGATCAAATTTTTACGAAAATCCCCCTTCCCACTTTGCAAGCCAAATAGTTCAGGAGCGTAGTCAGGAATTTCCAAACGGGGATATTATGAAAAAATGCAAATTCTTTTTCATTATCACGAGGTATTTATCAATTTAACACTTAAGAGGACGTATTTCGATATAACAATAATTTATCATTTTGCAAGACAACTTAAATGTGTTATTAGTTTTAATATTAAAGTGAATTGACTTATTATTATTAAACTTAAAGATAAAAACATTATCTGTACAACATTAGTGCTATTTTTTCGACATTTTAATTTTTATGCGAACTTTTTTTATAAGTATTATTAAATTGTGATATTTCACATACCTACTCATACGTCATACCTCGTTTGCTAATTAAAATAGAGAAAAAATATCGCTAGCGTTACAGAGATAATATTCTTGTCTTTAAGTTTGAATAATGAAAATAAGTTTATAATAATTTACTTTGATATTAAAATTAACAGCACAATATTGTCACAGCTGAATGCAAATTTGCTATGTCGTAAGTACGTTTGTAAAACTGAAACAATACATACGGATACAGATCACGCCTACTTCAGAAAATACAACAAGATTGATAACAATATATTTGTATCTTTCTTATAATATATAAGAGAAAACCGTAATCAATTCTATCAATACCTGTGGTTAACAAATAACTATAAACCGCTGTCATAGTTCGTGGCATCAATAATTTTTTACATTATAATTGTTTTTATCATAGAAAAATTGTAATGTGTAAACATAGTTATAAATGGCCTCATTGTAAAATAATTTATCTTTTATCATTTTATTATAATTATTCCCATATACATGTATTATATTTTATCTGTAATAAATAAACATTGTCAATGGAGGAGGGGCTGCTACACCTACAATAACCCTCTCGATACACTAAAACATTTTACCTCCTTAAGAGGACATCACACTGACATCTACTGTCTCCGTCTTACAAATGCGTGACATAGAAAATATGAGTTTAGTAAGACAAATTTGGTGCCGTTAATTTTAATATTAGAGCTAATTTATTTATTTTTATTTGGTAGGGACACTTTAGATAAAAATATTAGATTAAACAAAAATGATTGAAAATTTGATTATCATGAAATTTTATTATAAGTCTTACTTATAAATAATAGTGGTAAAAAAAAAATTGAATGTAATGTTGTATTTTTTTTAAAAAAAGTTTAATATCAAATTTTAACGAAAATCGTAAATATTGCGACCTTTCAAAATATGTACAACCGAACTTCGTTCGGAATTGTTTTCCTTTGTTTACAGGTATAAATGAAATAACTTTATTTATACCACCTTCCCATCAACTACCCATCAAAAATACTAACTGCACCCGTTCTCAATATAAGCTCTTTCGTTTTTTAGATTCGGAGCGTAGCGAGTTTGGTTTTACTATAATGTGGGCTTCTTAATTTTTTTTTTCTGCCGGTAAATAACTTATCGAAAATAAATCTCGCTCCGATGTATAGTGTATAGAACATTTTCTGAAAGGAAATTTTATCTAGTTAGTGCATTAGAGAGATCATTTTTTTAATTTTTCGAGGGATTTTCAAAATAATTGGGAAAAACCCTAAAGAAAATTATAGGTAAAACGGCAAATAATTACGGCTCGTCGCGGCATTATCGTTTTCATTATTTTTCATTTTTGAAAACTAATAAATTTATGCCAGTAGCTTTCCTTTAAACTTACTAAATTTGTACGGCTTGTCTTTACGACAATAGAGATTTTTTTTGTTATATTTTTAAAATAGTTGGTGTGCAAAAAAAGTAGTTTTTTGATTTTCTCTATAGTTTTATTAATAATTAGGGAAACCGGAAAAAATTTAAAATGAAAACTGTCAAATTTACGGCGTTACGATTTCATTATTTTAAATTTTTACGCTTTCCGTTTTCTACCAGAAATATGGCTTCAATCGAAAAATGATTATATTGATTAGATATTGATTTTGATAAATATTCCTATTTATAAATATTTATATTACTTTTAATAAATAGCAATGGACAGAGAAAGCCATTTTTTGATATCTAAAGTGGTTTTCATAATAATTGAGAAAAACCAAAAAAGACAAAATATATGATTTTTTTTTCAAATTGCGGCGCATCGAATTCATTATCAAACATTTTTAAGATTATATTTTTCTACCAGAAATCTTATTTCTAAAATTTCAAGAATAGCATATTTTATGAAATAAAATTTTGTCTCGTTCATGAATAAAAAAGTTTTTATTTGATTTTTCGTATTTTTTCTAATAATAATTACGAAAAATCGGGAAAAAATGTAGGAAATACGGCAATTGGGTTTTTTGTTGTATTAGGTTAAAAATATTGTACACCAGAAGTTTTTACAAAATACCTATATTGGCCTTTTGTAGACGAGATCAAATTTTTAAAACATTCTAGCCATTTTTAGGGTATTTATAGATATTTCATGTTCATATGTTTTACATTTATTTTTATTTGGTAGTTATCTGTTATTTAAACTATACGACTTAAGAGAAATGTTTGAAAATTTAACACAAGGTATATTATAAGTCGTACTAAGCGGTCTAAAAATAAATTTGAGTTTAATGCATTAGTTTTTTTTCATAAATGTTATTTGAAATCATTAAAACATTAAAAAATTACGAAATTATTTGTCTTACCGAACTCTGCTCCGAACCGTTTTTCGTTAGCAATGGTTTATTTTTGCGTATACAGACATAAACGCCCATAGGAATTTTATCAGGGAGAGGCACAATAAAATCAAAAACCAAAAAGTACCTAAAATAAAATAATATTAATTAATTATTACAATTATATTTGAAATGTTGAAGTCCAGGGGGGCATGCAGATCTTTGGCTTGCCTTCTCTCCGGGCACCCATGTATACATATATAAATTAAACAACATTATGTATCTTACCTTCCCAAATTCCCATCTATACAACACTGGCTGCACCAGTGACGAATAAGAATCGTGAATAAATCGTAAAATCGTTTTTTCCTAACTTGACTATGAGAATTGGTAATTTTAAAACCGGATCCTAAAAAATTCCAATTTTTAATCAATGCATCAAGCTTTTTCTTATAATTTGGCTGAGTTATATTCATTTCGATATTACATTACTCATATTTTTTTTGTATTTTTAAGCCACTGAAGGAGATTTGACCCCTAACCCCTCTCCCCCTGTGCACGCAACTGGGTGTCCAGTTGTAGAAGCTTTTATTATTATTTTTTTTATTTTTTTTAATTTACTATAAGGTGTGACTTAATACGGGCATGTATAGTATAAGTAGTAAATATACTTACCTATATGAATCACGTTCGCATTGTGATCGTGTAAGAAAACGTATCAGCTACCCTGTATCATCATTTGTCAGGCCTGCTTATAGAATTATCAATGTAATATATATTATATTCGGTACAAATTGTTAAGGACTAACCCCTCCCCATTGTTTATATATGGTCGTGTCGTAGTCGTGCACTCGCGGTATTCCATTGCACGGGACAATGAACATATCTACTTTCGCGTACATCCGGCATTCCGGCGCGCTATTGCAGTTCTTGCGCTAGCGTGCGTCAGTATAATATTGTAAGCAGCAGCCGAAATATTATTTCACTATTACTTTTATCCTCGCGGGCATAATAATACGAACGCGTGTTGGAACAGAAAACAATAATGCCATTGATATTCATAAATAAATGATCATACTAAAAAACGGGTAATATTATTCAATAATAAATTAGTGATCTGTTCGCGTACCCATACCATCTATCAATGGTAAGTGCGGTTGTGTTGTTGGGAGAAAAAAAAATATTAATGAAAAAAATACGCAACGGTAGGTAATAATCGAATAGGCGAGTCGAAGTGACACCACTATAATAAAAATATAGTGGTAAATGTACGGTGGGGATTCAGTCTTTTTGTGGTCGTGGCTGTCCGCCGCCGTGTCGTGGTAGTCCGTCGCAGCACCGCCGCCGCCTCGAATCGTGTATCTTTTACCTCTACCTCCGGTGCCCAATTACACGATTTCTGTTTCGGTTTTACTTTTTCAGTCGCCTCGCGATTGCGTGCGCAACAGTTGTCACGACGACCTTTTCGCTGATAGTCTGTTATCATTATCATCGTACGCGTTTTTTTTTTTTTTATCAATTTTTCAGTTCTAAACAAATATTGTGATCAATTTGAATTCGAAACGGTTTTTTTCACGGCTTTTACGTTATTGTGTGTTCTTGTGTAAACATTTTCATTCCGTCTAAAATTTTATTTGCAATACCTATTCGTTTCCGTGCGATCCGCGCGTGTTTTTAATTTAGTGAAATTTTGTGCAAAAATGCATTTTTTTTCATGCTAAGTAGGTCGCTCAATATCTTTTTTTTCTCTTCGAAGCATACCAATAGTATTCAACATTGCGAGGAAGAGAACAAATTACTATACGATTTTTTTTTTTGAACGTGCGTCATCGTGTCTTCAATTCAATAATAATATAGGAGAGTGGACCATAAATTGATTTTGGTGAGTATCATACATTCAGACCTAACCATTTTTAATTATAACTAAAATTATTATTATTTAGGTACCTAACTATATGTTAATACATCTGCAAGTCTCTCTAGTTTGAAAATAGATTTAATTGCCTATAGGTTTTACTATTTAAAGGATCTATTTATATTTGTTTAAGTCAATGCTGAAAATTGGATAATATCAAATTTTCGTTAAGTAGATGCTCTTTTATGCTGTTAATTTTAAATTTTAGAATGAATATTATCAAACTCAAAGGTAAGAATATTATCTGTTGATTTTTATTTTAGTAGATATCTTAAATTTTAAATGTGATAAGAGCACATGAAATTTTACAATTTAAAAATCATTATGTTTTACTTTATAATAAAAATATGGAAAAAAAAAACATGCAAACACAATGTTCCTACTTTTAAGTTTAAAAATAATCCAATTCACTCTAATATTAAAACTAACAAATCAAAAATGGTTTCAACAGATGACAATTTGAATTTCAATATTAGCTGTAATTATAAGTATCTTATGAAATTATTCAATCTACGGTTAAATCTATTTAAATATTTTAGGCAATTAAATCATCTACTTAGGTTACCTACCTAGAATTTTATTATTTTTAAATATTTTAACATATATTGTTTAATTAAATTGTTTTAATATATGTTTAATTTAATACTTTTGCATTGTACTTTATTTAAATTCATTTTTGAAAATACTTTTAACATAATTCAGGTTCTAGAGCTTGAATAAATACTTAATTATTTGGTACCTATGTTTCTGCAATGTGTAGGCACATATTTACTAAACACAAATAAATTTCTTATTGAAACGCAAGTTAAATATCATTAAAACTACCTAATTTTATTTATTTACTCAAATGCAATAAGCTAATATAATATTATCACTACAACTATTTATTTTTTTTATATAGGTACTTCCCTATAATTATCGTATTGTTATTCTGTACTTATAATTAACCAAATTGTACAAATAGTGAATACATTATTTTAATGGTAAAACGCACTTCAATACATGCATATATATATATATATATATATATATTCATATATATGTGGACAATATATTTAAACAAAAGGAATAAGTAACATTTTGAACTTATTTATTTAAGTCTATTTCGTGAAACGTCTTGCATAGTTTAAGTTTTTCCGTAAAACTTTAATTTAATTTTTACTTTTTTAATTATTATGTACTATTTTATTAACACAAATATAATGTTTGAATATTGTTTTTTATTAATTTTGTAATTTATACAATTATAATTGCAAAGCATTTTATTGGAATATCAATTCTAGTAGTTAGCCACAAATAATTTAAAATTAATATTTCTTTATTATCTATAAGAATCAATGTTAATTGGTTACATTATCTTTTTAAGATTGTTTAAGAATTAAATAAAAGTAATGTTAAGTTTAATATTACATGCCTACGTGTAATATTAGTAAACAGGTAGTATAGTATATTATGAACAAGAGCTGTATTGGTGCACCAATATATTATGAATTTAAAATTTATATTCAAGTAGTAGGTGTCTATTTAATTTTTTCAAAACGCAATGATGTCTATATATATTGACATATTGTATTACAATATGTACATTTATTTACAATAAACACATGTGACAAAGTATAGATAATGGATTATGAACCTTAAACATTGATAAATAAGAATTATCACCTAGCACCAACGTTTTTATATACCTATTAATATAGTTAGGTATATTTAATTTGGGTAATTTTGCTTTATGCTAAATTTCGACACCAGTTTTCAAAATTTAACATAAGAAAATCAAAATATTTTCCCTCTAGTGTCTTTAAATTTAACCTAGGTAAACAATTCTAGTGATTACTTTTTAACTTCACAATATTGAATTCAGTTAGACAATAAAATATGAACTGTTTTAAGTGACATTGATTACCTCAAAAAAAAAAAAAAAAAATTATGACCAAATTTCACGGTGCTGTTAATAATTGCAAATATATATATATTTATGTCAGTTTCTATAATAATATTATAGAAAATATCTTATTTTATATAATCTAAAATGAAATAACTAGTATATTGTTATAAACAGTTTCTAATTCATAAGTAGCGTTTAAACATAATATAGTAACAACCATATAACGTTTATCATAATAAAAAAAAATGTTTTGTATATTTTTTACCAGTTTTTGTTAAACATGATTGCATTAAAACTGTATTTTAAAAGAATGATGACTAATTTAAGGATGACCCAAATATGTAGGTGGTAATGATTTCAGCATTTAATTTTTAAATATTTTCTCAATTTCTTAAACATATAGGAAATATTATCCATTTATGGAAGTTATAAAAAATCAATTTTCTCAATTTATGTTATTCGTATAAAATTAGAAGGATTAGGTAAATACTATAGTAGTTATTTAAATAATAATAAATTGCTAAAATTTATATAAAAGTAAATATACAAATTAGATTTTTAGATGGATTGTTTTATTTTAATGTTTAAAAAGTTATTAGTTAAAATAATTTATTAGTATAAGTGAGATATTATGTTTATTGTTCTATTGTTAAAACTTAAAATCATAATACCTAGTTTTTTTTTAACAAAAATAATCATATTTTGAATATTTTATTAAATTTAAATATAATTGGCTGAAGTATAGTTTTGAGGTAAATATATAATATATTTATGGTTACAACTAATAATGTTTTCCAAATTAAATTGTTACTTTGAATATATATTAAACATAATATAATTATGTATACGATTCTATTTCCCAGTAAAAATTAAACAGTTAAATTACAAAATTTAAACATCTTATAATTGAAAAATACTGCCTGTATATTATAATTTTTAAGGTATAATTTGATGACAATCTTACATAGGTACCTATCTACCTAAATATTATAATATTTTATAGTATCTATATTATAATATGAATACAAATACTTTATTATGATTTTACTTTATGTAAATACTTTTGTAATTTTTAAAATAGATACTACTAGTTTGTTTATTTTTATTGTAGGTATGTAATAATAAAATCACAATTCAACTAATAAAATAAATGAGAAAATACCAAAGTCTATATTATTATTTTCTTTATTATTAAAGAATATAATGAAAATTTACAAATTTAATTGAAGAGTTTTTATAAAATATAAAATTGTGAAGTATACAGAATAATAAATAACCTAAATTTATAAAAAAATGATAGAAACTAATGTTTTATTCAAATATCAGGAAACATAAAATGTTATATAGGTCTTGTATTATATTTTATTGGAGCATTAAGATTCAAAAACTGTAATTTATTGAATAGTATTGGTATTGTTTGTCTAATAAATGTGACAGATTCTACAGCTGATATTTGTATAAAATAATTATAAAAGGTGCCTACATTTGGAGAGCCACAATAGATGTGATAAAAATAAATACAATTTAGTAACTATTTAATTGTAAATAAAACTACAATAGAATTGATTTTTCTTCGAGTTGATTAAAATTATATTTCAGTGATTAGGCTACCAAATTTTTCTGTTTTTATATTTAGGTTACCAATGTTGCACATGTTTGAATTAAGAGAGTATGTATTTAGGAATTGTGTAGCCTGCAATTTTGATTAGAATTGAGAAAATTGCAAAAGTTCAATGATTTGATTAATAAGTTGGCATTTCTAAAGTAAAATAAGATATAGCTGAAAATAGAGTCAGTATCAAGTCGTAAATAAATTATAGGTTTTACATTTGTAATTATACTAATATTTGTAGCTTTATTATTTTAAAAAAATACTTGTAGTGTATTTAACATTTTAACAAACTCTTAAATAATTGTCTTAATATTATAAGTAGTTACAGGTACCTATAGTTACTAGACAATCTCCTAGACCTTGATAATGAAAGACATTGCTATTGAAGTGTGAGAAGATATGTTAAAATATTTACTCATTTAGCATTATAATTATTGCCTATTGTTTATCATTAAAATCTAGTTACCTATAGGCGGAAAGTATTTGAAATAATGTATTAAATTACCATAATCAACAATTAGTATTATAATTTATAAGTATTATGTGTAGAAAACAGAACCTTGGTAAATGAATTAAGTATTAAATAATATTAAAACTTATGAATTGGAATTTAATTAGAAAACAATTAGTCTGTCTTATAAATATTACTAAAAAAGTGTTTGGGTATTTGATTTTATCATCATGTCATCTTCATACAATTGAGTTATTAAAAAAATAATACATAATAATATATCTTGCAATAGCATTAAACTTCGAATAACTTAAAATAATATTTATATTTTAGTGTGACTTAAATATAATTGATAAAGCTCGGCGGCCAGTTAGTTGGGTGTACAAATGGATTATCCAAATATTCAACATTCACACGAGGTGCCAAAATTTAGAAGTACCTCTTAAATATATATTTGTATTCATAAATAAAATACAGCATGTAAATACAAATTGTGAATTAGTCAACATTTATATTCAAATATAAGTTTTTATGAAGGGTTATAACTTTAAATTCTGAACAAAGCTGCTAAGCTATTCATTTTATAATAAGATGTATGTGGTCTTTTGTGTATCAACTTGAATTATAATTTGAAGTTTTAATAATAATTAAGTGTTTAAAAAGTTTTAAAAAGCAATGATAAAAAAATTAAACGTAAATGATATGTTGGTACCTACTAATTTTTTTTTTTTTATGGTACTACCTATAAATTGTCTTATTTACAAAAAAAAAGTGCAGATTAATATAATAATTATTATTTATTTTAAATTTATATGTAATGATTTTTAAGTACTATATGATTTAACTATTCTGTGCCAAGATAAATTAAGCAACCCCTATTTTTATATTTGTTTTATTAACATTAATTATTTTGTAAATATAAATTATTTATCACTACATTAAAATACAAAATTATTATTACTATAATTTAATTGTTAAAACAAGCATACCAACGCAATAAATATAAATAATCGTAGAATAATTTAACATCCATTACATTACCAGTTTAGCTAATGTTTTTACAACCTTCCTCCCTTCTTCTTCCTCCCCCCGATTTTTTACATTGTGTTGCAGTAATTTTGTATACAAGTTATAAGATAACAAAGTTGATAACAGATGAATTTTGTATTTAATTATTTGTAAATACAATAATATTATACAGTAGATATAACAAATGATTTAAAACTTCAATACGATATAACTAGCCATTGCTGTGTTGGTATGACGTGGCGAGAAAGTGACCAACATATAGTTGTATTTTATTCGCAAAATATACAACGGTATTCCATATATTAAATTTTATTATTATGCAATGCATTTCTATTGATCACGTGTTTTATTTGAAAGCATTTTAATTAAGTATTAATAACTACTGTAATATCATTATTAATTTTTACATGTAGAAAATTGTACATATATTTCTTTTAGTTGTCATTAAATAGTAAGTAAGTAGTTTTTTGTTTAAACAAAATCATCTTTTCTATGCGTATAGAGATCTACAAGCATACGAGTAGGTACTACGTGTGTCCTTTGGAGGTGAACACTGACCTAACAACTTTCACAGTAGCAAACCCTTCTCTCGCAAACACGTGATGAAACTATGTCATCAATAAACGCATTACACATTTACACGTATTTATTTAATATTTTGTATTAATTATAGATTAAAAATTATTATAAGCTTAAAAAAATCGATTTACTCATGTCCATTTTCGTTTAAATTTGATTTCAAAACGCTTATTAAAAAAAAAAAAGCTGTCCGATGATTTTGAATATTTTATCACATTTAGGTAAGTTTAATATAAGTATTATTATGAACATTCAAGTCTACGTGTATTTATAACCGAATTACAAAAAAAACTCCAAAAAATTAAAATTCCTTAAAAGCTCAAAAGTTTTGGCTATGATACCTTAAGAAAGTAAACCAAAAAGGCAACAAAAAAGGCTTTCACTATCCAGTGAAGATATTATGTTAGTCGTCTAGTCAGTTCCTAGTTGGAATATCCAATTTTTTTTTTTTGCAAAACATCGGCGCTTGAATGACTCATATTTGAATAATAATTTATTAAATTTAACTTATTGAAATAATAATGTGCATACATGTAAGGTCTACATGAAGTAATCTGATTAAAATTAGATTTATAAAATTGCATATTTAGGGAATAGATATATAATTAAATGCATATTTTTGATAAAATAAATTATTTAAAGTTTAATAAGAATATTTATGATTTAAAATATCATTCTTATTAAAATTACGCCAATTTTATTTTACATATTTTAGTGTTTCGTCATTTATATGTGTTTAAATCATGTCTCAGTGAATTAAAACATCCATCTATTGGTATGTTTCTATTTTATTATTTTTTCGTTAATTATAATAATTATTTAATGTAATTCATAATTCGAATTAGAACTTGCCCAAAATTAAAGTTTCCCGACTATTATAATTCTTCTTTTGTTTTATATTCATAATTTTTCATAATTATATTTAATGTATTTTCCGTACATTTATTATTCTTATTTCTCTCATATTATAATATTTTTACATAATATATTTTATAAATTATATTTCCGTATTTACATATCTATTTATTTTGTATTTTAATTACATTTACGTCCTAATTATTATGTATCATTGTATGTAAATTTGTATTAACATTTTTTTTTTTGGTAAACATTTTATAATTTCCTATCAAATAAATCTCTTGATATTATATAGTTAGACCTAGTAAATTTAACCTTCATAATTAAATTTTAAACAGTACTTGTATTATCATTTATCCATTTTAATATTATTTTTGTATTATTCTATTGAACATAATATAGGAAATCCAAAATACAAATAAATTTATTTGGGTAATAAATGTGCATTTGTATTTATTATTAAAAATGTTGTATTTTTACTTCAGTATAAATGTTGAGTTGTTGAATATGTAAACATTTTTCTATTTTTTATTGATTTTTCCGATTTTTGTTATTTATTGTTTATCATTTCCATAATTTTACACTAACTACTTTTTATAAGTAGTTATTAGTTATTACTAAAGAACGAATTTATATGTAAATGCATATTTTTATTAGAACAAGATATTTAAGATTTGATAAGAAATATCCATGGTTTAAATCATTCTTATTAAAATGACGTCAATTTTATTTTACATGTTTTTATATATTTCTTTAATTTGTAAATATTTTATAATTTTATCATTCATACGTTTTAAAACCATGTTGCAGTGAACGAAAACAGCCATTTAACGGTATATTGTCGATTTATATTTTTAGTCATTATCTTGCACATGCTTTCCGGTCTTCTTTCCATGTATAATTGTGTACATTGTGTATTTAATCATAGACCTATAAATATTTAAACATACAAACTATATATTATCAGGTCTATGTATTTAATATAGTATATTATATACATTTATATACGATTGACAATGGATGATATGCAATAGCAATAGGTCTTTTAGTTACCAGTTAGTGTTTGGCTGTAATTGTACGTACCTACACACATTTTAACACACAATTTTTATTCTAATTGATATAATATTTTTGACATTGATACTTCAAAATGCTAAAAATAAGTAAGACCATTACATCCTAAGTTTCTCAATAAGTTAATGAATTTCCGTTGGTAGCTGCTCAATATATAATATAAAATTGTTTTGTAATATAAAACAAGAAATTATTTCAAAATTAGATCCAAACATTTCTATGGTGATTGGAAAAGCTCAAAATATTAAACAAAATAAAACATTGAAAAATAATTTAATTTTCATTTCATCGAATTTTAATTTTATTGCACGTACAATTATAAAATTAGAAACAAAAAATATGTTCTTAAATGAAAGTATGCAAATTGTCGAATCAGCGATAGAAAAATTAAAACTCGTAAGCGGACAAATAGGAGATGTTGTAAATAAGAAAATGCATGCTGTTACAGAAAAAAAATACAGGCTATATTGTTTTTAAAACAATAAATGAAATTGATGACAAACACCCTTCTAAAAATTTGGAATTATTGCCTTCAGATATTACGTGCTCCAATTACATCGGTTGATGTGAAACAATCGTTTAGTCGTTTTAAAAATATTTTAAGACTTAATAAAGAATAGGTGACATTTAACATTCAATAATTTAAAAGAAATTGTATTATGTATTGTTATTATTATAGTGTTGATATTAAGAATCAATAAAAATATTGATAGTTATATTTTTCCGCCGCCCACTATAAAGCTCGTTTAACCACATACGAGGTTACTATGTTGTGGTATATTATATTTTATTTTAACTTGGCTTGCAGGTTGCTTGATCTAATGCACTTAAAACTTTACATTTAATCAATTTTTGTAATGTTACAACATACTTCATTTGAAATTATATAATAATTATATTAATTTAATTCCATTATGTTGTTGAATTCAGTATTTAAATCAATTAATTTATAAAAATGTTATCTAAATAAAAAATTCAATTCAGAGACTTAACATTTAGGACTAGGAAAAATATAAATGTACATAGTAAATTATATAAATTGGAATCATATGAACGTATTATGTAAATAAGGTAGTTAGAGGTATATTTATTATTTTGATCTGTTAATGACAGTTTAAATTATTTGTAATTATTGTGATCTTTACTTTTTTGAATGCAATTTTACTTTTGTGTATTAAATGATTATATAATTATGTAGATTTAATAACAAAAAACTCCATACATGTAAAATAAAGTACACATTTTAGTTTTTGATAAATAAATGTTGAATAATCGTGTCAAGTGGTACGTAAAAAATGTCAAAATGTTTTAATGATACGTGGATATGAAAAGGTAGAGAACCGCTGCCCTATACAATGAATAATATATGACGGAAAATGAATAAATACTAATCATATTTTGCCCAATTTTGTAGAAAGTGAAGATTAGTTCCGGAATTTATGTTTTCCCTTTCATTGCATGCGATTCAATAATTATAGAAATACAATCGAATTTGCTTATAACGATGCTGGTTACAACGATAATCAGGAAATAGCAATGTCATTTTGAAATTAAAACCGGTCCTCACGTTCGCCAATAACGATTTCATGTGATTATCAATTTTTTTTTTTATAACATTCCGATTCTTTAAATCTTTTGAAGACTGTTATAAACGAAATATGTATTCTAAAGTACTTATATTCACTTTCATTCTATATTTTATAGTCATATCAGTTTAAGCTACAAAAAATGCTGTGCCGTACGCGATACTATATCGCTGTAATAATAACCAGGGCTCATAACGTTAACCATTTGCATTTTTTTTTTGAGCGATCTTAGAGATACTTTTGTGAGCTATAAGTTTGGTATGGAAAATAATTTTAAGTTCCAGTTTAAGCTAAGTATACGTAGCTCTCAGTAGTCCGATCTATTTAAGAATATTGCCGACCGTACTAATGAACAGTATAATTATAGAAATTAATCGTTTTACTATATTTTTTTTTTAACATGTACCAAGTGCATAAAATGTATCAAGTGTAGTATATTTACTGAAAGGAAATTTAACCTAATTGGTACTTTATAGAGATTATTTTTTGACTTTCAAGGGGTTTTCAAAATAATTGGGAAAACCCGGAAACAAAATAAGATTTATGTAAAATGACAAATATTAAAGGCACACCGTAGATTTACCGATTTCATTATTTTTAATTTTTGTGAACTAATGTTTTTTACTAAAAATATTACTTTAATCGATCTTCTTTGTAGCATTTTTGATCTATCTAGTTGCATACGAAGAAAGTTTTTTTTTTATTTTGCCTGTAGTTATTGAGCAAAACCGAAAGAACCGGGAAATTAACAAAAATAATGCTTTTATTTTCAAATTTATATTTTGTTATAATTCAGTTAAAATATTTATAGACATTTAAATTTTGCGAGAGTTTTACGTAATTTTTATTTGGTAGGTACTCTATGGATGGAATTGTTTGACTAAACAGAAATATTTCAAAATATACAGGAGATTCACTAAAAGTTGTACTGTGATCAAAAAAAAAGTTGATTGTAATGTATTTATTTTTTTTTCTTTTTAAGTTTTAATATGTGTTTTGAAAACATGTACAGTGTGATTTTTTTATCATGAACCAGCAATTTTCTTGGAGGATTTTTAGAGAATTTGTTATCTGCTTTTTTTTTTTTTTTTAATCATTGTAGAATCGTTTCAGCTTTATTTTAACGCCATTTTTAATTTTTACCCCCTCTCCATATACCTTAAATAAGCCTAAAAGTACTTTTGTTTTCAACTTCCCTTTTCAAACAGATTTGAATAGAGAATAATTTTCTTGAAATTTTAATACGTATAACACTAATATCAGATTTACTATTCATGAGTTATAACCATTTAAAGTTTAGATCAGGTGAATAAGAAAAGGTTTTAAAGGTAATAAGTTACATATCTATTTTCAAATGAAATTGAAAAAAAATTTTAATTTTTAACTTACCTACTCCTAGGGTCTAAACTTTAAACGGTTATAACCTATGAACGGTAAATCTGATATAAATGGTATGCATATTAAACTTTCTAGAAAAATATTCTTCATTTGAATTTGTATTCAAAAAATGGAGGGTGTTCCTATTTGAATAACAAAAGTATATAAATATATATTTTTGTTCTGGTACATAGAGTGGAGTAAAAAGTTAAAAATTGTTTAAAAATAAAGCTTAAATGATTCAACAATGATATATAAAAAAGAAAAACATAACAAATTCACTTATAATCCCTCAAGAAAATTGTAGGTTCATGAAAAAAATCACTCTATATACAGAGTGATTTTTTAACCCGACTTCGCTCCGAATCGTTTTTGTGTCCGAATGGTTTATTATTGCTTATAGTTATAAATTAAATTACTGTATGTATCATACCTTCCTAATTAACCAACTTACAATAGTGGCACACCCTCCCCTAGTATCAGCTCTTTTTTTTTAATTTTGCTAAAGTTGTAAAATTTAATATTGTTCTAGATGCAGTCGTTTCAGAGGATGTAGACTCCATAAAACAACACAATATGTATTATGACACTCCAAGATAAAATTCAACAACTGGAGGTAAAAATTAAGTTTGTTATAGAACAAGTATATTTTAATATAAAAAAAATTTAATACATAACACTAACGAAAGATTTTTTTATATAGTACTTTTATTAGATAACTATTACCCACTTATTAACTAATTATTATTTTATTAAAATCACCTACTTAAAATTAATTATAAGTATTTAGATAATTAATTATATGAATTTTCATATTTATGGTGTTTGTATACATTACCCACCGATAAGTATAATATTTGTTTTTTTACTACTAATGGCCAACTAAATCATCATTTTCGAATACCTAGTTTTATATAACAATATAAAAACGAAAATCACCTGTATACATGAATATTGAATACTAATAATAAAAAAAACTATCTCTATAAATCTTACTACATTTGTTTGACCAGACTTACACATGTAATAATCAAATGCAATTTAAAAAAAATAAAACTCATACAGGATAAACTGGAAACAATTTATTCTATCACATGTTTCCCGGCTATAAGTAACTAGTTTATTATTTAAAATAATCTTTCAAATTACAAACAACTAACCAAGGTAATTCCAAAGTTTTTTTGGCATTAAGCTAGAAATTGAAAAACACTATATTCATAAAAGAATATACCATAATATTATCTCTGTGACACTTGAAAACAAAATAGTTCTCCTTAGAAGTATTCCTTGATAATAATGTTCAGTTGTGATTGGTGCGATAAACTAAATTATTTTCTACTCCCTACTACATATTAAATTAAAATTTTAACTAAACCAAAGAGTATTTTGTTTACAAGCATAAATACAACAATCAATCTATTCACATGCCTATCATCGTAGTGTAGAGACATTAAAAAAAAAAAAGTTATCTCTAGTAAAATATTTTGGACTATGCTTTAAAATTAATAACTAATTAAGTGTACTCGTAAAAAATAATTAAATAAAACGTAACATAAATTTAATGCTAAGGTATATAATTTTTCTAAACTTTGTTTTCTACTAAAATGTTTAGTCAAGTTTACTTATTATATTAAATTAGTATTCATATTGTAAATAAGTATTTCTTTTAAACACTGCAATCAAAATAATTGTTCAAATACCTATCTGCATTTATTTATGATGCCTAGTGCTTGGATTTCAATGCAAATAATTTTTTTTTGAGGGGCGATTTAAGACAGTGCTTTCTAAGTGCATTATTCAATGTCAAGTTATGTATGTGAAACTTTTATTTTGCATTTTTTGTGGTTTTTACAATTTTAAGGGTGGTATTTTGCTTAAAAGCATTTTTGGATATTTTATGAAGTATATTTTTATAGGGATCAAGACATTTTAATCTGGGCCCGAAGTCATGTATACAATTATATCCAATACAAAATATAATTTTTGGAGAGGTACAAAATAAAAGGATAGGTCCTCTATAAAAGGAATATACTTAGAACATTAGAATCAAAGAATATATTGAAATTAAGGATGTGATAAACTGAAAATTGCAAATAATCAAACTGAACCAAATGCCCAATAGTTCGGTTTGAAAATCATTTGATGCCGTTTCTGCGCTGTCACCAATACGATGTTCTATGGTGTGACAGAGCGGCCTTGTTACTTAAAAGAAAAATTCTATTTTTTTCGTATTAGTGGGTCTCATAATAGGAAGTCACTAAGCCGAACAGTTTGAGAATCTAACTTTTTGATCTGACCTATCTTAATCTTTTTAATTTTTTAATGTTCGAGTTCGATAAATTATTTTAAAAGTTCGATTCGATTCGGGTTCGAATAAAAATGTGTAAGTTCGGTTTAGTTCAGTTCGTCCTTAAAAATCAGGGTTCGTAACATCTCTAATTGAAGTGTTTATTTTTTTTTTCGTACACACTAAAAATATTTTTAAGGTAATTCACTACAGAATTTAGAAAAAAGCGTAAAATATGTGAGTCAAGAACAATATGGATTCCGTAACGGACTTGGAACTAGGGGAACTTTATTTAGTATGCAAATACTTGTTCAATAATGCCGAAATATCAACCAAAAGGTATATTTGTGCTTTATTGATTTTGAAAAGTCATTTGACAAGGTGAGACATAAAAAACTATTTGAGGTTTTACAAAAAATTGAATGGATGGTAAATACCTATAAGTTATAACAAATTTGTATTGATATCAACAAGCTAATATTAAAATAAACAACATGCTTTCTAATGACTTAAGAATTAGGAGAGGAGTTTGACAAGGGTGTCGTATCCTATCGTCATTGCTTTTCAATCTATATTCAAAAATAATAATGTCAGAGGTCTTGGAAGATACGGAGAAGGGCATAGTCATACATAGAAACGTTATTAACAATCTGAGATATGCAGTTGATACTGTATTGATAGCTGGCAGCATAGAATACATACAAAAGATATTAAACAAAGTAGTAACAATTAGTGAAAACTTATGTCTAAATCTAAAACTCGAAAAATCGAATATATGGTAATCGATAAGGAACAAAGCCCAATAAATGTGCTCAGACTCAAAAGTGCCCCCTTAGAGAAAGCATATAAAATTACTTATATTGGACATCATTGATTGATAGTTGGGATCATTTTCACAAAATAAGATGTGGTATAAAAAAGACAAAGGCTGTTTTTATGAAAATAAGGAATGTATTCTGTAGCTATCAGTTAAGCATGGATCTCCGAAATCAGAATGATACATTGCTATATATTAATCGTACTTCTTTATGAAGTAGAGACTTGAACTCTATCTAAAGTTTCGACCAATCGAATCCAAGCATTTGAGATGTAAATATACCGCAGAATATATATATAAAAAAAAGAGCTGATACTGGGAATGAGTGCGGCCACTGTTGTAGGTAAGTAGTGGGGAAGGTGGGATATATAATGTTATTTCATTAATATCTGTAAATAACGATAAACCATTGCTGATGAAAGACGATTCCGAGCGCAGTTCGATTATACATAATTTGAAGTACCGTAATTTTTTTTAACCTAACCTTCCTACGTTTTTTCCCGATTATTATGAAAACTAATTCGAAAATCAAAAAAATGAACTGCATCATTAAAAACAAGATTAATAATTCAACAAAAATATGACCTCTTATCGTTTTTCAATCGGAGCTATATTTGTACTAGAAAACGTGGTAGGTACTTATTTAAAATAACGAGATTGTGAAAAAATTGTATTTTTTCCCCCGGTTAATTTTAATTTAAAAAAAAAGTTTTTATTTTGAATGCCGTTTCAAAAATCAAAAAATGACCTATATTTTTACCAAGTAAATAAAATTGACATTCAGAAAAGGTACTACACTTATACATCAGAGCAAGTTTTCTTGAATAAAAATGGTCTATCGTATAAAAAAAAGTAAAGTAGCATTGTAAAAAAATTAAAGTCGTGATCTTAGTAAAACCAATAGCTCCCTCGCTACACTCGGAATTTAAAATTAGTTGGTGCGATAACATAACGAATCTCAACGTATTTTTACAAATAAATAAAGATCTTGAAGTAGTGAAAACAGTAAAAACGTGAAAACTTCAATATCTGGAACATGTTATGTGGTATTCAGAAAAATGGCTATATTTTATTTACTACAATTAATATTCTAAAGTAAAATAGCTGGAAGAAGGAACTGTGGAAGACCTCAAATTTCTTGGTTGGACAACCTTAAAAAGTGGTTGAATACATTTACGATATCATTATTCAGAACAGCCAGTAATAAAAATCAAATTACTAACATGATTGTCAACGTTTGTTATTGTTAACGAATACGGCACTCAAAGAAGAAGATTGAATTTCTAGATTTATTTCAACAGTTTAATATAATATTGAAAGAAAATGTTTAATTTAACTTAAATTATATACTATCTATAATATAAATAATATTTTATTACATCCTGGTAAATATATTACTTATGTGTTTTCAAGGTTGCTGTGTTTTCATTCTAGATAATGAATATTATTTTTTCTGGTTTGAGATATATATAAAGACTTAAAAATTATGTTGATTCCTAGGTCCATTTGTTATATTTTCAATATTTGAATAAATAAGTTACGAATAAATTTAATTAAAAATAATTTGATTGAATTCCTTGAATCTTAATAATTTTTCCAACTTTTTTAACAAACTTAGAGTAAATTCCAAAAAAAAGTTACAATCAATTATAATTTAATTGGTTCTTTTGTTTTGTTATTATTCTTTTTTCTTTTTTCTTAAGCCAAACTATTTACCCGTTTACCCTTTACCCGTTATTTAAAAATACTAAACTCAAAAACTTTACAAGGTTTTTATTTCGTTAAACTGATTACAGTATTCAAATATCATTAAGTTGAATAGAAACCAAGAATTACTATTAGTTGCAATCAATATGAATATTAAAAATGTTAATTATGTTAAAATCGTTTTTATTTGCAGGGCGTCGAACTATCACGATGCCGTCTATGCGAATATTTGGACGTAAATGGCTCGCTGGTACAGATGACTTGGTGTTCCCAGGAGTATTGGAACTCTTAATGCGAGGAATATGGTGAGTAATTGATAAAGAAATATTACTTTTTAATTTTTCCGAATTTTCTTATTCATCGCCTTTAAATACACTTACAATACTCGTGATGTATATAGTTCCTAAGACTATAATTCCCTAAAAAGTTATGTTCTCTTACATTGTAATAAATTATAATTGAGTATTAGTAATATAAATTATATAAATTTGTTTTTGATGTCAATGCTCTTAGTAGGTAAGATTAGTTAGAAGAATTAACATAATTGAAAACAATTTTTTGAAATCTTTGCTTCATACTTATAACTAAAATAGAACTAACAAAACATACATACAGAATAATATATCAGCGTGTTTCGTTTTAGGTACAAAGTTATAAATTCATCTTTTTTGTTGAATTTTCCCAAACAAAAACTATTACACTGTATTGTATCTATTATATACATATATATTTTTTTCCCAGAACATTTGAACGCATTTAGATACTCCTTTTGGACCAAATAAGCTCAAACTCGGAAATATTCCAGTTTTTATAGGCAGATTGATGTGATTTAATTTTGGTTGAATTTCAATGTGAAATTTACCATGTTATTGTGGAAAGAGTGTGATTTTTTAGTTTTATACACTCTTACATCCTTCCAGACCACCAAATAAAGCTAGGAAGATGATATTTTGTGTATGTGTGCTGTATGTATCAAGGATGTGACTTTAGGGGGTTTAAACTTTCAACTCCTCCAATTTTATTCAATCTCATCATTTTTATGTTAAAATTTTAAATTTTCACTGGCAATACCTAGTTTTAAACTCCCTGAAAGATTAGTCATTCATCAACTTAAATAACAGGGATACGATTTGTATATTTAAATATTATTATTGTCAAGGATGTGCATTTAGAAAGTTCAAACTTCTTCACTCCCACTGACTGTGTATACATATGCAAAAATCACGATAACTACTTCACCTAGTCTAAATAAAAATATTTTGTTTGATTACTTATATATACTGGAAGATCATAAGATACGTTTTATACTTGAAAGAAAGTAGGGGTAGTAGACCGTGAAATTGGGTAGAAAGAGAAAGCAGAGTTGGCTAAGAATACTGAAAAGCCCATCAAAAAAATTAGCTCAGCTTCTCAATAAACATTGGCTCTTCCCCCATTCTCTATTTTTAATCCTTACCTATAGAAATGTTTTTGAAACTTTATAATTCATTAATTTTTTCTCGAATATTTTATAAAAGCAAAATTGTTTAGATTTTAGAAATACACTTATACTACCATATCAGTATACTAAAATGGTCGTATTGATCTCTATTATAGTCTATGTTTTAACAGGTAATTGTAAAAAGTGAATTCTATGAATAACTGAACAATTTCCAAGACACATATCACAGATATTTTCTTGTAATTTTAAATATGTTTACCTTGTGCACTTCATCTATTTAGTAAATTTTTATCCCAAAGATCTGTCTAAAAATTAGTCTGATACTTCCCTCCTTCCCCCCGAAATTGAATCTTGATTATGCTACTAATTATACAACTTTACTTTACTTAAACTGCAATTTGATGCTGTTGTGAAAATTCTGTAAATGTTTCTGGAGTTAAATTTAAAAACATTGGTTATTGTTTATTTTCAGTATCCATTATTAAAAAGTTTCAGTACGGATCTTATTATAATAGGCAGTCCTAAATTATTTAACAGCAAAAGAATATTTGTGCATACATTCTATTGCTCCGTATGCGGTGGCAAATATCTCTTGACGGCAAACATTTTAAATTTCTCGTAAACTTTTCTAACAGAGGATTTGCTCCGATTTTTAGATGTAGCACTTATTCTGAAAGAAAATCGGTGTGCATAGGTACTTAAGAAAGATCATTTTTCGATTTTCTAGGAGTTTTCTCATCAAATTTGAAAAACCGGGATAATACACGGGAAAACTGTAAAAAACATAGGAGTATTGGGAAAATCGGTACAACATTAAAAAAATATTATTGAAGAAAATATATAAAGCCTATTTAATTATTTTATTATAAAATGGCATATATATTGTTGACAAAGCATCATTATCAACTGAACTCTGCTCAGAATCATTTTTTCGTAAGTAATGGTTTATCGCTGTTTACAGGTGTACATTAAATTATTTGAAACAGTGGCTGCACCCGTCTCCATTATCCTAAAACGTCTTTTTAGAAAAATATTCTTTATTTAAATCTGTATTTAAAAGAAATTTTGCTATTTTTAAATTCGAAATATATACTTATTTAAGTTACAAGGAGTAGAAGTACGAATTTAAAAATATAGTGTTTCATAATAAACGATAATAAAAACGATTTCATAATGACTGAGAAATACAGAAATCAATTAAATCATCCGAGAAAATCACTGTATGGTCATAAGAATTACTCTATTTTTTTTTATGAAATAGATATTTGAAAAAAATTATCGAAAAATATTTGACATTATGTAATATTTGACACCTGTCCATGTGAGTCTGATAAACGCTGATCGTTTGTCGTTAGTAAAATGAATTTGAATTGTAACAAAATTTAAAAATTAATGTCTTAACCTATTTGATTGTTTTAAACACCAATCATTTCCTTAAAAATTAATTTATAAAATAGCTTCGATAGTAAAAAGTTTTAAACGAAAAATCTAAGTATTTTATTTTCAGTTGTTAAATAATAAAATATAATATGAATTGTAAAAATTATATCGCAAAGCTCTTGTAATTGTTTAAAAAAAAAACTTCAAAATATTCAATAGAAAAACCTAACCTTACATTTGTTAAATAGTTCTGTTATACCATGTGTAATGTATCTATATAGTAAATAATTTTTAAGTTTTTAACTTTATAAATGGTGCAATTGTTTTATTAAACACATATCACGAACGAGATCTAAATAATTTTGACTACACTTAAAATAAATAATAGCAATGCATTTTATAAGTATATGTAATTTAGTGACCTGACCCTGGTGACTAAAAATGAAGAACGGAAATCACTAAGACGACACGCATTATTATTTAATAATATCAATAGGTACCTATATTAATCAATGAACAACATGGTTTTCGAATAAGTCATTTCAATGTCACTAAAAAAAAAAAAAAAAACATTATTTATACAAACCTCGAATAGGCTTTCAATATAAAATAATTTATCATAATTTATTATTATTAAAACTTAAATCATATGAGTTAAATCCAGGTCGACGGTATTAATAGATATACGAATTACTTAATACTTAATACTTAATTGTAAGTAAGTACTATTGTTGCTATTGTTCTGTAGAAATGGTTTTCAACCAGGGTAACATGGGTCCAGTGTAGATGTGACACAAAATCCACGGGGAACAGTTTGTAATATTAAAAAATTAATAATATTAATAAAAATAATTTTGTCCATTTCTGGTTTAATTATGTATGTTGGTTGAAAGTATATTAGAATAGCTATAAAATAAAATAAACAAAATTACATCCATAAGTTGAAAAGTTTTTGAAGATACACACCAAACTGCATGTGGGTACGGTTTTATTAAAAAAAAATAAATTTCCTATAACTTAAAAAATACAAATATTAGACCCCCACTTTAAATGGGATTTCTCCGTCATTTTTGAAATACTTTCATATGATGCTGGCTGATCACTTTCTCCTGGAACACATTGTATATATATATATATATATATATATATATATAAGTAATCAATGATTTACATTAATTTTATAAAAAATTAAGATTTAAAAAAAAAAAATTTCCCTAGGATAATGGGGACGGGTGAAGCCACTGTTATAAGTAATTTAATGTAAACCTGTAAGCGAGAATAAATAATTGCTAACGAAAAATCGATTTTGAGCGGAATTCAGTTGATAGTGATACTTTGTCAACAATATATATGTCATATTATGTTAAAATAATTAAATAGATTTTATATATTTTCTTTAATGTAGGTACCGATTTCCCTGGTTTTCTCATGTTTTTCCTGGTTGTTCACATTTGCTGTGATAACTCTTGGGAAAATTGAAAAATGACCTCTCTAAAATATCTCCCCAGTCAGATTCTATTATTGTAAATCGGAGCAAAATACTGGTAGAAAATTTGCTCACAGATAAAAAAAAAACAGCTTTGTAAAACGGTAAAATTCTTTGCTCCACTCAGAAGAATACCATAATATGTAAAATAATGCACCCTATACACAAATTCTATGATTAGCCACAGATTATTATTCACTTAATAAATTTATATTTTATCCACCGGAAACAATCCGAATATTATTTCAAGGTAACCATCTAATTTATTTTTTAATACACGCCCCTAGGTAAATGAAAAATGAAACAACATAATTATGTGTAATTTTGATTGTAATCGTATATTATAGTCCTAATGTCCACAATAGGTATACTTAAGAACTATTAATATGTATACATATATCATTATATTAGTATCAAACATGCCACGCTCTCAAGTATACTACACTATCCTTGTCCACCTTATGATATCTTTAAAAATGTACAAAAAACAAACTACACTATTAAAATATTATGTTATTATATAGCTAAACAAAATTATACAGAAATTTACTTAAAAAATGAATGATTATCTTCGAATTTCACAATAAAGTATATATAAATAACATAATATGGACAATAGTCTTTGCTAAAACTTAAAACGTTTAAAAAATCAAAAAGCTATTTTCCAGACTACAGATATATTATACTACCTATACTAAGACTACTGATGTTAATTTATTTTTACTATCAAAGAATGACTATAGGTACTGTGTTCGTACTTTAGAAAAACTCATTCCAGTTAAAAAAATATTGTTATAAAAGTTTTGTTACAGCACTGATATTGTTACTTAGGCATCATTTCCCTAATTTGTATTGTTTTTAATACTTACCTAAAGCTATGAGCAATGGTACTTAATGAAATTGGAAATTTAATTAACCAATTACACTCTGTTGAAACTTGGGGAACTGTTTAAATTTTAAGTGAACGTCTTAAAATCTTTAGATTCTGAGCGGAACGAGGAATGTATTGGTTTTACAATGAAGTTTATTTTTTTTTTTTTTTTGTGAACAATTTTTCTACCAACAATTTTTTTCCAATTTTCAAGTGTAGCATCTTTACTGAAAAAAATTTAACTAGAAACTAGTAAAGAGGTAATTTGATGATTTTCCCAGGGGTTTTCATAATAAATGGGAAAACTTAGAAAAAACGTATTATTTTAAAATCGTACATTTTACAGCCTTTCAAAACATGTATGTAACCGAAATCCGATCAGAATAGTTTATCGTTAATAATGGTTAATCGTTGCCTACAGATATATGTTAAATTTACCCTTTACCTAAATGTCTGTCTTCTTGCCTACAACAGTAGCCTACTCATCATGCGAAGTATTTCTGTTTGTTTTTTAATAATATTTTATGCAATACTGTATGTAGATTAAAGTTATGTTTGCTTTTTTACCCGTCCACAAGAATTCTCTTTTTTATGAATTAATATCTTATTATCACATTATAAGTATTAGGTAGAATCAATCAATTAATGATGGTAATTTATGTTGATAAACAATATTGTTATGATTGAAAATAAAATTATTCAAATGTTCAAAAAAATCGTAGAAAATAAAAGACTACTTTCACAAAAGTTACAACCGACAAATATTTTCTAAAAATGGCTATTTTGAATTTTTTAAAAAAAATTATAGTAAAATTCTTTATTTTAAGCCCCCTCCTAAAAAAAAATATTAAATAAATCAAAAGTTATTGCATTTGTCAAATCCTCGTGGAGCACCCTGTCAGTATACTGTCATGAAATTTCATATTTAAAGGTCAAATATAAATTGTATAATATACCATTTCTATGGTTACATATAAAATGTTCATAGTTGACATTTTTTATGCTAATAAACCACAATGCATAATTATATAATTTGTAATCTATTTATATTATACAGAGTGTCCCACGAAGATATACCCATTGTAATACCCCGGAAAATATTAACATTTCCAGAATTTTTTTTTTTTTTTAAACTTTCGAAACAAATAGTTCTATAATGTCCTACATTACTTTTTTTCACCCTCATTTTTTATAAATTAAATGGCTACCTACTTTTGATTTTCAAATGGCAATCTATATTGAAAATTTCTTAAATATATAGAGTATTAATTAAATTAAATTTTGGTTTTGAAAATTTTTAATTTCCATCGAGCCATTCACGATATATTCCACTTTTGAGTTTAGGTGGTGGAAGAATAGTAGAGCACTATCCAAACCACGCGTGCCCACTGCCACACAAATGATCTTCCAAAAACATCTACCAATTTCTTCTATGAAATTCTATGTAGAATGGAGATAGATATATATCTAGTATCTATACAGCCTGTCTCATTATAGTTTATATTCATAATGATATCGTTATCATTTAATAATAATCTATATTTTCATACTATACCTAAACTTATTAGTTATTATAAAACTATTTTTTTTTCCATTTAATAAAAAATAACATTGAATTTCGAACATGGTAAACCACAGGCATATACCCGGCAGGCTACTCCACTCCTGGTTTAATACATATAAGCTTAATGCAGCTGATCTGCTGTTTGAAGTTGAAGTAAAAACTAAAAATATATATTTATGTTTATTTTCATTTATTAAACATAACTATTACCTAAACAATTTATTCTTTATCTATTATTTATTTAATAATATGTTAAACTATACATACATAGTGCATATACTACGAATGAATTATACTATAGTGTTTATATATATATGAAGATTGAAAAAACAATATTGAAGATCTCTGACCCGAACACCATTAATGAAGCATAAAATTATCAAATGTCTAATGATTAGACATTCTCTACTCTATTGTTTACCACTCTAATCGCTAGTAGAAGTACAAACATAGCTATATATTAAATATTACCAATTGTAATTGTATATACCAAGTTGTATGTAACTATTGGCGTGGACAGGAATTTTTAATAGGAAAGGGAAATGGCTATAAAAATATGGAATGTAAGAATCTGGGATGTAATTTTCGAAATGAAATATTTCGGATCGAAGAATTTTGGAAAAATATCAATGGTTTATAAAATATAGGTAACACTACTATATATGTAGCTGTCCCGCGCCTGGCCTTGCCCATGTCAATTTTTTATTCTTCTTACCTTTATTCCCGTATTACTTTGACCCATTCAGTATATTGAACTAAAAACGGTTTTTATATGTCATTTTTTTGAAAATATAAGTATTTCATGGATAATTTAACTGTAACATGAAATTTGGAACTTTGGAAGACCTTATATATGATTTATTTATGCAATGTGGAAATTCAAATTGAAAACTCTATATCCTTATATAGAGCTATGCAATTTGAATTTATTTTTATTTGATTATTAATCTTAGTAATACACACTTTCATGAACTCAACATTTGTTTACTGTTTATTAAATACAACTTACAACACATCACAATATAATTTTAGATTTTGAGTGTAGCAAAGAATGTATTGGTTTTTCAATGATATTAATTTTTTTATATATACAAAGTGATTTTTTTTATCATGAACCAGCAAATAACTCTTGAGTTTTTTAAATTAATTTGATTTTTGTTTTTTTCTATTTATTATGGAATCATTTAGGCCTTATTTTAAAACCATTTTTAATTTTTTACCCCTACTCCATGCACCCTAAATAAGTACATACTTTTGAACCCAGATTTAAATAGAGAATATTTTTCTAGAAATTGTTGATATGCATAACACTAATATTAGATTTGAGTTATAACTTATAACTCATAAACAGTAAAACGGTTTAAACTGTTATAATTTATAACAATTTTAAGTTTAGACTAGTTCAGCGCATAGCATGTTGCTCTTTTCATCCATTTTACCAAGTAGGTCATCCTATTTTAAGCTAATAACTACTGGTAGACGTCAGATAGACTTTATTTTAAGTTTTTATAGTTTTTATGGCATTTTTATTTCTGTTTATTATATTATTTTTTCATTTCATCGGTATTACTATGGTAATTCATAATTTACCAAAAATAATCTAATTTTCACACCAAAAATACCTAAAAACCTACCTTAGAGTTTTATTTTCATGACAAAAAGTACCCTATGTTTTTATTCAAGGTCCCATCTATATGTCTATACTAAAATTCATTAAAATTGGTTCAACGGGTTAAAAACATATGAAATAAAGTAAAAGTTAAAAATAAATCTATATTGTATCAAATTTCCCGCGAAGTGTTTGCTTGGGCTTATAATATATAATTTAAATTAATTGAAGAAAGACAAAATAGGGATTTATTTCTTAAACGAGATTAGTTAGTTATAAAATTTAAATGCTCAGGAAGTCCAGGACAATCAATAATATTGTGTAATAGTTCATAAAAAAATGTACAATTCAAAAAATTAAATCTTTAGTTTAGAAACATTATTATAAAAAAAAAAAAAAGCTGATACTGAGGATGGAAGCAGCCACTGTTGTAGGTAAGAAGTTGGGAAGGTAGAATATATAAGGTTATTTCATTTTTATCTGTAAGCCACGATAAACCATTACTTGACGAAAAACGATTCTGAGCGCAGTTCGGTAATACATAATTTGAAATTCCGTAATTTTTTTGCGATTTTCGTTTAAATTTGATTTCAAAACGCTTATTTAAAAAAAAAAAAAAAAAAAGGTCGTTCGATAATTTTAGAAATTTTAACACGTCTAGGTAAATGCAATATTATTACCAATTTTCAACTCTCTATGTATATTTATAACCGAATTACAGCAAAAAAAAACTTCCGAAAATTAAAATTCCTTAAAAGCTCAAAGGTTTTGACGTTGATATCATAATAAAGTAAATCAAAAAAGGTATTTTGTGATTTTTCGATTAAATCATTTTTTCTGGTAGAAAACGTCGTTCGTGTTTTTATAAAATAATGAAATCGTGAAATTGTACGTATTCCTACGTTTTTTCCCATTAAAGTGCTTTTATTTAAAAAATGGCATCGAAAATCAAAAAATGACCTATTTTAAAGTACCATATAGACAACTTGAGCTTTCAGAAAAGTTGTTACACTTAAAAATCGGAGCAAGTTTACTAGGAAAAAACATGCCCACGGACTAGTACAAAGAACAAAGAAAAAAAAAATAATCATTTTAGTAAAACCAATAGCACCCTCGCTTCGCTCGGAATCTAAAATTACAAGTACTATTCTGATTGAGGAGTTCTTTCAAAGTGGCATTAATGTTTATAGATATCTTAAGAAGTTATTTTGAACTGAAGATAAACTTTGATTTTGGATATATTCTCAGTGTGCCAAATTAAGTAACCATTGAAGTATGTTACTGTAGGAGACTTTAAATTATTGTTTTGTATACATCTTATCTTAGTAACGATACGTAATAAATTATTCTAAATAATACACACTTTTTAAGAAAAAAAAAAACGATGCACTACATATTTCTTTAATTGCTCAAGAATTCAAAATATTATCGAAAAGAAGAAGACAAACAAAAAACCATTTATATTGTAATTTAATTTTATCAAAATGTAAGAAGTTTTTCATTGGTACGTGTTTCTGACTATGACTATTAATGCACCCCAACTAATTTCTCATATATTGTATACTTCTTTTTTTAGGTGGAACGCATACATAGGACGGTATGCTATTTTTGACCATGTGTGTTGACGACCTCCGATTTTCTCAAATTCTTAAAATTATTTATTAAAATATTAAATTATTATATTATAATAATATTAAATTATTATTTTAAAAAAGTGGGTAATAGATTCTTTTTTTTCTAACAGTAATCAATAGGTACCTACAATTTTATAGTATATATTTGAAATTATAAATTTTATAGAAAAATATCGTAATATTTTGTAAACTGTGGATTATTATTATTATTGGTTTGCGATAAAATGTTCAACGTGTATGGGTGCAATGCCCCCCGTGGTATTGTAAAGTGTACTAATTTTCTAAGATACGAACATTTTTTTTTTTTTATAATATACGTATATCATCTATGAATATTCTTACTGTTTTTTTTTTTTTTTAAGTTAAGCATACCTAACTATATAATAGGTTATATATTTATGTAGTGTCTATACACAATAGGAATATTTTACCTCTTAGAGAGAGATTTGGTCATATGACACACTATTTTTACCTGCCTAATTATAAATTATAAATATTGCTTATATTTTTTTTTGTTGTGTTATGATTTAAGATTTCACCTTTCATATAATATTATAGTGGTATTTATTCCTGAAAAAATAAATAAGTACATACATTTTGTACAAAATATTTCTAGGTAGTAAAAAGATCTATGCATAAATATCAAATAATATTCGAATAGTAGCCGATCTAAATCTGTTTTGACGTCACCGTGACGTTCATTGTCCTATAAAAAATAGTGTAATACAGTAGGTTAGGCGTCTGAATTTTTCTTGTGGAGGGCCATCTAATTTTTCAGTGTTTACTAGTTGCAGTCACTTAAAAAAAAGGTTACCTACTAGTCGTGGTTACCCAATAAAAAGTTTAACTACTTAGTACTAAACATTTTCCTTCCTATTTATAACAGCCTTAGGACTGTCTACACTTTTATTCATTGCGTAGGTATGATTAAAAGTGTTTATTTTATAAAATTACTAAAACTAAAATATTATTGAAACATGTCAATAAAAATATTTGAAATATTAATTTTATAACTATAAAGATATTACAATTATAAAAAAAAGTTGGGAAGATAAGATACATAAAGTTATTTAATTTATATCTATAAGCAACGATAAACCATTGCTAACGAAATACGAGCGAAGTTCAATTGTAATGTTTGAAATGTCTTAGTGTATACGATTATCATTAAAATTTAATCATGAAACGATTATAAAAAGAAACTATTACATTACCGCTGAACTAAATATAACTAAGTATAACTTATAATGAACCTCGTATTAAATTCTCAAGCATTCCTGTTTGGTCAAATAATTTTTCTACATGGTACTTACCTACCAGAGAACTAAAAACGAGAACTCGGAAATGTAAATTGTCAATAAATAGCTGAAAAATCGCTGAAAAATCGCAAACAAATTTAAAATTTTGATCATGCCAAAAAAAAACTTGTATAAGTATTCTATAAACATTTTAGCTCACTAAGATAATATTTAACCAATTTGCAACAAAAAACCAAAATCAAAAATAATGAAAGCATTAGTACTGTAAACTTTCCCATATTTCCTAACTTTTTACCGGTTTTTCAAATTACTATAAAAACTGGTTGGAATATTTAAACACGATTTCACTACTAACCAACCAAATCTAAAATAAAATAATAATTGAGGCAAGATTTCTGGTAGAAAAATTGTGTACTTATTTTTTTGCCTTTATCAGTATATAAACTAAATATCCTACCCTACCAGCTTTCCACATACAACAATGTTTTACCCATGGAGCTATATCAGTATTTAGATTATGGGTTACCTTGATGATAGAGATGACAAAAAAGTTAAAATAATCCAAACAAAAAAATAAATATTATTTCTTTTGGCACAGGCAACTCCGAACAGGACAGCTATATGTATAATATAATTGTAACTTACTTATTACATTTTAATAATATTACACAATCTCCTAACTACCTTTTAATTATTGTCTTCAGATTAGAATTTTACTCTTTAAAAATACACAATTTATTAACATTCAAAAATATATATTGTGTTGTTATATTTTAATTTTTAATGATTTAATGTCATCAATTTATTGGTTTGTAGGCTGACATTGATGAGTTGTGTTTTATGTCGTTACTACCAATGGACATTCAACTGTGTGACAGGTGGCTTGTTAGTCAGAGTTTACCTAATTGGGATTGTAATAATGCATTCTTTAATCATTTTACTGGTAATGATTTTGGTGAACCGTAGTGCCCAAGGAGCTATATATGACACAAACGCTAGACGTGTTGTTCCAAAACTACTAGTTTTCAAGTATGATTATTATTAAATAAGTTCTATTATATTATTTCTTGAGTTTTTTTTATTTTTGCCTTTAACAAAATATATTTTATTTTATATAGGATTATTTTACTCTTACCAGAAATATCATTAAATGTGCTAGGAACTATATGGACCTATACAAATTGTATTCAGTGTGACAATGAACATTTTACAAATACTGTAGTGGAAAGTAAATATTATTAGTTTTATGTTATTAATTTGTATTAAGTAATTTATTTATTATATTTTTATTAGTTGGAGTAATTTTCAATTGGGTTATGCTTGGAGGTTTAATATTCGTTTTAGCTATGGTATTAGATCCAGTTGGATCGTTAAAACTTCAAGAAGCCAATGGAAGTATAGATACGGATGTGCTATTACATCGGAAAGTTACCCGTATTTGGGTGAGACGCTTCAGATGGTTTTTTTGTTGGCTAATGAGAGATGAACATTCACACGAAGCATTTTCTCAAGCAGCTGGTCTGTATTTAATAATACTATAAATTAACTATCAAATTCAATGAATATTAATTTAAAAACAAATTATGGACTAACTATTATAGGACTTATGAGTTCCATGTTCCGAAATACAGATATTGTCCCATCAGACTTTATTGCCGGTTTTGTGTTATTAAGAGTAAAACAAAAACGTGAATCTAGAGAACAAAGGCGACTTGCTCTCTTGGCTGAGCAAAGATACAACTGTACTTCTAGTAAGACTAATGTTGAACAACATTACTTAATATATTTACTATAATAGTACAATATTTATGTTTTTAGTTGTTAATGAATGTTTCAATGGAAAACCAACATGGATGTGCCTAAAAAAAGCTAGACATTACTTACAATTGTCTGTTGCTATTTATGGTTGGCCGTTCTTGATTTATCGTTACTGTATAACAGGATTATTTAAAATGATGCCCAAATTTTTTTGCTGTGCTTGCTTCAGGTAAATTATACTAAAATAAATTTAAATTTAAACTATTAAAATAAATTTAATTAAAGTTATTTTATTTTTGTAGAACTAAACCGACTGTGGTCAAAGAGGACAATTGCTGTCTATGTAATTTTGCAGCAATTCGATATATGTCAAAATTACATTCCAAAGATATTTTATTTGCTTCGTTTGTCAACCATATTTTTGAATTACCTTTTTTTGTAACAGCTGATCACGAAACTAAAAGTATAGTGATCGCCATAAGAGGATCGTTATCAATGCGAGATATATTCACAGATTTGACTGCTATTGTAGAAAAATTAGATGCTGATGGAGCTCCACCTGATAGCTATGTAATATTAATGCATTTTAGAAACAGTTAAAAATCTCAATAGTTTTAAGAAAATTTGAATTCATTTCAATTTAGGCTCATAAAGGAATGCTATGTTGTGCGAAATACATTAAAAATGAATTAGAAAATTATAACGTTTTAGAGAAAGCATACACCAATTTTCCAGAATACAATCTTGTAATCACAGGTATAAATTGTGGAATGTCATTATTATTATTATTATTATTATTATTTAAAATTATTAATTTATGGATGTATTATACCTAGGGCATAGTTTAGGAGCAGGTACTGCAGTACTTTTAGCATTTTACATGCGACCATTATATCCTAATCTTAAAGTGTATGCATTTTCTACACCAGGTAACTATCAAACCACAGTATTTATATACTGTACTAAGAAAACCTATGAAAATGTTAACTATTATTATAGCTGGATTGTTGAGTAGAGAAGCAGCACGAATAGCTGAAGAATTCACCTTATCCGTAGGTGTTGGTGATGATATGGTTATGCACATGACAATTGATAACGTTGAAGATTTACGAACAAACATGTTACAAGTGCTCCAGTCATGTAGATTGCCAAAAGTAAAATTAACTTTTTACTTTAACTTATCTATTAAATAAAGATATTATTTTGATTATCAATAAATTCATATGATTTACTCATAGTTAAACTAATAATAAATCTGTTTTCTAATAAAATTAATATCACATCCTAATCAAAACCATTAATACTGTATACAAACATTAATTTACAATTTTTGTTTCAAAATTTGTGTCATAAGTAAGAGTTATTATTGCATCTATCTAAAACTAAATTAAAATATAGATAGTTTATCCCCAGAAAAATAAACATTAAAATAATTTATACACTTATAGTTCACCATTTTCATGAAGCAAATTTTATAATTGTTGCATATCAATAAATCTAAAATGTTTAAGTTTTAACATTATTGTCTTTATTTGCACTTATAGCAAAAAATAATTGAAATTAACTTATAATTCATTAGATTAATAGACTGGTGTCTGGATAGAATGTTATACTATTATAAAATAAATTTTAATTAATTAATAACACTGATCACAAATAAAATATATAATAACAAATATATTAAACCTGATGAAACTTAATTTTTAAAATCAAATTCATAAGTTTCATAAAACTGTAGAATCATAACTATGTGTAATTTTAATTTCATGAAATTCATTATGTATATCTATTTGTTTTTGAATTAAATGTACTATGAAAGTACTATTAGGCCTTGATTTCTGCATGTGCATGCAGTGTATGAGCATAGGTTCCCCAAATTCTTAGGGCCCCTTCTTAAAAAAAAAATTAAAAATAATATTTTCTTTAAAGATAAGCAATTACTATGGAACCGAATGTAAATATAGTTTTTTAATTATATTATGTATCATTTTTTGCACTAAAACATATAAAAACTTAAATGTATTCTTTAACAATCAATCATGATATAAAAAATTATTAAGTTTTTATGTTTGTTGTTTTGTATGTTTTTAACTTATACCTATCTTTTTTTATTAAAAAAAGGCCCCAAAGTAAGTAGTGAAGTAGTGCATAGGGCTTTCATTTTTAAACCAGACCCTGAGTACTATAAAATAATAAAATATAATTTTTAGATTATCTCTATTAAAGTTTAAAATTATGTGTTTCTTCTTTATGTGTGTACCTAATCTTACCCATATTTTTCTATTAGCATATATTTTTTAAACGCCATTCTTGGAAAATGTAATATCTTATATTAATTGTCAATTTATCATTACTGAGTTATTATTTATATAAATTAACAATTATATATTTTTAGTACCGAGTATTTCTAAATGGATTCGGCTATGCATTATTTGGTGTACCTTCAAGAGATCTTGAGTCTACTTGGCGTCATCGAACTCCGTCAGAACTGCGGAATTCACCTCTGCTGTCAAAACAATCACCCATTCTATCGATGATTACACAGAACGATGGCTTTCCAACTGATACCATTAGTAATCATCATCTAGTCCCAACAACATCATCGTATCCTTATGAACATCCAATTTCTATTTCATCTACTTATAATGTAATTTATTTATTTATTTATTTATGCATACTATTTATAATTTATAAGAAAAGTATAACTTTAAACTTAAGATGTCAATTAATTGAATTCATTCAAGTCTAAAGTTTTTTTCTCTCTTATTCAGGAATTAGCAGTTAGAAGATATTCAAAAGTTCGTTTATATACTCCAGGTCACATACTACATATAACTAAAAAAAAGAAAAGTAAAGAACAGAAAAAAGCTGATAAGTAAGTGTCATACACAACTATAATTTATTTTGCTTTTACTGATACCTGATACTTAAAATGTATTATTACCACCATATAATATATACTTTTATTATTTCTTAGAAAATCTGGCACAAATAGTAATGAATATAATTATGAAATGCGATGGGCAACTCCTGAAGATTTTAAAGAACTTCGAGTAATGCCTCGTATGCTGTTGGATCATTTGCCAGAAAATATTTTAAAAACTCTTGACAATGTTCTTAGTGAACAAAGAACAGAAATTGGTTTTGATATAGCTCATTTAACTATGATCTAAGTACTAAAAAATAATTGTTTTATTTTTTAAAACAAGAACTTTAATTAGTTCATGCTCAAATTCCTCTGTCCATTAATATCCCAAATTAAATAATTATTTTTTTATTAAGTATATTATGTAATGCAAATTTAAAATATTATTTTTTTTAAGTATACTACAAGGGGAGTGGGGCACAAATATTCCTACAAATATTGTACTTTCAGTATTTTATGAATTGATGGTCTGATTACAGTGTGAATTATGGTTGTTTATAATAATTTATTATTAGCATCTCCTTTGATCTAAATTGTATTTTAATTTGATTAAGATATTCATATCAACAAGTCAATCTCTTAAATTTTGAAAACATTTCAATTAATTATTAATTTGTATTATTATTATTATTATTTTTTTTTTTTTTTACTATTTTTTATTTTAATTTATATTGTTATGTTTTGTATTTAAAACACAGTTTAGAATAAAACTGATTTTTTTCAAACTTTACATACCTAAAAAAATGTATAGTTTAAAAATTATTATTTTATGATTTGTATTACAAAAAGTCTTAATAGTATTATCATATAATTTGAATAAGTATACGTGTTTATGTGTATACTGACGTACTTAAACATATTGAATCGATGCAATTGACATTTAATTCTAATTGTTTCCAACATACATGTGTATTGGTTAATAGTACTAATAATCTGTGATAACTTAATATTTTAAGAAGAACTTTACTGATAAGCGTTCATATTTTAAAATAAATTTTTTTGTATTTTTTGTAACAAATTCTAAAATTGTATGTAATTCATTGTGACTTAAAGTATATGCAAAATACCCTATATTTTATTAAAAGACAATAAATATTTTCATAAATATAAAATACCTATTTAGTATTACTTGGTGTGTATATTTTTGTTTACTTATGCTTAATCAATATGATCACCAAGGTTACTAGTAAACAAAACAATACATACTATACATGGCCATGATATAATTAAAGTAGTATTTTTTTTAATAAAAAAAACACATTATTCCACCTATTTTAAATTTTATAAATTACTAACATTTGATCCGCATTACAAAAATGCACCAGGGCAATGGGTATAGTTCGTGTACGCCCCTAGAGTGGCGATATAATAGTGAACTAGAAATAACTGCGGTCGAAAAACAACAAGAATTAGCCCAAAGGTTAACACATGAAGCAGATCGAATAATGAAACAGGCTAAAGATACAGTATTGAAACACAAATTAGAAATTGATCATCAAACTAAGGTAAAAATCAATGATGTAGAATTCAAATGCAATGAAATAGAAAAGCAAATGCACGATGTAGAGGAAGAAATAGAATTGCTTTTTGGTTACCAGACACGTATTGAGAAATTTAATAAAACTTTTAGTGTTGAAGCACTTGACGCCATAGCAGTGTGTCTAAGACAAAGGTAAGTGAAGAAAAAATGAAATGTAATTATTTACTTAGTTGGTGATTCAACTGCTCACAGGAAGTGTCGGATAGGCATAGATTTGGTATTTGATGATATTGAAAAAGAACTGTTACGAGAACGTGAAATGATTTTGAGTGTTAAAGATCAGCTTGAAGATTTAATTGACAAAGTTGTATTACAAATCAGAAAACTAAGAACTTTCGCTTATGACTTGCGTAATGATTTACAGTGTAAACAAAATACATTGAATATCGAACATCAAAACAAAAATCTCAATGAAAACAACATTGACAAATCTGTTTTGAACAATAAAAACATATTTGAACCGGCGTACGCTTTTTTTTCTATTGATATATGTAAATTTTAATATTTGTACTCGTTTCTTGTATTTGTTTTTTTTTTTCAGTAAAATATCCGTTGAAGAATGGAACCGTTTTACTTTTGATATTATATTGGCCGCCAATCGGGTACTTGTGCAAGCTAGACCTGTCCGCTCGTTTTTCGACAAGATTTTCAGTAAAATTCTAAATGACTTGGTGACACAATCGAACATGGTGGACCAAGCTTTTCGATTGCGTGTAGAGGAATACAGAGAAATGATCGAAAAATTTAAAAACCAACGGCTCGAGGTAAGTAATAATATATTTGTTACGTTATAATAATCGTTTAGGTAATTAAACGTAGGTACAAGAATGTCAATGCACGCAGATGATATGTATGCAATTGGATTTTCAGACGGTTAAAAACATGGAAAACGTGGAGAAGACGATCGACAAACTCCGAATGTCTATCGACGATAAAAAGACGAGCATAGCATTAGTACACATGCGGTTGTTGAACCGGACGCGCAGGAATGGAGTAGACTTATGTAGGGACGAACTGGAAGTGAAACTGAACGAAGAAATGGTTAATTTGGAAAACAACGTGCGGAATTTAAAGAAAATAATGGCCGAGTGTGTTGTGCGCCAGCGAAAACTTAAACAGTCAATTGTCCGAATTGATATTCAGCTAGAAATCAAAGAAAATTCGCTACGTATTGACAGCGAACTGTGCGCTGAGCAACGAAAACGCGTTAACTATACAAATAGTATTTAAAATCATTTACTCGTTCAACACTTTAACTTATGAACACTTATTTCAATTGTCTTTTTTGGAATCTAAATAATCGAGGGTTTTTTTTTATACGCATTTAAAGTTCAAATTTTGACGAAATTCATAAAAATCACAGTAGTTCAAAACATGTTAAACTTCGTTTAGGACCATTTTTGGTTAGCAATACATACATACATACATACATGGAATCACATATAGATATAAATTAAATAACTTTATGTATCCTAGCTAGCCAACTGTTTTTTTATTTCGCAAATTATCATCTCAACTTTTATACGTATTTTTTAAATGAAAACTTTTATTCTAAAGCTTACCTTAATTGGTTTCTTAACATAAAATTATCTTAAGAGGGCACAATACCTAGGTATCAATTACACAACCACGTGACAGCAACAAAAGCAAATTTTTATTCAGTCGGGCCAAGAGCGGACTAAGACAGAAAAAGTCACCGAGTTTTAGATCTAAAGCCGTTTCCACATCTTTATATTGGTTGTATTAAAAAAAAAAAAACATCTTTTTACTTTCGCCAGATTTTAATTAATATTATAATATTAAAACTATAACTTATAGGTATGACAAAATGTTTCCTATATAGTTGAGCAACGCAGTGTTTTAACCACTATGTATGGTGCAGGGCTTATAGGTAGTGATGTAAATCGGTAATATTACTTTGGTTAAGTGAAGTAAAGTAGGAAAATAATTTCTTTGTATCTATTTATTCATTTTTTTTTTTTTTTAGGAAATAATAAATACAAATTACTTTACCATTTTACGAGTAACTATTTTTGGAATTGTTTTGTTCAAATAACCAGTATAATTTTTAGTTCTAATTTTGTGTAAAAATTAAAACAATGATAGAAAATAAAAGGTCATAGTGTGCCGTGAACATTTTGGGAAAAGCGAAGTATACCGTGGTTAAAAAAGTTTAAAAACCACTGGGCTATAGTTTGTATTTCAGTATAGCAATATAGGTATTTCAATATATAGATTGTAGGTATTAATTTTTATTCAATTTGGTATAGAAAAAGCTGTCCTAGGATAATGAGAATAGGTGCAGCCACTGTTATAAGTAATTTAATGTAGTATCTGTAAACAACGATAAACTATTGCTAACGAAAAAACGATTCTGAGCGGAGTTCATTTTATAATCTTGCCTTGTTAACAATATATGTGTCATATTACAAATATTAGAGGCTCATTGCAAACTGCTGATCTGCGATCAAATTATTTCCGTCGTATAGCTATCCAAAGGATTGGATTTTTTTTTGTGGAGGGGGTGAAATAAATATTTTTAAATATGAACAAAAATCCAAAGGTACGCTTGTTTATGAAATAAACTTTACATTAGCTATTACATATAGTTAACGATATTTATAATAATTTATAATGTATATTATTTTTATTATAAATTACTTTAATTTTCCTTAAAACTAATGAACTAATGTTTGTGATTTTTAAGTAAAATGCATTTGTCGTTTTTTACCTTGTCGGTTTGTACTCTACGTTTTATTCCGTATTGGTTTTTTCTTAGATTCGTCATTAAGAGATATAATACTTGCATATGCTGACGATATTGTGATTATATGAAAAACACAAGGAGTGAAAAAGGGCATGATGAGAATGATTAAAGCATGAGGAAATATTAGATTATAAGAGTTAACATTGAAAAAACGAAGCACATGATAATGACAAGACAACAATAGGAATAAGAATTCTAATAAGAGGCATAGGTAATAATAGAATAGAACAAATATTAGACTTCCAATATCTAGGAGTTATATTAGACAAGTAAAATAATATGCATAGTGAGATGAACATAAGACTGGCCGCAGCAAACAGGTGATACTTTGCTTTAGCAAATCTATTTAGGTTAAAATTAATATCAAAAAAAAAGAAAAAACAATTTTACATTACCTATGTGGAACTCATTTTTTCATGCTTATACTTTGCCTGTGCCACTTGGACAACTAGGTACAAAAAGAGACGAGAAAAATCTCTTTAGATTTAAGAGAAAGATACTAAGGAAAATACATGGCCCAGTATATAATCATGAAGAGCAGAAATGAGAAATAAGATCAAACAATCAATTGAGTATACTTTATAAAAAAAGAAAATGTGGTTTAATTTGTTAAGAATACAAGACTAGAATGGATGGGGCATGTCTTGCAAATAGATGGAAGATTAATGAAGAGAATTGTAAGTAAAGAAATGGAAGGAATAAGACCGCGAGGGAAACCGCGCTGAAGATAGACAGTGTACGAGAGACTATGATGGAACTTACGCAATTACGAGAAACAAACTAGAGGATAGAGGATATCCTCTCAAAGGATAGAGAAAATGGAAAGATTTAATTGCAGCAACTAAAAACCTAAATGGCTTGTAAAGCTTAGAAAAAAAAATATATCTTAGTCCGTGGCTGTTATTAACGAAATATGGTTGTTAGAATAAATATTTTTTGGAACAAATATGGGTTAGAATAAATGTCTCTTAGAACAAAATGTGAAATGTGGAACGAAAGGTAGTGTACGTTCGCAATTTGTAGGTTTTCAATGTGGTTCTAGAGTGTAGATAAGAACATATGTGTCCGCGTTTGGACTCCGCTACGCACAAACATCCAATCTATAGCCGTGCTTTTCAGATATTTTCTTTGTACTTTGTAATAATCATTTACTCTTTTTTTAATTTTAGTGTGTAGCTTATCTGCTTATTTAGAAAGCTGTAAGACCGACACTAGTGTAAACGTACCTTATTTAATTTGTATACAGTTATTAGATATTACTATTTGACGTCTGTGTTTAACAGCAAATGGCATATGTAGCGGCGTGTAATCTACATGTTATTAGAACTTCCGACTCTTGATGTAATCGAACAGTACTTCGTTGTTGGGCGGCAGATCGTCCTGGACTGTTTTCACAAAAGACGTTTAAAAACTGTCGTCCATCGTTTGTTTTGTTACGTCTGAAAATCGAAATAAACCATCACGATGAATCAAGATGGTTCAACACAAATAAAACAACAACACGAAATTACTACTATCGTGGACTTGCCAACAGAATTGATCGTAAATATTTGCAGTTTCCGTATAATACGATTGACTGATATTTTCAATTTGGCAACTTGCCATTCGAAACTAAACAACTCCTTATTCCACGAACAAAACTCTGTTTTTTGGAAATCCAAATATATACAAAAGTAGGTACCTACTCTTGGATCACCAGTTTATTTTAAACAATATTCTATTCCTGATAAAATTGAACCGCTTTTGTGCATGTAGACTGAGGAATCTAGAGAAAAATAGTAATGAATTAATAAATATAGTAAAGCATTATACTTTGATATATTTATAATAAAATATAGGCAATACCATATAAAATTATAAACACTTAATAATTAAATGTACAATGTAAAAACTTAAAAGTAATTAATATAGAATTTGTATACATATCAAAATTTTATATATATATATATAAAAATTAATGGATATCTGTTTTTCTTTTATGCATTACTACAACATTCATTCAATCGTTATGAAACTTTAATAAGTTGTAGGAACAGTTTATAGCTATTAAAATCCACCCTCTATTGAATACTATTGCCTAAAATTCACCATTTTTAGTATAAAAATTAAATTATTTTTGTTGATTTATAGCTTACCTTGGTAACACGGATTTTTTAACATTAATTAGAATATATACAATCTGTAATAAAAGTTAAAATAAGCATATGAGCTGAACAAATAATAATATTCATGACCTGAATGCTTGAGGAGAGTAGTTACCCAAGTAAAACTCAAATGTGATAAATTTTTAGGGTATTCTATTTACAAATATTATGACTTAAATTTATTATTATTTTTATATATCAGTTTTTTAAGCCAAATCACAACACCAATCCTTCTTGGTGGATTCCCAGAAATGTTTACTGAATTCAAGGATAAGTGTATTCTTGTGGTTTGTAAGGCAAAAACAGAAATGCTTGTAAGAGGATGTAGCCACTTCCTGTAGTACCAAATCTGAGTGTAGTGTATGGTTCGATGCATAGAAAGGTGCATTAGTAATTACATAAAATGATATAGACTGATCCGTTTGCATTTTGTAAATGTTGGATTTTTTGTCACACCCCATATTAGGATACTATACAATAAAGTCATTTTTACTTCTAACGACAACCTATTTGTCACCATCCTGTATTTACAAAGTCATCTTAACGACATGGAAAAAAAAACATAATTATTAATTTCTGTACTGCAATCCTTGTGTTAATGCGAGTATTTATGGTACCTAATAGCATATAATGATAATTTATTCATAAACTGTATTTAGAAACTTTTTCATTGCTTGGACAAAGCCAGACAGGACAGATTATAATATATCACATAGTCAATAACCTTAAATTAATTATATTAGATAATTGTCTAATGTTATAAAATTTAAAAAATTTAATAATAATAATAAAATGTATTTTACAACTGAATTAGAATTAATATTTCGGAACTTTTAAGTTATGACCTATGTGTCCTGTGATTGGTCATTGTTACTGCCTTGCTCCAAATGGTTATAATACTTGTGGTATTGGGGTTATATATTATGAATCTAGACAATATTCACCAGGAAAATAATATTTGGGAATGTTATTTGTTTAGACAAATTTCTTTTTCGTGGATAATTTAATATAGCGCTCATATCTCTGTGGGATCTTATCATGAATATTATGCATGTCCGAAACCTTATTAAATAGTTTGGTAGATCAAACTATGTTGATTTTGTACCTACCAGTATGGCAAAACAAATTGGTATAACCTGCTTAAACTTTCTCATTGTACTAAATTTTTTTAATAGTATTTTGAACTTCATTTTTAATATTAGTTCTTAAACTGAAAAAACTAACATTTATGGTAGTTACTACAGATAAATGTTTTCTGATTTGCTATAACATCATAATTATGAATTGAGCAATTTTTAATAATATTTAATATGTATCTTCAATAATATGATTATCTAAATTATTCCAATCAAAATTTTCTAACATCATTTTGTTATAAAGTTTTAAGAATTTTTATGTGCTCGGTGTTTTGTGAATAGTGAACAAAATGTGATATGATCACCGCCACAGAATTTATGGTAAGAAATTTAGAATGGGAATATATTAAAATAAGGTGGGAAAAAATGATTAAGATTAGAAAATCATAGGAATGGAAGTAACCAAGAATAATTTTTCTTGTGAATAAAAAATTATAGGAATAATAAAAATAAGGAAATTGATCAGTTTTTTTTTGTTTCATATTGCAAATAGTACAAGTGCCAATAATATTATATTTTGTTATACCCAAAAGAAAGAAAGTTCAAGTATTGAAAATTAGCTACCAATTTTTTTATTTAAATCTGATAAGAACATGGTTTCTATTGGATATGTATATAGTTACCAACTTTCAAATTTTATGATATAGCATAATTTTTTTCATGTCCATTTATATCAATTTAATACATTTATAGCAACAATAGAATAGGTTTATAACTATAAATTTAAAAAATTATCTTCCACATTTAATATCACCTTTATTAAATCATAATTTTTCTCTTGACTTATGCAAATTCAGCTAACATTATATATAATGTATTAGATATCATGTACATTTATGTAATAAATATTTATAAATAACAGTAAATATTAAAACAAATGGTATTATATTCTATTAACATTTGATTTTTCACACATTAATTAAATCTTAATATAAATAATGTATCAAAATATAGAGAATGAGAAAATTTAAAGAATTTGTAACAAGTTTACTTTGTATATTATTATCCTAAAGTAGATATATAAAATTTACAAAAGATAACTTATAAAAATTAAAAAAATGAATCATAAAGGTATTTTTTTCAAATACCTTAAAATATATTAAGATCTGTGTATTAAAATTTTAAATGTAGTATTATCCGACAAAGTTTAAGACAACCCAAGCTGGACGTAGGACTAATTAAACAAATATAGGACAGTTGGCAGCCTTAGTTATGTACAAAGTTGGGAAATCCCAAATACTTTCCTAAATAATATTTTTCAATGAAATTCTGTTCCAATCTTATAATCGGTCAAAATATATAAATTTAATAATTTAAGAAAATCTTTTTTTCATATTTTTAACAGCATTTTGAAATTAAATTATGATCAATTTAAAATCAATCACATTAAAAAAATTAAAATATTGCACTTTCAAATAAAATTAGTGATTGAACTTAAAGAATTTTTAATATCCTTACTACCATCATTATCAAATTTACCTGTATCTTTATAGGTACAATACAACAAAATGTAATAAATAATAATCAGATCAAATTGTTATAATCCCTTAAACTTGTCTGTAATTTAAAGTTTAAACAATAAAATACATATATTGTGGCGTCCGTGTGTTGTGTGAAAATTGCCCAATGGAAATAAAATTATTATTTATTATTCCATCTTACCTTTATCATAAATGCATTTATAGGTATATATACTGTCAATATAAATATGAAAATTATACACAATAACTTGAGCTTAATGAACTTTATTATACTATATTATTATTAACTCAGGTATAGGTAATAATCTAAAAATGCATATTATAATTAATAATATAAAGTAAGTTTATTATAAAGTCAGATTATATTATGTTATACAAATTATTTTTTTTTTATCACGAACCATCCATTTTCTTGGAGAATTTTGAGTGAATTTGTTATCTATTTTTTTAATCATTGTTGAATCGTTATAAGCTTTATTTTAAAATCATTTTTAATTTTTACCACCTCTTCTCTTCATATACCTTAAATAAGTATATACTTTTGTTTTTCAACACAGATTTAAATGACAAATATTTTTACTTTTTTTATTACGAAATATAACCATTTAAAGTTTAGACCAGAGGAGTAGGAAAGAGATATAAATTTATCATTTAAAAATAGATATGTAATTTATTATTCTTGCCTACTTCTCCGGTCTAAACTTCAAACAGTTATAATTCATTAATGGTAAATCTGATATTAGTATCGCATATAAAAATTTCTAGAAAAGTATTCTTTATTCGAATCTGTCTTTAAAAATGGGGAGTTACTATTTAAAAACCAAAAGAATATAATTATTTATGGATACATGGGTTGAGCGTAAAAATAAAAAAATGTTTAAAATAAAGCCTATAAACGATTTTACAATGATTAAAAAAATTTGTTACAAATTCACTTAAAATCCCCTGAGAAAATTCCTAGTTCATGATAAAAAAAAAAAATTATTCTGTATTATTTGTCCTTGAATATTTTAATTTAGAATCCCCATTTTATATAAGTAGGTACTATGCAGTATATTCCCTTTTAATACGATTCTATTTAAATATTTTTCAGTGAACGTTAATATATTGTTCTGATGCATACACTTCCGGACATTTATCTTTACAAACATAATAGTTCATATCATTTTGGAATGTCATCGTTCATTTCCAATCCTTTATAAAATTTCTCAGTCTGGAAAAACTTTTTGATAAGTGAATGTTATTAGTTATACATTTATAATGTAGTTCATTAAAGATTATGAATAATAATAAAAATAAAAACTGTACATATTTAATTTTACTTTTGTGTATTAAATGCTTATAATTAAGTACATTTAATAATAAAAACCTCCATACATGTAAAATAACATACACATATTATATAAAAAAATAAAATTATTAACCATGTTAAGTAGTATGTGAAAAGTTTAGAAATTAGTAAATTGCACGTAAATATGAAAAGATTAAGAATCGCTGCTCTATATGAATTCATTTATAGCAAATATTTTATCAATGTATTTATGATCCCTAGCCACTGTGTTAATTGGGAGCAAGCGCAATCGGTGGGGTTTGTGGGGATGTATGAACGTGATGTGTTTCTTTGTCCTAGCGGTACAATTTTATCCTAGAGTATAAGTATTTGTGGCTACTAAATACCTACGTTATTATTAATGTTTACTTGAATGATTATGTTTATAAAATTAGGTTTGGTCCATTGCATAAGAATGAATTTGAAATTAATATTGATGAACAAAATACTTGGAAGAATGAAATCACTTTACGTGCAAGTTTAAATAAAACTGTATCATATGAAATTGAACAAATGCCTGGAAAGTACCTAAGGTATAAGAGTGTCCCATTTCATTTGTTTCCGTTCACTGAACAATTGCACTCAAAATACCAAAGCCATAGATTTTATGTTTCATCTGCCGCTATGGCCTATTATAGGCGTCTACTGAGTAACAAATGGTAATTGTTTAATAGTTTTATGCTATGCAGAAATATTTATTATTAATTTACATTTATTATAATGAGTTTCAGTTGTAATGCAAATTATGATCTATTGTATATGGCACATCTATTTCTTATTTACTCTTCTCAAGTGTATTTCGGGTACAAGTTACAGGAGTATATATCTTCACCAATTACAGAAAATTTAATTGAACATGCGTTTTATTTACTGGGACGTTGGTTGTGTCCAACTGATGATACATCTTATTGGGATATGAGTCAGTTTACACTGAGCAAATCAATGATTATCTTGGAATTTTATTTGTATTTTATTTATTATTTATAGACAGCAGATTTAATGGTATAGCTGTAAAAGTGTGTGAAACCATGCAGGAGAACCACCCATTACATCCAATTGTTGGCAAAGAAAGTGATTTGGATCAATTACATAAACGTGGACAAAACGTTATAGATCATGATTTATTTGATGCAACTAGCACTATTTGTTTACTTAGCTGTCTTCAAGAAGTTCTTTTTGCTAATAGAAATATAGTCTGTATGTGTGATCGTGATGTTAATTGCTTTTTAATGCCAAAAGTACATAGTCCTTTACCTCAATAAATATATTATAATTACATTTATAGTTTAAAGTTAATTCTATGTTATGATTTTTTTTTTTAGGCTGTTGAACGTCAAAAAGGTTCTGTGTTTATACTATGTATAATATATGAATCAGTTGCTAGGCGGTTAGGAGTAAAAGTCACACTAACTAAAACACCTGTTGACCATTGTGTAACTTGGTTATCTTCATGGCCAGGAGATATACATAAAGATCCTTTGTATTTTATGATAGATATTACCAGGTGTGGTATCATGCTGCCGTCTGAAATTTGTCCAATTTCGAAATCATTAGCTGGTTGTGATGATCTTAATTCTATACTTGATGTAAGAATTTTATTTATATTTTATGTAAATATTATAATTAGGTAGCTTAGAGTTTATTATTTAAAAAAAAATTTATTTCAAACATATTTTTTAAAAAAATATTTTGGTGGAAAATCTCGCAGAGTAGGTTGCTGCTTCCCTTTACCCCCCCTTGCGCTCTCTTATGTTTATCCCAAACCTGCTTGATATATTTTCAAATAATTGGAATTAATTTTTATTCGATTAATTACAAAAAATTTATACAAATACGTCTACCTAAATATCACTTATACCAAATATACCTATGCAGTATACAGTATAAGCTAATTGTTTAGGGCATGTGACGATAAAATGTATTATCATTATTACTGTTTGATGTTTCTAGATGTTTTGGTCGTTTAGTAAAACTATGAAAAACATGGAATCATATAAATTTGTTTTGGATTTGCAAAGAATTCTAAAACCCGAAAATTTTAAACTTCAGTTTAGATATGAACAGTTCCATAATGATTATGATTATTGCCAATGTCCTATGCTCAGAGATTCAGTGAATCCCCATGTAAGTATTGTTTGATATTACTTTATAATTTATACCCCCTTATAATCTAATTCATTGTATTTTTTATGATAGATTTAAAAAATGTCCGTATTACAATTGTGGCAATCATTATCCATGATGGCTTCCCAAAATAGTACCTTATCAAATATTTAACATATATACTTTTGATTTTCAGTGCTAGAATTGGAAAAATAAAATAAGAGGGACTATAAGACTAAAAAATTATTGAATTCCAACCTAACCACTAAACAGCTTTGCCATATAACACCAATTTGTTCGTCTTTAAACTATTTTTCTATTAAAAATATATCTCTGATCATTAAATTTAGGGGTAGTTTCTGGTAGATGTTGTTTACTTCATGCAATAATGAAATCAATTTTTGATTTTTCTTGTAATTTTCTTAATAATCAGGAAAAAGCAAAAAAAAAAAAAAATCCTAAAAATTAGAATATTCACACAATAGCAGTTTCAGTTATATTAATTTTTTTTTTTTTTGCAATTTAATGAAACATAATTGTAGAATTTGGTGAAATTACACCAAATACATGTATTATTCTTTTCCATACATGGTATAACTTTAAAACATTCTGACAATTTTTAGAATATTATGGCCATTTGAAATTTGGTTTTTGTGGTTAAAATTGTTTGAAATTTGAATATAAATTTGTCAAAATGTCTACAATGTTTTTGTTTTAGTAAATGTATATGTTACACTCTATCAGTAGAATTGTACAATTTATGAAATTATGTTAAGTATATTTATAGTTTTCGTTCATTTTATGCTATGTTTTTAACATTAGGGTGTAAAAACATTTTTTTATTTGTACATTAGTTTTTTTTATCTGATTTTAATTTTTAAGAAAAATGACGATTTTTAAATTTTAATATTTCACATATTTGTAATGGGTATTAAAAAATGTGTTAAATATATATACACGTAATGCATAGGTAATATCATTTATATTTACTGTAAATGAGGATTCAAATGAGGATAAATTCAAATATAACCAAATAATTTGATATCTGTTTGTATGTTATATGAAGTAAGGTTTGTTTTTTTTCATTACAAGTGAATTATGTTCGGCAAGTTAATACATAGAGTAAAGAGTTGTAATTAGAATTTGTTTTCATATTATGTTCCACTTAAAATAAATAAAGGTACGCTAAAATGTCTAAAATATTAGTTGATGTACTCTACCCCCCTCCAAGGTCGAGAGTTAATTCCTACTATGCACATATATATTATGTCTTTAATTTATAATATTAATACTATGTAGGTGCACAAAAATAGTTAACAAATTAAGCAGGATAATGTGAGTTATTAAAAGTAAACATCATAATATCAAATAACTACTAATCATGTATAATGTACAGTGATGTGCATCATTCATTATCAATAATCCCCATTATTTCTAAACATCTAAATATCTAAACATTTTAAATGGTATGTGAGCGTCACATGTTTTTATATTAAACTGAGAGGATTGGACACCATATTTCCTTTCTTCTTTAATACATACATAACATAACAGTTTTAACCAATTTTCCTTCAATCAATTTCTTTAGTTTAGTAATAAGAATTCTAAAAACAGATGAACTCATTTTAAAGTGTATATAAATATTAGAATAGCAAGTTACTCTTTTTGAATTTCAATTCTTAATTTTCAAAAACTATGATAATAATTAAATTAAAATTGTTCAAAGTCTCCTGTTCAGTCTCATGCACAATGATTCACACTTATTTTAATCCTCTTAAAGGCTTTAACTATTAGTAAAACAATTTTTTTTTCATTTTAGTAATAATTGATAATTAGGGAAGATATTTATATACTTTTGCACATTTTATTGGTTGATAATGAAAATAACTAATTAATACCAAAAAGTGTTTCATAGCCTAATGTATACTTTATATACATTAGGGTGGCCCTTAAAAATTTAAATCATTTTTTTATATTGGGACACTCCTATAAGTTGTATCTTATATTACCAAAAAAAAATTAGGGGAAATTTGAACATAATTAATAAATTATTTCTCGAGGCACATAGGGGTTAAAATTTGTGAAAAGAGGTATTTTTGTACTTAAATCCTTATCATCAGTAATATCTGCTTAATTTTTATATTTACAATAAAAATATATTGAATTTTTTTTATAATTTACAAAATTATCTATATAAATTCATATATATATATATAGATCTCAATTATTTAATCATAAAATTACCATTTTCGTGAGTTAATATAATATTAGGTACAGTTTACTTATTTTTTTCATAAAATAATGATTTTATTAATATTATTTGTTTATTTTCAAAGAATATAGGTATAAAAGTTATTAAATTTGTTTTGATAATCTGAAAATGTATGTCTATAGTTCGAGACGACTTATTATACATACCTATTGCTTTTGTTATTTGTTTTTTATGAGTAAGTTATTGTAACCTTCCATTAATTTTGCACTTTTCAGCTGCGTCATTTGTGAATTGAATTTGTATACAATTTGTAACCATTTATTATAATTTTTCCACGTTGAAGGATCCAAACACATAAAATCTGTTGAAATTTGATATCTTTTAAAAAATATTTGTGATTCAATCCTTATAAATTGTCAAGTCCTTTTCCTGTGTAGTTCTCCACAATTTTGGTGTTCATTGGACATTTTTTTAATGTATAATTTTTGTTATTATTTAACAAGATAGCTTCCACTATTTTCTTATTAGTAAAAACTGATACTTTATCATCAAAAAATAACATTGCTGCAGTTTGAGATTCCAGGTACCACAATTGATCATACAATTTATTTAAAGTAATTCGGCATATCTTTATCAATATTTTTATACTTTCAAAGGTCTTTTAAAAATTGCAAGTTATTTTGAGGTGCTTCAATGGGATTTGAACAGCGGATCCATGCTTTAATATACAGACGTATTAGGAATAAACAAATACCACAAGTTCACGAAGTTCCTCTTCCTTTCTTAGATTCAATTCATTAAAAAACAAAAATATTTTAATATAGAAGATAGCTTTAGATAGCCATCTAGTATGATGAAATGCTCTGGAAACAATACCCCTTTATACAAATTTCAATCCCTCTGTGCTACGGGAAATAATTTATTGATTGTATTCAAACTTTCACTAGTTTTATTATTATAAGAAATAAGTGACAGGCGCGTTCTGATAAAAATGTTGAAAAAAATATTAACCTCTATTCATAAAGGCCAACCTAATATAACTTTTAGTATTTTCAGGGCATATTTTAGGATTTTGCACATTTTTAACTCAATATGTAGAAAATTGCAAAATAATTATTATAGATTTGTTTTATTTAACATTTGATTTTTTAAAACATTTATAATTAAAAATTATAATATAATACAAATTAAACAAATTACAATTTTAATTTTTTATTACATAACTGCTTAAATATTTAAATTTTTTAGGATACATAAATAAATATTAAATATTTTAAAAAAAATAAATATTTTCCCTACTGATAACTAATTATTAAAACAAAATTAGGAATGAAGTGATATAGATACTGACATTTTTTTTTTTTATGATTGCCTGGTATTGGATGTCTCTTAACTAATTAACTCGGTTTTAGTCAATTCATTATTATTATTCTTCTTTTTTATTTGTTCAACATCGTTAGATAATATTTTACTATTTTCAGGCACCAAACCATACAGATATGAAGGACACTATGTATACTGACGTAAGTGAACCAACTTATTATAAAAACTAAAATATTAAACATTTTAATTTTTTTAACTATTAGTGGAAAAACATTTTTCCCTTGATACCTCAAACTCGTGGTACAAATGATGATCCAAAATATGCAATTGGCATGATGATCGATACCATTGCTGTAGGTATTGGCGGTATTGGTTCTCGTTCTTCGGGGGTAAGAAATAAACTTGGTATTATTGTGGGCTGGACAAGAGTGCTCAATACCAACCCATCGCCAAAAAAAGCAGTATACCTATACCATGTGCTTATCGGACCTGTTTGTTGTTTAAGAACAGGCAAATATCAAAACCCTATTATAAAATCTCTAATGACAAACAAACATGGTATTTATTTTTATAATTCTTTATTTTTTTTTATGATAGTTTATGTTAATGTACAGGATGATCCAAGTATCCTGAATCAACAGTTATCTCAAAAAAATTTAAGTAAGTGAAATAGATTTTTGTTTTTTCAATCATTATGAAATTATTTAAGTTTTATTTTGATAATTTTCAATTTTATACCCATATTTCTTGCCTTAAATAAAAATACATTTTAAATTTTCATATAGTTTTAATCACAGGTTTTCAAATAAAAAAATGTTGAAATGTTATGCAATATTAATATCAAATTTAATTTTTTTGAACTATTAGTTATAAGTTTAAAGCAATATTTAAAATTTAGCCAAAAGAGTAGCCCTTCCTTACTCCTATAATTTGAACTTTTAATTTTATACCTCGTAAATGGTAAATTAGTGTTATGCTTATTCAAATGTGATTAGACCTATTTTGAAATTCTAAAGTGTATACCTGCTTATTGAAATTATAAGAGGTAAGGGTAAGTAGTAGCAAATAGTATTTAATTAAATTAATAAATTAAAGTAATTAGTATTGAAACAAAACTTATATAATTCTAAATGATTAAAAAAATAACAGAAATCAAATTTACTTAAATTCCTCTGATTAAATTTTTTGTTCATGAGAAATGGATCATTCTATACAAGTTTTAGAACTAATTAATAATCAATTTAATGATTGAAAAAATAATCTTAATGTATTTTTAAATGTGCATTTATTATTTTTTGAGAATTTTATTTAATAACAACAGTGTTGTTCTTAATTAATATTTGAGTAATCATAATAATTTTGTTACAGAAAAACTTAAGAGACAACTAGAATTATATGATTACAATTTCAAAAATACCGGCAAGTTTTTCAAACATTACAGTTATGATTTGTGTGCATTTGTACCTGTTAATGATTTGGCAAAATTGTATCCCGACGATCATTCTTTCACAGTCAACAAATCACGAAAATTTAAAAATAAATTAAAATTATCTAATTTTGTTCCTAAGTTTTAATGCAATTTTTGTTTTTTAATTAAACTGTATCATAATCAGGACCGGATTAACATAAGGGGCTTTTGCTCCAGGGCGACAAAGGTATTTAAGTTTTGATGTTCAAATACCTATTTTGTAACATTGGATAAAATATATCAGGAGTACATGGACTATTGCATATTATATCACTGTAATTATAGCAGTATTAATTGCAATGTACATAGAATTGTGTAAAATAGTGCTATAAATTAATGGTTCTTATAATTTTGTGTAATCAATTTGCTACGCCGCCGATGTCGCTTGGTATTTTCTTGTCTTATTTTTGTCTTATTTAGTACTCAGTCAGTCAGTTGATCAGTGATCAGCGTCAGAATTCACAGTTGACAATAATAAATTGTTTTCATTGAGTACCAAAATAATTAAATTAAGCAGTTATGAATAATACTAAAAAGATTAATCAAAAACAATAAAAGGGATTAGTGTAATTATTGAACAATGCTAAAAATCATTTTTTTTTAAATATGAGTAGGGTTTTTTTTTTGTTATTGAACTGTTACTGTTACTGAGAAAATGACATTTGTCAATACTGCGCATCGAGTCTGAAATATTTAAAGACATTGAGTGGGAAGAACTTATTTATAAATTTGCTCTAATGAAACCAAGGAAGAAATGTTTTTGTTAAAAATAAATTTCTAAGCTCCTTATTTATATTATATTGTATTTACTTATAACTATCATAAATCATAATATTACATGGGAATGCATTTTGTATTGCGCATATTATTAATATTAAAAAAACTGTTTAATTATGAAATAATACAATGATGTTTTAAACTTGTTGTTTTAGTAGGTAGATATTTAATTGCATAACAAAAAAAGGTATCAAATTTATTCAATTTTATTCAATTGTTTCACATATTTATATAGTATATGTAATAATGAAATATATGTACTTTTGCTCCTCGATAATTAGTACAAAATATATATTGCTCCAGGGCGGCTCTAAACTATAATCCGGCCCTGATCATATTTAATAATTTTACTTTAAGCATCCATTCATGAATTAAGTTATTTCATTTTATAAGCGCATAGAATGTAGTTTTGTGAAAATTTATTTGAATTAGTTCCTCCTTATTAGGGGAAAAAGCTTACTTTCTTTTTTTAACATGTAAACGCACACAAAAAATAGTATCCTAGATGTTATATTTGTATCTAAAAGAAATATATATTTAATGTTATCCTTGCCAATGTCATATTTAATTTTATAACCAATGTATGTGTACTTGTATACCCGTTCAATAAGCTCCAGCTCCTAGGCTTTTAGCACTTATAAATTGTCTATTAAATAATATATAACTAATTATTTTCTTTCAACAAGTTCTTCTTCTTCTGGGCTTTAAAGGTCTGTAAAATCCAAAAACAACATTATGTCTCCATCCCTCTCTATCTTTCACACATTCTTCTGCATCTCTTAAATTCAGAAATTTTAAATCTTCCTGTATTCTGTACACCCATCTCTGTCTAGGTCGTCCTTTAGGTCTCTTAATGTAGAGGTTTAAATTTAGTTATTAATCCAATTATTCCTTCCGATCTCCATATGTGCCATACCCAGCTTATTCTTGTGCTTTTAGGTGTCCCAATAATAGTAGGTTCTTTACAAAGATTATCCAATTCTTCGTTGTTTCTCATTTCACACTCGCCAATGTTATTTTTCTTTGAACCAAAGATCTTTCTTAATATCTTTCTCCCAAAAACTTTTTTATCTGATTTTGTCGTAGCCCATGCACTACATGCATATAAAGCAAATAGTTTAACTATGACTTTATATAACGTAATTTTAGACTTAAGTAATAATAATCTTGATTTGAATAATGGCATTAAACTATAGTAGCATCTATTCACTGCCGTTTTTTAACTTCCTCATGACAGCATTTTCATTGATCTCTGCCCCTAGGTACTTGAAACTCTACCGTTTCAAATTTATAATTGTCATCTTTTAAAAAATTAGTGTTGTGATTTTGTCTCTAAGTATCATGTATTTTGTTTTTGACTCATTTCGACTTTTTAATTTGTTTACAATAGTAAACTATTAACTATAGTATAGTAAACTACTACTATAGTTTACTATAACTTTACTTTTCTTTTATATACTGTAGACCATTTTTATCCTAGAAAACTTGCTCCGATGTATAGTAAGTAGTATGATGTAAGTGTAGTGTACTTTTTCTGAGAGTCAATTTTATCTACTTGGTAAATACATACGTCATCTTTTAATTTTCGAAACAGTATTTAAAATAAAAACGATTAAACGGAAAATAAAAAACCATGTTTTTCACGATTTCGTTATTTTAAATAAGTACCTACCACATTTTCTAGCACAAATATGGCTCCAATTGAAAAATGACAAGAGGCCATATTTTTGTTGAATTATTAATCTTGTTTTTAATGACGCAGTTCGTTTTTTTGATTTTCGAATTAGTTTTCATAATAATTGGGAAAAAACGTACAATTTCACGATATCATTTTTTTATATTAATACGGAAAACGTTTATTATTAGGAAAATGCTTAAATCGAAAAATGACAAGAAACCTTTTTTGTTTCATTATACATCTTGTTTCTTGTGGCGTAAGTTGTTTTTTGATTTCATAATGATTCGGAAAAACTAGAAGACGAAGTTATTGTATTTCAGTTTAAAATATTTGTAGCGACTTGAAAATTGGACAGAATGCTCACATTTAGTAACCAAATGTAAACGAAAATCGCAAAAAAAAAAATGACGACACTTCAAAATATATATTACCGAACTTCACACAAAATCGTCTTTCGTCAGCAATGGTTTATTTGCTTACAGATTTAAAGAAATAACCTTATCACTGGCGTGCGGTCAGGACAAGCGAGGTAAGCGCCGCATTCCCGCTCAAAAAGTAAGAACAATAAATATATTTAATTCATTATGTCAATAGGCAATATATTATTATAATATAGATTTTTTTAATTTTATATATAATATACTCATCTGTAATTATACTCCATTATCTGTATTATAATTTTATAATAATTTGTAAGAAAATTAATAAATTAAGATAAAATAGATATGCAATATATTGACAGAAGTGGTCAGGATTTCTATTACCTAGCTCGTATCTAGTATAGTAGGTATTACCGAGTGCGGTAAGGCGGGGTGACCACGATTTTACGCAGCCAGCAGTCGGAAGCGCTACATCGAGCTCTTATAAATACTTTTAGATATGCATTTTCTGATGCCGAAGTTCGATAATTGGATATTTTTCTTGTTCAGTTGAAAAGGCATTTTCAGCGATGAAACGAATCAAATCTTTTCAAAGATCAACCCAAAATCAAAATAAACTAGTTTCTTTGTTGATAATATCTGTTGAAAAAGAATTGTTAATTAAAAAAAAAAAATTTAGATTTTTATGTTAGTTACCAATGAATTTATAAGAAAAGATAGAAAAATGGATTTTATTTATAAATAGCTAAATAAACACTGTACATTATAAAAAAACTTTTTTTTTTATTTATCTTACTAATTAAAAATTTATCTTTTTACCTTTTTTTTTCCCGCGCTTACTCAACTTCTAATACTACCGCACACGGGCTAATGAACCTTATGTATCCCACCTACAACAGTGACCGCTTTCCATACCCAGTACCAACTCTTTTTATTTATTCATCTAATGTTTCTGTTACACTCTGTTTTTACTATTCAAGTTGTTAGCTGTTAAGTGTTAATCCACCATGGTTGATAAATTAGACTAATTTATTATTAGGTATCTACTATCCTAGTGTAAAGCTTTTTTATGAAAATAAAAATAAATGATTGATAGCAACAATACCAGCAATTTAAAACGACTTGCATTAAACTACGCATAAATCCGCGTGTAATATTCTACGTTTTTATATTTTTAAGCATTATTTGGATTTTTTAAAATTAAATTTTTCAATCAAGACAGACTTCTAATTGTTTCTTGATGTCAGGATATAATACATATTATATGACATGCTCTTAAAGTTATTTGTTGAAAAATCATGGGTATACTACTTTTGAATAATTTTTGTAGATCTTACCATTTATTCTACTACAAACATAAATATATATAAAAAAAAAAAACAACTTTACTAATATAAATATAACAGACTATTCACTTTGTGAATTGCCTTATAACACAGTTTACCGTACAATACATTCATACAAAATGTTTATTATTTCAGTAATTATAAGTCACAAATTCACAATTTTCTTACAATTTATAATATTTTTTTCAAACATTTTAACTATTTTATTTGGTAATTTTAATTTAAATTTTAAATAATTGATATTAATTTCTCTATAAGAAGTATAAAACCATAATAAAAATATAAATTACCTGTCTAAGGACAAGATGTTTAGTGAATCTCAAAAAAATGAGCGGTAAAACAACCATTGTCGAAAGTGTATTATTCAATTAATTCCGTACCATGTTTGTTTCCATATTATTATTTGACGTTAACAATAAATACAAAATTATGTTTGTATTATTTTGGTATACAAATTCTAAACATATACAATAAGTACATAAAATAGTAAAAATAGCTGTTCAAAGTGAACTATGTTGCGAAGATTTTTTTACAATGGTCATAAAACATTTATCTTTTTATTTCTGTTTAGCGTAATCAATATTTAAGTCTTTCAAAATAATAAGTTTTGAATTTAAGTTAAGACACCTTTAGTTATATTTTAGGGTACAATGAAAGCATGCATGCAATGCAATTAGTTATGCATAGGCATGATTATATGTAATATTGTTAAATTAATTAATGATATTAATGATGTTTTTTCTTATTAAATTTGAGTATAATAGGACATAATATACATACAAGTTCAGCTAAAGCCAAATGAGTACCTTAGATTTGTTGTTCAAAAGGATAAAATAATAATTCAATATAAAATAATATTGAATATTTAATTTTATTGATAAATTTAGATAACTTCAAGCACATCATCATTATAAGAAAAAAATGTAAACCTTTAACAATATACATAATTGTAAAATAAATAATACAAATTAATGTTTGCATTATACATTACCTTTTTATGGGCAATAGTAGATAAAATAAAATAAATATTGAATAACAAAACTTACATTTAAATAATGATAATTATAAAATCAAAAATATTATTAAGCTTAAAACAAAACAAAATACTTTGTATTTAAATTAATTAGTAAACTAAAAGATTATTTAACATACATAATTTTGTTTCACAAATAGTCATAGTATATATATATATATTTATTACTTTAATACCTACCTACTGATTAATCAATCCTGTTATAGTTAAGGAAAAGTTTGAGCCGAGTTGGTATTGATAACGAGTAAATTGTTTCTTTTAAACGTTTACTCAACTCATTAAATCTGTAATCACTTATGAAACTATATTTTGTCAAGTCACTAGTAGCTTCACTATTATCTTCGCTTTCATTACTACTTCTATCTAAATTGTCAAACAACGAACGATATACTCCATTAATATAATGGTTTCTTGGAGATTCTCCAAAAAATCCTTCATATTCATTTGAATCTATAGAAGATATCCAACTAACATTATCATCATTATTTAACACTGATGATCTGGTGGTATCAGTAGATATGGTTTCCCATAAATCACTAATAGTTTGTGATGAAGTGGAAGGTAAACTCAGAGTAGTTGAGTTCATTCTCATTCGTTTTGGATTTTCTGATTCTGTTGATGTCTTATGTTGGTTAGAACATCCGGCTTCAGAGGACTTCCTTTTACACGATTCATCAGACAATGCTTCAGCCATATTATTTTCTTCTTCATCATTATCACTATCAATGATATCCTCATCATTCATAAATTCTTCTTCTTCTATTACAGAAGATTCATCAGAGGAGGAATCATTCAACCCAGTAATTGTATTTACTATGTTTTGTAAATGAAGTGTTTCCTCTGGATCACCACCATATTGTATGCGCACAAATTGATTAAATGGATCAATGCCAAAACGTTTGTCTGGGTTAATAACTAAATTGCATTTAGTGCGCATTTTCAATTCGGGAGTTTGATTTTGCAGGTTTTCGCGCATAAACAAACGAATATTAGACCTACACAACTCTTGCAAAGTTAATGGTTCGACAGGAGCTAAAAAATAATACAAAATTGAAACTAAATCAAAATTCAAAATATTTCAATATTAAACTTACGAAAAGTTACTGTTTTAAAACTACAACGTTCAGGTACAATGAGATTTGTAAATGTTACTCCTAATACTTCAACTGTATTCCATAAATGCTCATCTTTTCTAGTTACTTTTAACAGAGATCCTTCTAATGGCATAACTAATATTCCACCAATCTAAAAAAAATAGTCAAAATAACTTTGTATATATTTTTTGTGTATCTAATAGAAAATAAAACCTTAATAAGAGATTTCATAAATTCAGATTTTTCAGGTGGTACAGCAGCTCCACAATAAACTCGATCATAGTAACCCGTTGGTAATAATTCACATGCATTCCCTACATCAATTATAATTGATACAAATTATTAATAAATAAATTGAATAAATTTATTAATTTAATTTAAAAATTATTTATTTAACACATTGCTCATATATTATTCTTAACATACCCTGGATAAAAATTGGTTCACAAAGATCATGATAATCTATTGCTGCAGCATTTAATTTAAATTCTGCTGCTTTTTCATGTGCAAAATCTATTAATGTTTTATTAATTTCAATTCCATGATTAACACCGTTTCTACCTAAATAGAAAAACTAAAACCATCAATCTTATATAATTTAAAAAAATTCATTTCCATCAATTTTAATATCGGAAAACGTATTCTAAGATCTTACATAAATACATAATTATTAAGTTTTAAAATTACCCAATAAAAAACCAGCCACCGTACTAAAATAACCAATACCAGAGCCAATATTTAAAAACTTGTGTCCAGAACATAGCTCTAAACACTCTAAAACGGTAGCATAAACACATGGGGCAGACAAATGCATTGCTTCAGACTGCCAGGCTGAATCCCTATAGGCATGATGTTTTTCTTCATCGTTATAATAAAATCCACGATCAACAGATCTAAAAGCTTTTTCTACTTTAATCGTATGTATGTATTCATTCTTTATCAATGAATTAATAAGTTCATCGTTGCTGTTGTCACTGTCGAGTTGAGATGTACTTACAAATTGACCCATTTCAGTCAACTGATAGGTAATTGTACAGTTTAAATTGAAAATCTAAATTTTAAAAGGTGCATTTCATTACTAATGTTTTTCAAAATTCACTGTAAATCAAAATTATATAAAACCAAATTAGTATACATTTAATTGTTTTTATTTGGCGTAAATATATAAACATTAATATTTTTACTCTGTAAAATAAATCAAACTGTTATAATCTGCTAAGTACCTACCTTGATTTTTAGAATTCAGATCACTTGATTATTGGTTTTAAGTTATAAACTGTAATATTAATTCCTTAGGTGTTAGTAATTAATACCTACAAAAGAATAAAATTCAAGAACGAAATACCAATTATTATATTATCATATTATAACTATTAATTCTATTAGGTATGATTATCACACTTATATCATATATGATCATATCATATCATACATATTATGTATATGATCCACAGACTAAGGTATATGTCCGTGATATGCACAGGCTCTATACTAATTTTTACTGTCTAGTGATTGTATCACAAACAAGGTACATATACATGGTAATGCCACTCCACTATCGAAAATAAAATTGTTTAACTATCGAAATAAAATAACTGCCAAAAGTGAAACCAATCAGATGGTTTGTTATGTCGAGCCAGATTTTCTTATCTAATGTTCAAAATTATGAATCTATGACCGACAACCGAATATAAAATAATTAATATTCAATAACAATTGAGTTGACAAGGTATAAATGTAATATTTCTAATATAATATTATAAAATATAAATTTAAAAAAAATATAGTTTTAGTTAGTTTTACCATAAATGTATAAAAATATAAAATGTTTAAAATTTAGGTACGACTTTCAATTCATATACCTGGGATGTCCCTTTAGTGAAGTTTGAATAATTGGCTGGTGAAAACTAAGTTTTTGGTACAATTAAAATTTATAATTTGTTACATACAAATTGTTTTAATAACTCATGTTACTCATGAATGTTTATTATATTATCAAAGTTAAAAAATCTAGATGTGAGCAATAACCAAGTATGAAGTATGATTATAAATTATATAATTTCATATGTATTGGGATTTACTAAGGCACTATAAACATGTTCTGTATTGCCTTAGTTTTACTATGTCGTGTGCCTATTTAAATTATTTTTTTTGTATCTGTAAACACCCTTTCTATTATAAATTTTGATTCAATCAAAATACTACAAGAGACTTATTTTGTTGCATTTTGACTAGTTGGTGAATTTAGGTCATTTTTTGAAACTCCATTAATATTTGAAATATCAGAATCGTTTTTTAATAGTAATGATTTATCGTTGAGTACAGATATAAATTAAATTCCCCTCTATATCCAGTCTTCTCAACTTCCCAATTACAATAGTAATGGGAAGTATGTTTGTATTTTTTTTAATTATTATGATTTTTTTTTCCTACCCGTTTTCTGGATTTTTCAATTGTAAACACATTTTTGGTAAAGCATTTTGAATTAATAAGTATGAACTAAATGTCCTGCCAAAAAGTGTTTACTACAAATAAAAGGAGAACCTACAAAATAAATATAATTATATTGGGTAAATAACCACAAAATTTGTATTTATATCCCAGAATCATTTTAGTAGTATAAGCACAGTATATCATAGATTATATATATAATATAAACTTATAACATTTAAAAAGCATTTTTTATTATTTACTTAAAGTATTCATTTTAAAATATTATTTATAAGTTATGTTTATCTTACTAACTTTTTTTGGCTCCAGTTAGTGACAACCATTTTGTTTTAATTTTAAAATGTGAAGAAAATTTAAAAAAAACAAAGAATGGATTGTGTAGATCATTACTGATACACCCTGAATAAACAAATAATAATTAAAATTAAAAGACTAATTTAATTTTTTATTACCTATGAAATAAAAAAAATATACAGGAATACCTACCATTTACTGAACAACTTCAAATAATATTTTTTACTAATTTTAAAGTATTTAATTATGAAACACAATAAAACTGTACAAGAGAAAATGTATAGATTACATTATGTATTTGTATGGATGGATAAATAGGAAGTATCCACTATGATTAAGATTTAAAAATAGATTGGATTTTTTATTTCCATCTTGTTATTTTGCATAGGGATATTATTATGTCAATGTTATTTTCTTTTCTTTATAAGCAAGACGCTTTGCTTATAAATAAGTACATTTAATTATATAATTTGTATTATGTTCTTTACCATGTATTTTTCAATATTGTAAAGAATTTATATTCCGTGTGTCCCTATCAATTTGTTAATCCAGCAGATTGATAGAGTTTAGGGACATTCTTTTTGTTATTTATTTGAAACATTACCAATAGGCCATAATCACCAATATTATTATAATTTTTCATTATTTTCATAGAGATCTAGAAGTATAAACTATAAGACATTTTATTAAAATATAATATAGGTATATATACTAGGATTAAATGATAAACAAATCGAGTCAGTATCTAAATGTTTTATAAAAGTATTTCCAGCACACAAAAACCGTATTTTCATTGTATTATAATTATCGAGTGTTGAAAACACGATTAGACAACAAATTTTAAAGCAATGTATTTTTTTTTTTTTTTGTTAAATGTCGGTTAATAATTCAGTAATTTAATTTTGGCACATAAAATGTTTATCACATCCATCTAGTTAAACCACGGTTGTAAATCTACAATATCTACATGGGTTAAACACTATTCCAAAATATCAGATTGCTGATAAAGCAATCCGATTGATCACTTTCTCTCCAATGGATTGGTCAGCCGCTGTTTTTAGGAACACATGTAGACAAGCCGTATTAAAAGTACAATTATATTTAATATATTACCAATAATATCAAAAACAATATTTATAAAATGTTAAATAGATAGAATTAATATAGAACATTAAAATATATAATTAAGAGCTATTCCTATTATTAAAAAATTAATTTAATTTCCCCCCCAAAAATACTTTTATTTTCTGACGATGATTAACAATATATTGTGTTTTCAATAGTGAAGTGGCACTACCATGTATTATAATTTATAAGTGATTACAAATAAGATTGCCGACTGCTGTGTGATCCCCAAAAAAGTGTTAGTAGTTAATAGATTGTGGTTGAACCTCAGCTCTCATCTTTAGCCGTAAGAAAGTATATAGGTAAGATCACATCGCTACGTTTTTTCGCCTGATACTCCGATTTGAAGTACCACGACAATGTGGTTGTCTAATGAATCAAGAAATATTCGACCAATGAGAAGAGACCTAGCTTGTATAGACTTTGTATAGAGAGGACAATGAACAATGGCTAGAAATTCGTTGGTACTAACCGTTGCACCGGTTTACTTGTCCAAAATTAATAATAATCATACTATCAATTAAATATTAGACAATTATTTAAATTATTAGTATATTACCTATACCAAGGTGAATAATACTTTTCATTTCCTTTTAATAAGTACTTAATAATAATTAATTTGAACAGGTATTAATTGTTATCAATTAAATTATTATTATTATCATTTATCTGTTCGTTTATTATTTCGAAGGAGAAATAAGAGGGGATGAAATCGGTGTAAATAGTTTGCACCATATGCATGTAATGGTGGAGAAAAATTAAACCTGTGTCGTTAATTTTAACACTCATTACTCCGAAAAATTTCTCAAATACACATGGTTTAATTTTCAAGGAGTAATTTACAACGGCTTGTACCAACGAATTTATCGTATGTGAATCACTAAGAGTTTATTTGTTATTTTGATAAGCCGATTTAAAGGTTTAAAACGGTCTTAATTTCTTAAACTACCTAGTGCGAGCGTTTTAATTTTGAAAACGATTTATCATTTTCAAACTGTTTTAAAGTGTTTATATGATAAGAAAAATATGTAATTTCAAACCGTTTTAACGTCATCATATAAACGTACTAAGTAGTAAGTTGCCAATATACTTAATACCTTAATCTATTATTATAATCTATTTTTTGGGCCTCGAACATTTTTCCAAATGATAACAAACATTTTAATTTTATCAGCGTGACTAACCCTGAAAAACCATGAATTAAGATGTGTAAAAAAAAAATAAATAAAACCATAATATTATAATGGTTAATAATTGCCAAATCGCATTAAATCTATTATATCAAGTAAATTAATTTAAATTAATAACATTATTTTGTATACAGTTTTATATTATGGCTTTAGTAGTGTGAAACAATTTTTGAATATTAAAAATCAATTTTTTAAATTATTTTGTTCACAAAATTGAATATTGTTTAACAAATTGACGTTTTTTTTCAATTAAATTAAATTTATTACCTTATTTAATCTTATTTATAATTATTAGAGAATTGATAAAAATCTAATTTCAATTTTTAAAAAAGTAATTTTTTAAATTTTGAAATATGAAAATTCTCTTAACCCATTTTTGGTAAAATCCTTGTTGACATTTTAGATGTTTTGAAGGTTATGTAACATTTATTTTTTTCAATTTTTTATTTTTTGGAAGATCTGATCAGATCTGATCATATTAAATAGTTCTATTATCTATGGATCTGACTCACCTATTTTGACATGATGATGCGATGATAAATAATCACAGATATCTATATTGTATGCATAATTAATATTTATATGTGTATAATATTATTTATAATTATATAGTATATTAGAATTATCCTTAGATCATTCTCTAGTATAAAATGATCTAAGATAATACCTATATAATATAAATATCTGTGTAACTAATAATGGTCTTATTATCTATGGATATGGACGAATTTCATTGGTTTTGTATTGACAAACATGCGCGATGCGCGTCATGGAAAAAAAACATTGGGGCTACTTTTAGAGTGTTTTACTTTTACACCCTGTGAACTGTTCAACAATATATTATAATATTCAATTACCAAAAGTACGTTTACCTATGAGTACGTTAAATAAGTGAACATTTTACTGTCAAGTTTGTTCAGTTCGTTGATTTCTTAATAATATCAGTTGCTAAGGTAAGTAACATTATACCATACAAATGACGTTACGTGCGATAAAATGTATAATATAATAATGGTGCAAGTTATTTTGATAATCAACATATTACCTATCACGTTATCTCGAACGAAATTGAAAAATTGTTTTGAATTTTCCTTTAAATTATAACAATAAGTCTATAATTAATAATAATTCATCATTATCAACTTTCAAACTTTTTGCATGTTTTCTTTTTTCAAAAAAATTGTTTAAGATTCCAATTTTATAGTTTTTAATTGTAGTATTTTAATAATTTAATTCACTGGATTAAACCTTATGAACATTAATTATTATTATTTGGTAGATATATTTAACATCTCTCGAAGTAAAAGAGTAGACTAGGTACCTATAATTATTGTATTTGTCTTAAGAAATTATGTTCAAATTTCTGTCAACTTCCATCATACTTAAGACTCAGATTTCAATATTATATTAGTAAATACAAATAAAACTATTAAAAATAATAATTACTGAAAAATGCGTACTCGATCCTGGACAAAATTTATGTTACACCTGTATGGCAATTCGTAATTCACAATTCTTAACATATAATTTAATGATTATTCTGTTACATTTTTAAAGCATATTACGAAAAATAATTAAGGCCCTTACAACTTCTATTGCTAAAATTTGATTATACCGATGATTATTACAATAATGTAGGTCAATTAGATAACTAGTTTATAGGTCTATGGTATTTAGAAACCTACATAGAAAAAGTTGTCAGTTCATCACAGAAATCATAAACATGAATAATAGAAATTACGGTTTTAATAAACTATTTATTATAAAAATAAACCAATTTGAAATAAAAGAAATGATTATGAATAATATAATATACAGACATTATGTTCTACATTAAATTAAAGAAATCGCGTATGCATTCATTATGGTTTTTTTGCCCGCTGCTTGAATTGCTTGAAATTTAAGTAATGTTGAATATAATATATTATCTACTGGTAAAAACATCAGTGAAACAACTAATGTCCTAATGACCTAGGTAATTGCGATATAGTGACATCGCATTATTCATTTTTGTATTAAAGTGTATACCTCGGCGCCCCGTTTGAACAAATAACGATAACATAATCGATTTTTATAATATGAATTATTTTTTGTTTAATTTTTTACATACATTGCTTAAATAGATACCCGAATATAAATAGTACCATTTTGATCATCAGTTACTTAAATTGTATCTGAAACTGCATATGATCTATAATAAAAGTATATACTTGTTTATAAGTAGGTAATATAATCATATAGGATATTTGTTAAACAACTTCTAAAATATTTTATGTAACAAATTTGGTTTATTCTAAGTTAGAATATTGTATTTTCAAATGCCAAGACGTCAACGCATAAACGTCTATAAAAGAAAATCTCATTTTTGTAGTAGTTGCTATACCTACTTATTGTAATCATAGGAATAGCCATCGTTGTGTATTTTTTTTATGTTCGAATACTTTTATATCAAAATGTAGGTGCCATATAAATATATTATATATATACTATATCCAAATTTATTTTAATACATATCTAAAGATAAAATGTTTTGTTTTGATATTGGCCACGAATCAGTTCAAATGTTCAATTCGTTCTTTTTTCCATGAAATTTTGTTGCTTTCCGCTTGTGTTACGAATTTCTGCAGTTTTTTTTATCATTTTTAGAATTTCCCTAGTTTTCGTTTGGAAATTGAAATTCCTACTTAAAAAAATTGTTTATTCTTTAGTTTTTGTTGTGGCAATTTTAGTGCTTTACATAATAAAGAAACAAAATATGTACATTCTAAATCACTGTTTTTATTGTGTATAAAGTTAAAGAAAACGTTTTTAATGACTAATACTATTTCCATGTAAGTAAAATATTTAGGTTCTGAATTGTATATATTAATGTAACAAACAATTATTCTATTATAAACCCATTGGCTATTTCTGTTTCAATGTAGGTAATCTTAAATCATGTTATAATAAAATTTATTTCTGCATATGTAGTTCTATTTAAGGACATCATGAATTGTAAAAATATTTTAAATTTAAATTATCATATTTTTTTTTGTACATCATAAGAATTAGTAATATATTGATTCATTTAAATTTCACTTAATTATTGGTATTCTACATATTTCAAATTTGTTAGAAAATAATTTAATATCAGGATGTAACAAATATTGTTTATTTTATTTTTCTATTAAGATAAATACACTTTTTTACCTTTTGAGTAATATTAATAATGATATTTAAAAAATATTATATATATTTTAAATTTATTATCTTGAAAAATTGTTTTGACCATAATGCTTAAAATAAATTTTATTATTGTATATTCAATGATAATTTATTCATGTTATTTAGTATTTTAACTATAAATAGTTTTCAACATAATGATTTATTTAGGTACAATACATAATTGCTTTGAATGTAACCTATGAAGAAATCTAAAAGACTTGAAGATGGTGTTTGTATTATTTAAGAGAAATCAGTAGATACCTAAAAGATAAAAATAGTATACCTATGACTATAACATATAACATAAACTAATTTTTTTTTCTATATTATGAAAATTAACATTTTCCAAATGCATACATTATATACTAAATTGTTTTCAAATTATCATGAGCTTGTATGTTACTAATATATATGTATATATATAGTAGTTTAATTAAAATATTAATAATATTATTATTTAAGTATTAATTTTTCAGGGTCTTTATGGTGACTATAGCAAAACAAATATGGAAGAAAGTGATATTTGTCAATCTGATGAAAACATAGAAACTATTATGGATGTAGATTCCCCTGAGGATCATAATATATTGTTACATAAAGATTATGACGATATTAATGAGACTAATTCACAATATGAATTATCTGACTATTCAATAAATGATGAATCACTAGTGATAGTTGAAGATGATGATAGCAGTTCAAATGACATGAATAGTGAAGATGTGGAAATTACAGTTGAAAACAAATCGAATAGATCTACTATAGTTGGAATATTAAAAAAACATGTAAATGATAAAATTAAAAATATATCTGATGAAATTGAAATATCTGATCAACATGTACCAATAAAGCCATGTGGTATAACTTCTCTTGCTGCAAATAAACAAATAAATGAAAAAAAAAAAGATTATCTAAATTTAGAAAAAATTATTATTCCAAAAAAAAATATGTCTAATGTCAAATTGAGTTCTCCAGTAATATCTAACACAATAAAAAAATTGCCATCCATTTCTATAGCATCTACAAATTCAGTACTCAAGTCAACAACTAAAACTGCAATGTTACACCCTAAATTAAATACTACTGAAGTTAATTGCCATAAAAGTTTTTCAAAACCAAAACAAGAAATTCTTGTAATTCCACCTAGTAATATGAATTATATCATAAGAAAAAGAAAATCCAATAGTGATTCATTTAAATCTAATTCGTCCATGATAAAAACATTTGATATGTCACCTGAATCAGTTGAGCAAAACACAAATTTAATTATATCAACACCAAAAACTTTACAAAATAATGAAGCAAAAAAATTATCTAAATTTGTTGCTCGAATGCATAAACTTCCGGATGGAAAATATAGAATGGTACCAACTGAAGGAAAAGTGCCCATTGGTTTAGAAAGTTTATTTAAACGAAACTCTCATTTTATAAAACATAAAATGGCTCAAAGTTCCTTTTTAAATAAAGATATCATTAACAAAGGTTTTATTAGTGTAGGAAAACAATCAGTAAATTCTCAACAACTTTCTAATACTAAGAAAACTAGTAATGTTCAGCAAAATAGGCAAGTATCTTCAGGAAATTTATTTAAAAATATTTCTAAAACAATTGACTTTAGTAATGGAAGAAAAGATAAAAAGTTTATTCCCCATACTGTTACTAGTAAAGATTTATTAGAAAATCATAAAAATTTCATAATTGAAAATGGTGAGATTAAAATAAAGACTAATGGTAAACCAGCAGATATGTGTGCTTCATCTCCATCTGGATTCATTCAATTGAAACCAAAGTCTGAATCTTTGATCCAATCAGATAATCAATCACATAGTATTTCTAGATATGGTTGGTAGAAAATATTAAGCCATTTTTACCTTAAAATTTTAAATATTTTGTTTGTTATAGGTAAAGCCACTAAAAATGATCATATTGCTGTTGAGGTATTGTCTTTAGACTCTATTAATAAATCAAAAACAAAACTGCACACGAACAATAAACGGGATGGAAATAATACATTAACAAATACTTTGAATAGAAATAATGTATTATCTAGAGATATAAATTATGAAGAACAAAGTGAATTTTCTGATAGTGGTAAAGATAATTAAATTTAGAATTTTTTTTATCTATATAAATATAAAATGTTTGAATATATTTTTTTTTGTTTTCAGATGATAGATCTGCTCAATTTGTTTCTTGTCATTATACATATTGTGACACATTGGTACATGAGCCTGAATTAATTGATAATTTATATTGTAGTGAGACTTGTAAAAGATTAAACTCAAAATTAAATGTGGACCATGAAGAACCAATTATTGATGTTCAAGAAATTACAAATTCATCAAAAAAGCCTAAAATCGATCGAAAAAAACTTTTAGCAAAATTGGAAAATAGAATAAATAAGAGAAAGCAAATGTTAACATCTACTCGTCCAGAAAAAATGGCTCGAAATGATGATTGGGATGAATTAGATCAGATTGAAAATTCTTGCAATGATCAACCAAAAATTAAAAAGAAAACATTTTCAAGTTCATCTTGTCAAAATAATATTCTAGAGGATGTGGAAGATTTAATAGTATTTGACTTTAAAGTATAATTTATTATTTATACAAATTTATTTTTTAGTAATTAAAAATATTTTTTATCATTTCAGTCTGCAATAGATGATAAAAAATTATTAAGATATATGGAAGATGTACAATTCAAATCAGCTCCAAAAAAATTATTTGACAAACCTTTTCCAAATGAAAAGAATTGCTTTAGAGTGGGACAAAAATTAGAAGGTATTGATCCTGAACATGAAGCATTATTTTGTGTTATGACTGTTGCAGAAGTTCGTGGTAAATGTTTTAATTTTTGTAACGTGGTCACATTAGTCTTAACTAATTATTATCACTTTGTGTTTAAATTATTAAGGATTAACAAAAAAAAAGTTTATTTATTATAATTTATATAATACTAATGTAGTTAATTCACATTATTGCATATTGTACTCAAATTAAAATGAAAAAATTTTTAGGGATGGGTCAATCCTGAATATCTTAAACTTCTAATTTGAACTCTTACATATAATTTATAATAATTTAATTTGTTGTTATTGAAAAAAAAATATTGTTATAATAAGATATTAATTTTACAAGTTTTAGTTTGATAGATGCATTCAAGTAATTTATATAATTTAAATTCAAATGCCTCCTAAATGGTGTTGTGTGTGAATTAGATTTACACCTTTGAGAAAATCTCTGCACAATAATTATATAGAGCACAATTATTGTTATTTGAATCTAAAATACTATGATCCCAAATCAATATTTTAATAAATTATTATTATACTAACTTTAAATTACAATTAAAAGAAGTTCAAGGACTCAATGATCTATACCTAGTTTTTTGAATATGTAAGTTATTCATTTAACCAAGGGAAACCATTATTTTAAATAAGTAACATCTGGGATAACCAAATTAGTATGAATAAAAATCTTTTAGATTGTCTGGCATAACTATTATACATTATTTCTTCTGAAAAACAGAAAAAAAAGCATTTTTATATTCAAAGTTCATATTTGAACACTCTAAAAAAATTTAAAATCTATATTAAATCTAAACATGTATTTTTATTATACATACAATTTGTGATTATTAAGACCATACTATAGTATTATATTTTTATTTTAACTTTATTTATTTTATTTTATTTAAATTTTGTTGAATAATTATTTTAGGATATCGCATTAGGTTAAATTTTGATGGCTACTCTCATGGTTATGATTTTTGGGTGAATGCAGATTGCCCTGATTTATTTTATCCAAGATGGTGTAAAGAGAATGGACGTATTGTACAACCACCTAAAAACTATAAAACAAATTTTGATTGGACTGTTTATCTCAAAGAATGTTTTGCTTTGGATAATCGTGTTTTTCCTGCCCCAAAATGGAATTTTTCTTCTACTAAAAATCTCATTGTAAGTAGTACAGAAAATTATAATTCTGTATACATATTCTATTTCAACTGTTTCAATAAGTCTTTATGTATATAAATATTATAATGGAATGTTTTTGGTAATTAGAATTGTAATACAGAAAACAAATTTAATGTTGGAGCTAAATTAGAAGCATTGGATAAATTGACTCGTACACTACCAAAACAGCTAATATGTGTTGCGACTGTAGCTGATGTTTTGGGTAATCGTATTCGTATTCATTTTGATGGTTGGACAGATGATTTTGACTATTGGACAGATATTACATCTACTAATATTCATCCAATAAGATGGTGTGATAACAATGGTCGAAGTTTATCACCACCTAGTGGTTATAATGGTAAATTATTTTAATTTTATTATTTATCATTATCAATTAATAGTTTATTTCTTAAGATTTCAAAGGAAAAAAGCCTTTTACATGGGATGATTACTTACTGGAAACAAATAGTGAACCTGTGCCTGAAGAAGCATTTGTCCGAAGACCATTACGAGACTTTTCTATTAATATGACAATTGAAGTTGTTGATCTAGTAAATCAATCATTAATTAGAATTGCTAAAGTAGTAGATGTTAGAGGTGACGAATTAAAAATACTGTATGATGGATTTCATAACATGTATGCATACTGGGTCGAAGATGATAGTCCAGATATCCATCCCATTGGGTGGAGTCTAAAAACTAATCACCCAATTGAAATACCCCCAGGTAAAAAATAGAAATTTAATATTACAAATTGCAATTTAATTTATTAATTAGCTTATTAATTATAATTAATTAAGTTTATGCATTTATCTGTCACATTAACTATTTAAAGCAAATGGGTAAACAATAGTTAACATGATAAGAAGGTTGACGTCGAAGAATTCAAAAAGAATATAAAATGAGAAAAATAAAAGTTGATATTGCCTATGGGTAAACCGCTGTTGTAGGTGGGTAGTTGGGAAGATAGAATATATAAAATAATTTATTTTATTTTACTGTGTGCAATAATAAAACAAAACAAAAAAAAAAAAAAATTCTGAGCAAAATAGTATTAATTATGTTTTTTATCTTGCCAAGGTAATACAGAAAAAAAAGGCTGTCCTAGAATAATGGGGACGGGTGCAGTCACTAATATAGGTAATTTAATGTATATTTGTAAGCAACGATTAATCATTGCTAATAAAAAGACGATTCTGAGCAGAGTTTGGTTGATAGTGTTGCTTTGTCAATAATATATATATATATATATGTCATATAATGGTAAAATAATTACATATGCACTATATATTTGCTTTAATAATATTTGTTTAATATTGTACTTATTTTCTTGTTTTTTCTACATTTTCTAAATTTACTAGGAAAACTAAAAAATGACCTCCCTAAAGTACCTCCCCACTCATATTTCCTTTATAAAAATTATACTATCATTGTAAAATCAATACATTTCTAGCTCTGCTCAGAGTCTAAAATGAATTAAGTACATGGGTTGAATTGGTAAAAATTCAGGTTGTTTTGAGGTACTGTGTGACAAATTGGAGAATTTACCTTATCAAGTAATTTTAATATGTTTTCCAAGAAGAAACTTACAACTTATGATATTCGCTAAAAATGTAATATCTTAAATATAAAATTATGCAAGTTATTGTGCATTAAATTTTATTTATTAGTGATTTAGGTGGAATATATGCAACTTGAATATATTCGGAATACAAGGAGACATAAAATTATATTTTTTGCGAATTACAGAAAAACCTTACAAAATGTATTTTTTTTTTGCTTTTATTTTAAATTCATACAAATTTGTATTATAATATTTTGTTTTAATATTAAAGCAATATATATATACAAGATATTTACTACTGTGCTTCTCTGTTTTCCTTTGTATGCAGATGTCTTTATATTAACTTATAATTATTATTTACATTTATAGGAAAAGATAATATCTGGAGTTGCAAGATTGAAGGTTGTAGTGGTAAAGGAAATATAAATCATCATTTAGTTGATCATATTCTTCAAAAGGATTGTCCCTATGAATTGGATGCATGGAAAAAAGCAGTTGCTGGTTTAGCAAAATTACCTGATAGATTAAAAACTGATTTAACTCCAAATGCTTCTACAACTATAAGGTATTCATGCCAATTTTATTTTGAAATATTTGTCATACTAATCTAAATTTAAATTTATTCAAGTAATTCAAAATCACAGAGTATTGAACTTAATATAAAACCAAAAATGTATGAAAATAGCGACGAAGAAAAAAAAGGAAAAAATAAGTTAAATACAATTTGTTCAAGTAATTCAATTTCACAGAGTATTGAACATACCATAAAACCAAGAACATATGAACATAATGATGAAGAAAAAAAAGGAAAACATAAGTTAAACACAACTGTACCTAATAATCAGCCCAAACATAAAGAAGATATAATTGATAACAGGTAAAAATATTTGTATTATAACTACAGTACTCTACATAAATTCCATAATCTTTTGTTTTACATTATTTTTGTTGTTACTGACATGGGCAATTTCGTCAGCTAGTAATTCATAATTAATATCAAATTTAAAACCACCAAATGGCTTTTTTATTTTCTCTTACACCTGTTATAAAAAAAAAAAAAAATGAATCTCATAGAAAAACATAATTCACAAAGAAATGTAGTAATGTATAAAATGTTATGTTTTTATAATATATATTTAAGTATAAAAAATCCTAAATTATTTTTTCTTGAAAGTAAAAAATAAAATTATGTCACTCTGTATTTAAGGGAATGCATATAGGTAATTTTAGCCTGTATTGATCTATTATAATTTTACTTCTCATGGAAGGAAATGAGAATACTTCCGTGGTACCTCTACCTGTGTTAAAAGATAACAAATGGAGTTTAGTTAAGTTGACAGCCGGTTTAAAATTCTGTCAAACAGTATGTGGAGTTCTAAACAAGACTTGGGCGGATTGTTCAAACTCAAATTTAGATGTGGGCAGACCTCACTAGTTAGAGAAGAGGTACCATAGTGCCTGATGGTTGTAGATGATATATTTTTGATGTGATAAAATCTGGAATAAATAACAATGAGTAACAAAAGAATTCCTATGACACTTAAAGGTAAGATCTATATAAGAGAGCGGTGAGACCGGCTATGTTATAAAGTTCAGAGTATTGGGTAGTACACAGAAAAATAGAACAGAAAATGAGTGTAGCAGAGTGCAGAGATGAGAATGTTTAAGGAAGTGGATAAGTGAAATAACGCGAAAAAAAAGGATAAGGAATGAGTACAAAAGAGGTACCTTAGACTTGGCTTTAATGGTAGACAAAATAAAAGAAAATAGGCTGATTTGGTTTGGAAATTTCACAAGGGAGAGTAATCTGAAGCTATAAGAATTTTAATTAAAATAAACATAGGAAGAATCGAGGGTTGGATGCGATTGAGAATGATATATAGATATATATGAGGTATATATGAGGTGGGAGAACATGTCAAGTGGAAGTTTTGAGAGGGGGAGTTGACAACATTAAATAGTTAAGATGAAAACAAAGGAGAAAAATATATGGGTAATTTTAACGACATTTAAACAAATTAGAATGTATTAACTTTAAATTTAATTCCCAAATATAACTACAGTTAGTTCTGTGTCATCCCAAGTATAAATTGTGCAATAATGAAATTATTTAAGATGTTTTATTGCTAAGAATTACTTAGGCCATAGTATTAATTAAGAACCAAATTTGATCACAAAAATAAGAGAACTTGCACTGTGCAACATTGTTTTACTTTTTTTATTTAACTTACACAAATTTATTAGATTTAGATAAACATAAAATTATCTTAGTTTAAAAATAAACTATTTTTGTAGTTATAATATTGAATAAATAAGAATAATGTTTATTGCACAGTACGCTTTCTCATTTATTTTTATTGTAAAAATTGGTTTTTTAATTTTAAGACTAGTCTGAGTGGTTTTTGCTTATGTGATCAATTTTATTAACATTCCGTTTACTCTTAATAGATTTTTACTTTATGAGGATAGTACACATATTATATATCTTATTTGTTTAGAGTAAATTAATGTGTATATTATACATTTTATAGATTAAATGAGCAGTTGGCTATGAAAAACATTAAACCATTACAGAGTTTTGAAATTAAAAGTGAATTTGATAACTATTATATAGATACAAGTACAGTTATTGATATAGATCAAGAAGAAATAAGATTTGATTCACCAGATGAGATAGAAAGACAAATGTTTAAAGAGACTTTAGTTTTCCCAGCATTTGATTTGGATCCCTTAACATTGGCAAAACGAAATAGAGCATGGACTAGACATCATGTTCCACTAGGCATCCCAGTGTTTAGTACTGGTGATGTTAGAAAATGGTCTGTTAAAGAAGTGGCATCTTATGTGAATCGAATAATATCACCCATAAAATTAGATCCTAATCCCTACGAACAAATAAGTTTAGCAGATCATTTTATAAATCAAGTAAATGAATTAATATTTTATATGATTGATATCTCATATGTTTAGTATTAATAATAATTTTTTTTGATTAGAATATTAATGGTGACTCGTTTTTAATGTTAACTCAAGATGATCTGATGACATTCAAAATTCCTCTTGGTATAGCACTAAAAATAACTTGTGCCATTTCAATGTTAAGACGAAGAATTCCCGTATTTGATTTATAAACAAATCTACTTTACTTAACATAAAAAATCAGTTTCACTATTTGCAATTATAGTTTCTCATTTTTATTTATTTTTAAAAATTATACCTTAGAATTTTATTGTACATTTTAATTTTATTTGGTACCTTTTGTAAATATGTATGTATTTTGTGTTTTTCATGATCATTTTAATAGTTACCTTTGTATTTTTATGTTGTATAATATAATTTGTTTTTACTAAATTTAAAAAATATTACTTTTAATAGGTAGTTGCAGTTTTTATATTGTGAATATTGAATGCATATAAATTATTCAATGCAATTTATTGAAACAACTATATTTATTTAGAATACATAAATATTTGTTATATTAGTAACTGGTTAAAAGAGTTGGAAATAGTTGAAAGTCAGGCCTTAGATAACTTAGTGGGAGAACACTTGCCTGGTTTCTGCGGGAACTAGGGTTCGATTTTTGGTTTGGTCTCTTGATTTTTAATGTTTTTCCGATTCTAACAGTTTTAATTATATGTAATGAAAATTATATTGTGTATGTTGTTAACAGGGCTTTGAATTTAATGCACTAAAAAAGTGTTGAATATGCACTAAAAAAAGACTAAATAGGTTAAAGCCTATTATAATATTGCTTTTATTACATTAAAAACAAAATTCTTTATTTATACACTTAATCTTCCAGTGGTTTTTTACTGGTGAAAAAAAACATGAAATATTAGACACATTACCATTATATGTCCTTTGAGCTATTGGTATTTAAAGTATTAAATTGTTTATCTTCAAAATAAGAATTACATTCTATTATTAAATTTAATTTAAAAAAAAATACTAAAATTAAAATATTTTTATCGGAACTTTAAAAGACAGGTATTATTAAAAAGAAACATTTAGATCAATTTATATCAGATTATCCAAAAAAATATAAACCTTTTAAAAAAAGCATTAGTATGAAAAAATCATGAAAACATGCATTTATATGCTCTAACTGTCAAATAAGCAAAATAAGATTTGGTATTTTAACTATAGAAAAGCCAAAACAATTTCTGTCCGAATCCATTTTCTTATACGGTTTAGCAAAAAAAACATACAAATGCATGTATTAGAAATTGGTATACCATAGCCTATACCCATAGGCTCATAGACATATTATGTCTATGAATGGGCTGGGAGGCCGTGATTGGCTAGAACGATAAAAAGCGTAAAGTTAAACGCCTAGAAAGTAAAACACCGGAATGTTAAATTCTGGACCGAAAAAATCCAGAAAGTGAAAAGTCTAAAACCGTAAAGACCTGGACCGTAAAATACCTTCGGAACGTAAAAATCGAACTGTAATATTCCGGAAAACAGATAGAAATCAATGGTTCTTAAAATAGTTTTGTTATACTAGTAACTAACGGGCGTTTAATAGTTTTCCAGAAGATAACAACATCTAAATTATGTATAACTTAAAAAACTAAATTCTCTGCAAATTATTCAATTGTAAGAACAAACATAGATTTTATGTATTTTCATATTTAAATATTTAATAAAATAATTTATATTAATGTATTTTAACTTTAGATTATATACCATGGATAGAGCTACTGCATTATAAACGTGTATTACATCTTGAAGACATCGTTATTGACGAGTCGCTACTGACAAATTTGAAAACCATTTTTTTATTCCGGATTATTACATTCCGAAATTTTACGGTCCTGCATTTTATATTCCGGAGTTTTACGTTTCGGGATTTTATACTCCGGATTTTATAGCCCTCCAATAGGACTTTATCTCACATAAGACTACAAGTTCTTACACAAAAAAAATCGGACATTAGTAACGCTCACACTGGAAATTAGCTAGTACCTATTACTCGGTTGGTTTCAATGACGTTCCCGCTTGAATTATTTTAGTAGATACGATTATTTATTTTAGATTCGGAGCATAACGAAGAATGTAATGGTTTTACAGGAAATTTTCACAGGATGGTACTCTAAGGAGGTAATTTTTTTGTAATATTATTAACAAAAAGTCGGACATACATCGCACGTGGGTGGACCACTGTTGTAGGTGAGCAGTTGGGAAGGTAGTGGAGAAATGTAATGTATATGTTACGGTAAAAGTACGAATTCCGGTAAATCCTAGATTTTACCAATTGTGGTCGGTAATTGCCCGAGCTTCGGAACTAGGATATACAAATATAGTTTAGTCAAACTCCGAATGATTTATGTAGTTCGGACTTTTACAAACGAGATTTAGTAAATCTTAGGATAAACAGCCAGCGTTGGTAAAAATCCGAAATTGTTTATCAATTAAATGATATTTTTCTCCTTGATTTTCGTATTTTACTCTATACTATTATTAATTAACTACATTAGGTAGATAGGTACACACATTTATGTTTTTATTTATTATTATATATTGTGACAGCAAATTTATGTTATTATTATACCTAATATAGTTTATTTGTGCAGACTTGGCTACTGTGACATCTTGAGTTGCACAATACATTTTTGGAACCAGTCAAAGAAAGTTACGGTTCTGCTTGACGAATACCAATTTCATTGTCTGGAATTATTACCGATTCTAAAACATTTTCTTCACATGAAGTAAATTGATTCCGAGTGAAAAGTCGAATGTTCCTGTTTTTGTACCTAGGCGATAATAAGGCTTGATAAAGTGCGACATTATGAACAAATCAATAAAAAAAAAAAATGGTGAGAAGTTGAGAAGGTAGAGGGTAAATTTATTATATATATATGCAACAATTAACTATTGCTAATAAAAAATGATCTGAGCGGAATTCAGTTGATAGTGTTGCTTTGTTAATAGTATATATGTCATATATATTAGGGTAAAATAATTACATATGCATTAAACATTTTCTTTAATAGTATTCGTTTAATATTGTATCTATCTACTTTTCGTTTTTTCCTGGTTTTCCCATAATAAGTTCCTAAACATTGTTTTTGCAAAACCATATCGGATAGATAACGGGGGAAAAAATAAGTCAACAAATGCAACACAATTTAATATGTTTACTATGCAATTCGTTGTGTTCAATATATATTTATTTTAATTATAATATTATGACAAGTATATATATATATATATATATATTGTTGAAAAAGCAATATTATTAACCGAACTCCGCTCAGAATCGTTTTTTGTTAGCAATGATTAATTATTGCGTACAGATATATATTATTTTTCCTTTTCCTTCTCTTTTCAACTTTTCATTTACAACAGTGGCCCACCCATTATGTGAAGTATACAGGCGCGTCCCTGAGGGAGTGGGCATAATATTTTTAGAATCAAAATTGAAAATTATTAATTTTTATTTAATTTAAATTTTAGATTCTAAATATACGAATTATGTAACTTATCTGTTCGATTTACAATAATGTTTTTTTTTTTTTTTAATACTGTGACCAAAATGTCTACTAGAAATCTTGCTTAAATTATTGGTTTTGTGCAACTAGATGGATACAAAGATATGATTCAGTGAATGATTTCTTTGAATTACTACTATATGTTATGATATCTTTGGACGAAATATGAGAATAAAAAGATTCGTCCGATGTTTCCATGTTAAAAATTATTAAAATATTCGTAGAGACTTGAAATTTGGACAAAAACTTATATATTTGCCTTTTCTTGACGTGGTAAAATGTTTGAGCAATTTATAGACATTTTAATTTTGCGAGTTTTATACGTAATTTTTATTCGGAAGGTACTCTGTAGATAAAATTATTAGACTAAACAGAAATGCTTGAAAATTTAATATGAGGTTCATTAAAAGTTGTATTTTGTAGTAGAAAAAAAAATTGAGCAGAGACAAACTGACATATCACTTTTAAATATTCATCGAAATGAAAACATTAATATAGAAAATATTGTTGATCAAACTGCTTGCAAAACGCTGCTTAAAATAAAAGTATTTTAGAGTTGGTCATCTAACTTGTATTAATTATTATTATTATTCATATAATTATTATTTATTTAATGTGAAAAAAATTAATTTAACTTTTAAATTGCAGTGTTTTACTGCATTTGTACAATATATCTGAAGTCTTCTAGCTAATTTTAGTTGAAATGACATCAGATATAAAGGTTTTAAGTTTTTGGTGATCAAAGCAGCGGTATTCAAGAGTGAAAATTGTTCGCCCCCCCTCCTCTATGAAATTGACCCGAAAATGCTCCTCAGCAGTATTATTAACCGAGCTCCTCTCAGAATCATTTTTTGTAGGCAATGTTTAAATTTTCTTAGGTACAACTAATATTTATTAAATTTCCCTAATATCCTAATTTCCTAACTTTTCATCTCTAACAGTGGTCCACCCATCATGCGAAGTATGTCCTTTTTTTCTTAACAATCATCAATATTAAATTTAATTATTTCGCACGGGGGGGTGCTACATTCAAAATTTAAAAATATAAAATTAAGTATTATAGTTATTAAGTTTTGATTACATATAATAATAGAAAAAGGATTTAAAAATACACATTTTGGAAAAAAAATAAAATTAAAAAAGTTAAATTTTAATTAAGAAATACGCGAAACGGAAAACCCAAACTTCATAAAGTTTTCTCCCATAACTTCCAACTTTTATTTTTTTAGATTTTTAATGTACTTACACTCAAAAACACACATTTTGAAAAAAAAAAAAAATGAAAAACGAGTAATAATTAGTAATAGTTATTATTTTTTCTCTATGGTTTCATTGTTTCAAGTACGAATGAATACAATTATTGTAATTGTAAATATTGTACTTAAAATTATTTTAATATTGTATCATAGAATTAATTCATAACTATTTATCTAATATGGTTACACTGCATCGTGTCCTTTTGTGCCTTCAAGTTTTTTAATTATGTCATCTCAATTAATCGTGGTTGTAAGCATGAAGATTAGAGATTTCTAATCTTCATGGACAGTGACGTTCTCAAGAAATTCCAATAAAGGGGGATTGTGGGTAATTTCTAGAAAAATATGTAAGGGACTATCAGCGCACACTCTTCTAGTTGACATTTAATATTATTTTTAATATGTAATTAAAATATAAAAAAAAAAAAATAATACAAAATCTAATGCACTTTTTATTTTTAATAATTGTTCGATGCAATAAATATATTTATATTGTAATTGTAAATATAAACTAAACGATGCAACAATACATTTTCACATCCCTTACAATTTTTAAACCAACTGATTGTAAAAAAAAATCTTATTTGAGGGGGTTAAATCCCATGATCTTCCCCCCGTGAGTACCCCCATGCTTCATGGTTGTAAGCTTAGATAATTTACTATTTACATTTACATTATCTAATATACTATTTTTTTTTTAATAGTAGTAGTATATTATATAGTATAATATGATTTAAGGTTATAAGCATAATAAATAATAATCGTACTGTTGGTTACACTGAGTTGTTAATAATGGAGATAACATTCGAAAATGTTTTCAATTTTGTAACACGAATTTATGATAAGAATATAAGATCAAGTTCTATTTGTATTATTGAAGTTTGTATGTTGTGCTTACGAAGTTATTTATTCAGTTAATAATACCTAATTGTTAAAATTTTTGATGTAATGATCATGTAAATGGTTTTATTTACCATTGTTAGTATTGTATACCCGACAAGTATCAAATGCATAAAAAACATTACCCGAATGCATTATTTTTGTCTTGATTGTTTGGAAATTTGAACAGGTGTATTGTTAAATCAAAAAAATCATAATGAATTCTTCTGATATACTTGTAAGTAAAAGTTAACACAATGCTAAGTGTTCTTAAATTTATATAATTATTAATAATCAGATATGAAATACGTTTTTAGGTGTATGCAAATGAAATGACCAATTATGAAATGATGTTAAATGAGTTCTATAATCCAAATTCAAGCAATACTGTAAAATTATATATGCAAGAAGAATTTGATAAGTTTGGTGAACGTGACAAATGTTGGGTTCAATGTTGTTATAATTTAGAAAATAGTAAAAACCAATATTTATTAATGTTTAGCCTGAATATATTGGAGGTACACTTAATTTTTTCTAAAAAGTAGAATAAAAGTGAAATAATTTCTTAAAGACTGTTTTAAATTATAATAGATGCTTATTAATAAGAAATGGGATAAAATAACCTACAAATCTCAAGAAACATTAAGAGAAGCAATCTTTAAACATATCGTAGTGAAGCATAATGAATATCCCAAATTCATGATGAGCAAAATGATTAAGTTATTAGTAGATATAGCCCGTAATGATTGGCCTGTGCGCTATCCTAATTTTATTGACAATATTATACAAGTATGAACGGTTTAAATAATAATATTACAAAAATAAATTGTTCATATTAATTTTTATTTTTAGTTGCTCATAACTCCCGAACAAGTTCTTCTAGGTTTATCATTTTTACTTTTGTCATCTGAAGAATTTATAAATCCTAAAGAAGATCTATTGGGTAATAGAAAACTTGAACTAAGAGTACTTTTTTCAAAGCACATTCCTAAATTGTTCGACATACTTTCAGGTACTTAATATTATTTTAATTTAGGTAATAAATCATTTAAAATTTTCTTTATTGCTTATCATGATTAATTATTTAATACTTTTTGGTTATCGCGACTACCAACAATAGTTATAATGTATTAAATAAAAATTATAGAAATAAATTTGGTTATTGAGACTACATATATTTATACATTAGTGCTAGAGTATCAAAAAGAGTGCACCACAATAAAATATATTACAATACAAATTAAATAACAGTGTAAATACAGTCATATTTTTGACATTCTAGGACTCTTCTACATTTTGCAGTGAACTAGTAAAATGAATTGTGATAGTGATATATTCAAATAAATATATATTATTACGTGGATCTTTCCAGAAAGACCTAAAGATAATGTATAAATATACGTAGTCGCCACAACTGAATTTATTTTTATATTTTTTTTTAATATTATTATTTTAATATATATTTAACTAAAAAATACCATTTATTTTAATCTAATTAACATAAATTAATATTTATTTTTAGATATTTTAAAAAATGCTCCTCAAACTTCAAATGCAAATGAAATATCTGAAGCTGTGACAAAAGTATTTTCTGATATGTTTACATGGGTTCCATTTGAAAAGCATCTTACTCCAGATTTATTAAAAGTTTTGATGCCCTTAGGAAAAAATGAGGTATAATTGAATTAATTTTAATTAAAGTATTACAGTTAATAGTTATAATACAGTTAAAACTACATTTTAATGCTTAGGATGCTACATCTATTAATGTTTTGACTATATTTAATGAAGTTCTCAGTAAATCATATACTCAAACAGAAGATAAATATTTTATTTTATCTGAATTATGTCTTTATACATTCCGGTTAGTTGAGCATGTAATTGGTGTTCCTGTAAAAGGTTTTATGAGTGAACCGTAAGTATAGACAATTTTAAATCATAAAATTCCTTTATTGAACATTTATTCAAAACATTTTTATTGTTTTGCAGTTATTTGATAATAATTACAGAAATTCTTTCTGTGGTTATTAGAAAATATTGGAACTATCTTGATAATCATTTTAAAAATGGCGAATTCTTAGAAATATTACTACAATATACATTCCAGCAAGTTGACTTAGACTTGTATTATCAATGCTTGGATATTTGGTGTAGTATTTTTGAAGCATTACCTGATCGGACTGAATGTGTTGAAAAGTAATTCTAACATTTTATTTTTAAATTTAACATAATAGACCAACAATAACTAATAACAAAAAAAAAACCTGGACATACTTTGTGCAATGGGTTGGTTACTGTAGTATATGGGAAGTTTAAAGTTGGTTTCACATTCGTACACAACTTGAAAAATGCAGACTTAATCGCACTGACGATTACATGCTAAATATTATAACTATGATAAGTGGCTGTTTTATTTTATTTAATATGGGCGTGACCCAAAATACAGTAGTAATTCAATAAATTAAGATGAAAACAAATTCAGGAGAAGTGATAAATGGAACCAGGTATTTAGGTATTAGCGGTATTTATTAACTAGATATTAGTGTAAGAACGAAGGTATTAGCAAGATGTATCATGAAGTGTATTGGATTGTTTGAACTATAATTGATGGTGTGCTTAGGGATCGCAAAAGTGGTGGTAGAGCGCGTCAGACGTGGAGGTACTTAAAAGTCAATGAATGAATATCAATGCGATTACAGAAAACTTCAAGTTGATATCAACTCTTCTATCAGCTAACGTTAATAGAAGTGTAGTCGTGCAACGAGTTGATGCCGTTAATAGTAAAGGTGACAAGTCCCTAAATTAAAAATATATAATATACATATGTTATTATATTATTATACAATTATGGTCAGATAAAATACAATTAATATAGAAAAATTTTCCAAGGAAAAAAAATATATATATATGAATATATTAGTGCCTCATAGCCAAAATTGTATTGATCCAAGTACAGGAGCACATGCTTTATACATTGAGGTTATTTGAAGTGTTTTAAAACAATTATACAATATTAAAGTTAATAGTGCTTCATTTTGAAAGGCAGTTGAAAGAAGAGTGGTGACAATCATTTTATCTATACATGGATACAATATTTGATGATTTCCTTTCAGACATGAAAACTACATTTTTAGTTTAAATTTAACATGAAAAAGGAGCTGCAGCTCCTAAGTTGAAAAAATTAGGTTTAGGCAAATAAAAATAGTATTGTAATGAATTAGTGTAGTAAGTAATGAATTTATTAATTTTACTAGTGATTATAATGATGCTGGGGAAGTGTTTATCACTGTTGTAAATGGGAAGTCAAGAAGTTGCTAATGAAAAACGATTTAGAGCAAAGTTTGGTTATATATGTTTTGAAAATCATAAATATTACAATTTTCATCAAAATATGATTTTAAAACACTTATAAAAAAATTACTACATTACACTAAAATTTGTTTATTTTTCTGGCCACTAAGTACAAAATATAATGAACCTCTTTTTAAATTCTTAAGCATTTCTGTTTAGTCTAACAATTTATCTATTTCATAGTCTACTAAATAAAAATTACATAAATAACTAACAAAATTAAAATGTCTATAAATTGCTCAATAATGGCTTACTTATTTTGAATATTTACCATGTCTAGAAAAAGTAAATGTAAGTTTTCTGTTAAAATTTTAAGTTAAAGAATATTTTTAATTGAATTGCAAAAAAAAAAAAAAAAAAAATTAAAAGTCATATTATGGTAAGATAATTAAATAGGCATTATATATTTTCTTTGATAATATTTGTTGAATATTATACTTATGTCCCCATTTTTCCTACGGTTTTCCCATGTTTTTCCCAATTGTTGGGAAAAATAAAAAAATAAACTCTTTAAAGTACTTCCCAAGTCAGAATTCTTTTTAGAAAATATAATATTATTGTAAATTGAAGCAAGATTTCTAGTAGAAAAGTTGTCCACAGAAAATATATAAATATATAAATATCTTTCTAAAACCATATGCTTCTTCGCACCACTCAGAATTTAAAATAAAAAAATAATATAAGATTTTGTTTATACATTTTCCTGTTCTTTCTTGGTTTTTTTCGCATTTGCTCAATTATTAAAAATTAAATAAAGAAAAATAAAATTGACTTTCTCGGTCACTAACAAAATTTAAATGTATTTTAAATTTTTTATTTTTCTATTGGAGCAACATTTTTGGTGTAAAACCATACAAATTTGAAATAAAAGAATCGTAACACTTTAAATTATCAGTTTTCATTTTTTGCCTTTTTCTGGTTTTTCCAATTTTATTCATGAAAACTACTTGGAAAAATAAAAAAAAAACAATTTTCTTCATAAACATCTAGATCTAAAATGCAAAAACAGAGGTCTCTTGTTATTATTTTAATGGAACAATATTTTTGGTAGAAAACATATTTTGAAAAATAAAAATAATGAAAACGGTTACATTATGGTGTGCTGTAAATATTTGCTGTTTTATCATTAATTTTCTTTCCGGTTTTTCCGAATATTTTGAAAAACACTTAGAAAATCGAAAAATGACCTCCCTAATATACCAACTAGATAAAATTTCCTTTCAGAATATTTGATACACTTGATACATTAGAATAAGATTTCTTTATAAAAAGTTATTTACATACAAAAAAAAAGACATTATAAAACCAGGGTTGCCACTTGATCACTTTTTCAATTAAATTTTACTTTAGTTTTTTTTTTTGCAAAGCACATAAAGTCCCCTTTTTATCTTTAAAATCACATTTTTCATTTTGAATTTGTTGTATATTTTTTGAACTATTTATAATAATTTTTTCCAAATATTTTGAAATTGTTATACAAAGTGATAATTTTTAAAATTTATTTTGCTTAAAGACTGAACTAAATTATAATTTAGTTTTTAAGTTAATAAATATCTATAATCTTAATCTTAACATTGTTATAAATGCTGGTTGGTCAACAGAAAGTAATTTGTAACCTTTTTAATTATTTATCGTTATTTAAATAATTCATATATTTTGTTAACACTTTATGTTACCAAGAATTAATAAAAAGTTTCTGTAGAAATTTCTAATTTTCAATCCATTTTTTTAATTTTGTCATTATGAAAAATAATCGATTCTTTGAGTTGGTACATTGTACCTACTTGTAATTTTATAATTGTAAGTGTCTATCTATTTTACCTACATTTAAAAATGGATATGTTTTCATCATATTACAATTTTATAGTTATTTCCAATACAAATTATACAATGCATTTTATACAAAATTTTAATAACATATTAATAAATTTAGCTAAATCTTATGAAACTCGTTTTATTGATATATTTAAGTAATTCTCTTTTTGGTCACTTTTTTTCATAAATTTTAGTCACTTTATCCATTATTTCGAGTACAACACATTGATGGTAACCCTGTAAAACTAATAGATCTCTTGCTATGCTCCAAATATAAAATACGGTAATTCAATACTATTTTCTGTAAGACATCAAAACCTAATTTGTTAAAAATTTAAAAATTACTTAAATTCATATTAAGATTTGCTAAAGATTTTACATTTAAAATCTTGGTTAAAATGATGATCTGTGATTTTCTGTTTTTTGATGATCAGATAATTCTTGAATAAGTCTAATAATTTATGACACTTATTTTGTTAATTGTTGTCGTTAAATTATATATGGACAGCAATTCTTTTAAGACTTGTTAGTTTTATATTGTGCATTCTATTTCGACCTCATGACTGTTCATATCACGTGTTGCTCATGTCAAGTTAAATGTACATTTTTTGTGTTTTGCAGTTCCAATATTATTGATTTTTCTGCTCTCTTATTTCTTATTAATTTTAAAGCGCCTCAATATTTTATTAAATAAATAATACATAATTATAAGTGTTTTCCCAGATGTTACTGTTTAAAAATCTAATATGTATTGTTTCTTGGGTTTTTCCACCATATAACAATAATTGTATTATAACTCGTATTCTACTACTAATATACTAAACATTTTAATGATACCATGTGTTTGCTTAAATAACTCCAAAACATTCCTATTATTCCTCGCACATCTTTAAGAAATTCCTTATATAGGAAAATATTATGTTCTAATTCAATTCAAATACAACAAACAGTTTAATTAAAATGGTATTTGAGTAACAAATTATAACCTATATTTTAAATAAGTAAAAAAAAAAAATATACATTTCTTTAAAATTTAAATTCATTATAATTTTTAAAAGTTTTAATAAAATATATGTGAGTCAGCATTTTTGAATAAAAGACACTTTTGCTAGTAATAATTAGTAGGTGTCTACTTACACACATTTTTATAATTTTACAATGAAGTCTTTTGTGACAAACTAGTATATACATAGTATATAGTAGTATTATTCCATATATACTAATATATGAAATAATTAAATATGACTGATACCTAATACTTCTTCTATCTAATCTTGCTACTTGATAATATACCAAAATTAATTTATATATAGGCTAGTTTTAGATTCAGAACGGAGTGAAGAATCTATTGGTTTTACTACAATTGAAAATAAATTTGTTTGTAACATTTTGAATCCAATTGGTGAGTTAGAAAATTGTTTTTGATTTTCCAAGCAGTTTTCATAATAATTGGGGAAAAACGTAGATAATATTTATTGAAATTATGGTGTTATTATTTTAAATTATTTTTTGTTGTAATTCAGTTGAAAATATTTGTTGAGACTTGAAATTTTCATAAAAAAATTTTATTTACTTTTTCTAGACATGGTACAATTTCAAAAACATTTTAAAGATTTTTGTGCTATTTATAGGTATTTTATGTTTCCAAATTTTTTATATAGTTTTTATTTGATAGGTACTATGTGGATCTAATTGTTGACTATATAGACATTTAACAAAAATAAATTGTATTTTGTGGTAAAAGAAATTGTGATAATCTTTTTTTATAATTTTTCAAAATTTTGAAGAAAATCATAAATATTATGGCTGTACAAACCATGTTTGAACAAACTTTACTTTGAATCGTTTTTTGTTAGCAATGGTTTATCATTTCTTACAGATATAATTAATTAAACTGTGTATTCTATCTTCCCAACTTCCCACCTACAACTGTAACACACCAGCAGTAAAATCTGCAATAACAGTCTTTTGTTTTTATGTATTATTATTACCCTACTATGTTATAAAAATATATTTTTAAATATATTTAGGTATCGTCGTGTATTTTTGGATCTTGTTGAAAGAGTTACACAAAAAATAAATACATTTGGGAATATAAATGATGAAATATTCGATGATGATGTGAGTATTTGCATTAATATTACTGTCTAAAGTTCAGTATTTGGTTTGGGCCATTTACCTATTATAGATTAACTTTAAAATAATATCAATTTTTGTTGATCCTAATAAAAATATATTACTATTGACTAAGTTATCCATTGTATTTGTGTGGTAAAGTTATATTAATAATTGCATGCATTTCTATATTTTTTTCATATAGTTTTAAAATAGGTAAGCTTAAAAATTAAACCTTCCTACTAATTTTTCAGAGTACATTTTATTTTACATATTCAAAACATTTGTATTGTTTTTAATTTTTACATTCAAATTACATACATAATTTATTAATATAAATTGATTACATGTTAGGATAATCTACACTCTAAATAACTTAAGATTATCATTTTTACCTCCTATCAATTAAAGTTTTTGTTTGGTCTGAAAATAATTTTTGAGTCATCCCAAGCAACTTTAAGTTATATGGTATTAGTGCAATTGTGCTGTAATTAATATATTTATTAATTATTATTATTGTGATATTCTTGGCATGGTCAAAAACTATGCTCTATAAAAAGTAAAATATAATGTAACATCATACACCATTGGCAAGATTTTTCATGTATGATTTTGGTATAATATGTATGACAGTGTGTGTAAAGTTAATTGTTTGTCAATAATTTCTATTGAGATATGTTTTCAATTAATTTTGCGCTAAATTGGTCTTTGGTTGCAAGAGAAAAAAAAATTAAATTATTGTTTTTGTTTCGGGGCTTCTTTATTTTTTTCATTACTATATGATAGTAATTTAGGTTAACGACAGTATTCAATTTATTTTGTGAAATACCATCCTGCCAATTATAGATATTGTATGGTATATAAGAAATTAATTACAATGTCGAAAAATACCCAACACTAAAAGTAATTTTTTGCATAATAATATTAAGCCTAGTTTTAATAATTTTAATGTAATTTCAAGTCACCCATTACCATCTACATTTACAAAAAACCTAGCTGACTCCTCTAATACATATGCTCAGGCTACTTCCAGCCAGCCTTCTCAATCACTATTTGATAATTCTCCTGACATTTCCAAAGTCCCTTACTTTCTTCAAAGATAAGCTTAAGTCATTTGTCAATCCTCTAATCTCACTTTTAACATAAGTAATTTCATCCCTTCTAAGTAAAAAAAATGAATAATAGCTCTTACACAAATCATTTGCTATCAATCATATTATGTAATGCAAACGGTCTATGTAACCACTAACCACGTTAATGATTTACAAAGTATGCTATATGATAAGCGCATAGATATTGCTCTAATCACTGAAACCCTTTTACCAAATATTCGTACATTTCTATTCCTGGTTATAGCTTACTTAAATCCAATCATCCTGATGGTACAGCTTATAGTGGAGTAGCTATACTAATAAAAACCAAATTAAAATTTCTTTCACTCCCTAATTATTATCAAAGTTATGCACAATCTTGTGTTATCTTAATTACTCTAAATAATATAGCATTTACTAGTGCTGCTATTTAGAGCCCTCCTAGGCACAATCTAACCAATATTGATCTCTCAGACTATTTTAGCACCATGCATAATAATTTTATAGTAGATGGTGACTACAACGCGAAACATCAAAGCTGGGGTTGCCGTTTAGCTAACCCCTGTGGTAACCTCTCTATAACTTTGTCCTTGCTAATAAATATAAAATTATTTCTCCCCCAAGACCTACTTACTGGTCAACTTTCACAAAGAAAAACCCGACATTTTGGATATCTTCATTGCAAAAAGGCCCAGGAATCTGTTTTGCTCAGTAACAATAGTCTTGATTTAAACTCGGACCATTTATTTTCTCGCCCATGATTGATCGGTATAAATTTCATAACCTAATAGATCAAGCTGTCAATTACTTAACTACCCCCATAAACTAGGCGGCTAGGCAACACTTTTATTACTTTTAAGCCCTCTTTTCCCAATCACTCATTTATCTCTGATCAAGTGCGCTCATAAATAGTCCAAAAACAAAGATGCACAAAACGTTTCAACTGCATCATGATAAACTCGTATATCAAAAGGCAAATGAGACAATCAGTTTTATTGATTACAATAAAATTAATATTAACTTAGTTCTTTTGAAAATTATTGAGGAGAGGAGGGACTAAATTTCATTCCTTTTTATGCAAAATGATTTTTATCTATTCAAAGTTGATAATTGAATATATATTTTTAAATGTATAAAATAGTTAATCTTTCATTATAATGAAAGTGTTGTTATGTTTGATATTAGTTATTCTTAAACCACCTGCCATATGACTTCTTTTACAAAAATTATAAATTTATAAAATACTTCCTAATATGTGTATAAAATATACTTTTACAGGGACAAACTGAATGTCAAATTTTCTTAAACAAAAATATTGAAATTATATCCCAAGTAGCACATCTTTATCCAATTATCGCTGTTTCTGTGGTAAGTATAGTACAGTTATTTAAATTATATTATTTATATTATGTTTTAAAGCGATTATTTTGATTTTAGGTTGATAATTGGAAGTTGTATATAAATGATTATATAACTTTATTAAATTGTCCTATGTTGTTGGATAACTTTATACATTCTAAATGCATGTTCTTAGTTCCATCTACAAGGACATTAACAAGCCTAAGTAGTCATTATGAAGACTCTATGAAAATTGCAATTGCTAAAATGCTAAATGAAATTACTATTCAAGGTGTTGCTACAACACCACTATATCAAATACCTGTGTGTCTGAAAAAAATAAAATCTCTAATTCAAATGTTAGATATATAAATTATTTTATTAAATGCCTAATTTGTAATGATAAACACTTTATTAATATTTTTGTATTTTAGTCAAAGTGAAATAATTACAGCTTTATCACGATGGATGGATTTATTAAATAACAACAAACAATTTTGTCTGGAACAAAATCGAGAAAAACTATTTTCTGTATTGGTTTTATCATTACAAGATAGAACTCAACCTACTCAGATACATGATGCTTGTGGAGTTCTATTACCAACAGTTACTGAACCTATGCTTATCCATATTTCTGAGTATGGACCTTTAATTGAACAATTGTTAACACCATTTTTAGATGGTTCTATTACACTCAATCATTTAAGTAAAAAGGTATATATATATATATTTTGTTTCATTATTTTAGTCTTAGCAGATATGATTTGAACAATTAAGATAAAAATATTGTATTTATGTAATAATAGATATTGTATGTATCAAAAGATGTCAGTAATCATCTCAATCAAGTAGAATCTACTGAGCTATTCCATATTTTATTTTTATAACAGATGCCAACGCATATATGTCTTGGATTTTTTATATTCATTTTTAATGTACTGTATTGTGTCTATTATACACATATAGTTACAACATACATATGGTGTGTGTATATTTTTCTTGATACTTTTAGACATTTCTAGTGCCTTCCTCAACTAAATAAGCTCAAATTTAAAAACTGTGAGTTTTGTAGGCAGATTGAAGTGATAAAAGTTTGGTTTCAATGTTCAATCCTCTTACCATTTTCTTGGAAGAAGTATAATTGTAAAATTATTCTAACTGTACTAATTATACTAATTGTAGTATTATACTTCTATAATATTTGGTTGTTTAATTTTTCAAAGAATATTTTGAGTAAATAAAATAAGTTCAGGAAAATTTAACTCTAGTGACAGTGTTATATGATTATATATAATTATTTTTGTAATATTATACATTATATTTATTTGCGTTTTCAGACTCGTCTTTCAGTGAGAGTTCTTTCATTAAAATTTCTTTTAACTTACCCTGGGCAAGAAGAAGAAATAAAAGTCTTGGTTTTAATGAACTATTTAAATTCATTAACACCTTCTGGATTAAATGATTTAAAAATGTTGTCTGATGTTCTTGTCAACAGTGGACCCTATAAAATGTCTACTAGAAGGATTATTTATCGTTCTGTTGAAGTAATTACATTAGTTACATATTTAATATTTTGAAAATAAATTGTTTCAATTAATCTTTTGTAGCCCTGTTTGATTCAAGCTGTAACCCACTTAAAAAAAGACCTTCAATCAGAATCACTTAACCCTGTGATGGAAAAATGTGAAAGAGTGATTACATTTTTGTCAGAAATGTATGAGTTGTTACATGATACTATGTCTCCTCAATTTTTGCAAGTACTAATGAAAATATTCGTTGATTTAGATATGTATGTATTATTATAAACACTGAAATAAAAAAATTTAAAAAAAAGATTATTGTTAAAATATTTTTCTCTATTTTAGGATTTGGTCTTCATGTACAGTGTTAACAATCAAAATGCTTGAAGTTCTTTCTTTAATTGTTAAACGTTCTTCTAAATCAAATAAAGAGTTTACATCTGTTGTAATTAAAGTAGGGTTAGAGAAATTAATTCCTTTGGTAGCATCTAATTGCTATCCTCCAACAGTTTCTGCACTTTTTAATTTACTTTATTGGTAAAATTATATTTACAAATGTTATTAAAATACCAATTTGTATTTGGTATGAATTATTAAATTATTTTTATTGTAACATTTTTAGTGTTTTAATGTTTAAGTGGAGGTATTTTTTTCCTGCTTCTCCATCTCTAACTATGCACTCCAGTAATGATACTAATATTGACAATGCCGAACAGTTTACAACTATTCTTGAAGTAATAGGATACTCATTTATGACCAACGACATAAGTATTTTTTCACAAAACTTAAAGGCCATTGAAGACTTACATTCTAAATGGAATTTGTATGCAAAGGTAATACATTTTTATAAAGTGATACTTTAAGATTCTTGAAATAATTCTAAAGTGTACTTTTATAGGAATATTTTAAACATTACTTTCTCAGCAAATATATGACTGTGCTATTAAATGTTATGGTTAACAAAAGCCATACATTACTATCAGATGAAATATCAATGGCTATTTATAATATGGCGAGTGTAGACTTTGATTATTTTTTTTTAAAATTTTTACCTGATTACTTAAAACAGACAGATAATATCCGCAATGATCAACGGCAATTTTTAAGACAAAAACGCATGCAACCAGTCAAAGTAAGTAAAATACATCTTATTATTTGGAAAAATATTATTTTTAATTTTTTTTTTTCCATAGGAATTACCTACATTTATGGCAAATCTCGCACAATTAACAAATGATATTAGGTGTTCAAAACAAATTTAAACTTACTTATGAAGGTAAAATGACTGATTTTTTTTCTTTGACCTGTATTTCATCCATTTAAAAAAAAAATTATTTGTGGTTTAAAAAGCTATTGTAATAATTAAGTTGTGATTATTACAATTAATTTTTATATGTTTAATTTAATATTTTACTATTTTAAATAAAATATTTCAAAAATATTGACTATTGTAAATTATTTAAAGAACTATAATTTGTTATTAATAATTGTAAAAAAATGTATTTTTAATGTAAAATTATGAATTATTGAGCTTACTAGCATTTGTGTAATAAAATGTAAGTTACAGTAAAGTTGTGTGTTGGGAAACTTAACTAAAGCATTTCCCTAGTAGAAACATTAAGAATACAATTTCACCATTTTAGATTTTGAGAAGAGCAGTTAAGCTATTAAAGTTAGAATGATGTATGTGATTTTTTCTGTATCTTTTAAACACGTTTAAGTGTTAATATGTTTAATGTTGAAATATAATTAAAAATTTTAAAAAAAAACCTTTCAAAGTATAGTGTTAAATCAAATGTATTTATAGTAATAGAATTAAATTGTTTTCTGACAAAAAAACAATTTTTTAAAAACATTTCCCATTCAATATTTACAGCACTTATACAGTTTTAAAAACATTATACAGTAATAACAATGATAATAATATCCTATTGTACATGGAAAAAAAACTTAATGTTAAAAACTTAACTTAAACATAAAATATTATTTGAAGTTTGCGTGTCAACTTTTATTCTAGATTCTGAGTGTAGCGAGGGAGCTTTTGGTTTTACTAAGATATTTATTTGTTTTAGTCTGTGGACACGTTTTTTCTTAGTAAACATGCTTCGATTTTTACATGTAACATCTTTTCTGAAAACTCAAGTTTTCTAGATTGTATTTTAAAAGAGGTAATTTTTTGATTTTCGACACCATATTTTAAATAAAAGCACTTATGTGGGAAAAAACATAGGAAAACGTACAATTTCACAAGTTCGTTATTTTATAAAAACACGGACGTTTTCTACCAGAAATTTAATCATAAAATAACAACACTTTTTTTGTTACCTTTTTGATTTATTTTCTTATGGTATCATCACAAAAACTTTTGAACCTTTTTTGAGCTTTTAAGGAATTTTAGTTTTTTTTCCGTAATTCGGTTATAAATACATGTAGAGACTTGAAACTTGGTAATAATACTTATATTGAACTTATTTAGATGTGGTGAAATTTCTAAAATCATCAAATGACCTTTTTTTTTTTTTAATAAACGTTATGAAATTAAATTTAAACGAAAATTATAAAAAAAATTACAGCACTTTAAATTATGTATTACCAAAATAATCTTATGTATTCTACCTTCCCAATTCCAACAGTGGCTGTACCTGTCTCCATTGTCTTAGGACAGCTTTTTATGTCATAATAACTATACAATAGAATACACCTACTTTCCAATGGAGTTATTAGTATTAATTAATTTAAGTACCTACTATAATATATTATCTTATAAATATCCAAACTTTGTCTGGATATTATAATTATTTATTATTTGTTTTATTTTATTCGTATATCACATACATGGCACACACAGATCCCACCATGTCTATATCATTATGCCATTTAATAATTATTCTGTACTGCATACATTCCTTCTTTTACATTTAAACCAAATTCATGAACTACATTTGTTGTATAAATACTAATTTTTCTGAATAATTTAATTTCTTCATAGATTTTTTTCTTATTTAATTTGGTTGTGTATAAGGTACTCTTCTATAATTTTCGTAAGGACTAAATCATTTAATTTCTCTTGGGTTTGGCTTTAAACATTTTTTTAACACATACCTAGCTGCAATTGTTGACATAAAATTACTACAAACTGTTTATCAATAACTAAATTTCCAAATACTTTTATAACCATTTCTTTATCATCTATTCTATTCCTTAGCAATTTAATTTCTTCATTATTACTACATAGATATTTAAATATTTGTTATTTGACACACACTATGTGTCAATATATTCTAAGCTATTGTTTTAATTGAGCCTGTTTGATCTAGTCAATCTTCTATATCTTAATATTGATGCATAATTTAATTCAAAATTATTTATGACTTGGCATTATTTTACATACTTTTTATTTACAAAACTTTTATTTATGTATTTTAAACTCATAATCACATTCAAATTATATTCATCAGTAGCTCTCCATTTTCACAGTTTCCTATTTTCTGAATATATTTACATGAACACATACTATATAATTAATCCTCTTTAAATACTTAGGTCAGTTATGAAATTGAATGATGAAAGTATTGGAACTTTTCTACCTTTGTAGCACTATTTTTATTCATATTATCACTAGAAATTATGTATAAAGTTGATTTGTGTAAAATCCATAAAAAATAAATAATAGATGATAATTTTGCTCAGATTTACAATGATAGCACTTTTTCTAAAAGGAAATTTGATTAGGGAGGTAATTTTTAGATTTTTTTCTTGAGTTTTCCCAATAAATTGAAAAAATATGGAAAATCATAGAAAAAAAAAAAAAACAGGAAAATAGGTATAATATTAAACAAATATTATAGAAAGTATTTAATACCTATGCAATTATTTTACCATATTATGGCATATAATATATTGTATTTTTTTTTTAAATTTTATTAATAGAATTGTTTCAATTCCACTGGTATTTTTAAAATGTTAATTTATAGTTTACGGGTAAGTATGCAACAAATTATAATTAGTTTATGAATTCTAAATCTGGACCTGAATCTGAATGGTCTTCTTGAGCTTCGAGTAGTATGTCATGTTGTGGTTTATCTTTTGCCATTTTCCTACTGGAGTAGGCTCCTTCAGCTTTGCTGAGTTTTTCGTGGCAGTTTTTAAACTGTTGCATTATCCATGTTGATAGATATGGTAGGCACATGTCATTATGTAGTTGTTCTAATCTCATAAACCATGATGTCTTTAGGTTATTAATAGTCTTATTATTGCTGTGTATAGAAATAGAGGGCATATTATCTGCAGGGTTGAGCTGTGGTTTAGTAATGGATACAATATTTTCAGTCAAGTGTACCCTTGGTTGATTTTTTCATTTATGAGTATCTTCCAGCTTAGTTTTTCATCTAGGTGTAGTCCTAGATATTTCAAAGTCTTCTTTGTTGTTAATTTGTTATACAGTTGGATTTATGTATTTTATTAGGGTAAATAGTTTTGTTTCGCTTTTGGTTGAATTTAATGTTACCTTCTATTTTGAGAACCAATTGATTAATTCGTCTAGGAAGTAAAGTGCGTCGTTATTGAAGCATATATATACTGTTGAGAAAGCAACACTTTTAACTGAACTCCTCTCAGAATCTTTTTTTTTGTTAACAACGGTTTATTATTATTTACAGATATGTATTAAATTTCCCCTTTACTACTTTCCCAACTTCTTATCTACAACAGTGGTTTCACCCACATGTGAAGTTGCCTGGATTTTTTATGCATAATATTGTCTCTTTTAACTTGCTATTTACTATTTAATGAAACGGTGCATGTGTGTGATTGGCCTTGACTTGTATTATATTAAATATGTTGTTTTCTTATCAGAATTTTATGTTCTTGTTTAAAATTTTTTCTGATCTTTTTTTCAGAGTGGTATTTAATAATATTAGTGAAAGTTGAAGGAATTTTATAAAATAATAAAATGGTAGCATACAATAATAACTGGATGATATAAAAAACATCCTATAATTTGTTTTGTACAACAATTACCAGTAGTATAACTACAAGGGTGTTGAAATATCTGTAATTCCATGTCATTTTTATTTCAATTACAATTTTAACAATGTAATTTTATGATGGGTAAAATGGAAACCACATTGTCTTGGCCGTTTTTTACTCTTTTGAAAAATACAATTTTGATACATAGTTTTTAACAATAGGATCACAATCCTATAATCGTTTATCAAAAGACAGTGGCCGACTCATGTCAAATGTTCTTTAACAGTGTTCAGTCGTAAATAACAATATTTTCCTTAGATAATATACAATCATTATTTGGTTAAAAGGCTAAATTTAGTGATTCTGGTTATGTGCAAAATTAAGTTAGGTAGCATGGATGTTTTAATTAACTAATTATATATACAATTAAACAGATATTATTAAGATATAGGTACTTGAAATTTAGATTGAATTGGGCTTAAAGAAAGGTATTGTGATGTTAATTTTTTGATATAGAAATTACAATTCAATGATTAACAATTATGATTCGGTAATTTTGTAATTTTTTTTGATAAAATTGTAGAAGTTTACAAAGTTGATTATAGCTATAGATAACAAAATAAACAATGAAAAATTAAATATAATTGAATACCTACTCAAAAATTTGGTAATTCTTTTTTTAGGTATTAATCTAATTACAAAATGTCAATTTATAATTTTAGTACCTAATTGCTGTAAGAAATAATAGATGTGTTAGAAGTTATAATCATACTATGTATATAAAATATAAAACTGATAAATTACAAAAGGTCAAAGTTATTGAATAATTTCAAAATATGAAAATAGATATGATTAATTTGATAGCCAGTTTATTAAATGTTAAGTTTATTGGAAGAAGTCAACAAAAAAAATATTAATTTAAAATTAATAATTTACTGTGTTTAATTTAATAATTGTTCTTTTTAAACTTAAGTTAAATTACACAAATCCTATGTAAATCATAAATTGATTACAAATATTATGGTATAAAATATTAAATACACTATGCTTTGAATGGAAATATATGGTAACAGTTGACATAAAATCTGGACGGAACCGTGAATTCTTCAGTTACAATTAAAAATAATACTTCTTAAGTTATATACAAATAATAATAATAAAAAAAAAACTTAGTAAATTAGTATTAAAATAATTGTATAAAAATGTATAGAAAGTAATCATGTAAAAAAAATATGTATAATATCTATTAGATTGAATTATACAGTTTTTGTAATGTAGAATCCCATCAATACTGCAATACATCCTATTAATACAACAAAGTTAGACTTCATTGCACTGCTTCCCATCTAAACATAAACATTATTTAAATTGTTGATTAAAAGAATAAATACGAGATAAAGATTTTACAGTGATATAATAATTGCAGCGGTCCCCCAAACAACACTCAGCACATTTCCAATCTTGATACCACAGATACGTGCAATAGGGCAATGTTTTAGTTTTTACTGATTCACATGTGGCTCTAGTCGCACATCTTTTTGATACATAATATTGTTTGATTCCTCCTTGAACCCAATACGGAGGAGCTATAATGATAACAATATTTTAGAGATTGATATATCAATAACTTAATAGAAAAAAATATCTCACATCCCCAACTAATTTCTGATAAACACATGTCTTCATCCGGTTCACATGTCTTAATTGTATTCAAACACTTTTCATGGTTTTGATCTTGATTTGTACAAACATAGCATTCCAATGACTCACCTAATACATAGAATTAATATACTTATTATAAATTCCATGATTAGTACATGCATTGTAGTGCATAATTCTAACATTTAGAATTTAGAAAAATTATTAAAATATAAAAATAAAAACCAATTTTTAAATTAATTCTAGTTGTAAAACTAATAGCTTATTCAAGCTGCAAAGTATCTGAATTATTTATACCTATAAGAACACATAAATATTTATAAGAAAACACTTACTGAAGTTTATTAAAACAGTAACTAATATAATAGTAAACGAAAGATAATTTAAAAAAAACATATTTATAATTGTAAATATAATTAGAATTGATTGTTAATTAATTTAACGACCCAACAATAAGAATAACATACAAATTTGTTTAACTAAACCAATTATTTGTTTATAAATTATTTAGATATTTATGTTTTTGTTAATTTGTTTTTGTTATTCAAATTGTTTGATAAGAGACTCACACCCATGAACACACCTTGATACCATGATAATATAAAACAAGTTATATAGACAGTGTGTCCAGATTTATAAAATTAATTATCTAAAATCAACATATGAAAAACGCCATTTATCGCTAACATTTTTAACGTATAAAACCGCCAAAATTTTATTTTAATGTAAAATAAAAATTTCAAAATAATTTTCATGATTATTTATCATGAATATAAAATTTTACCATTTGAAAATATTAATAATATTTTTCTTCTGTGCCTGATCTATCAGTTGTGAAGTAATATTTTACAGCTGTTTATTGCAATATTGCATTATGATTATTTTAATGCATCATGGCAGTTACAAAGACATAAAGTAAAAACCAAACAGTAAAAAAAAACGGTTAATATCAGTAATAAAATAAACGGTTCTTATCAATATCTACCTACCTGGAATAAACGCCACAGTTACCTAAATATTATTAGAGATGGCTATTTTAAAATATATACCTAAGTTTTAAATTTTTAATGATTTTAATGTAGACATGATATAATATATTATACTTCAATATTTTCTCAAATTGATAGTAGTTGTTAGTCACAGTAAGCAGTTAACAGTAATAACCGCTGAAAATCAATTATCAATCTATAATAAAATAGAGTAGATACTAAGTTCCTATACTATGGATAGAGCCACTGCATGATAAGTGCGTAATACGAGTTGAAGACATTATTAACGAGTGCTAAGGGGGACTGATATTTATTGCGCATGCGTATCAGATTCATAGAATATTTATCGTATTAGGTCGCGCGCACATTGTATACGAATTTGTTTGGTACGAAAACGTACGAATACTGGTAGTACGAATTTATTGCGCACACTGAATACGTTTTTTTCGTAAAATAGTCAGTGTACCGGTGATATCGCAATCGCGACGTCCTTAGTATTAGAACCTTATTGTTAGAACGCAATGAATAATCTGTACCTTCAAGATAANTATTATGGAAGACTTATATAATGACCACATACTGTTCCATGGTTATTTACGCATGAAGAAAGAAACTTTTGAATATATTATATAAATTCTTCATTATCCATTTTATTTAATTTATTCATTTATCTATTTCCGGTGTACGAACGTTAATGAAATCCGGACAAGTTCGGATTGTTTTCGTACGTATACGTACGAACAAATCGCATCCAGTCTGCGCACTCACATAGTATTTGGTAGGCCGGGATCGTTCGTGCGTGTACGTACAAGTTCTTTAACCCCTATTCATAAATCTGGCTGTCGTTCAAATGTTTTTTTCAAAAATTCCTAAAACTTCAAAATAAAGTTTTTTTCCCCTTTAACTTAATTATCTACACATTTTTCTTGTTTCTAAATCAGATATTAATGTAAAAATAGATTATTATATATAATTTAACACCATTTTTAAATTGAACATTTATTTAATTATTAAAATACTATTGTCCTTTAAAAAATGTTAATTTATTGTACCAACTCCTAAGAGATGGCTTTTCATTATACATTGGACCATGGGTACAGGATAGTTGTTAGAAAAATTGATAAAGATGAAGATACAATCATTTTTGTAATAAAAAATTTACCAACGTAAAAAAAAAAATAATTTGCCTATGCAATATTTTAACGCTTAATGTTCGTAAACCTTGTATAATTAATTATGTATTCTCTAGTGAATAGTTGATCCACATTGGTTATTTATGATTATTAATGATTCAAATTTAGTATAGGTTTGAGTTAAAACTTTAGTGCAATCACAAACTAATTTAGTTGTTAGTTTACGAACAATAAAGTAGCAATATGTTTATTAATAAACAATTACTTGTTGTAAAAAATTGATTATTATTCTTAAATACTCGTAAATTAATAGCTTTATAATTACTCGGATAGATGCTCCACTGTACAAAATTTATTATAAAATATATATATATATAAATTATTTAAAAAAAAAATATTTGACACTAAAAGTAAATATATTATTGATATTTTTTTTTTAATAATGAAAATGTCTACACAAACATTTTGTTGTTCAACGTTGGCAATATTTCAAATTGAAAAATCCCCAAAGCACTTGGGTATACTATCAAAATTATATGTATAAAAAAAAATTGAATATAGTTTAATCATTAATGGTCTGAATGTATATTGTATACACAGCTGTCAAAAATAATAATATATATTTTAAAAAATATATAATATCGTTGGTGCTTATAACCATTAAAACATTTATTTTTTTCCTTTTAAGGATTTAATATGTCCATAGTTGTATTGTCGGATAGTTTGAAATTACTCAACAGGAACTGAAGAAGTACTAACCGTAAAACCTGTGTAGGTAATTTGTTTCATTTATTAATTTATTTGAACACATCTTCATTTCATGATTCTTTTAAAATATTAATCACATTCTGAATAATTGAAATTGCTGCTACTGCCAATAAAGTTATCAAGAAATAATACTGCCTAGTACATATGCGCATTTAATCAGGTGTAGGGGGTAATGCCCCTCTTACTCCCCTGTGACTACAGGACTGGTTTACGTTCTTTTATTATAGGTTAGTCATTAATTATTTATACAAAGAACAAAGAACTTTTTATTTTTAATACAAACATTAAAAGTAGGCAAATTTACATTTTTGAAACAGAGTTAGAAAAAAAAGCAATATATTTATTTTACATATAATAATATAAAAAGTAATTATAGGATAGTACAACATATTATATAGTACCATATAATAGGTAACTAAACCATATTTGTACTTGCACTATAATAGTAGTCATTTTTGTTACATTCAATTATGGACTGCAGATTTTGATAATTTGCTCCAATAATTATTTTTAAAATTTTTTATATATGATATTATCAATGATATTCAAATATGGTGTAGGCACCTGTTATATAGTACTACATATTATATAGTACAAGCCAATAATACTACTTTTTATATCGTAATATGTAAAATAAATATATTGCTTCTTTTTTTCTCTTAACTCATTTGAAACATCAGTACAATCCTTATTTATATACATATTGAGTTTTTGTGAAAACGTCTCACTAAACATATTCCATTGGTGTGATCTTTTCTCACAATAAATTCTTTTGTACATATTAAAGTGCTATTATAAGAAAAGATCAACATATTACACTCTTAAGACTTTTTTTAAATATTAATTCAATTATATACATTTAAATGGTCCTTTCTTGAAGATGACTTTTTACAAAAGTTACAATCATGAGACTTTTCTCCTTTATGAGTTCTTTCGTGGTTCATTAAGTGCTTTTAACAGCAAACAATTTCTTACAAATGTTACACTTATAAAGCTTTTCTTACACATGTGTTTTTAAATGGTATGTTAAAGATGATGACTGAGAAAATGCCTTGTCACACAAATTACATTTATAAGGTTTTTCTCCTGTATGAATTCTTTCATGAATCTTTAAAGTTTTTTTAGTAGTCAAAATTTTCTTACAAATTTCACATTTATAAGGCTTTCCAATATGAGTTACTAAATGGGTTTTTAAAGTAGATAACTGAGTAAATGTTTTATTACACTTTTCACAACTGTAAGGTTTTTTATTAGTATGAATTCTTTCATGAATCTTTAAAGTGCTATTTCGAGCAAATGACTTCTTACATACACTACATTTATAAGACTTTTCTCCAGTGTGGATTTTCTTATGGTCTTTTAAATTGTTTAATTGCGCAAATGTTGTTTTACACTCTTCACATTCGTAAGGCTTTTCACCCGTATGAGTTTTTTTATGAGTCTTTAAGTAACCTTTTCGAGCAAATAACTTCTTACATACATTACATTCATAAGTCTTTTCACCCGTATGAATTTGCTTATGGTTATTTAAATGGTTTAATTGAGCAAAAGTTTTTATACACTCTCCACATTCATAAGGTTTTTCTCCTGTATGAGTTCTTACATGAATCGTTAAATTATGTTTTCGAGCAAACGACTTCTTACAAACATTACATGTATTTAACTTTTCTCCAGTATTATGTTCTTTAAATGTACTTAATCGAGCGAAAGTTTTTTTACACTCTCCATATTCGTAAGGGTTTTCAACCTTATGAATTTTTTTATGCCTGTCTAAATTTTGTTTTAAAGAAAATGTCTCCTCACAGACGTCACATATGTAAAGTCTTACATCACTATGAACTTCCTTGTGACTTTTTATATGACATTTTAAATTTGATTTTGAATAAAACAATTCACTACAGTAGGAACATTCAAAACATTTGTCTTCAAATTGTGATTCTTGATACAAAATAGATTCCATTGGATCAGTTTCAATAACAATCTCACTCTCATAAATTAAATCATCAATGATGTCAACTTCTTTTTTAATATGAATATTTATTTTTTCATCTTCTTGTTTAGAGTTGAGTGTAAATCTGAAAAAAATAATGAATAATATCATTAAAAACAAATACGAAGATTGTACGATACAATACAATAAAATTTCTTCTAAATATAACTTGAGTACATATAACTTATTATTAAAAAAACTACACGGGAGTGACTTTAATTATGAAAGATTTAATAATTCTACTATTATATCATATTGGTCTAAAAACTTGATATTTTGAAAAACTGAGTACATTATTTGAAATTCTTAATTTAATTATCTTAAGAAGAACTTAAGAATTTGCGTATAATGAGCATGAAAAATGTTTACATAGAAATGTAACAAATTTGTAACTTTTTGTTTTTGATTATTCAACCGATTTAAAGGATGTTTTATGTTATCTATGTGGTCCGTTATCTTTTGTGTTTATAGTACACATTGTATACGAATTTGTTTGGTACGAAAACGTACGAATACTGGTNAGTATTAGAACCTTATTGTTAGAACGCAATGAATAATCTGTACCTTCAAGATAATTCTCTTCTAATCCGGAGACGGCTGCGTCGTCGTCATTATCGTAGAACCGAATGGGTACGGGAAATGTATTCGGTGAATTTCATCATATTATGGAAGACTTATATAATGACCACATACTGTTCCATGGTTATTTACGCATGAAGAAAGAAACTTTTGAATATATTATATAAATTCTTCATTATCCATTTTATTTAATTTATTCATTTATCTATTTCCGGTGTACGAACGTTAATGAAATCCGGACAAGTTATCTTTTGTGTTTATAGTAATTGTTAAGTCAATGTAATACTATAAATTCAATTTAATACCTTTCAGTGGTAATTGTGTTTTTTAGTTTGATTTTTTTTATTATCACTAGGTACAACTTAAAATGAACCTCGTGTAAACATTTAAATCATTTCAGTTTGGTCACACGATTATATCAACTTAGTAACAACTAAATAAGAATTATGTAAAAATCTTACAAACACTAGAAACGGCCAACATAAGTTTTTTCTATCAAAATTTCATTTCTTTTTAAATAACAAAAACAAACGCTTAGTGAAACTAGTAGATCCCTATGTAGATCCTCTATGCTCTAAAATTAGAAATGTACTAAAAAAAAATGACAGTAAGACACTAAATTAAATAATACTCACCCTAATTGCTTTGATTTATCTTTACAATAAGGATTATAAGATGTTTCACCATCCACCATTTCTTCTTTAATTGATCTGAAAGTGGAAGAAATAAACCAATAAATCTATTAGAAAATGTTTAAATTTAAAAGTATAAAAGTGAATAAATGATTTATATAGTCCTATAAGCTCTTTGTAATAGTACATTTGTAGAATGAATGTGTTCTAATTTTTGATTATATTTAAATAATAAGAAAACTGATAACAACAAAAACAAAAAGAAAAATTATGTAACTGTAAAATTGTGTAGAAAGGTACAATCAAACAAAAAATATGTCTTCTTTGCTCCACTTAGAATAAAAAAAGACAGACATTCTTTGTATAGCGGGTGAGTCACTGTAAAAGTGAGAATTTGGTAAGGAAGGAAATGTACGAGAATACAATTTATATCTGTACGTAATGATAAACTATTGCTTACGAAAAACAATTTTGAATGAAATTTGGTTAAACACGTTTGAAAGACCGTAATAATTATAATTTCAGTTAAAGTTTAATCTTAAAACACTTATGAAAAAGAAAACACTAACACATTAAACTTGAAATTTTTTTTTTATACCACTGAGTACAACTTATTATGTACCTGATGTTAAATTGTCAAATATTTCAGTTTAGTTTAACTATGGTATCCACAAAGTAGACATCAAATAAAAATTACATAAATTACTTGTAAAATTAAAATATCTATAAATAGTTCAAAACTTTTTCGAATTTTTTAAAATTTGATCATATCTAAAAAGGCAAATATAAGTTATTAGTCCAAATATTAAGGCTCTACAAATATTTTTGGTGAAACGATAATAAAATCATTATTTTTGTAAATTGTCCTGTAACTTCAAAGTTTTTTTTTATTATTATAGAATATAATATTACATTATACAATATTTTGGAAAATTTAAAAATTATGGTTTGGCTACTCATATGTCAGAATAAAAACAACCTTACCAAAAACTTAGGACATTTTTAAACTTAAGGTCTTTATGGAAAAAAAAACAAAAGTTTATTATATAAAAAATAAGATTAAACAATTTAAATTAAAAAATACACGGACAGTGAAATATTAAATTACATATAACTCACACTATTTGCAGTGATTTGTCTTCGTCATAAGAATTGTAAGGTGTCATGTTATCAAACTTTTCTTCTTTAATTGATCTAAAAGTATAAAAAATTAGGTGGGTGGGTGAAAATAAATAAATTGAGTAATTTTTTACATTTCAATATTATTATTGTTTTAATTTTAACACATTTACTCACTTTGAATTGAGAGGAGAATTTTCAGTGCTTTTATTAACGTCCATGATAAACGTTAACTTTTGTCATTGTTGTTAAATACTGTGAATAAAAATAAATAATTATTTAAGATAAAATTAGATAGGTATTTGAATGAAATATAATTAAAATGTTTATCAAGTGTAATAGCCAATAGGTAATATAATATTATCAGTAATTAACTTTGCGCGAGTGTCTCACTATAGATTTACAGTATTATTTTTGGCTGCGCTATCACTTAATATACGTTATACAGAAGGATTTTTCTATCATAAACCAGCATTTATCTCAAAGGATTTTATGTGAATTTGATTTTTATTTTTTCTAATCATTATGGTAAATTTTAAACTTTAATTTAAAATCATTTTTAATCTTTTACCCTTACTCCAAATACCTTAAAGAAATACATACTTGATTTTCAAATAACTATCACTCCCCCCCTCTTATTAGATAGGCAATTATTCACCCTTTACTACTTCTACGGTCTAAACTTTAAACTGCTATAACTCATAAACGGTAAATCTGATATTATTGTTATGCATATCAAAATTTCTAGAAAAATATTCTCTATTCCAATTGGTGTTCAAAAGGGGGGATTCCTATTTGAAAATCAAAAGCATGTATTTATTTAAGGTATTTGGAATAAGGGTAAAACTGAAAATGATTTTAAAAAAAGCTTAAAAGATTTACTTAAAATCCTCGGAGATAATTGCTGGTTCATGAAAATAAAAAATCATCCTGTATTCTTATATCACTATGACAGTATATCACAGGTAATATTAAATTTATATGGATGTCCTAGTTTGCTCTCTTACCTTTGGTGACGAAGATCGTGTTATCAAACGCGTGTCGGTAGACGCTTGGCTACTCCCGGAGTGGATCGATCATTTATTCCGTTGGTTGTTGGTTGTCGAAATATTTCCTACTTATAACATGTATGTAAGGTAGTTTGGATGGTTTCCGAGGCTAGGTACGAATTCCACTCGGTGCCGAACGGGGGCCCCGGTGTTGGCCGTAGACTCGCGCTACAATTGGCACCGTGCGGTTGGTTTTGAAAGGGCTAATAAGTTTTGTTAGGTAATGGTTAAAAGCTAGAGAACATTTATCAGATGGCGAGGTGAATTGAGTAACGATGCTGTGGCTGCACTCGATGATTGCCCTGAATCCCTGATTGACCCTTGAGTAAAGCACAGCACTAAAATAAGTTTCGCTGGCTGTAATTTAAAGCCCAAGGGTTCCCTAATGTTATATATTTTACAATAATATGATGACTGTATCTGTGTCCCAGCTCAAAAATAACGGAACACCACTAAGTTATTATAATATACGAACATATTACATAATATTTTATAAATATTAGGATATTGTTAATCGTCATCATCTAAGGAAATCAATATTTGCGCAACAGTTTTTCCAGCACGACACATTCGTCTATAATAGTTGGAAACATAACTGTAAAACATTTACTCACTTAATTCGCAATATACTTTATAAAGTAACTTACAAGTTCTCTTTTTAAAAAAATATACAAGACATCATTTTAATCTAATATTAATATCTGAGATCGATGAAGTTGATTAAATAAGAAAAGATTTTTAAATGCTGCACACATACCATAGCCGATAGTCAGACTTCATTTACATTCTTTAATTATAGAATAGTCATTAATTGTTTAACAAAGATTATCGTATAACTTTTTAATTTTAATAAAAACATTAAAAGTAATAAATTTACACATTTGAAACATCCGTGCGATCCTTTTTCATATGATATATTAGGTTTTTGATAAAATGTCTCCCTACACATGTTCCATTGGTGTGCTTTTACTCCACTATGCATTCTTTTGTACATTTTTAAAGTGCTATTGTAAGAAAATATCAACATATAACATTGTTTAAGCTTTTTTCTAATCTGAGTTCTTAAATGACATGTTCAAGATGATGACTGAGAAAATGTGTTGTTACCCAAATTGTCTTCATTATGGTTTACTCTTGTATGAGTTCTTTCATGGAACTTTAAATTGGATTTATAGGCAAATGTTTTTTTACAAAAGATACATTTAAACGGCTTTTCCCCTGTATGAATACTTTCATGGCACTTTAAACTGGTTTTAAAAGTAAATGATTTCTTACAAATGTCACATTTATAAGGCTTTTCCGCAGTATGCTTTAATTTATGTACATTTAAATTGTCCTTTCTTGAAAATGACTTCTTACAAATGTCACATTGAAACGGCTTTTTTCCTGAATGAGTTTTTTCATGGTTATTTAGAGTTTTTTTGGTAGTAAACGTTTTCTTACAAATGTTACATTTAAAAGGCTTTTCCTCAATATGATTTAATTCATGTACATTTAAATTGCCCTTTCTTGAAAATGACTTCTTACAAAAGTTGCATTCAAAGGGTTTTTCTCCCGTATGAATTCTTTTGTGGTTCTTTAAAGTTCTTTTAGTTAGAAAACTTTTCTTACAAATGTCACATTTATAAGACTTTCCTCCTGAATGAGTAATTTTATGCCTGTCTAAATTTTGTTTTAAAGAAAATGTCTCCTCACAGACGTCACATATGTAAAGTCTTACATCACTATGAACTTTTTTGTGACTTTTTATATGACATTTTAAATTTGATTTTGAATAAAACAATTCACTACAGTAGGAACATTCAAAACATTTGTCTTCAAATTGTGATTCTTGATACAAAATAGATTTCATTGGATCAGTTTCAATAAGAATCTCACTCTCATAAATGAAATCATCAATGATGTCAACTTCTTTTTTAATATGAATATTTATTTTTTCATCTTCTTGTTTAGAGTTGAGTGTAAATCTGAAAAAAATAATGAATAATATCATTAAAAACAAATACGAAGATTGTACGATACAATACAATAAAATTTCTTCTAAATATAACTTGAGTACATATAACTTATTATTAAAAAAACTACACGGGAGTGACTTTAATTATGAAAGATTTAATAATTCTACTATTATATCATATTGGTCTAAAAACTTGATATTTTGAAAAACTGAGTACATTATTTGAAATTCTTAATTTAATTATCTTAAGAAGAACTTAAGAATTTGCGTATAATGAGCATGAAAAATGTTTACATAGAAATGTAACAAATTAGTAACTTTTTGTTTTTGATTATTCAACCGATTTAAAGGATGTTTTATGTTATCTATGTGGTCCGTTATCTTTTGTGTTTATAGTACACATTGTATACGAATTTGTTTGGTACGAAAACGTACGAATACTGGTAGTACAAATTTATTGCGCATACTGAATATGTTTTTTTCGTAAAATAGTCAGTGTACCGGTGATATCGCAATCGCGACGTCCTTAGTATTAGAACCTTATTGTTAGAACGCAATGAATAATCTGTACCTTCAAGATAATTCTCTTCTAATCCGGAGACGGCTGCGTCGTCGTCATTATCGTAGAACCGAATGGGTACGGGAAATGTATTCGGTGAATTTCATCATATTATGGAAGACTTATATAATGACCACATACTGTTCCATGGTTATTTACGCATGAAGAAAGAAACTTTTGAATATATTATATAAATTCTTCATTATCCATTTTATTTAATTTATTCATTTATCTATTTCCGGTGTACGAACGTTAATGAAATCCGGACAAGTTATCTTTTGTGTTTATAGTAATTGTTAAGTCAATGTAATACTATAAATTCAATTTAATACCTTTCAGTGGTAATTGTGTTTTTTAGTTTGATTTTTTTTATTATCACTAGGTACAACTTAAAATGAACCTCGTGTAAACATTTAAATCATTTCAGTTTGGTCACACGATTATATCAACTTAGTAACAACTAAATAAGAATTATGTAAAAATCTTACAAACACTAGAAACGGCCAACATAAGTTTTTTCTATCAAAATTTCATTTCTTTTTAAATAACAAAAACAAACGCTTAGTGAAACTAGTAGNAATTGATCTGAAAGTGGAAGAAATAAACCAATAAATCTATTAGAAAATGTTTAAATTTAAAAGTATAAAAGTGAATAAATGATTTATATAGTCCTATAAGCTCTTTGTAATAGTACATTTGTAGAATGAATGTGTTCTAATTTTTGATTATATTTAAATAATAAGAAAACTGATAACAACAAAAACAAAAAGAAAAATTATGTAACTGTAAAATTGTGTAGAAAGGTACAATCAAACAAAAAATATGTCTTCTTTGCTCCACTTAGAATAAAAAAAGACAGACATTCTTTGTATAGCGGGTGAGTCACTGTAAAAGTGAGAATTTGGTAAGGAAGGAAATGTACGAGAATACAATTTATATCTGTACGTAATGATAAACTATTGCTTACGAAAAACAATTTTGAATGAAATTTGGTTAAACACGTTTGAAAGACCGTAATAATTATAATTTCAGTTAAAGTTTAATCTTAAAACACTTATGAAAAAGAAAACACTAACACATTAAACTTGAAATTTTTTTTTTATACCACTGAGTACAACTTATTATGTACCTGATGTTAAATTGTCAAATATTTCAGTTTAGTTTAACTATGGTATCCACAAAGTAGACATCAAATAAAAATTACATAAATTACTTGTAAAATTAAAATATCTATAAATAGTTCAAAACTTTTTCGAATTTTTTAAAATTTGATCATATCTAAAAAGGCAAATATAAGTTATTAGTCCAAATATTAAGGCTCTACAAATATTTTTGGTGAAACGATAATAAAATCATTATTTTTGTAAATTGTCCTGTAACTTCAAAGTTTTTTTTTATTATTATAGAATATAATATTACATTATACAATATTTTGGAAAATTTAAAAATTATGGTTTGGCTACTCATATGTCAGAATAAAAACAACCTTACCAAAAACTTAGGACATTTTTAAACTTAAGGTCTTTATGGAAAAAAAAACAAAAGTTTATTATATAAAAAATAAGATTAAACAATTTAAATTAAAAAATACACGGACAGTGAAATATTAAATTACATATAACTCACACTATTTGCAGTGATTTGTCTTCGTCATAAGAATTGTAAGGTGTCATGTTATCAAACTTTTCTTCTTTAATTGATCTAAAAGTATAAATAATTAAAATCATTTTATTTAGATATCATCCCCAGTTTATTTAGCATCAATTGCTGTTATGGAAACATGTGACAACAGAATTTACATCAATTAGCAAATTATTTTTTTAATTTACGGATTACCTTATAGGTCATAGATCAAATTTTGATTCAATTTTATATAGGTACATAATATAAATATTTGCCCATAAATTGCATATTATTTTATAGTGATATGACCAACAAATATTATTTTCACCGTTGCATGTATTTTGTTTTTACTATTGAATCGGTATCACTGAAACGAGAGTGTTAAAAACATCTATTGAAGTTATTGAAGTTTCGACAAGTCTATTTGTGGCCATACTTATGATACCTCTAATGTTTATTAAACAATAAACTTAGATCAAGTTCTTCTTGGAAGTTGGATTTTTGGCTTTAACACTCAACATAGAAATGGAGATCAGACACGATACAAAACTAATAAGTAAGTTTATTGTCTCAGTATGTATAAACAATTAGCAAACTTTATCAATCAATCAAATAAAAGATACCAAGTATTTTTCAATCATTATTGTTTAAACAATAGACAATTCGTGTTCACAAGTATTGGCAAGGGCAGTGTGAAATGGTATTTTTGAGTCACATATTTCACAACGAAAAGAAAGTGTAGATAAGTCTCAGATGAATGGATGTTCACAAACATATATAACAAAACTATATATTACATACTAAATGCTTCTTACTACTTAGAGTACAATTATCAAATAAAATTAATAGCCTCAATTTTTTGAATGTGCTTGTGTTTACACAAATACTATAAAATTCATTCCCAATTTTTTAATATTCAGAGTCTGATAAATTTCAAAAAGCCTCCCCCTTCCGTGGAAATTAGATGGCGAATGCTATTTTATGTTTTTAGTGACGGGGTGTTGTAGAGTGGAAGTATTTTTGGTAAGTGGGTGAATATAAAATTAAATTGAGCGATTTTTTACATTACAATATTATTATTGTTATTGTTTTAATTTTAACACATTTACTCACTTTAAATTGAGAAGAGAATTTTCAAAGCTTTTATTAACGTCCATGATAAACGTTAATTTTGGTTATCGTTATTAAATACTGTGAATAAAAATAAATAATTATTTAGTATAAAACTAGATAGGTATTTCAATGAATTATAATTAAAACGTTTATCAAGTGTAATAGCCAATAGGTAATATAATGTTATCAGTAATAAGCTGCACACGAGTGTCTTAGTATAGATTAACAACATTATTTTAGGCTGCGTTATCACTTAATATACGTTATACAGAAAGATTTTTGTATCATAAACCAGCAATTATTTCAGAGAATTTTAAGTGAATTTGATTATTTTAATTTTTGATTATATTTAAATAATAAGAAAAATAATAACAACAAAATCGAAAGGAAAAATTATATAACTTTAAATTGTGTAGAAAACAAAAAGAAGTTTTTCAAATGTTTATCAAAGAAAATTTAATCAAATATGGTACCATCAAACAAAAAATATGTCTTCTTTGCTCCACTCAGAAAAAAAAAAAGACAAGCCAGCTGAGGAAGTAGCCTTTCCTCGGCCTGCTTGTCTGAACCTGTTACGATATTATAAAATATCAATGTTAATGATTTAATAAAAAATGAAATTATTTCGTAATACAGCTTCTGCTATGACCAAGGTAGAGGAAACTACAGAGGAAATAGAACAGTTCAGTTTTGTAGCGATAGTTTTCAAAAATGGCTTTTAAATCCGTTTAAACAACAAGAATATACAGATGGTTAAAAATTTAAATCGAAGCTAATCAATCTTCATTTAAAAGTGAAAAAAAAAAAAATTATAATTTCGTGTAGAGTTGAAAATGTTTTAATGTATCGTTTTGTACAGATATAGCTAAATACAAAAGCTTCGAATTTCCATTTCAACCGCGTAAAACAAATTAGAAATTTGTATTTCCATATAATATATATTTTCTGTGATAGATTCGGGAGAGAATTTTCCACGATTCATTAATAATCATATTTCCACGAATCCGGTCGGTCCAGTAAGTTTGTCTAATTTTGTTAAATCTAATTTGGTTTTTCATTTTAAAATAATATGCACGAAATTTCTCTTCGTAATATTTATTCATTATCACGCGCTATCGTTTTTTGAAAGATCTGACCCTATCTCTTTAAAACGGTCGGCTGTAATATTTTCTTCTTAAATACTGTCCGGCCGAAATATTTGTCGGCTTAAATACGGTTCGGCCGAAATACTGTTCGGCTGATTTATTTCCGATTGTTTTACGCACACCCGGCGTGGTTACGGCTGGCCGCGACGGCTGCGATACGGCGCGCAACGCTGTCTCTGGAACGTAGTACACGTTACGCTTCACTTTTGGTGTGCTTTTATTCTAAATTTTAATCTATGTTACAACTTAAAAAAGTCATCGATGCGTAAAACGCATTATTACTCTGTGGTAAAACAATCTAACCGAAACCATCTTAAGAATATTACGCTTTTTAGTCAATCGTCTTTTCGTAAGTCGTGAGTCGTAAAATATTTTACTGTAAGTATAATATTATTCTTATTGTTTTTAATAAATTGTATGTCACTATGTAGGTATTTAAGACTTTCTGACCACAAAATTACTTATCTAGAAAATAAAAAGGTATCTACTTATAAGTATTCCTATCATATATTATTATATTCAAATTAATTTCTTCTTTACTTATACTTTCTATTTTATATTTGGTATAAATCTAGTTTAGCCCCCCCCCCCCCTCCCCCTCGAAATTTCGTTAAAATTGTGTAAAATTTTTCACTATTGGCTGTAAGTATTTTTCAGCACACTCATAGGTATTGTTAATTAGCCATATGATTTGTTTCTGCAGTATGACTTACCTTTTATTTGCACATTGATTTATTTGGATCTAGCATATAATCTCTCCAGACCAAATTTTCCTCTGAAAAATTTTCTCCTTTTTTAATAACTGTATATTTTGGCAATATTTCTCCATTTATTTATTATAATTTATTCATATATAATTGTATAATTGTATTTTATATAACATTAATAAATTATAAATTAAGTAAACACATACAATTACTGATTCATTAAAAAAACAATTAATAAATTTAAATTACCAAAAACAATGATATTAGTAGTGAAGTTGTCCAACTAAATAAAGAAATTAATATGAAAACTAAACTTTTCTGTGAAGCTCAATAATGTATATTTGCAAAAGGAGTTAGGAAACAGGATAAGGCTATTATTGACATTATGCTAAAATATGGGGAGAATTTGTACATCCGCGGAGAATGAGTTGGAAAAGTTTGTTTTTGTGAAGATTTTGTCTATTTACTGATTTATGTAGGTACTAATTATTATTTTTAACTTTTTTTTTCAGGTACCATTTGAGTTTTGTATGAAATGGTTTTATTAGACATGTTGTTATAGTTTTGTTGTCCATTCTGTCATAAATAGCCGCTTACATAAATTGCAAACTTCAATATAGTAATCCAATGAACAATTCCCATAATCTCTCTGCTGACGAAAAAATGTCTTCTTCGTTGCAGCTTTTTGGCAATGCCAAAAAGAAAATAAATGCTATATTTGTTGATTTATTGTATTATGTAGCTGAAGCATCTGAACGTATAAAAGGTAATTGTTATACAATTTATTGTTAGGAATAACTTTATGTAATAAGTATGTTTGTGATGAGTTATCGATTAATTGATATATTATATTATTCTTGATGAAAATTTCCCGATCAAAATAATTGAAATTTGTAAAAAAATCTTTGGATTGTTTATTCATTCAATTAAAAAATATTACTTGTTATTAAATTATTATTATTATTTATTTTGTTTAGATGTGAATGATAAATATCCTGATATTATTAACGCAAATGAACTAAAATCTATAAAAGAATATGAATCTAAAGTTAGAGGAATATGTGAAGTATTGACTCGTGATCACATGAAAGTTGCATTTTTTGGAAGGTTTGTTTTTTTACTTAAGTTTTTGTTAAGTATGGAACTAAAATATGTAAATTTAATTAATTAAAAACACAATGTTTAAGAAAATATCATACCCACATTTACTCTGTTTTTCTAACAAGGAAATTAGCAAAAAATACCCTACATTTAGGAGAATGTTATACTTGCATTTACCTTTCTCAGTTCAACTACCAGGTAATATGCAAAAACAATGCTTACACAGAATAAGTAAACAATTAGCTTAATTTTGAATTTAGAAGAAAATTACCAATTATTGAATAGTTAAATAATAATCTCTACACATTTCATGATATGTACATGAATTTTTAACTAAAATTAAAATTAAGCTAGTTTTATTTGTTCTGCGTAAGCATTTTTTTTGCATGTTATTTGGTAGTTAGACTGAGGCATTAGATGTAGGTATAATGTCCTCTTAACATAGATTGTGTTGTTTAGGTTGGAATTGAACTTTAAACACAAACATTAAAATTTAAAGATGATCATAATTTTAAGTTCTTTACATAGTAGCTTTAGTCAAAAAATTGTCACACAAAATTTAAATACTTACAACAAAGTTAGTTTTTGCTTTTTTTAAAGCATTTTTAGTTAGTTTAGTTATACTGGATCAGTATTGGGTGTAGCCTCCTCAATTAATATTATAATAACTTAAACATTTCAATATATTATTTTTGTGATTTTCAGTAAAGAAATGATTAAATTTATTTTGGTCTTATAGAAACTGTCAATAAATGTATTAAAAGGTTAATATTGATTTATACTTTGTGATAAAAAAAAAAAGTAACATAACTACTCCGAATCGTTTTGCTGAAAATTATTTATTATTGCGTATAGTAAAAAAAAAATATAATTCCACATTATACTCTATACATAATATAGAATATTCTAATATTCTACATTCAACAATGATCTACTTTTTCCTAAAATATTTAATTTTAATTTTATATGGTAGATATTTAAAAATAAACATGCATTGTACATAAATGTGTATTAATATTAAACTGCTAATAGAAAATTTAATCTTAATAGTATTAATAACGCAATATTTTTAGAACAAGCAATGGAAAGAGTACAGTGGTGAATGCTATGTTGGGAGATAAAGTCCTCCCAACTGGTATAGGCCATACAACTAATTGTTTTTTGCAAGTTGAAGGTTCTCAAAGTGGAGATGCATATTTGGTTATTGAAGGTAGTAATGAAAAACAGAACGTAGAAGTAAGTTGGTATCTAATTGTGTAATCAGATGTATACCTATTAGTTTTATCTTTATATGTATAATTTCTAATTTTTTTTTTCTGTCTGTAGTCTATCAGTCATTTAGCACACGCATTAAACCACGAAAAACAGTTAAATGAGAAAGAATTAGTGCATGTCTATTGGCCTAAGGATAGGTGTGTCCTATTAAGAGACGATGTAGCCTTAGTTGATAGTCCTGGAGTAGATGTCACTCCTCATTTGGATGATTGGATTGATAATCATTGCATCGATGCTGATGTGTTTGTTTTAGTTGCTAATGCTGAATCANAGTTATATGTTTATCAAATTAATGGTGTAAGCAGATATCATAAAATCCATACAGTATTTTTGCTATATCCTATAAAATTTTTAATAAACACATTGAATGCAATTACACATGGATTGATACAGTAAATAGCCAAGTATCATAATTTGAAGAACAATTTCATTGTTCAACACTATCTTAATTTTTTATTTAATTTTTCTAATCATCGAAATTGTATATATTATTGTATTTAAATATACAGTTAAAATGTAAATAATAAATCTATTGCACTGTTTTTATTGGTCAAAACAATAGAATGTTCATGCCCCCTGTCTAATAATAAATATTCAATAAACAACATGTTTTTTGTTGCCTACTCTTTTTATCAGTTCTCCCCTGTACACTTAAAATTTGGGAACCGTTGAGTAAACATAATTCTATTTTCAAAATTACTTGTTTCCATTAATAGTATTAGTGAATTTGTGAAAGTTTATTTTTATATTGCATATTTAGTATGATTGTTAAATTAACTATTTTTGTATTAAAAATTTATAAATATATGGGTGTTAAATTCTAAATAAAAAATATTTCTTAACTATCAAATGTATTCTATATTGATTATTCTATTAGCAATGTGTCTAAGATTTGAACTTGAATAGAGATATTAGAAAATAATTTTTTATTATAGATTATTAGGTAAATTAAATAATTCAGTTTTAATAAATAATTTGAAATTTACAATAACCATTTTTGAGCAACATCTTAATACAATAATGCTTGAAGTAAAATATTTTGTTGAATTTTAAAATATTTTTGTTTAGGAGAAAAAGTTCTTTCATAAAGTATCATCAAAACTGTCAAAGCCAAACATATTTATATTGAATAACCGCTGGGATGCATCTGCTAATGAACCTGAATTTTTAGACCAGGTAAAATGTACTATTAATATACTAGAATATTTACTTAACTTTTCTTTTTTGTTTGTTACCATCATTGCGTTCAGTTTGATAGATCAGGTATGGAAAATTAATATATTTTTTGCTGCATTTTAATTACGCTTTGACTGCATATAGACACCAATATTGGCGTCATAAGGTTAATTTATCAATGTTTACAACGCCATTGCGTCCAATACACATATGTCATACAATGTACATATTTTAGTATTCCCTGCATGTGGTTGACTGATTTGATTCTTAATTAGTGTCATTATAAGGCTATAGATTAAAAGGATAAAGATTAAAAATGTATTTATGAATTGGAATTAAAACTATAAAAAACATACACAATCAACATATTAATACATTTTTGAAGTATAATTACTTAAAAAATGTGTGTTTTCAGTGACACAACACGGTATGTATTGGTTAGGGTGCAAGTCTACTTGATGTGGCACATAGAATAAAAATCCTTTGAAAATGCCATTAATTAATCAGTAACAACCAATTATATTAAATACCATTCGGTCCACCAGTTGTTGATTTAGCAGCAGCCCATGGATGCTATTGCACTCCCAGTTGTTGCGGTACTGAGTTAGTTCTTTATATTTACAATAAAAATATGTTTTCAATAATAATCGACCATGTAGGTCGATGCAAATAAATTTATAAATAACATTATGAAAAACTTAACATACAAACTGTGTTTTTGTTAGGTACGTAAGCAACATATGGAGCGCGCTACAGATTTTCTGATGAAGGAACTGAAAGTTTGCACAGCTGATGAGGCGTCTACTCGAATTTTTTTTATTTCTGCTAAAGAAGTTCTTCAAGCTCGTGTACAAGAGCGAAAGGGATTAGCATTAAACAGTGGTGCATTAGCTGAAGGATTTTCAACAAGATACATGGAATTTAAAGAATTTGAACATAGATTTGAAGAATGTATTTCAAAGTCAGCAATCAAGACAAAGTTTTTGAATCATTCACAACAAGGGAAACATTTAATCAAGTTAGACACTAATATTATTTAAATACCTTATGAATTTTAATAATTTGTATCTTTTATTGTCTTTTGTTACCATATTAATAATAATTATAAGTATTATGTTTTTAAACAAATTTTATTTTAACAAGTGTATTATTGAAGAAAACAAGAATTATAATACTAGTAGAAATTAAAATATTGGTAAACATTTTTTAAGGGACATGTTGAAAATTATGGACATAATTTATAATAGAAGTCAAGAACAAAAAAATCTAAAATTGGATGAAATCAAAAAATGTCAAAAGAAGTTAAATTACACAGAACAATCACTCATTAGTATTACTAACGACATGAAAATGAAAATTGGTCAGATGGTTGACGATGTAAAAGATAAAGCAAGTTTATTTTACATAATTTTTTTATTATTTAATAATAATTAAATAAATATCATAATTTATATTTTGTATCATTTTTAGGTATCTAAAGCACTGAGTGATGAAATAGGCTGTTTATCTGTTTTAGTTGATGACTTTAATTTGCCATTTCATTTAGATCCATTGGTTTTAAATGCTTATAAAAAAGAACTCCATAGATATGTGGAATCTGGTATTGGTAGTAATTTGCGAACTAGACTTTCTACTACTTTAGCTTTGAATATCAACCAAAGTCAAAAAGAAATGATTGAAAAAATGTCTGGATTGATACCAGAGGAAAAAAGAAACATACGTTTAAGAAATCTGCAACATGAACTATTTGAAGTTTTATACCGTTTGAATTGTGATAATCTATGTAGAGATTTCCATGAACAACTTGAATTCAAGTTCTCTTGGGGATTATCCACATTATTTGGTCGTATGACATCATTTACCAGGTGGTCAAGTAATCAATTGAGAATCATGATGGTAAATTAAAAATATTATTTAATAAATAAGGTGGTTAGTAATTATTTGTATTATGCCATTGTTGATTTTAGTCTTCACAATCTAACAATCGATCACAGTTTAACAATCAATCACAGTCTAACAATCCATCAATCAATGCTTTTGATGGGCCACATGGTTTAACCATGGAACACAATTTGTCTGTGATCTCTCGTATTTTAGCAGTTTCTTTAGAAACTCAAGGTGCTGTGGGGGGACTTATTTTTGTAGCTTTTGTGAGTATTATTAATATTTAATATGAAATTTGATTTAATGTTATATGCCATACTATACATAAATTTACATGTTTTTTTTTTAGATGTTAAAGACTGTTGGATGGCGTTTGATAATAGCTACTGGTGGCATATACGGATGTCTTTATCTATATGAGCGACTGTCATGGACAATGAAGGCTAAAGAAAGAGAATTTAAAAGGCAATATGTCCACCATACAACGAATAAACTCAGTATGATAGTCGAACTTACATCAGCGAATTGCAGTCATCAAGTTCAGCAGGAATTATCTACTACTTTTGCACAATTATGTGAGCTGGTTGACAGATCAGCCACTGATCTCAATGATGATATGAAAAGTTTAGATGGTAAATTAAGAATATTATCCAAGAATACTGAAGTATTAAAAATGCTAAGGAATAAAGGTGATGTGTTGAAAGCAGAGTTGAAGCAATTTAACGACACTTTTCTATCTAAATAACTAGTCAAAATATGTTTATTATTATTTTTTTTAGAGTAAGAACTTGTTTTATCTTTGAAAGTTATCATTAATTTAATCGTTTTAATGTTAAACATTCATAATTGTACCAGTTTTGTTTTTAGTAAACATAGAATAGTAAGAATACTACTAAAAATTATAACATTTAAGTAGTGTCACTATATCGTACATATAATTTCTAATAACTGTCTTAAATAATTGTATATATGGAATAATAATCTATTCCAGAATAACTTTTAAAAATTTACAATTTTCACTGACTTCCTTTAACTAAACAAGCAGACTAGATAAAATATATTTTGTATTTAATTTGTTATTCAGACTATTAGACTTTAGACATTATTAGACTATGTATTATCACATTTTATATTAAATTAAATCTTTATTAAAATAATAAATTAATCATTATTTATAATTCATTTTATAAAAAAAAAAAAAATTAACAATTTATATTTATTAATCTTGAGTTAAATATATGTAATATAACATTATTTATAACGGATTTTTTTCTTATGGTAAATTGGACTATTAATATTAATAATATAGGCACACTGAAAAAATATTTGGTCATATGTGTTTATTAGTAGTGAGGTACAATAGTGGTACATGTCCCCTAATGGCTTTTCAGTACTTATAATGTTTTAACAGTTTAATAAAATGGTTAATATGATTATTTAAATGTATAAATAAATATTTATAATGAGATGATAGTTAAGATAAAATGTTACTTTGTTTCATTTTCAATAAATATTATAGTACAATATATTAAAATTAAAATAACACAGAAGATAGATATTAAAATATACCAATTAGTAATTTTTGTACAAGATGTTCTACATCTAGTTCTAGTACATTCTACTTCTAGTTGTAGAAACTAAACAACTACTCCGAAATAGTTTTTATCGAAATTCTAATAGATTAATTTTAATTTGAATTCATCATTTAACTTTGAGTTTTATCACCTTCATATTGATTAATAATTGTTATATGTATTTCCCATTGTTCAAAATATGTATGTTTTTATCAAGGCCGTTTTTTCATAGATATATAAAACAGTCTCTGGTAAATTTTCTTTTAATTGCCATCGCTTTCTCCTTATGAATAATTCTGCTTTCAAACATAAATTCATACTAATAAAAGTCATTTTCGTAAATAGAAGCAGCATCTAAGATTTATTGGTCATCACCAATGGTGGTTTATTATCAAATTAGATGGTATGAGTCCATCTAGTGGTAGGTACCTATAATTGTTTCTAGTAAGTAAAACTATAAATAGGTCATTAATAAGTCTTTAGAATGTTTTGACAGATTGACCACGTCTATTATAAATGTCTAATATTTTGTGAAAATTGTTAGATCTACGATTATTTTAACTGAATTAAAACAAAATCGAAAATAATCAGACCATTATTACCGTAAATTGTCCCAATTATTAAGAAAAGATTACGAGAAAATCGAGAAATGACTTCCGTAATTCATCATTTCAAATTGCTGAAAAAAAATGCTTACCCGTCATTTTTTGATTTGAAGAATACCTATGTGGTAGAATAATTGATTACAAACGCAATAGAAAAAAAAAAAAAAAAAGCAGTAGAACTGAAAATCACGATTACGGATTTTCGATAAATATCATTAATATTTTTTTAAAAACTTTTACATAAATATACGAGTAATAAATATATTAAATATATTAACCATATACTATACATTGTGTATTTAATGTCCTAATACGTATAATTACCTAAACCCTAATTCCCAAAGGTGTTGTAGTCGTTATTGGAGAAGATAAATTATTTAATATTTTATGATATTATTTGAAAAAAATGTGAGTTCTTGCCTAATATTATTTATTTAAAAACAATTTGTATATCGTTGTAAAATTTGTCAAATTCGTATCATACCTAATTATTTAAGTTCCAAAAATAAAGAGCTGATAAAGCGGATGGGATGGGAGCGGCCATTATTGTAGGTGAGAGGTTGAGAAGTTAGGATACATAAGGTTATTCGATTGATATCTGTAAGCAACGATAAACCAAACGAAAGATGATTCCGAGCGCAGTTCGGTAATATATAATTTGAAGGGCCGTAATTTTTTTTGCAATTTTTGTTAAAATTTGATTTTAAAACACTTATTAAAAAAAAAAAATTCGTTCGATAATTTTTACAATTTTATTACGTCTAGATAAGTCCAGTATAAGTATTATTAACAAGTTTTAAGTCTCTACGTGTATTTATAATCGAGTAACAGAAAAAAACTCACAAAAATTAAAATACCTTAAAAGCTCGAAAGTGGCTCAAAAGTTTTTGAGGTGATACCGTAAGAAATTGAATCCAAAAGATAACAAAAAAAGTGTCTTGTGATTTTTCGATTAAATCATTTTTTCTGGTAGAAAACATCGTTCGCGTTTTTATAAAATAATGAAATTGTGAAATTGTACGTTTTCCTACGTTTTTTCCCACATAAATGCTTTTATTTGAAAAATGGTGTCGAAAATCAAAAAATTACCTCTTTTAAAGTACCATCTAGAAAATTTGTGCTTTCAGAAAAGTTGCTATATGTAAAAATCGGAACAAGTTTACTAGGAAAAAACGTGTCCACATACTAGAACAAAGAACAAAGAAAAACAAATAAACATGGTAAAACCAATAGCTTCCTCGCTACAATCGGATTAAATCGGACTAATCGGATCGAATAAAAGTTGACATGTAAACTTTAAATAATATTTTATGTAGCATATTTAGTAGACTTTTTTGTATTCCTAAATGTTCTCAATTTAAAACTTCAAGGACATACAAATATTCTGAAGTCGTACGATACAATTCAAGCTTTTTTAGAAAAAAATTGTGGCAACGCCGTCTTTGTGTGACCAAACCTAATTTCTCAACTTAATGAACTTCTTGATGATACCAAAAATCACATATTAAATATCGAGTTTATGGAATTGATTTCAGCATATCTGGTATCTTTAAAAGACCAACTATCAAAGTACATTCCTGATATTTCTACAGAGAACTGGCATTTAAACTAGTATTAGATTTATTCAAAATTGATGTGGACATACTTCCAGATTATCTTCAAGAGCAAATCATCGACCTTAAGAATTATTCCCAAGCAAAAGAAGACTTTTCAAATAAGACTTGAAGATTTTTGGCTGTGTTATCTTTCTGTATATCTAGAAGTTGCCAATGAAGCTACGAAATTAATGATTCAGTTTTCTTCCACTTCTGTGGAAATGTTGTTTTTCGGCGCTTGCTTATATAAAATCTAAATATCAAGCACGATTGTACGTGGACAGTGATCTGAGATGCGCATTATCACAGATGTCGCTAAACATTCAAAAATTGATTAAAACTAAACAGTCCCAACCTTATTATTAATTTTATGTTTAATAATAGTTAATTTTAATTTTGAATTGTAATAATATTTTTTTTCTTTGGCAAATAAATTCATTTAATATTAAAAAAATTTCATTGAAGTTGTATTAATATTAATCCAATAACCAACATTAAAGTATAGTTTACATATAAATATTATGCATACATCAATCATATATTAGTGAGGAGGTGGGGCGTAAACTCATATAATAGTTTGAAAGCGGGTGTGGACCTCAAAAGGTTGAGTACTCATGATGTAAAGGTTGTTTTAATAAAAATCTGTATTTATTTATTATTATTAAAGAAGAAAAAAGTAATATAAAATAAATCATAAATAAGTGAAATAAAAACAACTCATATAATTTTGTAATATTGGCATATAATACATAAATGACAATGTCCGGTAATAGGTATATGGGAAAAACAACAAAGACATCCAAAGATTATGGGAACGGGTGCAGCTACTATGATAGGTAATTTTATGTTTAACTATTGGCAACGACTAACCATTGCTAACAAAAAAACTTTTCTGAATGGAGTTCAGTCGAAAGACATTACTTTGCTTAGTCAACAATATATAAGTCATATTATGAAAAAATAATTAGATAAGCATTATATATTTTCTTACATAATATTTGTTTAATGTACTGATTTTCCTACATTTTTCCTCCGTTTTTTTTTTCTTCGGTTTTTTACTTTGTTGAGAAAACTCCTGAGAAAATCGAAAAATGACCTCCTAAAGTACCTTCCCACAAGTTCTCTGATAGAAAAATTATCCACAGGAAAAAAAAACATCTTTGTACAACCATAAACTTCTTCGCTCCAATCTAAATCTAAAATTCAATTTTTGTTTTATTTAATAAATTTTTAATAATAAGAAGAAAACGTAGTATTGTTTGGTAACATATATTATGACACGATAATGTATAGACAATGTAATGTAATAGGAGTTGTGAATCTAATAAATAGTATTCGCATTTATTTAAAATTGTATGCAGCGATAATAAATTGGCACTAGGTTATTATGACGTAAGGAGCCTGGTCGTGTTGTTGATTAAAAACTCCTGGAATCTGCATGGATGCACTGCATTTTTATAATATTATAATATGCGTTTGGCGAAAGCATATGTGGGTTTATTCTTCAAGAATAATAACACGCCAGAGAAGCATAATACCATGGAAATTCGGCACAATCATCTGATAAGTAAATGTTTAGTTTTGTTATACTGGTCGTATCTCGATTTCGCGTATCTGAAAATGAATAAAAGAATTTTAATTAACATTTAATTTTGGATTAATTGTGAACTATTAAATAGTATCATATAATCTATATATAGATTATATTATATATATATAAAAAATCACTATTTAATGATAAAAATAAAAAAAATTGTAAAACTTAGGTCCGTGTCTAAGGGGGGAGGGGGGTGCGAGAGGTTCCACAAACCGAGCACTATGGCCACAGGAGCGCCAATGAAAATTTGTGTGGTTATGTAATTGAATATTTTGACAATAAAGGCATGAGTGATATATAAAAATATATAAAATCTTTAAAAATTATTTTACTATAAAATGACATATATATTGTTGATAAAGCATCACTATTAATTGAACTCTGCTTAGAATCGTTTTTACGTAAGCGATGGTTTATCATTGCTTACAGATATACATTAAATTCCTGTCTATATCCTACCTTACTAACTTCCCACCTATACCAGTGGCTGCACCCGTCCCCATTATCTTACCTTTTTTTTTTGTTATGAAATTAAATACCTACTAAAACAACTACAAGCTTAAAACTGCATTATATTATTTTATAATTAAATAATTTTTTGAATACGTAACATAAAATGAATACACACATATATTATATTATTATAATTTATGACAGTTATAAGTGAATATAATTTTAATGTAAATAAGAAGCTTAAAAGTCTATCTTTGACAAAAACGATTCGTCCTTGATTTTATCAAAGCAAATTTACGAACAAGTTCTTCCCACTTTATGTGTTTAAATATTTCAGACTCGATAGACAGTATTAAAAAATCTAACATTTTCTCAGTAACAGTAACCGCCCTAGAGTAAAAGCAACTTTTTGCACCTATGTTAATCCGGCCCTGAATTAGTAGTATAGACACTAGACAGTTGTATGCTAAAATCTATAATTGTTAAACATTATTAAAGGTTATGGAGAAATAGTTTACCCTAAATAATCGAAATCGATTTGGGAAAATTCGGTCTGTACGAGTGCCCAAAATGTCCACAGTAAATGAGACGCGATTGTAAACATGTCCACTTGGTTTTTAAGCACCGTCACCCTTTGGTCGTTTGGATCCAGCGATTCGTCGAGATATTCCTCAAGGTAAGCTGTCAACCAGTTTATCTGCAATTCGATATTTGGATAGAGTGAAAAGCCTGGATCTTGTACACCTGTGTCATTGAAACGTCAACATGTGTTTTATAAACGATGTATAAAGAAATTCGATAAAATTCGGAGTCGCACGTGCGCCATGACAATGTAAAACAAAAGGTTTTTCAAACGGCGGTATTGAACAATAGCGCGAGTGTATTATCGAAGTGCTCACCGGAAAATTCGATAAAATGATTGGCTATGTCGAACGCTTGATGGTTGGGCATGGCGTATTCGTAGTCTATGAAAGCTACATTTAAGGGCTGTCCTTTGACGACGTCCCTTTGCAGGATGATATTGGTCAGTAACAGGTCGTTGTGGCTAAACACAATAGGACTCCCGGAGTTTTCCAGAGCGGTCTTTAAAGGTCCGATGTCCGCCCGTAGACCTTCGACACCTGGCACAAACATCTTTCGGAACCTGCGTAAGTACATAAAACATGTTATAATTTATTTTTTTTTATAATGAAGAACTCCAAAATGTATTCCTAAGACCGGGTATTACGAGGGAAATCAAGAAGAGAAGGTGGGCTAAGGTTGGCCGGCCATACTTTTTGCCACACTTGGCAAAAAAATGGCACATTGATTAAAGTGATCAATGAACATCCGATGGGAAAAAGACTGCTGAGTAGGCCACGCCTTAGATGGGAGAATTGTGTGAAAAAGGATGTAGTGATAGAGGTGAATTGAAAAGAATTGGCGGAAGGTAGAGAGAACTGGAGGAAAATTTTGTATTACAGAATGGTCCTAAAAAGCCAAAATCCGAAGAAGAATTTAATATTTACAGATCCTCTCGTTATTCGTATTTAGATCGTTCAATCGTTATCATAATAATATTGTATTTGGTTACAAGTGGGCACTAACTGTTGGTCGGTAGTCGGACAATTGAAACGGTTCGGAACGAGACTGGCGAACTGTTCTATTTTGTTCCAAAGTCCGCATTCAGCGCCACCGTCGCTCGTCCCGTTTATGTCAACACGGTGAAATTTCGCCATAGTTTTGGCCACGAGTCTGTAGACATCCGGTTCTCGGACCGTGGTCGTGGTCAGCGTTTCCCCGTGGATGTATTTGTACGCCATACCGTTGTCGAACGTGGCGTAAATGTCCGGCGCATGTCCGACACGGTGTAATAACTGCAAATCCAAAATTATATTGTTAATGACTGGCTTTATTATTCGGAAAAACGTGTTTGTACTATATAGAGTAGTCGTGTCGGCTAGAACAACAACAATTTTTATTAATTTTACGATAAAACGTATACCTGTAACGTGTACCTTTTTTCTCTGAAAAACCATCCTTTAGTGTTGGTAAAAACGTTCAATTTTTTTCACGTATTACCTTATAAAAGATGGGAAATTTCTGGTCGGTGGTATATTTTTAAAATATCCAACAGTGTTTACTCCGTCTAACTATTTTTAGTTTTTATTCTCGGAAAATATTTTAGTCGGTTAGAAATAACGCTTAAAATATCAACTTCGTCATGGAATGTTTCCTATATACACTTTTGAACCTAGTCGGTAGATAATTGGACATTTTTGATTTAGAGCGAAGCGAGGGGGACCTATTGGTTGATACTACTGAGCATTTATTTTGCTGTGTGTGTTTTTTTGTGTTTGTAAACAACTTTACGAACAGAAATCTTGCTCCGATGTATACAGTGTATAGTAACTTTTCTGAAAGTTAATTTAATTTAGTCGTTTTTAGATGATCTGAGGGTTTTTTACAATAATTGGGAAAACCCCGAAAAAAAAAAAAACGATTTTCTTTTTCAAATTACGGAGCAATGATTTTATGTTTTTAAATTTTTATGTAATTTCAAATATTTTCTTTGAAAAATATTGCACCAATAGAAAAACAACAAGAGACCTTTTCTGTTGGATTTTTAATTTAGTTGGTGATCAAGAAAGTCGATTTTTGATATTCTTTATAGTTTTTTGAATAATTGAGCAAAACTGAAAAATATTCGTAGAAAGAACGTGACAATTTACGAAAATAATTATTTTATTATTTTAAATTTCCAATCAATATATATATATTTAACCTACCTATATGCAATTTTCACAGAACACTCTATAACAAATTTTATCCACTATTAAATTAAGTACTAGGTAGTTTTTGTTATTTTTTTTTTTACATACGAGTAGCAATATATTTAGGAACCAATATATGACATGAAATTATATTTATTAAAATAGTATTATTAATATCCGTATTATATTGTTTTTCAATCACGTAAGCAATGTATATATCATTATCAAATGAATGATATTAGGTAATATTATAAGTTGAAACGTAAAATATATAGGTACTAAAAATTAAGTAAACTGAAAACAATTGATTATTACGATAATGTGCACACTGAATAATAGTGTAAAGTCTAAAGTTAACATAAACCTACTTTGCCAGTGTAATTCTTTTGTAAACTCCAGTCATTAAATACCATTGAAAAAACGTGATAAATGCTCATCATTTATTCAATACGGTTATGAATAAATAAATACTGTAATAGTAAAATCCGATTATACTTCGCAACGTGGGTATGCGTGTTATAAGCTATTGATGTCGGCTGGAAAATCTGGGAGGTATAGACTATAGGGCAATTCTGTTTACATGCTTATTGGAAGTAACGATGATACACCGTTGCAATCAAAAAACGGAGCTCGGTAATCCGATGTAAAGTTATGATGGCAGGCTTACAACCCAAACTCATAGTTTTTTCGCTACACTCTGCAGAAACTGAAATACAACCAATAGGAAATACCGAAGAATTTGTCCAGGTTAGACAAATGCCGTTTACTATAATATCGTTATCTCTAAAAGTTGACACGAAAAAGAAAATCGTATAAAGACGAACCTTGAAGTTTTTGAATTCCGTTTTTCTGTCGATGATTTGATCCGTATTTTTACCATAGACACGCACCAGCACGCCATCGTCTTCCGGACGAAAATCGTTGAATATTCCGATCAACTTGTTAGTAATACCATCTGTGAACAACTAATATTTTATACACAATATTGATGATTAGTTTAATTTGATTTATTCTGCACGGAAAGCTGATTACAACAAAATAAATATCGTATACATAATAATATAGTTTAAACATAGTAACAATAATCATCAGACCGGATGTATATTTTTTCATAATTCACAAATAAGCACTTGAAAGCACCAAATAAAAGCACGGAAAAAACATCCCAAAAAATAAAAATTATAGAGGGGTTTTAAAGTCCCCTTCTAATGGTTCCTCTAAGTTATTAATTGCATTTCCTAATATTATAAAAAAAAAAAAGAAAAATCATTTTTTATTAATAATTTTTGTGCTATTAGAAAATGATATTTATAAATGAAATCCGTTAGATGGGGAACTATTAAACCCTTCTATTATTTTCACGTTTTTATATAATATTTGTTGATTTTTTTTTTTAAGACTTTTTGACATTTTCAAGAGCATTTTTGTGGATTTTAAGAACATCTTAGGCCTCTAATCACCACTATAATATAAACGCGGATATTGAACCAGGACAATACTATTATGAACGGGTACCTACGTTGTATGTATCGTACAACAATATTGATAACAATAATATTATTTACCTTGTACCGGATTTTGTCCAAATCCCAATCCGGTCGGATCCGTTTCAATATGATACGAGATCCGCTTTCGATATCGTCATCGTCCACGAAAATGGGCACGTGAGGAATTGCCGCAGACATGTCGTTCGAACGATCAGCTAATAATTATTGATCGGCGATAATATGTTTCGGCACATGATCCAACGGGTACGAAACATCACACAAGTGGGGCGAGTAAAACGACAACGGCCATGCGCACGAACCGGCAATAATATTATACAATAATATATTAGTCGTACACCGCGTTTGTTTTCTCATACGTTGAACGCGTTATTTATTACACGCAGTCAGTTACGTAGTTATTGTTGCTAATTGTGCAGATCAGAACAAAAAAAAAATAACCAATTACGAGCTCGTAATCTGTAAATAACAATAAAAAAACATCGCTTTATTATTACACCCAATTCATAGATAATAACAGTATAACAGATATACTGCAGGTACTACACACACTATACAGATTCTTCCGAATTTTACGTTTACGGTTTTGAGAGTTACACCATAATAATAGTAAGATTTGATAATTCGGAAAACTGTGTGAAATCTGCAGTGAGTAACAATGGGTTGACTCGTAGTCGAGCGTTTCGCATTGTGCGATCGTCATTTTTTGTTTTTAATATTGTACCAAATAAAATAACGTACAATATACAGAGTGTTCTATTAATTCAAATGCTGCGCACCGTGCCACCACACAAATGATGCTCCGCTACCTGTTAGCCAACCCATACTTAAAAGTAGAATATCTCGTCAACGGATAGACGGAAATCAAAAATTTCAATACTAAAATTTATTTTAACTAATACTCCGTCTATTTATAAAATTTTCAATATAGGTTGTCAAAAGTAGATAGTGGTTTTACTCCCGAAAATATGGTCGATAAAAAAAATAACATAAAAGTAAAATTGTAGAGCTGCTTGTTTGTTAAACGTTCTATAAAACAAATTTCAAAAAAAATTAATAATTTCCGAGATAGGTAAATAAATCTCAATTAAATGAAACATCTTGTATTATATAATAGATTATGTACGGCGGTACCATATTGAACCAAGTTGAATATATATATTATATTTTTTTTAACGATATACTTTAATGGTGTTGTATAGTGTGTATTTACTAAATAGCATAGGTGCAAATAAAAGCTCTATTTCTAGGTGGATTTGATGATATCAGTGATTCATGGGGGCTTCGACACCACACCCCTTATATTGATTATCAACATTTGCATATTTATGACGCTTATAAGTTGTTAATTACAGTCGTAAATTCCCTGTACCTTTTAAATTCATTAAATGTGAAACCAATCGTGAACTTTTTTTTTATACTACCTATATTCGTTATTCTTTGATAATTATAATATATTTTAATCATGTTGATAAATTAAAGCTATTAAATATAACAGCACATTACTTTTGATAAACTATATATCGGATTCGGGAATCGCATTACGTTCAAAAACTGGGTGAGTTAAGCCTTGACGAGTTCCACTCCCCTTCTATTTGCACCTATGTTAAATAACAAAGGACGTTATCAAAAAATCATCATGATGTAGATGATTTATAGCAGTGGTGACCAACTACGGATCGCGGGTTAAATCCGTCCTACGATAATTTATTAATCGGCCCGACCAAAGTATTGAATCAAAATTGAAAAATAAATAAATTAAAATTTCAAAAATTAACACTCATTAAAAAAAAGATGTGTTCATACTTTTGTATTTTTTCTCATTTATAACAATCAATACATAATAAATAATTAAATTTATCACCCATACAGGGACCATCTTAATATAGATTAAGATGTACTTAAAATAAAATAAAATATTCTATTAATTTAGGGCCATTCTCACCAACGTAAAACAATGAGTTTATCTGATTCTTAAACTGAGTTTATGGCTGATAACCGACCACGATTGGTCGATTATCTTATAAACTCAGTTTAAAAATCAACGTTTACGTTGGTGAGAACGGGCCTTAGAAGTAAAAGTTTTAGTTCTTGACCTGCCAAGAATGATAATTATTTTTTATGGTCCTCTGTAAAAAAATGTTGGTCACTATTGATGTATATGTATTATCACTTATACGCACATACAATTTGCTTTCGTGTTATATACAGCACGCACCAAAAACCATACATACAGACCTGATAAATATTATAGGTACTCAAGCCCGGACTAACGTACAGACAGGGTAGACACGTGCCTGAGGCTAAATAATGACGGGGGATAGGTTATTTTTTTATATCAATACGTACTATAGCACCCCAAAGTCAATATTTAATATTCAATTTATTATGTTTCAAAACGTTTGAATTCGTATCATAAATGCACATACAATTTAAATCGCTTAAAAATGTTGTTAGTTGATTGAGTGACGAAATCGTAACAGCCACTACGGTTTAAAATACACGACCACAAAAGTAGACGAAATCAGAACGGCCACCGATGAGAAACGTGTTTGCAACCCGGTCGCGAATGGCCACACGTTTCTATATGGTCACAAATTAAATCTATGTAAAAAACCTGCCTTTTTTGATATTTTCTGTTATTACTACTAACGTAAAAGAAATAAATTTTAACGGAAATTAAACTAATTTGGAACAATAAATTATTTACTATGTGCATAGAACTAAATTTATATTGACGGAGCATGTATACATAATACCATATTAAAGTTTAATTAATTGAACAATTTACTCAGATACAAAGAGCTTTTTTAAAAAAATGTGCCTCGGGTTATTTGTGGGCATTTTTTTTTTTTTAAAGTTGTTGGGTTGTAAAGGGTTCTCAACAAAGTCAAAAAACTAAAAAGTAATAATAATATTACGATTTTATCTTGACATAAATATATCTCATAAACTGAATAGGAGCCGAACCGTTTTTCGAATGTTTAATCTTTTTCAAATTGTGTTTTTCGAAACTAAGATTTTTGACTACATATTTTAGTTATATACGGCAAATGTTAAAAAAAACCTCAAAATTATTTTTGACCATTTAAAATTTAAATACTGGTTTTGACACGTTATAAAGTATGTAGCATTAAAAAATTACAAATAAATAAATAATACTAAATACAAAAATAAAATTGATAAATGACATTTATTTATTTTTTTTTATCAACATGCACCACTGCAGTGTCTTTACGGATTTTAATTTTCTTTTTTGACGGCTTTAATGCATTATTAGTTAGCGTAGCGTTGTTGATTACTTGTTGAACGGATTTTTTTTCTGCGATTAAACAGTTGGCATTTTCACTAATGGTGCTGGCATTCGATTGATTGGGTTTTTTATTTTGTACAGGTACGCTAGTCTTCCAAATTTCGTAGTTCACCGTAGAGACGTTATAATTTGTAGCAGGAACAGATTTTACTTCGTTTTCCGTCTGGTTTTTAGCCGACTTTTGATTTTCTTCAGCAGCTGCCGGTGTTTTATCTAAAAATTATTATTTTTTTATTTTTTTTTTTACTTTAAGTTTCTGAAGGTAGACAAATACCTATTTTTATGGTAATTCACAGGCCCCAAATACATATTATAAGTAGGTAACACACCGAAGTTATCGAATTTTCCATTCGAGATCTTGTAATAATATATAGTTTTGCGTTATTATATTACTTGTTTTTTAAAATTATGAAAAAAAAAATGATATGTATAAAATCCAAGATTGCCGTTATATTATATAGTTTGAAAAATAAATTCAATGTTACTCACGTTTGCTATAACGATAATTAATATTCTATACATTTCTTAAGCTTACGATAATTTAAATTGGTTTCATTACTACTACTGAATTGTAACAATTGATTTACTAATTTGCCAACGGAAAAAACATTTTTTTAAGATTCAAAAAAATTGTAGAACCTTAACAATCGTTAATATCGTTTATCATTATTAAATACTTGTTAGCCTATAAATTTTGTTTCAAAACATACAAAATAGAAGAACCATAGCGCAAGATTCTGGAAAATATTACAAAAAAAAAACCCCTTAATATGTTAAACATAACTTATGTTATTTCAAGTGCCAGATCTTTGTATTACACCCTGTACATTAAGTAATTACGTTTGTCAAACGTACATTTCAAGATTTTCATTTTGAGTAGAAAAATAATTCCCAGCGAATACTATAATATAATATAATATTTAAAAATGTAATTAGAGTCTTATTTGCCATTTTCCATAATATCGATCAAAATTGTGATAGTAAAACAATCATGTGAAATATTATTAGAAATTAGATTTAAATTAATTTAAGTCGATTTATGAGTTCAACTTTGAACACACTATTATTTTATGTCTCGATAGTTCACTTGCCAATTCGGTTCCCAGCATATATAGATACTTACTAGTCACGCGTTCATCGTCGACGGGAAAAATGTCCAGTTCTTTATCCATTATATTTCTAAACACTTCGTGTAAAGGTTCGTCGTCTGTAAGTCTTTTCAAAGGTATAATGTTGGTTTTAAATTGATTGTCCGTTCTAGACCTCATGATTTGTAGCTTTTTCTTCCATTTTTCCAATTCAGCGATCGGGTACAGTAAATGTGCGTTACAGTACTCGACAAATATCGGATGATTGTGGAGCGTACTTGATTTTTCGTTCGGTTTCTCGTTTTCTGTGTTCTTCTCCAATATATTTTCAGTGTCCGTGTTAGGTTTGGTCATAGTGTTTAAAATTTATGTTTGAATTTATATTGTTTGTTTAAAATGCATAGTTTCAAGACCTATATATAAGATCATATATAATTGAACAAAATACAATTATACGTATAACATATGTATAATAATAAAACAGTCATTTTTGTTATATTTGAGACGATTATTATCAAATGCGTATATTTTAGTGGATTTAGACTTAAAAGATAGACAAGACTGTACAAAACCGTGTATTTGACGGGTTTCAATGATGAAAATCAATTATAGTTCTTTAGGTTTTTCACTATAGGACATGTTTGAAAAATGAAATTGAATTATTTTACTGGAAATAGTGAACAAATTTTATTATACTTTTGATTAATTCCAAATACTCGCTTAATGTATTTTGATTTTTACGTATGATTAAAATATTAATATTACAAAAATAATTTTGAAATTTAATTCCGCCTAACGCAATTTCTATAGTTTTCTTGGGCTTTTCGGTTTAAAATAATGTCATATTCGTCCGTAAAAACGGTTCGGCACCTTCCTTTTAAACGGGTATCCTGGAGCTAATAACGCAAAAGTTTTATTATTAAGGCGGTCGTTAAAATAAATGCGTAACAGTTTTATTAAAATTACAAAATCGGAAGAAATGTAAAAAACTGTCAACAATCCTCTTAATAACAATGTACAGAAATAGACGTAAAGTTATTAGCGTATAGATCTCGTAATATTACCATTTTGACACAGTTAATGTTTGAAATGCGTCATTTCAATTTACTATGTATTTATATTACTTAAAAAAAAAAATTAACTAATTTCATTAAAACTCTCCTACCTAAACTAATAAGAAGTGGAATATCTCGTTTACGGGTTGAAGAAAATAAAAAATTTCAACACTAAATTAAAAGTATATTTTAAACTAACACTACATCCATTTAGGAAATTTTGAATAAAGGTTTCCGTTTAAATTTCAAAAGTCGACCCCCTAAAATGACAAAAAAAAAATTACAAATTATTTTAGATGTTAATATATCGAAAAATTATTGAATTATACATTTATCTCTATTACCTGTATATTATATCATAGGCACAATACAGGGCAATGTCATTTTTCATCACACTTATTTATGCTAAAGGAACTATACCAATTTACATAATCGGCATATTATAATTGTTATCTGAATTTTCAGCCCCATCGAATCAATGAATTATTGTTGCATAAGTATTAATCGCAGTTCTTTAGTTACAGTCAGCAGTACTTATATAGACTAAAATCATTTAATATTGACTACTATATAGGTTTTAATATTTACACAGTCCAACATAATAACACGAGTGTATGGCATTTTTATTGTTGTACGATTAATTCGACTATAATTAAAAATGGAATTCGAGACGACGCGTCGTATCGAAATCTACTCGAACATATTCAAAGTCAAAGGGGCAATAACAATAATTTCTACAAGTATATTTATGTAAAGATGAACACAAGACTGATGTGTCAAGATGAAAATATTGAAGACCGGCATATTGTTTATTCATAGCGTACCTAGTGTCAATGTCAAAATTCAAGAGTCCCTTTTTAATGTACTCGAATAATTAAAAAAAAAAAAAAAAAACATAAATAAGTCTCTAGATCCGTTTGTTGTTGTAGACTCGTAATATATTTTTATTTATTTTTATGTACAGTTTCAATTGAAGAAAATTGTTCGATTTTTTTTTTAATTGATGTACGAGTAGGTAATTTACATTATGCTTTAATATGGTGTAATGTACCGTTCTAACATAGTTTCGCCAGTTTAAAACTGAAATACACACAAATATAATAGATATTTATGAAAGGCAGTAATATTTGTGATTTGAAAACAATAAATTTCGTAAATTTTCCCGTTTTTTCTCATTTATTATGAAAACCCCAGAGAAAATCAAAAACTGATCTGCCTAAAATACCACACCAGTCAGATTTCCTTTCAGAAAAAAAATAAACACTATTGTAAAACCAATACATTCCCCAATGCGCTCAAATCGAAATATAAAAATCACTATCAATAAAATCTCAGATTAAACACGAATTATGTTTTGCCTAAAATCGTGTTTACTCAGTGTAATTTAACCGCGTGTACATATAAAAAAATATGACACACACAACAATGTCCACAATTTTTAATCAAGACACAATAACACAAAACATTACCGATAAAATTTCGTATGTTACTTTAAACATTTCACTTTCAGAACTCCCGGTCCAATTTTTCAGTAAATAGTCCCTTGGACAGAGCTAAAACGATAATAACGTTGATATTCGGTCATTTGGTTTTGTTATAGTAACATTGTTAATTCACTATTGTTTATAAATTATTACAAATTGTTGTTTATATTAATTGTTGTGCACAGTGACGGCTCGAAGGAGGTATATTTGAATCACGTGATTCACAAAAAACCGGGAGGGTGGATCGTGTGTGTCTTGAGTGATCAGAAATATAACAAAAATTGTTGTTTTTACAAAACAAAATAATTTTAGACTGCGGAAATGTGATGAATTTGACGGATTTGATTGAAATTTAACAAATTTCAATACAGTTGTGGTAAGGTGGAGATATTTTTGGGTCAGGTTGAGTAGGTAGAAAATTAAATAGGTTCGAGGTACAAATTCTTTGAGCGGCCACTGGGTGTGTACTATCTTCAAAGGCTGATCGGCGTTTGTAGATTATAAAATAAAATAAAACCGATAATTCGAATGAAGAGATTAAAATATGAACATAATAATATTTGTAGTTTTTTTGGAGCGTTCGGACTTTAAGCGGCGATCGTCTTTGTCTTATATACGTGCAACATAGGAATTTATACGTGTTCCGACGTATACCGATCGCACTAATGAAGCGATAAGAATTCTGAAAACAGATATATGAATATATCGTCTAGTCTACTTGAGATCGACTTTCCCGTTTTCTCGGTTTTAATTTTTTCAAATATTTAAAACATTCTTTCTTTTTTTTTTTTAATTGGTTTTTTTTTTAGGATTTAGGGGAAAAAAATCAAAAATGTTGGAAAGTCGATTTCTAGTAGAATTTACGACGACGCAGGGTACTCCCAGACCTGAGGAGATGGGTCTCGAGACGCCCTAAGGACGTCACTTTTCACGTTACACAGACCTTAACAGGTCGTGGGTGCTTCAGGCACTACCTCTGCTGGATGGGACGAGCCTCAAACGCGGAGTGCCTATGCTGCCGATACCCGAAAGACACCGTAAGCATACACTCATCGTATCGTCCTTACTGAGAACTCTACCGGCAAGACGTCAGAGCCTATGTTGGCGGAAGGAACAGCTCCCAACGACGTCAAAAACCTGTTCTGCGGCCCGGAAGACATCCTATCCCGAAATTCTGACCGGACTTCACACGACCAGATCGAGGCAGCCTCCTTTTGCGGCTCACAGCCCTCCTATCGAGTGGTAGAGGACATACTGAGCCGCAAGAGCAAGACAAGAGGATAAGGGCTGATCAGCTGCCATAAGATAGAAGTAGTCTCCTCATCAGTCCTGGACACCAAAGTATGCACACAATAAGACTCAGCCACCGGCTTAAGGTCAAGTACAGGTTAGGTTAAATTAGCACAATGTCAGGAGGTGACGCGGTCCTACCGCTCATCTCTCACCATAGTTTTAATAAGTATAGTTAATAATGTGAGCCTGCCCTGTGAAAGGGAAACCAGGATTTATAGAACATTACTTAATTATATTTATTAATAAACGATGGCAGTAGTGGGGTAGTAATATGAAACTGATCTTCCACTGCTGTCGGTTAATTGATAAAAAAAAAAAAAAAAAAAAAGACTTGACGACGAATTCAAATTTGTTTTCGGAATTATTATCGCTTCACCGAAGATCTATTGGTATACGTTGGAAATAGAAACCCGTCTAAATTCCTACGTCGCACGCGCGTATGACAAAGGCGGAAATCGCCGCTTCCAATCTCCTTGAAAACCATTTCGCCAGCAGTTGGATGTAAATAATTTCAAACGGTATTGGTATTGTTGAAACCAGTTAGTACTGTAAACGAGAAATTTCGATAACGACAAACGAACTTACGCAATCGCAATCAAAAAATGATCACTTTAAAGTAACTCCTTACACCGATTTCCTTTCGGAAAAGGTAGCTACACTTAAAAATTGGAGCAAGATTTCTGGTAAAAAAGTTGTGCACGGATAAAAAAAAAAAATAAACATCTTTGTAAAACCATAAGCTTCTTCACTCCACTCAGAATCTAAAAAAGTACAATTTATTAATAAAAAAGTAATCTTTGTAATTCATAATACTCTGTTCATTAATATATTTACAGTATATTTTTATTTATCGTTAATACAGTTAATTTTTTTACAATTCAGTCGTCGTTTTAACTTAAATTTTTCGTTTTGTAACAAGTTGGGAATTTTCGATTAAGTAAGATTAAATATTTATTTTTTTTTTTTACACGGACGCATGGGGCCCCATGATTATTTGGTCTTAGGTGGGCCTGGGTTAATTTTGACCCAGAGACCCTCTTCTGAACGGGCTTGATTATAATATCTAATTATTAATCAATTCACTCGATATTAAGATATAAGTTATATTTTTATTATATTATTTGTATTATAACAATAACAATTATATACAGTTCACGAACTCCGTATACCAGCTCAGTTGGTAGGTATATGTATCAGTTTTTATTATTAATGTGATTCACTGTAATTAACTTTCAATTCGAAACCGGTCGTATACTTAATCATTTATCACAACACTCCAGGCGACGCATTTATTCATGTATTTATTTTTTATTTCTAGATACACATTTTTTGAATTTATGTATTGATTTACGAGTATTAATCATTAATAATAATTTTTTATTATTTTTATTAAACATAATTTTTTTATTACTTTATTATTTTACCGTTAACTGTAATTTGATTTGGCTGAAATAAATTTATACATATAAATAAATACGAGTGTCGAGATGAGATGTCCGTGATTATTACGGACGTTTAAATATAATCCGTAATAAATATAACCTAATAATATATGTCGAATAATCGACAAACCGTGTTCGTAAAAATCGACATTGAACGACGATCAATGTCTGTGCACTAGAATTTTTAATCACGAAATCGCAATGGTTTTCGGTTAAAATAGCGCGGAATATCGAATATTGTGAAAACCGTACCAGGAGTTCAGAAGGCGGGATTTGGGCCGCTACACTCAATCACCCGGCTGCGGCCGTAGTACGCCGTCCGCTGTCTGAAGACCGACGGCTTCTGAACTCTTGGTACGCAATTTTAATTTTTCGCCGTGAAACATCCAAACAAAAATTCATCGACTTATTAGTTTATTATCAGTTTTATTCGCCACCCACTTTCTATTTGTCCGAATAATTATCGGCACTTGGTCTTTCGCCGGTACTAATCGATTTAAATGTTAATCTCGTGGATATATTATACACAATTAAAATATTAAAACTGCCCACGTACTTGTTGTAAAAATAGGAGACTGAAAAAAAAAAAAAAAAGGGAATAACCAATGTCGAAAAATACGAACGTTTTATATTGAATGGGTTGTTTTTTCTTCTTAAAATGTATATAAGAAAAAAAAAATTATAATCGAAAGTAACCGTAAAGATTTTTGAAAAAAAAAGAAAATTTAATAGAGGCACAGAATTAATAGTTGCAAGTGTGTACGAGTAAAACAAATTTATACGGTTTACGAGGGTTTTCAAATTCAAAATCTCGATTAGAGCAATACATAATAATTTTGCAATTTCCCACATTTCAGAAGTCAGAAAAAAAAAAAAAATCGCACATTCGACGTCGGTAATGGGTCGTTGACATAGTAATAAAGGTGTAAACATAATAAGTGCTTTCAATGTCGCGGTTAAGCCGGGATTATTCGCGGTGTTATTGTAGTTTTTTTCTTTTTCAATATATAAATACCTAGGTACTTAGCAATGTACTGTAGATAAGTACCCGAAAAACACTATTATTGAGTTTTCGTATCTGTACAATAACAAATAACGTGACTCACATACACAGATTATAAAGTAGATAAAAATAAATGAATAAGTAGGTTATATAATGTCAGCTACATACATACCCAGTACGTACCATTAAAATTAAATAACAGTGTAATATATTAATGATATGCAACGTTAGATAGGTACGGTGATTAATAATACCGCGTAATCATTCGATAACGATTAGTTTATACTAAATGTAATATAATGTGCGAATAAAACAAAACAACCGTCAACGCGGAATAAATCTGGTATTTAACCTATAAGCTATGCCCGAGCAAGAATAATTGTAACTTATTTAGTTGTTTTACACAAGACGCGTTTAAACGGTCGGTTTATTCTTGTCTAATGTATTCAGACATATTTTTAGACTCTACAAGAGAACGAAAATACGATGTTTTTTTTTCTCTCCTATTGCGATGTGTCTGACGTAAGGAACAATGTTACTATAGTATACACTGGTAATTTAATATTCTGGAAGAAAACACTGTTCGGATCAGCCGGTGAGTTTGAAAATGATCAGAGTAAATAGTAAACAGTAAACACTAAATAGCAGCAGTGCAGGGCACTTGGACCTATCCGTAGAGATATCTCACGGAAAAATATTATACCAAGTAATAACACTATTAATTATTCAAATAGTACCTTCCGACGTGGGTAATGTGGACAACTGGAATGTACGAGCTCTGGCGACGGGACAAAAATGTAACACACGATACTGAACGACGGGGGTCGGGATTCCCGTTTACCGATCACAAGCCGACGGCAATGTGTTCTTCCGGCAGTGTGATTACTGATTAGCGAAGCGAACTGCAGTGAACAAAAACGACGACAATTCGGACGGAGGCCAACGGTCGGCCCAGGATATCGGTACCAACTCGTGTCTTTAGCTGTCGCGTAGTATTTGACATTTATTATTGTTGTAAAAAAAAAAAATAAACCGAGAAATAATATGATAACAATAATGATAACAACCGATCGGTTGGATACACTGCTCACGCGGTGTGTGGCCGATCAATAATAATACGTGAATACGTGATCAATGGAATAATTGCGATGACATTTTTTTCGTCAAACTATTTACTATCTACTCCGTCTTTTGAGCACTGGCCATTGGCGATCGATGATTCTGGCGGTTGGCCAAACAGTACCTTGAGTATAACTAGCAGTAATATAATTTGGAGAAAATTCAAACAGATTTGCAGAAGGCATGTTTTTTTTTTTTATTGATAATTTAAAATAAAATTGAAAACTGGGGTATAATTTATAAGTAACAAACAAATAAATAAAACAAATATATTTATTTAAAAATTATTATCCAACACTTTATTTTGTTTTTGTGGAACTCTTAATGATTAAAACTTACACATAGAATCAATATATTTGTACGCCATTTAAGACGTACAATGCAGTGAAAAACATTTTTCATAATATAAGTTTTTTTCTTTTGCAATTATTATGTATATAAAATAAAAACACTTTACAAATTTGAAAAAAAGACAAAACAACACGAAAAAAAAAAAACATAAAACGCACCATTAAAAAAAAAAAAAAAACAGTAACCGGTATACCTTTATGTAATACAAATAAACATTTAAGATTATTTACACGTGTAACAGTAGTTTTTGCTTAAGATAATAAAATATATAAAATTTAAATGCTCAGTGTGTTATCCATATATATATATATATATATATATATACTAAAATAAAATAAATAATGTGATAGTTTTTGTGAAAATGCATTTTAAAGAATATTTATCAAAATAAAAATTGATTGAACATACTAGGTATATATGTCAGTGGTAACGTGACAAAATAAAAATTATAAAAATAAAATAATAATAATAATAATAATAAGAAATATAATAGTACATCTTTTTTTACAATATTGCTACATTAATGTAGTTATAATATTATTGCACCGTTGTTTTTTTTTTCATCAAAAAATATTGTCAAGAATTATTAAATATATCATATTTGTAATACTTTAAAACAAATAATATTGTTATATTAAACACATCATCATCAGGACTATAAAACAATGTTGGTATTGAAAAAATACCAAACTTAATAAAGCATAAAAGGGACGACCTATAGATGATAGGGATGAGCACAAGTTTTGGATGATGAAAACATGAGGGGGGGGGGATGAGCACATTTAAGCGATAGGACAAATGAGATCAAAAAAGTTTTTAAAGAAAATACAGTTAGTGTCAAACGTGAGACTCGAGGGGTACATTCAAGAGTTTAGACACAAAATTTGGGTCGGCCATGCTCCTAGGTCTGATACCTCTTTCTTTTATTCCGTCAACAACACGAGCCCAACTCAAGTCTGGCGAACTAGTTCTTCGATCTTTACAGCTTTTCTCCAATTCTTCCCTTTCCTTATTATCCAACCAAGTGATTTTATCAAAGTCCTTAGTACCGCCTACTGTATGCCGTCTTTTAATACTACGATCAGTTGTAACACCGTTTTTACGTTTTTGGCGCGCTTCCTTATCGCGTAATGAACTATAGCGCCTAGATAATCCTTGTTTTCGCTTGTTCATGTTGCATTCGGTCTTCTCTGTCTTTGTGAGGGAGTCAGACCGCCGGTGTTTGGAAGCGTCACCGTTTTTTGTCAGCATCATTGCCTCAAACTTTGTGTACTTTGATATATATCTCTCATGTTTATTTAGTGACTCACAACGGCGTAGTTTTACATGATTCCCATAGTCTGGACGATTTTCTTTTTGTTTTAATGACTCAGAACGACGCAAACGCACATTTGGATAGGCGTTGAAATCCTGAAGACATTCAAAATGATCGGCGATCGAAGTATCAGTTTTCGGAGGATCTTTCACAGATTCACTGGCCGAGTCTTTCATGGTTTCAATTTCCTAGAAAAAATGAAGACATTTTAATTTGACCATTTTACATTGTAGGTAAAATATTAAAAATTATTATAAAATATTAATTACATGTTTTTCAGTTATGTGCTGGCTGCGCCTTTCCAATGATCTATGTAAACTTGGATCCCTGTATGTTTGTATATCTGTTTGTTCGTCATCCAATTTAGTCATCTGCTGTTTCTCTTTGGCGTCCACAGAGTCGCTGGGTATCAAAAGAGATTTGAGTTTTTTGTCAAAGGCGGAGGTCAGGCTCACCAATAAATCCCCTCCTGGAAAATGAAACACAAAACTATAACATCATGCAATAGAAAATAATAGTGTTTAATAGATACGCACATTCAACAAACCATTCAATTAGAATGTTAAGTAGTCTACAACATTATGGTAACACACAGTTATAATAATTATCTAATATCACACAATAAAACAGTATTTAAGAACCGCCTGTCAGTCATTACGGTTGTTAAAAATAGTATTAAAATCAAGACAAGATATTAGTTTAAAAAAAAAAAAAATACTTAGATTTATAAGCTATATATTAAAGATAAGCGTGAATCTAAAAGTTGGAAGAAGTATTTTGTTTTGATACCCTTAACCAAATGTTAGAAAATATACATTTAAATAAATATCAAACCTCAACCAACCTAAATAGGACAAATGAAAACTTCGGCTAATTTGTTATTGTATGTAAACCTAACAAAAGTAAAACAGATTTTTTTATGCAATCAAAAAATGGTGCAGTTTTAAAATTTAATTTTTCAACAACCTCTTATAGTTAAGTTATGTTTAAAAATTATAATATAATAAAATAATAGCAAGGTAGGGTTTAAACATAAAAAGAAAATTTTAATGATGATTTACAAAATATAATATAAATAGTAAAAATGTGTAGATTTAAGTAATTTTTGAAACGATAGAGAAGTAAGAAGCAAAGGGTTAGTAATTATAAAGTATACATATAATATATTATACAAATCTAATATACAGTAGAACTAGTTTAATACAAATTTGCATGTTAATTAGAGAAAATGTATTGACTCGAAACAAAATACTTAAATATAACCTCCATATTATTGGCTATAAAATAAAAATGATGAATTATTATTGTAAACAAAGAAATGATGGAAATCAGATTCGAAAAGGTCAACACTTCAACAGTGATTTTAGAAAAAAAAAACACAATATTGGTTTTAATAAAATTGAAAATAAATTAAAAAATTAATAATATAGCCTATAAATTAAAAAAAAAGAATAGGCAAGCTAGCAATAAAAAGTTAATAATATATATATATACATATTCATTTAAAATTTGTATTATTGTATTATTTATATCTTAAAATTGTATTATTTTTAAAATTAGAAACTTAATATACATTAAGTTTTTGCCAATTATAACTCATTGATTTTTATGACCAAATTGTGTTCATCACCTTTTGATGATGTATTAAACAATTTCTACTGTATGCAATATATAATAATATGCACTGTAGTATGTAAATAATAACAAAATTGTGTTAATCGATCAAAAGACACTGGTGCTAAATGTATAATAAGAACCTTTCAGGTTGGTAGTAGTAGTAATGCGGATACTGGTTAAGGGATGTGCCGAAAACCCATCCTTGTCGTTTGTTACTTAAGTGCTGGTGTATGTTACCATTTGCTGTAAATTTTTCCAATGAATCTCGCAAACAATAATGCTTGAGCTAGATGTGCAACAATGCACATGTTTGGAAATTACTTAAAAATGCGCAATAGTAAACTTATTTGTGTGTGTGTAAAAAGCGCAACACTTTTTTTTTCTATAAGGTATCATTAAAAATACATATTAACTTTCACCTACAATTTTAACTAAGGAATAGTTGCTTAAAAAGATAATATTATTAGATACATTTTATATAATATAATTAATAATTACTATTGCGACATCTTCTATAATTATGATGTAAATAAAATGTAATTTTTACCTTCGTCCGATGCATGACTAATTGGACGTTCTTTAGGCATTCTCGAACCATCACTGAGTGAATCTACTGACCATTCATCAGCACTTTCAATACTAGTTTTCAATCGCTTCTGATTGTTTTTCGAGTCTGAATCATTTAATTGTTCACAGGTACCATTAGCTGTTCCTTTTGATACTTTGATCATAACTTTAAGTAAAAAATAAAAACAATTTCCAATATCAACATCATATTAATTAATCATAAAATATTAAATTTACCAGGTGGATAATCTTTAGCTAACATTAATGCTTCACTGGGTTGAATTACGGGTTCATCAAGTCCAAAATACTCTCTCCTTCTTTGACCCCTGTTAATTTCTCGTTGAAGCATTGCTTTAGTTTCTTGTTCGAACCGCTCTACTCTTTCTTGAGTGGTTTCAGCTAAATTTACATAAGTCTTAATAGGAGCACCGGAAGAATTTTGAGGAAGTGAATCTATACTATGATCATTGGATGTAAGACGTTCAAGACTGTCTTCAGATTCATTAAGACTAGCAGTTGACACAGTTTCTGAACTAGCCTTAGAGCTATTTAGTTTGTCTTTATTGGATACAATATCCTAAAACAAAAATTATGATTATAATTGACTATAATTTAAAATAAATATTGTTTAACAATCTTACTTGTTTAACATCGGTTACATTAGGAGGTATACTAGTTTGGGAAACCACATTGTTTGATATATTGGAACGAGACTTTCGCGATGTCATGGAATTTTTGCCCGTAGCTCGATGCATTTTACGATTAGCTGCAGCAACAATATTAGTCACAAGATCTTTAGCCATAAAAGGCGTATATTGATTTCCGGAAACTTTGTTTATGTTATCCAAAAGATTTTGATTTGGAGCAGATTGTTCAATTTCAGGGACCTGTCCACAGTTTTCAGGTATAGATGCTGTAAGATCTGCCACATCGCCATCGCCAAAACACCAATCAGCCTGTAAACAAAAATTAAAAGTTTTAACTAAAATGTATTCTAAAATTTTCTAAAATGTATTCATATAAGTTATTACCTGTAATATTAGCGATTCCACAATACGGCATTGATGACTCATATCCGTAACCATAGTGACCATATTATCATTAGCCGAATGAACCAGTGTAGGACCAAACACAATTGCCAAGTTACGTGCTTCCATTTTGTTGACTCCACTGTGATGAACTATTTTTTTAAGATGCATCAACAAATACCTTAAAGTTTCGAAATGGTGGTCGGGCAATTTGTGTACCTAAGAATAAATAATTTTTTATCACTGTCTCTAACTATTATATAAATAAAAACACAAAATGTGTACATACTAGTTCACGGAGTTTAACCATTCGTTGAACTGGATCATCAATTTTATCAATTTCAATGAAATGGGGATACATTTCGGTTGTTAGTAGAGCGTCAGGGAGTCTTCTGAAGAATGATTTCAAGAGGCTGGATATTACATTTACATCGGTCCAACGAGGATCGCGCTGTAAGAGTTTAACAGCCATCTCTGGGGTTTCCATACCACCATTATTGACCGCTTCAGTCAGGGAAGTTATAGCGGCTGTATTGCCTGGTACTCTAGAAATAATAATGACGACACATTATGCAATAATTTTGCTAGGAAATTTGATGAATACAAATCGCATACCTGTAAATACCGATTATGTCCAGCCCTTTGTCTTCGACAATCGATGTGCATACTTCCACTATTAATGGTACATACTCCAATTGTGTAGACTATAAATAGTAAAAAAAAATAGTAAATACATAATTCAAAAAATCATAAAATAAAATAAAATTAATAGTTTTCTGAAATAAATTTTTTTTTCATTGTTCCTTACCGGTGGGCAAAGTTCCAGGGGAATACCGATAGTGGTGCCTGGTGGAGGGGGTAGTGCAGGCATAACTGGGGACACTGGTGACCCGGATCCCTGTTGAATTTTTTTCAGTTGTTTAGCCATACGGTTTTTCCATGTGTTGGTCGATTTAGGAGACTGAGGTTGTGCTTGGCTAGGACTACGGTCCGGCTTGCGAGTCTTGGTAATTGGAGAATCGCCACCAGTTGGCGAACGGTTTCTTAATGTTGTTAGTTTACGGATGCTCTTAGTATTTCCCGGCGAGACGTTCAAACACTGAATATAGTTTTGGAGAAAAATAAAAAAAAACCCTACGTTAGAACAACATAAGTAACTAACAGAATCAAATTGGTTTATACCTAATAATTCAAAATAAATAAATGTTATAAAAATAAAAAATATTATAAGGGTTTTTTTTTTTAATATATCTATTCTCATTATGATTTTATATACTACAGTCGCGTTTTATTTATTTTTTGACTTTGATCTATTATGAGGTAATTGACAATGATTTTTTTTAAATGAAAACCATTTGTGGATTACAAATTACAACCAATAATACTATAGGTTAAGTTTTTCTTACACATTTTATTTTATAATAAGCTAAAATATCAATGGTAATATTATAGACACGGTTGCTTACTTCTTCTGCGGATAACGACGCGGGCTGGGTCTCGAGAGCTTGTTCTTGCAAAGCTTTTAACCAGCGCACCATGGAACACGTATCGTCAGCTTGGAGCAACAATTCGGTACAGCCCATATCGGAAATGCTAGAAGAAAGTCGCATAACGTGCTTCCTTTTGGTATAATCGTGTGCCACGTCCGTTGTGGACGTTCTCAAGTTGATTCGATCGCAAGACAGATTTACTTCGTCCGTTTTGTCTAACGTAGTGGGCGTCTTAAAAAAAAAAAATAAAATAATTATAAAAAATAATACACATAAATTGTAAAAAGAAAAAAAAAACTGTTTCAAAGTGTAGCGGGCGTTAATCTGAGTAAAATTGTTTATCAGCACGTACCCAAGAACCGGTAGAAGACCATCGTTTGAGCCGCGGTCTTCTAGTGGACGCGCGAAACCACGCCGGCATACAAGAATACCTCAAACGTTTATCCGGCGAACAAAATCGGTTCATTTTGACTATTTTCAAACGTACTTAATTATTATACAAGATGACCGGGTGACGTTCGGATGGAAACTGTATTACCGGTAGTAGTAATTTTAATCGCGAGCGGCGTGTGCCCCTATTGTTATGGCCAGTCAAGCACATAATAAATTCGCGGCGGCGCGTGCCACGCACCACAGAAACGAAAAAACCAGATGGCTATTCCGTTTTTGATGATGTATCACGAAAGCTCCGAACAATATTGATGTATATAACCGTTGTGTAATGCAATACCGTTTGAAACTTTTAGAAAAAATGACGATACTGCTGATGGGCGTGCCAGTATAGGAGGGATGTTTGAAGGGACGATACACAGAGTAATTTTTTTTACATTGGTATGCAACGATAAACCGTTGATAACGAAAAACTATTCTGAGCAGAGTATTATTAGTCGGATTTTTCACAATAGTTGCACGGGTAACCCGGAAATTAACAAAAAAATTGTCAGATAACCTAGGCATTTATTATTGGGAAAAATACGATGGAAATCAAAAAATAACCTATCCAATGCATACAGTCCAGATTAAAAATTTCACAAGAAAGTTTTTATAAAGTTTCTGAATTGGACCGAGATTTCTGGAAGAAAAGTTGTTTAGAAACAGAATACAAGTATACGTAAACAAATCATAAGGCGATTTTAAAATTGGGAGAAAGTAAAGACAAAATCGCAAGATAAAATCTTACCGATTACAATAATAAGAGTATATAAATCCGCGCGAGACAATGAAAAAAAAAAAAAGTTTTTTCTCCATATATTATTATACTCACGTTGATCGAAATGTTAGGCACAGACTCTCGTTTTTCTTTGTACAGACACAACGTCTGTCCACGTACAACGGCCCACACCGGTTTCCACGACCGATCGCATGCTTTCTATTATAACATTGAGGTAAACACGAATGAGTAAAGAAAAAAAAAAAGGTTTTATTATTTTTATCCTTTTTTATTATATAAAGCTCAAAATTCAATACACTCTTACTTTGCCGTCGATCTGTATCACTTTGCAGAGCAACGATCCTTCCTTGATGACGCGGCTGTTGCCGAGGTCCTGGAACGGAGGTCCGCCGTTTTTCTTCGTTCCTAGTATGCTATATGGGACATAAAAATAATATTAATATCACCATATTAGTACGCGTCGGACATTATAGAAAAAAAAAAAAAAAACGTATACATATATTATTATAAAAGCAATTAAAACCGTTTTTTTTTTTTTTTTTTTTTTACAACACGCCATGTCTCGAAATTAACATGATTATTATATATTATGTTTTTATACATAGCTGGCAAATGTCATAGTTGCGAAATGTCTCGTATATATAATAATCTATTGTCCGTATCGCATGTCCATATTATTTTGTATACTAATAGTTCTTTAGTGTTTTACGCCGAAAGCACTATTATTAGGCTTGGTCCACACGATGATAATATCGCGGAAGACATGATTAACATCGCGGTTGAGTATGCATTTCTATATAGAAACTTAGTCTGCGAAAGTGCCGTCAAGACAGTAAAATATAACGATAGTATAATAATATATATACTTATACGTAAGTTATGTATTCACACTGCGATAGTAACTATCACTCTCAAGACAGTATAGGCATCAACTAAATTACGCGTGCACGATTGTGTAATGATTTTTACGATAGTTCATGATACAATATATCATCTTGTAGACCAGGCTTTACTATTATTAAATATTAATAGAGTTATTAAGAAAAAAAAATAGCGGTTTTTATACATTTTTGCAGCTATATAGTAATATGAGTGGAGGGAATGACACGGAAACAGCGAACGTTTTCTCTTGAGTCTCTTTGGATGGAGGAAAAACCACGCAGGTTTACGGGGAAAATGTCTTCGCAATAGGTATATACATCACTGCACTTTACAAGTCATTTACATATTGTATATTAAACGGTAAAAAAAAAATAATAATAATAATGTTGAAAACTAAAAAAGTACGTTATTATTCATGAGTTAAAAAAGTAGCAGATGTGTGTATACACACGTAGATAATAACGAAAATAAATTTTAAATGCGGGCTCGGGACTGGGTCGCGTGCCAGACTCTAGAAATCGATTATAGAATCGACGAGTGACCCATACGGAGGCCACCGGCACCGACCAAATGAAAAAACTAAATAATAACGATTAATAATTGACCGTTTGAAGGATTTTTACGTCAAATTTTTCGCGATTAACTGGCCTAACCTTATCGTTTACTGTATGGTAACAACCAGTAATAACAATGAGTTCGTTTTGCAGTGGTTCAGAGACGGAGAAAATGTTCGAAAAATATATTTGGAAAATCCAAAATTCTTATATACACGTAAAAAAAAAAAAAAAACTGTTTACACATTATTACACTATTGAATAATTTTTAAAATAAAAATGACGGAAACGAACACTTTGTTTTGTATATTTCCTTTTATTTTTACATAGGATTTTAAAATTTGACGACTCGGAACCAGAGATGGCTTTATGTACTTTATTTGGTGATTCAAATAGTATAAATAACTAGTATTATAACTCAACCCACCGCGCAAGTATAACACACTCCGTAAAATTTAAAAAAAATAAATATTTTTTTAGGTCTATACACTGCTAATTTTTTTATATATACTTAAAGTACAAAAATACAATGTGCCAGGTTAGGTATCTAAGATTTGAAACAAATATTTTACTGATTATAATAATTATTATTTGTTTCTTGAAATAATAGAAAAAAATGTATAGTTAACAGTTGTGTGCGGTATCTAGTATCTAGATAAAAAAAAAAGTCAGTCTAGACAATTTAGATAGTTAATTTGACTTGATTTTTTTGTCGAAGTAATTATTTACAAATTTCCTATTTTGTATTTAAATATTATTATTATCAGTAATTTATTAGGTCGGTCTTATTTGGAGATTTTAAATAATTATATTTGGTAGTAACTAAAGAATGGTAAATAGTGATATTGGTAAATATATGTAAAATGTACTGCTTGAAATTAATATTGAATTATTAATAAATAAATAAATTATAAAGACCTTAAGAAACATAAATCATAATTCGTTATCAAATGTAAGTAATGCATAGAAAATAGGAAAACATATTATCTGTTTTTTTTTTTTTTTTAGATGAAACTGCTACCTTTACATTACACCGATGGCTATATATATATACTATTATAAATTATTAGAATTTTACATGAACTTTGCAGCTTATGAATTATGTTGACATTTGAAGGATCCAACACCTATCACACCCGTACATTTTTGGCGGTACAGTGAACCACCAAAACCACAATCAAGTCGCCTCCGTTTGAAACCGTGCCTAACTCTGAATTCGTATTATGTAACGCTAGCTAATATTATTATATATTATATAGCACACCGCAGCACGTCGAACGCGGAAGAAAGAGGAACGACATCACAATAATAATAAAAAAAAAACAACGATATTATTATAGTCGTACGACGGTGGCGTCTCGACGGTTGTTTATTTTCGTTATTTTGTAACGCACGGAAAATGGGTATTATATATATTATTATTATATTGTATCGGATTACACGTCGGAACGTGGAGCAGCAGCCTCGGGGAACCGAGAAAAAACGTCAAGAAAATGTTTAACCAAACGGATATTATACCCGCGGCGCTGTGAACTTGAAATCCAAAAGAATTCAAAACATGACGACGTCATAGCTCGTTCGCCATCGTGTGACAGGCGAATATACAAAAAAAAAAAATACGAAGAAAATCCCGAGAGAATCGCGCGGGAATTATTATTATAATAAATTGCTCGTTATTTTGCTGCGAAATACAAGAAGAAATAAATCGATAAAATCCCGCGAGGCGACAAAATTATCTACCGAATTATTATGATATATCTACCTATATATTATAATATAATATTAATTAAAAAAAATAAATAAATAAAAATGATCGTCGACAGCCAGTACGCAAAAATAATAAGGGACGTGCTTCTTGACGCCGTACGAAAGATTTTCGTTTGAAACGACAGACAGGATATTGAAATCCGAGTACTGGCGATTGTTTAATCGATCGATCGGAAGTGTTTTATCGGTTTTTTTTTTTTTTAAATATGGATTTGTTAAGAGGTCAACAATTAGTGGGGATTTGCGATAAAATATTATACGTACGTATAAGCGAAATACACCAAAACAAATCCCAAGGATACGGGTGTAAAATATTAGTCGTCCTTGAGGCAAGGTTCGATTAAAAGCGAAAACACACTATATCACAAAACCTATTAAAATACTATATACTCGTATTATATAAAATTATATGTTTTTTTTTTTAAATCGTTCGTCGACTTACGAAAAACCGTAGTACACGATGTCTGTGGCCGACGCGCAGTAATCGCGATTAGGGTTGTTTTTACAGTGAAAATTCGTTAAAAAACACATTTTTACTACGATATATTACGACAAGATTTTCTGGTTCTTAGGCGTTCTTAGGTTTTTTTTTTAGTTTTTTGAATTTTACGCTGTTGCAGAATGCGTTTTGATGCTTAACGTTAACGGTAAAAGACGCGAATGATACGAAATAATTTTTGTTCTTTCGACGTGATCAAAAGAGTCCGACACTGCTCCCGAGTCAAAATCGATCGTGTTTCGACAAGCCGGTTCTTGTTAATTATTTACATATTATTATGATATTTTCCCTCGAAAAATTCCTTTTTTCGTTGGGTTATTTTTCAAATTATGTTATTCTAAATTGTTAACGGTTTTATTGTTGTCAGGTTTAAACATGCCTGTATACCGAATACTGCTGCCGTATAATTAAATTGCCTACGTTCCTGTACATTATTATTAATAATAAGAATAATAATAAAAAATAACTAAAACAAACACCTCGCGTGGTCCGACGTTTCTGACGTCCAAAAGATCACTCGAAAAAAAAATTTTTTTTTAATGCCGACCCGTCAACATCGTTTATCTACTCTCGAAGGGTGACCTTGACAATGCTCCAAAATTAAACACGTATAGACACGACTAACAATCATCGCCATGCAGGAGACTAAACTTTAACTATACAGCGACTATACTATTATTTTACACGATAAAACAAACTGATAACGATAATTTAATTCACTATATGAGCAAAAAATTATACCTAAAATAATCTAATTGCAAAAGACAACTGCGAGATTTACTCATATACATACACGTCATTAAATATATATATGTAAAAAAAAAAAAACAATCTATTAAACACACTCTATTTTTTTCCAAATTCACGGGACATTCAAAATCTACTTGAATATTGTATAGTATTAATTTAGGGCTCGGATGATAATACAGTAAAAAAAAAAAAACACCTGCAGTAAAGTCGCTTGAAGCGTTGCGCATATAAACCAACGGATTTTCTCTTAAAATAATAATAACAAAATTATAGAAATATAAGATCAAATAAATGTTTAACAATACGGTTGTTAATTGTTTTCCGTAGGTATGTTATTTGAAAATATACTGAAAACTGTGTAAAAGTTCCGCTAATTTTTCTTTAAAGATTTCAATTAGAATATTTACGAAACGAATATTTAAACTTAATCTTCGGCGTTTCAATAAATCCGCAAGTAATACCGGAATATCAGTAAACAAATGTGCAAACGCAACCTGCACACCCGAACCCTATAAAATAACACCAGCACCTATAATTACACTATTATACGTTATTAGTTCAGAAATACAATAAATAACATTCATTATATTACTATAGCGCGAACCCTATAAAATATCGTATTCTAAAATAATATTAAAATAGAAGGTAATGTTAAGAGGATGCGTCACCTGCATGCTCTCTCGTCTCCGTCACACGAACGCGCGACATCGTAAATTTGTGGTGAATCCTGTGCTGCAGTTGGTTTTATAGCATTAGAGCGATCATTTGCCTATTGACTATTATCAAACTCAAAGTTAAGAATATTATCTGTGTACCTACGTCAATTTTTTTGGTTATTTTAGTGTTCAAGCGAGACATAAGTATTTTTAAACTGTGATATTTCAAATAGTCGTATCTCACTAAAAAATTAGAATATCGAAAAATAAATCGACGAAGTCGCACAGATTATTATCTTATATTTAAGTTTGATATAATGGTAGTTCAATTCACTCTTTATCAATAAAACTAACAGTACAGAATTGGCTCTGATGAACTTAAATTTGCTACATTGTGCGTTAGTACAACGGAGACAAGCACATGCGGGCGTGTGGCTTATTCTTAAAGGTAAATTTGTAATATATATTATAAATAGGGGTGATTTCGAGACTTGTTTTGTAAAATTTGAATTTTTTTCTTCTTTATTTGAACGATAAGACTTTTCCTTTAATCTATTGTCCAATCCCCATTTAAGTGGGAAGATTACGAACGAATATGACGTTTTAACCCAAAAAACCGGACACAAATGTTTAGATTTGGGTTTGACGTTTTTTAGTTTTGATAATGGTTTTTGATTGATTAACTATGTAACATATTTCACTAGATTGTGACGGAGGCGATTTCAAAATATCTATTTTTATTTTATCGACGAACAATACTATCACATACAATTTTCGGAATATTTAAAATTACCTACGTCAAAACCTAGTAAACCTAGTTAATCAATCCAAATTCGTTTATAAAATTAAAATCCGTCAAACTCAAACCATTAAAAGTTTTATCTAGTTTTTCGATCTAAATAACACGTTTTTTGTTTTTAAAACGATTTATTTTATTTGTATTTTTGATTTGTGTTCCCGTTCGGGTAATACGTATAACAATAATGACAACATGATAAATCGAAATTAAATTCACAAAATGACGTATTCGAAAGTATAAAGGGGGGGGGAGAGGGTAATGCACACGCGAAACAAAATAATTGGACCATTTCGTCTTCTTTTTCGGGAAACCATTAAAACCGCTGTTATGATTAGATATCTATAAATTATGGATTTTATTGATCGAAAATGATTATTTATTAACGATGCCCTGGCACAAAATCAAAATCAATTGCCCTAACGTTTTGATTAGGATGTTTCACATATAAAAGTCGCGAATTTTTTTTTTTTTATGATAAAGTTTCTGCGCAACATAATATTACAAGCACACAAAAAAAAAAAAAAACACGTTCAAAATAAAATATTATAAATACAAATAAAATATGCAATTTAACTATAAGTATATAATACGCATGGTAAGTATAATACCTAATAATAATATTAGTCGTCTAATATAATATTATGATACGTATCAATATAATACTGCAATAGTCCCGGAGAAATGTAATAAAGTATAATATACTGCGGCACTAACCGAGTTAAATAATCACACACAGAAAAAATAAATTATTTTTTATTTAGTTTTTTTTTTTTAGACGAACCCGCGGTCACAACTTGCAGCGGCATCTTCGAAAAGTCGCCGTAACCTTTGTATGTCGCCTGGAAATAACGGCGCGCGCCATTTTTTTTGCATTCTGCACACATTTTTCATGTATATATTTATTACAAAAAACTTATCGTGTATAATATTAAACATAATTATAACATTATAAATACCCATTGCAGGTATATACACTATACAGGCCGGGATTAAGCCCAAATAAGATAAATAATATTACTTCTCTTCGGGTGATAAGAAACGTAAGCGCATAAAAAAAAAAATAACTAGAAAAAATTTGAATTTAGTATAGGTTCGAATTCTAAAGCTAACGGCCCTGGATTACGACAAACAAAATTGTCGACTATTCTTTACTTCAAAATGTGACTTACCTTATATGGGTTTTGCCTCTTACCTTTTATTTACACAGGGTGTGGCCTTCAACCACTAAAAATTTTAGCTTTACATTTAGGACATAAAAATTCTTAGGAGTAATATCAGGTTTGGAGCTTAGACGTGAGGTCTAAAAGATCTTCAAAGTACACATGAACTCGGTTTTTGGTCATTATTTTTATCACCCGGGGAGAAGTGACTGTATCCCAGCATAAGCATAGCCCTAGGCACGTCATATTCTTTAATAGCCCGTTAAGTTTATATAAGAAAAATGCTCACTTTTTTAACCTTTAATATTTTGTCTGTAGTAATGATAGGGGGAAAAAAATGTGAACACATGATTTAAATTAAACAAATCGTCTATTTAGATTTTAAAATATCCTTTATCTAACTTTTTGTGAGCCAACATCATTATTTGTGTATCGTCTAAATAAATGGTATTCAGTAGTATAATTAATTTTTAATTAGTTATAAAGCTCTATCTGTTCAAACAGTTGTTTATACTCTAATCTGAAACATGAATTGAATATGCAGTTTTTTTTTTTTTTAGGTGGAATTTTATACGTATTTGTTATTTGTAATATCTTCTTCTACATTTGTCATAAATTATTTAGAATCGGATTAACTACCTATGCAATTATGTAATTTATCCTAATACAGTTATAAACGATTCGAACTTTTTCATTCAAAATTATGTTAACATTTTGATATGCTTAATTATTTAGGGTATTACTAGAAATAAAATATCCCCTGCTATTGCCTAGCTCTATAGGTACGTGCCTGCTTCGCCTATACGTTAACCCTGCAGGCCCGGGTAAGACCTGGTTACATATTTTGATACATTAGTATATACTAGGTACACATAATGTATTACTTTTCATATTGTGATGACGTGAAAATGATGTAACCGAGAGAATGAACTAAAATAACTTGTTCTACTTACTTTGTCGGTTGAGCTATAGCCGCGGACGTGGGTTCGGACTCGGATTCGACTGTGAGATCGTCGACGCTCATGCGGTCGCCCCAGGCCGTCGCTTTCAGGTATGATATCCGTCTGGTGGTCCGCTCTTCTTCTGCACGGCACGGCAACGATAAATTAAAATATTACGTTATTATATTATGGTATACAAAACAAAAAAATTGTTGTTTTAACGCGTTAAAAACGTGCATTATTAGAATGTATATAAATAACACGATCGGAATCAATATTATGTATAGTATGTAATTATTAGCAATAGACAATATTATTAAGGTATAGATAATGAATATATGTATGTAGGTATAGCGGTCCCCTCACCATTAAGATCAAACATATTCAAGTTATTATTCTGTCTCAACGTGATCGTTTCGCATGGTTTTTGCAGCAGTTCGACGTTTTCGGCCGTTTCTGGCGTATCATCCGCAGACACTACGCGGGACAACAAAAGAAATTCGACCGCGTTAAAACATAATAGTATCATTATTTGGAATATGGAAATTAAACCGCATATATTATGTATATTATACGATAAAATAAACTTTACCGTAAGTAGAACAAAAACAAAACAAATTGTTTGATAAGTGTTATAATAAGCGTTCAGTGCAATATAAACGAACGGCTCCAAGTTTTCAAAAATTTTAAAGAAACAAAAAAATTTGTTTTAAACAATTTCGAGTTTACAATAAAATTGTGGATTTACAAAATTGATTTAGCTATATATTAGACCACAATGAAAAAAATATGCAACTTTACTCGATTTGTATCGTTTTCGTTCAAGATGTTTAATTGGTACATTAAGTTATCATCTTGTTTATTTTTTCCTACAGAATTTTATTGAATCACGTTATAACCTATTCTACATTCGGATAATCGGATTTATCTAGTTTACGTAGAGATATGAATTTTACGTCTAATGCCATATTTTCATTCAGCAGAACTAATTTTGTGCTTTTATAGTTTCAATATTACAAGAGTGAATTGGCTTATTATCAGTGTTAGTACGTTGGTTTTTTCGATATTTTAATTTAAAAGCGAAATATGAATAGGTACGTGAAATATTACATTTAACAAATGATCGTACCTCGCTTAAAAATTAGAATATCGTAAAAAACCAACGTACTGTCAATGTCCGTATCTTTAAGTTTTATAATAGGCAAATTCATATTAATAATATTAAAACTAACAGCATAGAATTCGTTCATCCAAATGAAAAATTGACATTATACAATTTTCACGATCGGAAATTACTGAAATAATTACATACATTTTGTTAAAAAAAAAAAAATGGAGCTACAGTCTTGTTATTGCACAGAACTGACTATTATATTGTCGATGAGATGTTTATAATAATATAGGTATGTAATTTTTAGAGTGCAAAACCAACAGCGGAGAACAAAACATGCAAAATATGTATTTGTATTAATGAAGTGCCTAATAAAAAAAGCGTCGGCGACAAGCTATATGATATCGTGCTCTATCATATTTAATATTAGTATCGTGCACGCGATTTTTTTTTTATTATTATATACATTTTGTATGTACAAGACTGCGATTATAATATACAATAGTGTACATAATAATCAGCACTGATTAATTGGTATAAGGTTTCATATATTAGTTTGTGATGTAGATAGTAAATGCTAATAATCGAGGCGGCAGACCGTCGTCGTCGTATCGTATCTTCTCGATAAATAATGACTATATAAACAATAGGCGGGAAAGGGTAGATTGAAAATATTGTTTATTTTTTTTTTTAAGCGATTCAATTAAGTAACGTTCACGACTGTCGCAAACAGCTGATGCCAGACGAAAATAAAAATTAAAAAAAAAATCGAATGATATACGAGTTTGCAATTTAATCATCAGGGAAACCAGTAATTTAAAAAAATGCATTTTGAATGTGTTTTGAAAAATGTAAAACTATTACGAGCATAATCTGTAACACTACGAATCAAATTACTCTGAATTCACGATAATACGTAGGGTGATAAAAAAAACCATACAGAAAATCATAAACACACGATTTACAATATTATTATCGAGGTAATATTTTTAATTGCCTGTAATTTTTGAAACTCACAATAGTCGTATAAATAAGTACCACGAAAAATGAGGGAAAAAATAGTAAAATATGAAAAATAAGAGGGTATACGTGATGAATTGTGTTGTTAAAAAAAAAAAGGACATACTTTGAACGATTGGTGGGCCACTGATGTAGGTGAGAAGTTGAAAAAGCAGAGGAAAATTTTAATGTATGTATATCTGTACGCAAATATTAATTTTTGGTAACGAAAAACGATTCTGAGCGGAATTAGGTTTCACATGTTTTTAAAGGCAGTAATATTAATGATTTGAAAATAATGCATTTTATACATTATCCCCACGGATTTTTTCGGTTTTTCCCATTTATTATGAAATCTGAGAAAACCAATAAATGAGAATGACATTTCTAAAGTACATCAGTAAAATGTATTTTCAGAAAAAGTGCTACATTTGAAAATCGGAAGAAAATTTCTAGTAGAAAAGTTGTTCACTGCAGAAAATAAAAATACCATTGTAAAACAATACACTACTCGCTTATTAAACATCGCTGAGTATTGGCAGATAACCTAATATATTATATTAAGATTCGTTATGATTGTTATTATTACGGGGGCATTACTTGATAATCGTTCACAAGAGTATATTATTATACTTTAGTTATTAAATTCGATGTAATTTGTATACACCTAATTATTATTTTATACTGTTATAAATATATAATAATCTCGCGCAAAATGTTATTATGATAATGATAATAATAATATTATTTATATTATCATTATTATTATACACAAGTGTTCATCCCGATCGTCTCTGTCATAATATTATAGTGTACAGGTTGTTAGTTAGTGATGATGATGATGATGATGTATATAATATTATTATTATGGTACGTGCTGTGTGAATAATATCGGCGGATCGAATCGATTGTAAAGGTATGCACCTATACAGTTGTAAGTTTCCATCACGTTGTTCAAATCGCGGTTATAAATTAATAAAATATATTAAACTGTGTTAAGGCCTCTCTTGCAGCAGGCACGAGTAGTATAGTATGTAAGTATGTATAGGAAAAATAGAAAAGAAGGAGCATTTTCGTTCTTTTTTTTCATAAACGCTATATATATATATATATATATATATATATTTATTGTTATTAATGCCACATCCGTCTCCGTCGTTTTTATATCTCTCTCTCTTGCTCATTTTTTTTCCTTATCACCACTCTATGTTTCTGGTGTAAAACACAACAGGCTAACCTTGGCTGGTGGAGCCAGTGGACTGCGCGGCAAAATCGACCGGCTTATCCTTGGGCAGCTCGAGGCGCATCGGCCGCGTGTTCCGCCGGCGGGTTTTCGACTTTTCCGCGCCGTTTTCCATAGGTCTCTGGTTTCGCCGCTCTTTACACACACACACACACACAATTATCATTATAATATTTTCGTATATTATATTTAACAAAAAAAAAAAAAAAATTATAACAATTATAATTATCTAATATTAAACATCTTCTTTGACCATGTCGTATTACTGCACCTATTATTTCACGAATCCAAATCACATTATAATTTATGAACTTAGGAAAATAAAAAATAAAAACTACGCGAATTGCCATTTTTCGGGTGTACTTTTTTTTCGTGTTTCGAACACCTAAAAATATATTACTACTTATAATACCGTTCACGAATGAGTATTTTTATAACTTTCTCTTCGCCTAGAATACAAAAAAAACCCCGAATAACGTACGAAAACGGCGATTTGCAGAAAATAAACCGATGATATGCATATCTCTCGATATTATTTTCCTATATAAAAAAAAGAAAAAAACTAGTACCGAATTCAATGCAAATATATTTTGGTATATACTGTAGCGCGCGTTACTACGTTGGAAAGCGGGTCAAACCGGAAATGATTTTCGAATCTTTTATATCCCGCAGACAATTTCGTCAGCGATTGTTTTGTCTAAAAAAAAAAATAAAAAATAAAATCACGGCTCGAATGCGTAAGCGCGTTATTGTGTTACCATTATAATAATTGACGCGTCTTGAATTGAATTACGAGGTGAAAAAAAAACGAGATTTAAATATAGTATAGTAGTAGTTTATATATCGAGTAGTAGTAGAACAATAATGGACTTGCGGTTTTGTTATTTTAAAAAAACTAACACCGAGTGCTGCAGACGCTGTGCGACCAAACTTGCTACGGTGTAGAAGAGATAATAACAAGAGACGTGAAAATAAAAGGTAAATAATATTTTTCCCCGACTGATAAGAAACATAAATTCAACAAAAAAAAAACTACAGACTACTAAAATCGTAATTTAGTATCGGTGCGAATTTACGACCCCGGACTATCGTAATATAGACATGCCACCGACGTGGATTTTCAACCTCTAAAGGTGTTTTTACACTCGGGACATTAAGACTTAATGTCCTCGGAGCCGTATATTATAATCGGGACTGGAATTTGAACGAGATTTTTACGTTTCAAAATTGGTATATCTGGATTTAGATTTTTTGCCGTTTTATAAACATTTTTTTTTCACTTTCTTATCACCCCGGGAAAAGTGAGTGTAGTCTCCAGAAATGTTCGGAGAAAATTTCCGTCAGCGACTTAACACATTGTAAAACATTATTGCGGGCGTAGGTATTTACTGTTTATTTCGAAACTCGGCGAATAGTGTATACGATGACGACGGCGATAGGAGACGACGTTCCGCGGGAGAATAGAAATTTGATTTCTTCGCGAGCGCGCCCGGCCAATGAGTTATTTTTATCCTTAGCGTAGGTGTTGAAAAGTTCTCCGTTAAAGAAAATAATAATAATTGAACGTCGTCGCCGTATGCGGGCAATGCTTCAGCGATCGACTGCAACGAGAGACTTTGTGCACGGTTCTTCTTGCTTTTCCGACGAGATACGTTGCGGTTATTTCATTGACCTGCTCGGCGGCGTATTTACAATTTCTTTCTGGGGAGGAAAGGACCAAAAAAAACCCATTTTCCCCATTATTTCATATTTTACTGCTATGACTGCATTTTTTCACCCGTCTCCGAACAACTTTCTTCAGTCTTGCTTCGATCGAATAATGACGAGAGAGGTTTATTCGATTTTTACACATTGGGGAAGTTATTTTTTGATTTTTTACAAGTCTAGTAAAAGTATTATAATATTATCAATCGTCTACATGCGTTTTTCTCCTTCGTAATTTTCACTAATGTAATTTTTCCCATTATTTTTTAATCTAAAATTTCATAAACGAATATACTTTCAAAATTTTATTTTCTTATATAGAAAACTATACAAAATTGACCAAGTCCTTTTTTCCTGGGTGCTTTTTTTTAACATGGTTATGTTTTTTGTCTAGGCTTCGGTCGAAAATTTGCGTGTTATATTTATTTTGTGATACGAAAAATATGACGCAGGAAACTGTGTTCGCAACACTGGAAAGTGTATTTGAAGGGAGGAGGGAAAGAGATAATTAATTAATAAAGATAATTTTAAAATTAAAACAGATTTGTTTTGACGGCATTGTCTTTTAAGTCTAAAAACATATCCACTATGTTTTTGTCCACACAACGGAGAATTTTTTGGTTTTTTTTTTCCTACCTGTGTTTATTATATTATAGAAGAGTAGTATTGGACTACATAACACGCACACGACACGCGTTCGAGCAGCTATTTTAAAATGCGTAAAAACGTTTCAGCGCGTAGTGGCTATAGCTATATAACCTTACCCGTATCGGGTTTTCAACAGAATTTCATTATTATTATTATTATTATTATTATTATTATTTTACACTACGGAATTCTCTAGCTACGTCTACAATGTAACTACACTAGAGACTGCACTATGTGTGTGTGCACTACATCACTATAAATACTAATACACCAAGGCCATAATTATATATCTACAGCTCTGCTGTGGTATATAAACGCTACTGAAACGGAACGAAAAACTACGGATCTGACAGTAGTCAGTTTTTGGTATATATATACGTAACAATAAAGCCCATGTTCTAAAAAAAAAATAATAATAATAATAATAATTACATTCTGCATTTTAAAAAAATATATTGCACCATGTGAACAAATGTCTACAACACAAATAATAATGAATACATCGATTGTATAATATTTAGTGAAAAAAAAACCACGCTGATGCTACTATAGTTATGTACTACTGCGGGATGTTTGGTAATAATATTAATAATAAAATAAAAAAATACTAGGTAAATTAAAATATACACATATTATATGCTACAGCAAGGTAATGTAAAAAAATAATATGGTATACGATGCATTGATGGTGACGATAAAAAACTAAATATAAATAATATGGAAATTTGACAAATAAAAAATATTATAATCTGAAATTGCGTTGAAATCTGCAAATTTGTTCGTTTATTAATTTTAACGTTTTGTATGCATAGAAACGTAGTGACAAAAAAAAAAAAAAGAAGCGATTTAACAGGGGGAAAGTGTTTTAAAAAAACTCGTGACATAGTTATGATGATGATACAATCAGCGGCGCATCTAGGAATTTTAAGTTTCGGAGTAGAGTAATATTTCCACCCCTCTCCTATTTACATAGACACTCGCATGCTTAAACGTTTTCTTTAATTTTCTTGCTCCTTGTTTTCTCTTTTTTCTAAGAATCACCACCTAAAATCATTGAAACACCTTTGAAACTTTCCAACCGGGGAAATTACTTCTTTTGCTCCTTTCCTAAATGCGCCAAAGAATATTAAACAAGTACTGTCGCGTATACCTTACGCACTAAATAATAATCAAATAATATTATGTAAATTTACATTGCGATCTAAAATCGGAATATTATTATATTTATAGTTATAACTATTGTAGTCACTAATAGCTGCTCACCTATGATGGTGGGCTTTTTACATGCTGCCAGGTAGGAATCTTGACGCACCACCGGTTTGAAGCGATACGATTCATCTTTAGAAATAGACTCGTCTAAAAAATAACCTCTTTTTGTCAAACAACGCTCCACAAAAAAAAAAGTAAAATAAAAATAGGAAAAGTAAAAATAATAATATTTTAAAAGTACGACGGAAAAAAGCCCAGTTTTCGTGCTGTAAGTCTGATGATTGCATATTGTATTCGGCCTATCAGCAGTTGTCCGAAAATGATAAGGATCTGTGAAACGATAACAATTCGAAAACAAAAACGTACTGCCAACCGTTGCCAACGAAATTATCATATATAACAATGTAGATGTTAAAGTATAATGAACAAAAGTTATATTATTGTTTATAAGATAATAACAGAGCACTTAAATTAGTATTTAATATTTAAAATAACAGTTATTTTTTTTAATATCCAATTTCAACAATAACCAAAAGGCTCCCGAAAAAAAAAATGTTAGTTCAAAAATAAAAATTCCCATTAAAATCATTGATAATATAAGCATAAATTAATAATTTATTCGTGAAGCGTAGATCAGAACAGGATGAACCTATCACATATAAGTTATAACTAAACAGTGAGTACCCATACATTAATAAAAAAATGTGTTCATAAAATGTTGGATAAATTTAGGTTGCATAACATGTTTGACAATAATATTTTTCGTGTTCGGTTCTTATCATTTTCGGACAACTACCCCCGATCCATTGTACTCTTATTGTCGTACGTCCGCGGTAATATTTTTTTTTTTATAAATTCACCCGACGTAACATGACAAAAGCTCACGCCTGACAAACGTACACATTATATAAATTTAAATGTATTAAAAAAAAAAAAAATCCAAAATAATGGTAGCCGACCGTTAAATATTAATTTATTCCCGCGGACTTACCTTTTTGTTCGTATTCTTTCGGCGGCTCGCAATGAATTTTACTGCTGCCAATCGGTACGATTAGATTCCCGGAATGGTATCCTGCGACGCCGGCGGGGGGGCTAGTAAACGAAATTGACTTTTCAGAACCTGCAGAAGAAGAAAGTAACCATATCAATCAAGCTATAGCCGAACAAACCCTGGCTATTATATCTTTAGTCCCAAAGGTTTAAGTCAATTTTGTATTTGTTCCAATTCAATTAAATTCAATTTTGAAAACACATACTCATTTTAAAAAAAGAGGAAAATGTTAAGAAAAAAAATATGCTTAACATTGACTTGTGGTCCCCTGTGGTCAAGTCAAATATATAAGAAAATATAGAATAATAATATATTTTTAATAGTTTTGTAGTATATAATTGCATCTTGTCTCTGTTATATGTTAACATCAAAGTCGATTTATGTTATAAAATGAAATTATTTAATTTATTTGTACAAGTAAATAAAATAAAATATACTTACTACCACAGCTAGTGATCGAATCTTCTCCTCCGGTTTCTTGTTGCTGCTGCAGTTTTTTGTCGCCATTGAACTTTTGTTCATACTCCATTTTCCTCACGGCGACGTTAGGAACATTGTGTTTGGACGTCAATCGGGCCAATTCGCTTTTGTAAAAATCGGTTTTGTCGTCCATCTTACCGCTCTCAAACTGTTTGGCCCTCATGGACACCACGTGCAGATTGGTCTGTTTTAGGTGAAGGTCGATTTCTGCGGTGGTCATCGCCGTCGGTCTTCCGCTACCGTCCTCGTGTATTTTTCCCAAAGTGGTCACAAATTGCTTGCTTTTCGGTTTGACTTGCGTATGAGGCTGCTGCTGCTGCTGCTGCTGCGGCGATGAATTTGTATCCGACACGGAGCAAGGTGACGGTTCTGCGGATTGTGCCGGCGGCGGCGGTGGTGGCGAAGGCGGCCAAACTGGCGGTAACAGTTTTTGCGGCCTCGAGTAGAACTCTTTGGCCGGTTGCTGTAGAGACGGTTGGGTCGCGGGCACGGGTCGCCGCAGGAACTCTTCCTTTTGTTCGAGACTTTTTTTTATCCGGGACATGATGACCGAATCGTCGGGCGGCGTTTGGTGAAGATGGTGCAGACCGCCATGGGGATACAGAGGCGAATTGTTGTCGGGCCCGACTTGTAGCAAGGCGTCCCGGCACGCCACTCCTACGTCCATGCTGTGTCTGGCGTTCGGGTTTATAAGCGTAGAAGACGATAACGGTTTGTTGCGGTGGTGTGGGTAATTACCGCCGCCGTTCGGTTCGGTGGCAGACGAACGCCGAGTGCTAGGAGTCCGGTGTGGTGAGACGAATCTGGCTGCGGCTTGTGCCTTTGCGCCAACGTTGATGACGCTGCTGCGGTGATGATGCTCCCAGACGTTCTGGTAGATGGGACTGGAATCGCGACCACGATGGAACCGCAATTCGCTACCAGATGTCATAGCCGTTTTCAGACGGCCGGGTCTCTGATTCGTTTCAGGGTTGTGGGCAGTCTCACTAAAATACTGAAAAAAAAAAACCGCGAATGTTACTGAGCACTATTTTAATTATTAAGTACATATGATTTTTTAATGGGTATTTAAAACTACCGACCGTGCGAATATAAAATAAGATGTTTTGAAGTACAATACACGAAAAAATGATGATATATATAGAAAGACGCGGAAAAATAGCAGACCCCCATTCGAAAGAAGGATAAAGGATAAAGGCGAAGAGGAAACGAATAATTATAAGGTAAGCAAATATTTTTTTTTTTTTTTTACGCAACTCACCAATTGTAGGATGTCATTTTCCATAGGCACCACGAGCAAATATAGGTAACATTGCGTCTGCTGGATAAGTTGTACCACGTGAGCGTAGGTTTTTCCAGCCACCGTCTCTCCGTTGACGCTGATAATGCGATCGCCGGTGTTGAGACCCGCTATGCTCGCCGGACCGTGTTCCTTGACGTTTTTCACAAATATTGTGTCCATCGGTTCGTCAGGGCGAACTCCAGCACCTCGTCGCAGACCCAGCCGTTCGTCTCCGGCCAAAACCTGAACATATCAAAACGCGACGCCTTATAATTTCGGAAAAAAATTCGATAAATGCGAATAATAAGATTATAAGTAGAACCTACGGAAATATACCCAAATAATTACCAATACATGAGCTTTAAAAATACTTAAAAAATACCTAAAATACTTGAAAATGAATTCTAAATTATTTTAATATTTTATACATTATACTGTCTATCTTATGTACACGAAAAAAAAATATATTTCAAAGATTATGTATATTTGTGTAAATTTATATATTATTATATTTTTCTTTATCTGAAAACCTATCATAAATATATTTGAATGAAAGAAATTTGAATTTACCAGATTTGATCTATAACACGGCCACACGGGTATAGGTACCTACTTAGCATACTTAGTATAATATCAGCTCATCTGCTGAGTGCTGATATTTATACATTTTGAACAATAATTATTATTTTGTGATTCTCGATTCGTCAAGATAAAAATGTCTTAAAAGTTTACGAAATCCTAAACACTCTAGTAAAATGTACAAAATCTATGAAATATGCTCTAAAACTGCATAAAATCCTTCAATATGTCCTAGAAATTTTAAAATTCAAAAATATTTATTTATTTGTTTTCACAGGAAAACGCCGTTTTTATAAAATTATATAACTAATTGTAACATTTAAGATAAAGCCAAAGAGAAAAAAAATTATATATATATAACGTATAGAATGTTTTCTATCATAATTAAACTAATATAATAATCTTATTAATTCTAAAGCCTTAAATTTAAATGTTTTTCGAGGAAGTAAAACAAATCTAATGTGATGAAAATCCTATTGGCCAAAACAAGAAAATATGCAAAGTAAAATTTTGTATAGAGGCTCGTTGGGACATAAAACACATTTTGGTATTAACTAGCTATTTGTTTAACAAATGAATAAAATTATGCAAATGTATAAAAATGTTGGCTCTAATCATCAGTGATACTAATACAAAATCGAAGATACACGATATTATAATATAAACTACAAAGGTACAATGCGAGTGTGCGGGTGTGAAACAAACGACTACGCTGACACGAAACAATACGGTAATTACAAGTAGACAAAAAAAAAAAACCAACAACAACAATTAGTCGCTGACAAGAATAAAGAAGATATTATCCAAACCTTTTCGCAATGACGGATAGTAAATAATAATAAATATTATTTATTATGTACTACTAAAAAAACAAAAAAATTTAAATGGATAACAATAGGTGAAGAAAAAGATGTTTTGCCGCGGAAAATAAAAATATTTACATATACCTAGGTACGGAGAAAACCAGTTATCGGTATTATTTTCAAAGTTAATATAATACATAATGTAGAGTTTATACAGCAGGTTACCATGCGTTCCTGAATCTTCTACATCGCTTACCAATAAGAGCGTGCAATCAATTTTCACTATAACCACGGCACCAAGAAAATAATTCATGGAAGAAAAATTAATTTATTGTTGAGTAGAATAGATAGAAGATACAATTTTGATATTGCTAATATTGCTATCCATAATGTATTTATCTATGTTCATAACTAAATCAACGTTGTTTATTCCACAATATTGTTCGATATTTTATTTAGTTTCAGTAGGAGAAAATGATTCTTTACTACGCGGCAAACATGTATATGCACAAATTGCAAGTATACTAGCTGAAGTATATTATTTATTTTATACCGACATTAAATATTTTTAAATTATTTTTACAATCATACACTATAGCTACGTTGGAATAATTAAATAATATAATAAAATATCAGTTATTTAACGCGTGTAAAAAGGTAATAAATATTGTTTTAATAAATTTTATTTCCACACCTAATACAATATTGTTATTGTTGTATACTTCGGTTTATCTTAAATTATTAGCACGTAATAAATTGAAAAAAAATAAATTTGAATAGTATACCACGTATTCAACTATACTCGTAAATATTTATTGAAATATAAAATACGGTAAAAATTTAATACATATATTTCTTCGGAGAGTATATAGTAATATTTGTGAATTGTAACTTATATAAAATTCGCGATAACAAACTACGATACAAGTGTGATGCTATACACGCCCAGCCGTTAATCGTTATCAATAATCTCGAGTTTTTTCTTCTAGAGGTATCGCATACGATTTTATGTTCGACGTTTTTATTTCAAAAATGGGCGGGTAGTTTAGATATAAAAGAAATAATAACTATAAAAACAGAAATTAATAAATATAAAAACGTACCGAGGTACACAATTTATTTTAAGCTCTAAATAGGCACGCGTGTAAACTCCACTAGAAAAAAAATTAATAAAAATATAAAATTATCACGGATATCCTTCGCTGCTTTTCTTTTAATACGACTGTTTATTTCTTGTCCTTCTAGAATTAGGTTTGAAATTGGAAGACATGAAGAAATGCGAGTATATAATACTACACTTGACGCATTTGTTTAAGCGTAATATAATGACCAGTGGCCAGGAATTTTCAATGTGAATGAAGTAAACAATAATTATGACTCATGAACAAATCATAGAATCTTCTTCTGTCGTACCTAACACAAGAGTAAATTAAGTAAGTTTAAAAGTATGATCCAAAAAAGGCAATTTTTGTTCAATAAATCAACATTTTTTCCTAGTAATGTGACTAAAATATAAATTTCAAGATAACATAACAAAATAAATACTCAAGGTCTTTTTTATTCGAAACTTATCGGGGAGAAATATAACACCCCTCTGAATATGATGCTCCACTTCAACACTTTTAATACATGCGTTGCAATATTTGTTATTGCATCTTCATTCAGTTTCAACAGACGCGAATTTTATGGTTTCGTTGTACCTATTTATATATAATTCAGAAATAAAACTAATAAATAACTTCTTTGGCCAGTAATTATTTTTATTTCGGATAGGTATGACGGTATAGTTAATTTAAACATTGTCGTTACACACAAATTGAAAAACGGCAGCATGGAATCAATATCAATATTTTATCAGTTTTCCGATAAAAAATATATGATACATATATGTGGAATTTACACATATCTATTTCAGGTATACAAATAAAACTGGAGGAGTTTGAACTAAATCTTCTCATTACCTTTTCATATATACTCTGAACAGGTCGACAGAGATATTGGATTTTTTTTTTTACAATTTATCACTTCCACGTTTGGAAAATGCGAAGAATTGAAATTAAATTTAACCATGCCTCAAAATTGTTAGTATGCTAATGTGAGCTCTAGTTTTTCAACATTATAATTTATCGTTGCTTTCGGTGTTTAAGAAATGTACTGTTTCTCATCCACTAACATTCCATTATAAAGACTTCATAAATTAAAAAAATATCGATTAGTTTAAACGATTTATCTCCCCTACAGTAATGTTTAAATGAAATTTATTCAAGAATCGATAAGAATAACACCAGAACTAAAAAAAAAGGGTGTTGTATACACGAAGACCACATTGATGATAAAATAACAACCTATTGAAATACTGAGTGACTATAATGTTGAACTATAATGGAATATTTTGGGCTTCAGTCGATGACAACAGAGATAATATATTATATATTTTTAAAAACTTTTAAGTGTAACGGATTATAAATCGACGAATACTATAAATGTAAAACCTATACGAGTCACTAAGTAAAAACCGATATGTTGCAGGTTTTATAGCAACAAGTATTATTATTATAACGATTCGTGTAACACAAATAATAATAATAATAATTAAAAAAAAAACACTAGTGAAAAAAAACATTTGTGGTTATCTACCTATAATAATAAAGTCTGTGGTATAAATTTAAATTTAGTTTGTATTACAATGACTACGTCATTGGGTCTAGATTTTTTGACACCACAAAATAAATGTGAACAATATTGAATTTATGGCGTTCACGTTGAAACGTAATATTATTGTTATATTAATACTGTTCTAAGCATTTTTGGAGTAGATAATAAATATATTACGTAAACTGGTACCTATACCGATAAAAATATATTCCGGACTAGTGGCATAGCTAAGGGGAAGCTTAGGGTACACTATAACTTCCCATAGACCGTGTTTATGTATCTACGCTGTTTTACAATTTGAAGGTCAATTTAGTACAGTTATTTCATTCACTCTCGGAAGGACGATTTCTATACTGAACCTTTTAAAAACGTATTTAAGGAAGAGCCTTATGTCAACAAATAACCATGGCTTATGCAAATAATAGTAATAATAATAATAAAAAAAAGACATTGACAAAAATGATATAGTTACTGACTTTGCTCAAGATTTCTCCGGTGTCAGGAAGGGTGTAATAAGTACAGTTACAAGAAATGCCAAGACACTATTGTACACATATTCTATTCTATCATTTATTTTTTTATAATTTTTGTATTATATTGAAATATATATATATATATATATATATATATATATATATGAAAACATAATTAACATTTTTACCAATTAAAAATCATTGCAACACTACTGTTTCGGGCAGATTAATTTTATAAAAAATTGGTCAATGATTTGATATTTTTGAATAATAAAAGTGACGAATCGTTACAAAAAAAAAAAACCATTAATGCTCTGCACCTAAAGAAGAGGAGTAAGAAAGTTCCGGTGTATTCGTTTTTGGCTACAGGTGTTGAGGCCCGTAGTCGTTTCGGTAATTTCGAGAGCGATAGATAAAGACAACGATACTGAGTGAATAACACAAGACAGATTCGGACAGTGTCAAAAATACATTTTTGTAACCAAAAATAATTGGCAACCAGGTGAAATGTCTCACGAGGAAAAAATTACATTACGGATTAAGAACATATATATAAGTGTGGTGAGACAATATATAAAACGTAGAGCATGATGATTTGCCAAAAAAAAAAAAACATCTAGCAAAATTAAAAAAAAAGAAAGAAGATGAAGTGTATGGTGTGAAATGTGAACTTTCAACAATCGATGAGTATGAAAAGTAATAATACTATAATTTTTACAATAAACTGATTTGACAATTTTGATTTATAAGACGCACACGGCATACAAATATTTAATATTATTTTTACCTGTTTTTTTTTAAATTTAATTTTGAAAAAAAAAAACAATAGAGTATTCATATATTTTTGAAATATTTCTATACGTTTTCATTACGTTTAAATAATCAGCGGTTAAAAATCGGTCGAATAAAAATGATACCTACATATTTTATGTTTTTTTAACATTTTTTTTTACAACATTCATCATATTTTTTCATCTTAAAACTTGGCACAAATATTAGACGGACATAATATTTTAATGTTTATTAATATACGTATACAATAAAATAATATGTGCACAGTTTAATAAAAACTATCATCGAATGGTTTTTAATAGAAAGAAGATTTATATTTTCAATAATTTGTGTATTAATATGTGTTATAACAATTTTGGAAATATACATTTAAATATCAAGAAAATATATAAAGGTATATTTATACATTTAAATGTAAATTTTGTCTAATTAATTAGTTGATTAAAAGCCCTTAAAAGCTCATTAATAAGCTTTTTAAGTGCTGAGATGTGTACATCATAAATGGTTTAAAAAAGAAAACCGGGAAAAACAATTTTTATTTTTTTTTAATGAAAAAAATTACACTCTTTAATCTTTTAAAACGACACTAGCTGATTTTTATTGCCCCATACCCTGCGATGACTCATTTGTGTGTTATTCTTATCTGATAACAAAAACAAACAAATACGCGTTGGATAATAAAATACACAAGTGAATCTGTTTAAAAATTATAAGGGAAAAAACATCCTGGATTTTCCAGTTAAAAGTGTGCAATAAAAGGCAGAAATTCTAGTCAAAAGAAAAACAATTGAAATTATTTAAAAAAAACTTTCAAATTTTATATTTTAACACGTAATATGATCGAAATTTTCATAGCACTATTAGTACTGTTAACAGGTCATCGTACTTTAATGCCAAGCCAAAAAATAAGCAAATGTTGTAAGTCTCCCTAGTTATTATTCTAAAATAATTTATATTATATTATGATAGGTTTTTTGATTTCTATGACATAATAGTAGTCGACTTGAAGGCAAGCTGTGCACTCGCACGGAGCCCCCGCGTCGCGTCACAATCATAGCTCATAATTTTACATAATTGTTTCGAAAAATATAATGTAATAGTAATAGACAGAGAAGAATTGTAAAGATTTATCTACACTTGGTATTAGAATGCAAAAATCAGCAAATTTAAACCCCGCGAAATTGATTGCATAGGGCCTCAAAATATTCAGTTAATTAACGAAAAATATAAAGAGAGGAAATGTGTAGTCTATATAAACGATTTAAAACGAAAGGAGAAGCCATTCTAAATTGACAATGGTGATGAGTTTAATAAAGGTTAACATATAATTCAGAAACTTCAAACAGAGGTAACTGTCATCGAATAAAATCGAATACTGGTATTCAAATTAAATTCTCGTTTTATATTAAGAGGTTGTAACAATGGTATTTGCCACTCTTTCCTCTCTTCCTTTCACAAAAGAACAGTATTGTAAAAATGTGTTCATATGCAAAATTAATATAAAAACCATTTGTACATCCAATTCGTATATGATAACGTTTTAAAGAAGATCTCGTCGTGTTTTATAATTCCTCGATACTCAACGAATATTTTTGAAGTTACAAAAAACCGTATTTTACGTTATTTTTTTTAGAAATGAATATTTGAAAAATTCCGATGAGATTGTGTTCGAAATTTTGTCGCCTACAAATTGTATAAATGGTGTTCAATCGATTTTAAAGACTTTTTCGTTTTATACTTCAAAAGATTTTCTACAAATAAAATGTTACTAATATATGTGGCCCGTTAGAAACACAGGCAAGGAAAATGCCATTGTGATGCCTTTCAATAACGAACAAAACCGACCGATATTTTAATAGCACATGCGTGCAATATTATATTTTTACGAAAAAGATTAAAACTCTGGAATTTAGTAGTAGTTTTTTTTTCTTTTTTCAAACGTGTTGCTCAATGGATTTTAAATATAAATGGTATTCTTAGATTTATGGGTTGTCGTGGTTATTAATATTGGCCGGCATCGCAATAATACATAGAACCCAGAAAAATTAACTGCCCTTTTTCTTTTTCTGTAGGCGCAATAGTCTAACATACAATAATATCTAATATACACTATACGCGTTTATACATAAAATAGTAACTCATCGTCCGCAGTAGCTAATTTCGTTTTAACTGTACATTGAATAATCGTGTTTATACTATATTATGTATATATATTTTTATAACTGGTCGTATATTATGCGTATGTGGTCAAGGTTAAACGGCTATTACCTAGAATGTATAAAGGCCGACGAGAGGTAGTTTTTTTTTTTTTTTTTTCTATAAAGAAAAATCGTTTTTAAAAATGCAAACGCTCTGCAAATATAATATAATATAATATACCTTATTTCTATAATAATATATTGTTTACGGTATTGAACATATAGGATATTATTGTATTATCGTCGTTGCGTAGTGGTAGCTTACCAGATACGATTCGGGCGGATAGACGATGAAGTGGCGCAACGTAAAACCGAATCCATTATCCGAACGGCGTATAAACAATGACCTGGGACCGCTAGCTCTCTGTTCTCCGCGGTTTTGGCCCTGTAAACATAGAAAAAAAAAAATTATAACGTTGTTATAGTTCAAAGTAATGATAATAATAATAATAATAATCACAAATTGTGATTGTTGCGGTATCAGTTTGTCTCTTGTCTTCAGAGAGAGAGAGAGAGAGAGAGAGAGAGATAAACAAAAAAACATTATAATATAGGTATATAGGTATTATTATAATTTGAAATTTTCTTCCAAAACGCCAGAAAATTATTATTCAACGTTTTACGCGGGAGTCCTTGAAACGTCACGGCGTTCGCGCAGATACACAAGTACCTATAGGTATACGAATAATGTAAAAAATATTAACAATATAAGAAACGCCGTTTCTCGGTGTCTGTGCGAGACGTATAATACGTATGTATGCGTACATATCTGCGAACGGGGTCATTCGTGATCGTTTAACAAAATATAAAGGATATTAATTTAAGTCATAGTGGAAAATTTACGAGCTTCTTATATTATATTATACACCCTCGTTTTTAAAATATTATATTTTCACGATTTTAAGCAAAAATTCGAAAAAAAAAAAACTATACAAAAAACAGTCATACGTATTTTACATTTGGTAGGTATACCGATAAAAAAAATGTTATAATACATAAAACGAGTTTTGAGTTTATAATGAATTAACTATACATGAATAAATTCCATATAGTGCTCTCGTATACGTCAGTTATTTATTATATTATAAGCTTCAATAAAATAATTGTTTGTTTTTTTTTTTGGAAATATTTTATATATAGATATGTTTTTTGTCGGATATCGATATATTATATACGGGTGTATGTAAAACGTTAAATTAATTTCGTTATACAGTATGGAGGTGTGTGCGCGATGTATAGTCATGTCCTTTTACGGACGAATATAAGTACCTGTACGCACATAAAAGATAACTAGATTCTTGTGCGGAATTTAATATTCTCGATCGATTGATATTAAAAACTACTCCGCGCCGAGATCTCATTATTCGCCATGTAAGGTACAATATAAAAGTATGTAATGACAGCCGTAATGAACATTTGTTTTTCAAATACCTATATGCTGTACTAATAATATATGTAATGTATAACACGAATAAGAGGGAACGTAACGTTTTTTGACGTTTTTTTTGTCGAATTTTTTCCAAAAATAGAGACTATGATGTGCACATGTATCGTATCTGTTATATCTTTTTCCGGTTACTTTTGCACACTTTTAGCAGTTCCCTCAGAAATCAGAGTTGTTTTAAAGGCGGATTGAAGTGATAACATTCCGGTTGAATTACAATATGAAATGTGTTTGCGGGAGGAGAGTGTTTTTATGTTGTGGCGGAGGGGAGCAGGTTGTAAGGGGAAAATTCGACTTGAGTGATGGAGATCCGCTGTTCACAGGCCTTTTTTTGTTTTTTGACTTTTATAAAAAAAATATACAAACATTATTCAAATTTATCAAAATTTCACGATATTTTCATAATATTATAATGCAGCGATGTTATAAATATAATTTATGCGCAGCAACAAATACACCGGTAAAACAGATTTTTATACGACACTACTACTGCAGCATCACCGTTATTTAATCTCGGTGTAAATATACGAGACATAATATTTGTTTAAGAATTCACGTCGAGGACCAAAATTTATTTTTATTATGTATATACGAACTGTCGAGTTTTAGTCGATAAATAACGTAATAAACAACGTTTTTGTATATTTATATACCGGTACATTATTATTATAAAGCGTTACAGGTTACTGTTAAATTCATGCCGGAAAAAAATATTTTTTTTTTTGTATAATTTGCATGACCGTAGAGATGAGGTCATGATTGTTACCTATCTATTACAGTAATATAGGTGACAAGTAATTATTATTTATTACCTATATACATAAGAAATGTGTTTAGTTAAATTTATGCACGTTAATAACGAGGGCTGAATTAAGGGACGGCCCCTGAGCTGTTTCCCTGAGCCGCATGGCGAAGGAATGTTTTGTATATTATTTTCTTTTTCGAGTTTTTGTTAGATTCTGAGTGCAGCCGGAGAGTTATACTTTCTCTCGTGGATCTTTAAAATGCAACCACTATATGTGTTTATTTAGTAATTTTATCAAAGTTACAAATTGCTGGGGGGGAGAGGTTAATTTCACGAATAAAAATTTGTATCATTTGGCTTTTGAGTTCTCATTGTCGAATTAGGTAAAGTTGCAGAAGACGTTTTAAAGATTTAACCATGAGTCATGCTTAGGATATTTAGTGTAGATCCCCTCCCATTGACAATTCCTGGGCACGCCACTGTCTATAATATATTCATTGTATGCATTAAATTATTTCTATATACGGTACACAATATGGATATCGTGTGTATCGTATAATAAAATTATGACTCCCGGGTAATTACTATATTATTACCGGACACCCGGATAAGTCGACTTCACGGCGCGTTATCAATTAATCGGTGATAATTAAAAATTACTATTATACAATAAAACAAAATTCAACAGCCCGTAGCCGTGAAGAACAGTTATAAAATATTATAACATAACACACGTGGATCGAGAAATCTCTATTATCCATACCATAATATTATACGTTCGTTTTTTTCCCATTTAATTATCGTTCGATGCGCTGATAACTACGCGGTCCAACAGTAAACCAGTTCCACTACTTACACGCACATTTTTCAAAAAAAATAACAACCCTTGCAGTTTTTACGGACCGTTATCTCTCTGTTAACGCGTGTACGTAAACAACATAATACATATTATAATATTGTCTATTATTATTACAGTATGGTAATTGCGTTAACGAGCCGTTGAAATATAAACGAATTTTAAAAATATAGATTTACGGTTCCATATTACGCATACATAGGAACGTAAGAGACCCGAACGAAAATACGGACTTGAGAGATAAAATTAAAATGAAATATTACTTTTAATTATGTTATATACATAATATAATATATATTACGCTCGTCAACTCGGATAAACACGAGGAAATGACAACGACTGGGAAATTAAATAAACACGTATGCGGAAGTCTTTCGCCCCGGATACGGCATAAACTAAACAAGTATACACAATAATTTAAGAAGTAGCAACCCTCAACGATTTGAAATAGTAATTCGCTGGGAAATTTCTTTTTTTTTTCTCGTGAAAATATTATACACATGCTACTGCAGGTGTTGCGGGTTGTGAATTTAATGTACTAAAAAAATAACAAATATACCTCGAAGAATCGAAAAAATAAATACAAGCGATCGAATTGTGCGTTCTGCAGCGGATATTACTGGGAAAAAAATAAAAGCGAGCGATTGCATGCGATGTCCCGTGAAAATTAACGCGTTATTAAACGGCTGTCGACGAGTACAACTCGCAGCAGACGCTCGCGATTATCGAGGTAATAAGTGGCGGCGGTGGGTGAGGTTGGGGAATGGGAGGGGGTGGGGTGTGGGAGTGGGCGAGTAAGTAAGAGACGACCGGACGACATTATTATTATTGTTGTTGTTAATATTATAATGACAATTATAATAATAAAATAAAACTATCGAGCAGCGCGCGGTTCAGCGCCATATAAATATAACTCGCGGACTAAATAACGACGACGATATTTTCTCGTGCCCGGGCCAACGAGCGCGCCGCGGCCAGCGTATTATTATCGTACTGTCACACACGCGGAGGTGCATAATATAATAATAATAATAATAATGACGGCGATGATAACGATAATAGTAATGTACTATACGTATTCAAATTATTATATGTGTATACATACATTTTGTCGGGCGCCGCAGTTTTCGCGATTTTATTATTATCGCCACGGCGGCCAGAAAATATTATTATTATTACGATTTGATTTGCACACGTACTGAGCGGCGCACGTAAATATACACCGCCGCCGTACTTGACCGCGCCGGCCGCCCGACAACAATATAACTAAATACATTCTCGCCCGCCCGAGATCTGGCCAAATCCGCGAGGATTTCATCCGTTTTATCACGCGCAAGACGTTTGGGCCTCTCTCCATAAGTATACGATATTATATATGATCGCCGTCCACGATGATTCCGTTTTGCGACAACAGATTATAATCCAAAAATCGGCGGTTTAGATCTAATATACACCGGCACTTTTCAAATATATAGTAATCTTTTTTTTTTTTTCAAATTTTGCCATCACGATTTAAAATAATATCTATTATCTTGGTATAAACGACTCTCAATAATAAACGATACCTTAATGATAATGATTAAATATTTATCCGCTTGGACAGGATAACAACAGATCGAAAATTTGTATTGGATCTGTAGGTCAGATATTATCACTGCTCGATGACAACCATATTATCTTAAATCGTACCTGGCGGCAATACTTTGCTATTGCTAGATAAAAGTGTAAATAATAGTAATAATAACAACCTTGGTCACCAAGGTAACATAAATAAACAAATAAAATTTAATTAATGGTCCCAAAAATACATTATAAATCTTATTTTACCACCTTGGGGATTAAATTTTCAATAATCCTTTCTTGGTGGATGCTTATGTCATAATAGCTATCTGTATGCGAAATTTCAACCCGATCTGTCCAATGGTTTCGACTTTGCGACGATAAATCAGTTTCCGGTAGGTACTGATTCGGACCAAAATAGAGATATATATGCCCACTAAACTATAAGGACAATTATATTTTAGAACCAACAAAAAAAAAAAATGGCCCGGACCACGCCGCCATTCAGGATAACTAGTTATGATATATAGTACAAGCTGATCCCGATGATCCTATAATGAAAATATATGACAAATAAAAACCGCGATTATAGATACAATCCGTGTGTTATACTCATTAAAAAAAAATCGCGATACGATACTGCTTACTATAACGGACGAAATCCAAAATTTTTATCGGGAGATAAGCAATATTGCTAACAAAATATGATTAATTTAATCAGGAAATTTGTTAAGAAGTACAAATATTATATTAACATTATAATAGCCGGCGATACTGTTTCAACTGTATTGGAATATGTGATGTATATCAATAAATAAATGTTGGAAGGTGATGGTACAAATAAGTTGTCCTTTAGACTCGATGTAAAATATTACAAATCGAAGACAGGCGTCGGAACATTTTCCGCGTATTGGTCACATAAAAATAATTTGAAGAATGTCAAAAATCGAAAATCATTCACCAATTTATATCATATATTTTGATAATTGATAAGATTTGATAAAATAGTGATTGTAGTAAATAATATAATAATTATTTCTTAAACGAATAACATAATATTATATTAAAATTGTTCACTATATAGTAATACCTATATGTGACCAAAATAATTAGTTTACTACATTTTTAACGATTACAATAATCATAATCGTTTTAAATTATTTTTGGTGAATAACAAACTTTATTTTCTTTTTCGGTTTTTTTCTTCCAAAATCAATGTTTTTGAAGAAAAATATCTATAATGTTTCTGGAGTATTAAAAGTACTAACACGTGGCCCAGTCTACTAACTACTATTATATGATAACTACTATTTTGCAGTTATCAAATACATAATATGTATTATATTAATATATATTTAACGGTACCTATAGCTATAGATACCGTTAAAAAAAAATAAACGTTAAATAAATTCAGTCACGCGAGGAGACGTGCTTTTTAAAATGCTTAATAACATATACCTATGCTAATACTGTTATCCTACCTCATACTTCGTAATTTTCTACGCGATAGACTCTATCAATACATATATTTTAAATTAAACTACAACGTATACTATTATAATATCACCACTTTATTTTATTATTATTTTTTTTTATCAATGAAATCAACGTTATATTATTAAGTCACAGTAGCATGTCAATTCTCGTATACTAGTCTAAACATATAGTATTACTATTATTTTTTTTTTCATTCGGCTATATTAAGGCTGTACAACGGATCCGATGGGTGTGTGTAATCGTGCGCTCGTGATTCAAAATACAACATCATCTTTTTGTTCACTTTCATCTGACTCATTCGTCTTCCGCGATCATGACACTCCTCTCCTATATAAAATGTTTCGATTTATACACGTATACACTTAAGTCAAACGTACAATGTCTTATTAATTAATCCTGCTAGCGCATATAGAGACATGGTTTATTTTTCTTCCTCGTACATAATAATTTAGACGGATATATTACAGGGAACTTCAATTTACACGACCTCGCGGTGACAAAAATATACAAAACGACATATTCATTTCACGAATTCGGTTTTAAACTGTCGTATTGTCGTAGTTTTTCACGGTGTAACTTTGTTTAACTCACTACTAGGTAAGTATATCGTCGAGTCGATTAAATCGAGACCGTACTATAATCATCATCGCCTAATAATATAAACACCGAGAAACCGTTGTTTTGAATTGGTGTTATTATTATAATACAGAAGAATTACCCAGCAATTATCTGTACGCGTAGATGTTGAGTTAAACTAATTTTGATTTTTTTCCATCAGTCATGATATGGAATTTAATAATGGGTAAATCATGTATATATGCATGATTTATAATAATTTAAAATTTAGAACTGAAGTGTAGGACGAATGGTTATCATTTAAAAATGGATATGAAACGTATAATTACTCTTCCGGTATAAATTTTAAATCGTTAAAACTCATAAACGGTAAACCACATGCATATCAAATTGTTTGGAAAAATATTATTTTTTCGAATCTATGTTAAAAAGAGTGAGTGAGGGTTTGTTATTACAAAATAATGTTGAAATAGTGTTTGAACAGAAAAAAAAATAGAAATCGATTTTGCCTACTTAAAATCCATCGGGAAAACCGCTAGATCGTGATCAAAGTTTATTTCACCCTATAAATTGCGCACATTAAAATATAATATCATAATATCCCAGAAGTGCGGTTTTCTTTGACAAAAAATTCATTAAAATCACACAGACCACGTACGTGAAATTTCACGTTCGAGAAATTTGTTTGATTGTAAACGATGAATTTGTATAATATATACAAATAAAATTACGCCATTATTCGCACACACCACACCGTGTATAGTGAACGTACTATAGTAATAATAATAATAATAATAATAATATTGTGCGTAGGTGTGTAGGTATATTATAATAATATTATTATACTCGACAGGAGTTCATTGCGGTCGGACCTATAAATGTGCAGTTTCGTGCGTCATAAATATTATTATAATTCTATCGGAAATCGCGTACCTATACATTATTATTATTGTTTCAGTAGTTCTCATATACGATACAAAATGAAATATTGCAGTATTTTTTTTTTATGCATCGTCTCACGTCGACCGCAATAACGGAGTCGGCAGCGCGCGTTCTTCAATAATAATAAACGCCACAGAATAATGGTGTTTTTTTTTATCTACGATTATTATACCGTTTTTATTTTATCGTTAAAAAAAAAAACCTGCGAGTTTGGTGAATTATTTTTAATTCATTGAAGCAGTGGCGCGAGCAAATGAGGGCGTTATGGGTGTATGCAGGACAGCCATCCCTTCAACCGTAGAAATTTACATGGCCATTTATTTGCATTTATAATTCAGAAAAAAATACAATAAGATTTATTCTAATATGCAATGTTCATTTGTAATTCATTGTATTTGTAACTAGCAATTATTAGATATATATTATTGAATCAAAAAACCATTTTAAATGTATTACAAATAAGTATTTTTTTATGTTTAATATACACAAAATAATTATATTATAATATAGGCCAATTAAAAAAATTAAATGAGATTTGTTTTATAATATTATATAGTCTAGTCAATCGAACGTCGGATGACAATGTTGTATTCACATAATTAATTACACAAGGGGTGGAAGGGAGGGGGTAAACTTTTAGAGGTTGAATTTCTAAAAATTATTTTTATAGTGTGTATTGTGCACCTAAACTATAATAGGAAACTACTCTACACATTTTATCAGAATCGGTTAAGTAATTTCGACTGGACTCTGGGCCGATAAATGTATATCAGAGAGCTTTTATAATGTATATGGATACTGATAATGCTGATACAAGTTTCAGTATATTGATTAAGGTAAGGTACCAAAACTCAAAAGCAAACGGTTTGCTGACTATTTATTGTTAGAACACAGCTTATAATTAGGTATAACAAAGTTTTCCATCGAAAAAATGATTTAAATAGCCCCAAACGTTAAATGGTCTGATAAATAATTATTTGTATCATAACTGCATTTCGGAAACCAACCATATAATATAGTTTCACCGTGTTTTTCTAATTAAACTCGAAGATCAATCAGATAAGAAATTCGATGTTCATCGGAAATTGTATGCAACTGATTACCTATCGATGGGTCCGGTAAATAACCAATTAACAAAGCTAGGGTGAAAAGCGACATAATTAATAATCTTAAGTATCAATAATGGTCTTTATAAATATATTTAACGGTATATATAATACAGGATTCCTGTCCTTAATTCAAATTCCTAAACTAAAAATCATGAGGGGTTTCTAGCCTAATGTTGTCCTTAGAGTTATCTAGTAATTGAATGCCCATTGAATTGACACGATTATCTAGCATAGTCTCGTACTCATTGATCTATTAGTTTATTCAAAAATATTCTGTAATACTACTACAAACATAAAAATTACAATATATAAAATTATATACAACGTATGATATATTTGATACATACAGTAGAAGGTGTACATTTTACATTAATCCGAACCACCCTCCTGAAGTTTTCATATACGAAAATATAAAAATTAAAAATTGTTGGCACATAACTTATTTGTATAATATGCTTACGAATATATATTAAAATATTATAATAGTAATAATAATAATACGAACACGATTTGCACGATTGTGCACTGTGGCGGCGAACGAGGACCGCGGTGACTTGAACGCTCGCGTACACGTTCTTCGACACAATATTAGAATAATATCCTGAGGTGTGTGATTTTATCTTATTAAAAAGGAGCTTTTAAAATGCGTACCTATATAATATACGACCTAGTTAATGACTAGAAAAAAAAATTGTATTATAATGACTTTCGTCATTCACGCGAACAACAACCTCGCCAATATAATATAATATCGCATGGGGCACACAACAGATAATAATACAATTATTGTTTTACAAAACGCTCGCGAATATTATACAATAACATATAAAACCACAGCTAAATATAAAATACACATATATAAATATATACGAGTTATAATAATTGTCTAGTAACTAACTATATAATATAAAATATGATTTTTCGTATAAATATACATACATAATACATACGTATAAGAAAAATAACGTGTTGAGGGGGGCGAGACGAGTAGCAGCAGCAGCAGACGACGACATTTGGAAAACATTACTTATTATTATAATTATACGAGATGCTACCGGGTTGACGCGGACACACATTTTTTTTGGCAGCAGCTCGGCAACCGTTCATAATAAATCGGCTACTGGCCAAACTGCAGCATGAAGTACGATAATTTTTGACATAAAAAAACGTTTAGCAAGACGTAGAGTCTACAGAACATATAATAAACCCCTGCAACGTCGATGGTGTGTGCGGTTTCGGTTTCACTTCGAAACGATTTGGACGTAAAAAAAAAAAAAAAAACCAAGTCAGATAATAACAATACGTGTATACAAGCATCTTTTGTGTATACAATGATTTTGTTGCCGCCGCCGCAACGGTGACGACAACTGCACGGTCCTGTCTCGTCACGAAAACAATAGAATATTTATTTAAAAAAAAAAAAAAATTTAATTAACAAATTTCTCTTTTCCTTTCGATAGCTGATAATACCCGATTATAATATTTATATTATAATACGCAAATAAACCCGCAGCAGCAACAGCAACAGCCCGCAGCGAACGCGATTTCTTTATACAATAATAAATATTACCTATAACAGACGCGCATATAATAATATAACGGTCACGTTTAACGAAAAAAAAAATTACAAAATAATTGATTTCTATCGCCGGCAACCGAAAAAAAAAAATGATGTCATTATATATTGTGTTCTAAAACAGTTTGGTTGGTGTATATCGCAAGGTGTATTAAATTATAAATCTTCTATTATAATCATATCTAATATTATTCTCCAACAGAATATATTTTATGTACATGGTTCTCTATAGTACAGTTGGGGGGATTCAACCAACAGGCGAATTCAGTCACGAGGAAATTAGTAGCGGGGAATCGATGCTGTTTTTTCACTTGTTTCATTATTTGAGTCAAAATTATTGCCCAAAGAACAAAAATAAGAATACATTATAAAGCACTAGTTATTAAATGACAACAGAGTTCAAGAATGGCAGGCAAACGATAAGCGGAGCTGTGCAGTAAGACCGAAAAAAAGATGGATGGGTTGTGAGCATGAAGTTATGAAAAACGTAAGTATATCACTCGCCAGGATTCGATGGAGAACGCGTGGAGAATCAAGATCCGAAAAGCGGACTCTTTAAACCTATACTAGTGGCGTGTTAAACGTGGTCATCAACAAAGTTAGATGAAAAGAAATTAATACGAGATAGAAATAGAAAAAGAGATAAATCTTATGTAAAATTTAAGGGCCCAAAATAAACGAGCTGGAGAATACATAATATGAACGAAGGACAAATTGAGGACTGTTTATTAGCATTATTTACAGTGAGCCAGATATAGTGTATGTTTTCAAAAGGATAAACTAAGCCGGACACGTTTGGCGGACAATGAGTATATACATGAGATCACAATGTAAAAAAAAAAACAGACATGAAAATACCGAGAGGCGACGAACGAAAAATCGAGTCAAGTAAGACATCAAACTTCTTGGAGTAAGAAACGGATAGAACATCTATGGTCATTGTGGACAGAGAAGTACAGAGGTTTGTGGTGGAAACGTCAATGGGCCTACGAAGTCTGAATTAAGAAAAGAAAAAATAATAATATACGACGCTCGTGGAATTCGTGGACTGAGTAACGATTTTCGCTTGAAACAAATAAAACAACGCATAACATGTTCAGTAGTAGTAATAGTATGTTTTGTTTGTCGTACATATACACACAAAAACGTAAATTGAATCAATACTATACACAATATACGAAATGATGATTGACAAGTATAGGTATACAACCACGATCTGAAGGTGAAAAAACGACATTAACATACTACAATGTTTTTTTTTTTTTTTTTTTTTTTTTTTTTTTTTTTTGTGGGGGACACAGCTGCAATCGTGCCACTCCCTATGTAGCAAACGGGCATATTGTATTTTATTCGAATATAATTTTATATAAAAACTATATTATATATTATTATGGCTTGGAAGTTGTTGTATTTTTTTTTGAAAATTTGTTCCCGTTTATTTATTGCCAAGTAAAAATTTTGAATTCGTTTCACGGAATATATTATATTAGGGACAAGATAAAATCACAAAAAAAATGTTAGCAAAATTTTGGCAAACGTACGAATTTATGATTGCAATATTGTCGCTGATGTTTCATGTTTGCAATACTATATTTTTCAAATATATATATATATATATATATATTTTTTTTAAGTTTTTAATAACGTTTATAACGAAACTGTATTTGTTCTTTAGGCTTTTTTTTTAAATGTAATATACTGCAATAGATTTTACTAGTTTTTTATTGTGACAACATCCACGAGCTCTAATACAATTTAATAACGTTTTAAACGAAACGAAAATAAATAATAATGCAAATACAAATCTCGACATATAATTTTATTACTTATTACTATATAGGTATTATATGAGTACATCGAAATGATAACTAAAAAAAGCTAAACACATTATTTTATTTTATTAGTTTAATATATATATTATAATGGTTGATTTTTGTTTTACGAGCCTCGGTATAATATTATAAGAAAGAGTTGGTAGTTTTTTTTTTCGTACCGGAAAACGTTTGTTGCGTTATTTAGACGAATGTCAAAAAAGAGGACACGGATTTTCAGCTGTGAGCGGCACATTCGTGTAAACGGAAGGCCGCGAAAATCGTGCCGGATGATGGTATGTGCGCGCACACTTACAATATTATTTATGTATATAATAATAATAATAATAATAATTGGAATACCGCCTGGCTGACGTCGCAGTCGCACACCGTTATAATAAATAGCAACGGTCGTGACGAAAAAAGAGTAAGGTACCGCGAAGAACTTGTTTCTATTTTATTGTTACTATTGTGGGTGACGACAGCGTCAGGCGATTATTTCAATAGGAAAAAACAACTAAAGTCAATTGAGAGTGGAATACTACCTACGTGTAAAACCGCAAGGGAACCAGGAAATCGACTAATAATTATCAAAAGAAAAAAGTCAAAAGACATACTTCACATTTACCTATATGATGGCCGTTGTGGAATGAAACAGTTAAAGCATTTTCCGAAACACATATTTTTTTAAGCCTTTATATTAGTTTCCGCTCGTATATACACAGAATCGAAAAAACTCAAAATGACAAAGTTCAATAAATGTTCGCTTCCGCATAAATAGAATTTTGCCTATAAAAGTCTCCAAAATTCAATTACCACTCACCAATATTACCTACCACTGCCGCGGCGGTGCGAAAATCCACATCTTTTTACAACAGGAGCAAGGCAACGATAAAAAAAAAAAGAACTGTAAATGCAGAAAATCGAAATTAATTATCGTAGTTGGGAATTTAAAACCGCGGAGAAGAGGGTGGAAGAAACAGACGAATGGCGTCCATTATCTTCGTGTAATAATATAGCCACCAGCGAAAATAAAAACACAAAATCGGGAAAATCGGAGTCCGTATCACTGCACGGCTTACGGAAGTAAACACTTGCTACAGAGAGCCGTGCCCGTTGTTCTGGAACCGCGTCCTCTTCGCGCTCCAATTAATTTATACCGCCAAAATTAACGGCGTAAAAATGCGCGAATTTCCGATTCTATGGTTTCTATTTTATCATTATTATTATTGTTATTATTTTTTTTTTTTTACGACATCACAGGAAACAGCGCTGAGCGGCCGTGTCGTCGAGATTTGACGTATATATTTTTGCGCGTTAATATTACCACAGGTATATCGGTATATCGAATAGGCCATTCAATATATATTGAGTGAATGCTCGCGCCAAGTATCTCGAAACTGTGTCAAGACAAAAACACCAGAAGCTTTCCTACACGCACGAGCGGTTTTCGATCGGTTTTTCACGCGCGCTTCTTCGGCGTACGTGTCTGTGACACGTTCAAGGTAAATCGTCATCGTGTCGTCGAACACCACGCACGCACCGCACTATAATATTATATCTAAGTATCCGTATACACAAGTATATTAAATATACACGGTGATTGTTTTGTCACGAACCAACGATATTATTATACTTTTGGTATACCGAAGATTCCGAGTGATTTCGGATTATTTTCCAATACATATATGGTTGGTCCCTAAGGAGAGCCTAAGTCAATTTTGAGTGTTTTTTTTTTAATCGCATATAATTCTGTCTTTCACAATTTATTTCCTAAATGGACGTATTATGTGTATCGGTATTAGTATTATGTACTGCATTTACGAGCGCGTGTATGCCAACATTTGCTTGTACGACAATAATTACACAATAAATTGATTAATACAGTTTTTTTTTTCTGGGATTAAAAAACGAATTATTCAAAATCGTTATAGACAAATAATCGACGGATCATGATAAAAGAATCACCCTGTATATAATCAGCAGAAAATAAAGAAAATACATAAGTTGTCGTTCATGTATCGTTAGATTTCGCTAGGTCATAGGCAAATGAAATACGTACTATGTCAGAAATTATAAAACTCAGAGAAGATTTAGATTAGGCACACGCCTAATATCCTCTACGAAATACTTTTATTTTATGTATTTTTTAAATGCGATTGTTTTTTGAGATAAACGATATCTGCAATAAGTTTATTGTGCGACTTTCTTTTTACATTAAATTAATATTCGGTTCATGTTATATACACGTATAGGTATAACAAAATAAATGTCCGTTAACTCAAATTTTGATTTTTATCACTACGCGATTATTTTAAAAAAAAATTACATCGTTATACATGTTTAGTACGCTAGCATAGTACTTGGTTAAAATGTCTAGTGGAAACTTTGTTTACAGATTCAAAGATAACCAACACATCTAACAGTAAAACTAATACAATCCTCGCTTCACTCAGAATCTAAAACAATTATTTTATTACATAAATAAAAACATAATAGTGTTAAAAGATAAATCGTGAATAATGTATACTGTTTAACACAACATAATTCAACCTATTATTATCAATTAAATTTCCACCAACAATTTAAGTATGACAAAAACATACATTTAAATGACATTACGGGACAACGCAGAAAAATATTTAATTTGCGACATTATAAACCCTCTGCTCTTCTTATACACGTGTTTTGTAAAAACAAAAATTAATAAAAATAATGTAAAACATATAAAAACATACTTATAGTTAATAATATGTCTGAAATATTATTTCTGTCACTTAACAATTTATATATCTAATTTAACCTTCATTTCATAAGATGTATAATAATATTAAAATTTAAAAAAAAAAAAAACCGTTATCAAGAATTTATTGTTATTAAATTATAATATCGGTTTGTTAAAATAAACATAATATAATAATAAAAAAAAAACAATATAAAAATAGAATTCCATTAAAAATGAGTTCATTTAGTATATATCTAACAACAATATAATATTTTGCGATCATCACACAATGATTTTTTTTCTTCTTCAAAATTACAACTATAATATATATCCGCCCGAAGATAAAGCACCGTTGTGAAAAAAAAAATCGTTTACATCCAACACGATGGTTCTCATAAATTTATAAGAACATCGTTGTAGACTTAAAAAAAAAATAATAGAAATAATGATATCGTGTGTATATGCGTAGGCCTCTCCAACTCTTTGTTTTTCTGTCACACAATATCATTATAGAAGATCAATTATTTTCTAATTTGTCATTTTTTTTCGTTCTTTTTTTCCCCACCTACTTCCTCTTTATATGTTCTATATTATTATGGTTAATAACTCGTTATGTCGTGTCCGAAAACTGCGAGACCCGACCCGGTAACCGTGTGATTTATGCACGGACCGAACTATACACGTTTAGTCGTTTAAAAAAAACATATCGCCCGCGTTAAACGTGCCTAATGATGACACGTAGTGTAAAAGTGTATGAGTAATATCATCCTACTGGATGATAAAAAACTATAATAATATAATATACGTCATAATAATATATACTGGTAAACAAAGCATCTGTAGATTTTTTTAAAACAAAAATGTCCTGATCAACAAATATGGTCAGTCCGTGTACATTTTTAGATAATCGTCTAAACACTTTTCTTGTAATATTAAAAAATGATATGGGAACTCCTGCAAATTATATTATGTGATCAACGTAACTTAAGAAACATATTGTCTCGGAATATATTAAACTTTTTCAGAATTTAATTGTTAAAAAATTTAAGAAATAAGCACCTATGAAATATTAAATTACCATAGTTTTTATTTTTTTTGTCACCCTTATTTTGGAGGATGAAACCACTAGCCAATTTTGATTTTCAAATAGCAACCTATAATAAAAGTTCACTAAATAGATGATGATATTTTAGTTTAAATACATTATGGTGTTGACATTCTTAATTTCCGTCAACCCGTTGTCAAAACACTCCATTATTATTAACTTAGTCGTTTTACGGGTAGAAGCAAAAAGTGGAGCATTATGTATTTATTAGTGTATTTGTGTAGTAGCGCAACGCATCTGTTTAGGGAATTTTTTAGCATAAGTTGCAATTCAAAAAATCAAATATAGTAGTCCCTCAAAAATTAAGGCGACGAAAAATAATGATGAAGTAAAATTTTAGAGTTACTGCTTTCTAAAATTTTCCGAAAAACAAATGCTGAAAAATATTAATACTTTCCAAGAGTGTCTAGCGTAATGTTGATCACACTGTGTTATACCTACATATGACTATCCCATTACAACTCAATTCAACTAATACCGGGAACACGAGAAATACACAAAGATGATATTATATTTTACTATTTAATTTTTTTTTACATAATATATAGGTCTAAAAAAGATGTCGACTAAGATAAAATAAAAAAAGTAATACGCACGAAATTCTACAGTTTCAAAAAAATAATAACCACAGCTAACCAGGTCGAATTATAGGTATCTATTCAAGGTTACACAAACATCGTTAAATTAGATATAATAATATTATATAAAATTTCCGCGATTAGAAAAAAAATACGATTTAAGATAATTTACAAGTTTTTAATAATTTTATGATTTCTGATTCTCGGATATTTTACTAAACGTCAGTGGCATGCGCAAGGGGAGGAGGGTGTAAGGGATAATATCTCTCTATTAGTTTAAAAATGCTTCAAATATGATTGTTTATTCAGTAAGTTTATTATGAAAATATATATTTTAGCCAAAATACAAGGAAACACGTTTATTAAATAAAAATGTAATTTTTTGAATTCGGCTTTTAAATCCTCATTGTCGGGTAAGCCGTAACTGTAGAAGAAAATTTTGCAATTAGTTCGTGAATCATAATTATAATTGTTTACTGCGTACCCTCCTGATGAAAATTACTGGACATGCCACTGTTAAACGTTGTCCGATTGTTGTTGCCACAATCTGGATGTTATTTTTCGACAAATTGAAAATTATACATGTTATTTTTTGACAAGTGACTACAAAAGAAGAGAAAAATTAATTAAATTTTGTTATGATGGATACGTCGTCGTCGGTATAGTTCACGCGCGTATAAAAATCGAATACACAAAACACAGCTTGTGTAATAAATGATTATGATGACGATATGAGATAGAAATCGGTTTCAAAACACTGCCCACGAAAATACGAATTCTAATCTACACCATCGCATATATAGATAATGTACACTGGAAGTGTGTACAAACGATAATAATAATATTATGTATACGAGGGGAAAAAAAATGATAATTTAAAACTAAATCCCATGGAAACATATTATATAAAATGCACGGTTCGTTACAGCAAAATATTATATCAAAATTACACGTAGGTACCTACCAAACCTATACTACGAGTTATAAAAACGAAAAGTGTTACACAAAAACAATTGTTTTAAAACGAATACCAGTTGGGCAAATATTGCATAAAATAACATGTAAGGAAATTTAAATTTTTAAAACAATAATTATTGTCAATAGTCTACTAGTTCTATAGGTACTACAAACAATCTATGATAAATAATAATATATAACACACGGGTCTCGAATTTCGCAAAAAAAACACTAGGAAGACAAGAGTAGTTCCCACCAGAGTTCAACGAAACAAAACTGCGACATATATTATTGTTTTGTAATTGAAATTCAGGATGATTTTTTCTTCTTTTGATAAAAAAAAAAAAAAAAACGGTAGGTATTTTATTCTAATAACGTTAACGATTTCAAGGTTAATTTATTGTAAATGCGATTCTTGTCGGGCGAGAAAAAACACGTCTGATCACAGGCATATTATTATTATATCGGACACTATATTTAAGCAATCGATATTTTTAGATGCCTGCCAATGTTATACTGCGGGTATACGGGAAGGATCGGGTTTCAACCATTTTTTTTAACGTAGGTATACAGCTATAATGTACACCTAAAACATATATCTAATTACCGGCAACACGGATTCTTCTGCTATGGGTAGGTTACGGGCGACCGTGATCTTGTGTAATGTTTATCGGTCTAGTTTTTCTACATATTATATGATAATATGATAATATGATAATATGGTAAAATCAATCTCTTCGGACACGAAATTTTAAATACTAAATATATATAATACTTTTAATCGAATGGAAAAAGGCTTTTACTGTGTCTCTACTGTTTTGGGAAGACGAATTGGAAGGGCAGGACACATAAAGTAATTTAATTAGCATCTTTATATGCAACGATAAATCAACAAAAATTATGTAAAAAATTTCACATTTATTAAAAAAACTACAAGGAAAATCAAAACATTACTTCTTTGAGTATCAATCAGATCAAAAATATTACAAGAATGTTCTTATACAGTTTTTGGTTGAATCAAAATTTTAAAGTAGAAATACTATTAACGACATGAAAAAAACACATGTTAAAACAAATGCATTACTTAATAGCTTCGCTCAGAATCTAAAATTTAACTGACAGAATCCAATAATACAACTATACTTTGTGCTAAAAAGCTGTTCAAAATCAACGGATCGTAATTTATTAAAGTTTTTAAATTTGTTACACATCGTAATTTACAATTGCATTAATAATATATAGGAGAATATACTTGTATTAATCACTTATATTTTAAAAATAGTATTATTATTATTATTATTACGCGTATAGGATAATCAAATACGCCAAAAAATCTTTACGAAATAATATTATAAAAAACCGCTTTTTAAAAATACCTAATAAAATGTTCTAAAAAAATACTCCGTGTATTTTTAAAAAAGATTTTCTTTATAGTTTTATTATGACGGCTACACCACAAATTTTTTTATCTACGGTTTATGATGCGGTACAATTTATTTATTTTTAATACTATATAACTATAAAAACAAATATATTATTACTTTACTATGCAAAAAACTAACACCTTCTAATTTAGTGACACATTTTTGCTATTATTAATTCAAGTCAAGTATTATATTGTATTTAGAGGTGAAACCACCTATAATGCGTTTAAATTGATATTCTATACCATAAGTCGATAAATTGTTATGGCCATCACGGCAATGACGTACCTATATAAAAATTATTTTATATTATTTATTAATTAAAGAGTTTTTTTTTGTTCTTTTGACACGATCATTTGCAGGTGTGAATATATAATTTCGGAACTGCATCTGCACCTGTTGATTGGATGGCACAGAATAAAATATATAAGTATCATTAAAAATAAAGGAGTATTTTATAATGTTGCAAAACTGAAAGCAAAACACCTGTGAGCAGCAAAGCTCCGTTACTAGGGTTAAATTTTCCAAATATTTATTTTAAAATTAATCAACTAAAATAGTTACGATTGTCAGAGTTTTATTACATTTTTTTACAATTTTGTTTTTATTTTTTAAACACATTGACATCCGTTAACCTGCATGCATATTTCCCATCCCGTGACCTATATCACAGTCTATTACTCCCCCAATTCCAAATATGTTAAGTATCATATAATTACTTTCCGGTAATGAAAAAAAATCGAACGAAAAAAGTTTCATCAAAATAGGTAAAGTAATTCTCGACATTATTTTTAACATTCAAACAGACGGTATGGATGGGTATTGAAAATTAAAATTTTTTAAAAGCCCATTTAATCCAGAGGGAGCCACTAAAAGTATCGGGAAAAATATGTATGTATATATTATAGTAGACACAATACAGTACAATAATCTAATTTCAGAGAAATTTGAATAAAAATAAAGAAGAATAAACAATGAAATAAATAATTTAAAAAAAAAAAAAAAGATATAGTGGCCGGCGTAATAAATTAAAATTATATACCAATACATTAAACTATAGGTTTAACTTTCTAAAAATTGTTTTGTTTTTGTTTTTTCGAAGACATATTATTTTTCAAAGCCGAATATCGGTGACCGACACAATAACGTTTTGCTTATTTTTATTTCATTTTTTTTCAAACGCAAAAAAAAAAATCGGTTTTGTTTTAAGTACCTACGAGTTACATTCGCTTATACTTGCTGTACCTATAGGTATAAATATATATATATATATATTTTTTTTTTTGATAATATCTGCAGATCAACACACATATGTTTAAATAGTTTAATAAATAAAAAAAAAAAACTTGTCCGATATATTTTATTGCTTTCGTGCGGCGCACCACTTTCTATATACACAGGCATATCTGTATAAGATTTTCAAATTAGATTTTACGATTCAGCAACGGCAATTGCCCCTTGACCGGCTGACGACGTAATAATTCTTATATATGCAAATATTATACATATACATACTATATAGCTACACACCTGTATCCGGATCAGGTGTCTGCGAGAAACTTGCTACCGAATCACCATCAACACGTGTACACATATAATATTTTAAAAACTGCAGCAAGAATTTACACATGTATTATTATTATTATTATTATTATACACGTTGACTTCAAAAATATATTTTTATAGTAATCAATCCGTGTACATGAAAATAAACAGTTATAGTGAAATAAAGTCAGATACTGCGAACTGAGTTTGCCACTGTTTTAGGAGGGGAATGTAAACGTTTGATGAGATGATATGTTGATATATTATAATATAGAGTAATTTATTTATTTATATCTGTACGCATCGATAAACTGTTTCTAACGAACGATGATTCTGAGCCGAGTGTATTCCTCTTGTTGCTGCCAAAGTAACCAGGAAATCAACAAAAATTAAACGGAAATTTTTCAGTTTTCACATTTATCAAGAAGAAATCCAAAAATGACCAACACAATGCACCAATTAGATAAAGTAAAAAAATGTAGAATAGTATAACCAATACATCGCTCAGAAATCGTATAAGTTAGGTACATATAATATCCTATTGAAATTGATTAAATTTGTTGAATTCTTGTGCGAAATGGTTTAAAATTGTACACAATACACATGTGTCTACTCGCTGAAGTATAATAATACATACTTCTTAATTAGTATCAATTATCTTGAAATTTCAAAATTATACTATACATAGACTACAATTAAGTAGGTTTATCCCATCTTGTAGTAAAATAATTGAATCTTTTTAAACGACATCGTAATACCTATAGGAAAATACTGCGAATTTCACAATATAAAACCAAATGCAGTAGATTGTAATAGGAATTGAAGTCCGAGAAAATTGACTACTCGTCCCTTCACAATACAGCGAATTTTAAACTACCGAAAAAGAAGAATAACACGGCATAAAAAAACGACAAATACTATTTAAAAAAAGATACTAAATCAACGTGTGACATTCCGAGACCACGTCGTTGTCGTCGTCGCCGTCTACCAGTTTCCATTTGTCTTTTATGAGGACCTCGTAAGACATCGCATTCGACATTGTATTGTTTTATGAGACATTAGACGCCGCACCACTAAACGACCTGCTGTTCTATTATAGAGAGACGTCTAAATCGATGCGTGTAAAACCACCATAATAGAGAATAATGTACAAAAATGATAACACGATTAGAACCATTAGTTGTCACAACCTACAACGTTTATACATAAAATACACGTAAAATGCATTATATAAACAATGCGAATAACAAATACACATGTACATATATGTACCTAACTATTATAAGAATGCGTTTTCCAGAGTTTAGGTACAATTCCATCGCAGTATATATGTTTACGTACGTAATATTAAGGGTAAAATAATATTGTTATAAGCAGAACACTTAAAAAAAACGCACAAAATTCACGGTTGAAATCGTGAATTTATATTTATTATCTAACTACCTATATATATTATATTATACAGAAAAGGAAAACTATTACTCGTTTTCTATTCGATAATATACCTGTAGTATTAAAAATCGGAGGGAAATTTTTCGTCGAAAAATAACCGACAAATTATAAACCGTTTGACATAGATTTTTTTTTTTTTAACCAGGTTAAAAAATCGTGATTACCTGACGAGATTCGCGATCGTTGTGTATCAATCGATAATTCACACGCAAACGACGACGACGGTTCGCACAAAATTATAAGTAAAACCACCGAGTACACGTAAAAAAAAAAAAAAATCGAACTCGAGTTACGAAAAATTCGGCAGGGAAAAACTATTTAAACATCACGCTAAAATGTTTCGGCGGCGGTTCAAACGGTACGTAACTCGAGAAGATGAGTATCGCGGCGACGATAACGCGCGGCGTTGGCAGCGGCGGGCGTTCGGCAGTGACGATAACTCGCTGACTGATGAGCACGCGAGCCGCGGCGGTGCCCCTCGGTCCCTCGATCGCGCGGTACGCCTTTGCCGCCGCACCATAGAAAAAAACCACTTCCACGAGCGCGCCATACGCGACTGAGACCGCCCGCCCGCCACCGCCCGCTAGCTCATTCTCCGCCGCCCCGTCCGTGTTTTATGTACGTCGTCGTCGTCGTCGTCGTCGCCGCCGCCGCAAGTGAACTGCACATACCGTCGCCGACGACGACGAGATAGTCATTAACGCCCGACAAATATAACAATAATTTTTTTTATAATATTCGCGAACGGAACACGACTTACGCGTATGACGGAAACGAAAAATAATAACGCTTTTATCGCACTCGAGTCGAGCGAATGTGTAAACCACGTCGGCCACAATGCGTGTTTTGCGGCCAATACTCTACAACAAACCCGAGAGATTTCGTGGAAAAACTTAAAATGAAAAAGCACTGTAGGAATACTATAAAAAAAAATGTAGCTCAAATTTAAAAAGTACTATTGAAAAAACTATTGCTATCGAAAAGCGATTCTGAGCGGAGTTTTATCAGTCGTATTATTTTTCCCTTATTGCCAAAATAACCCAGAAATTAAGCAAAAAACTGTCAGTTTTTTTTTCCCATTTGTTAAGCAAATCAAAAATTGACCCAAATGCGCCAACTAGATCAAAAAACTACAAAAAAGTTCCTATAATGATTTTGATCAAAGCAAGATTTCTGATTGAAAAGTTGTTATATATATATATATATCTATGGTTGTTATTACATAGTTAAACCAATACCTTTGCTCAGAATATTAATTGAAAAAGCAAAATCAAATATTCAAAACTGAGTTCGTCGTTATGTATAATTTGAAATTAATAGGAAAATTCTTAAACCTAATGGGATTTCGAAACAATGAATATTTATAATAATAATTTGACGATGATTCACTAATACGAGTTATCGAATTAATATTCTTATTATTATTAATTATTTAAATTTTAAATACTATTTGGACACGGAGTAATTAAATTTATGCGTTCATTACAGTGAAATAATGTATTATGTAACCATTTTTTACATCTTACTAGTATGTTTTCACGTGCAATTGTGCGAACGTTTCCATTCAAATTTCAAATATTTATTCTAGTTCACATTCGTGTGCAATTTACGTTGATTACGACGTACACGTGGATTACCTATCTTAGTATACAATATACATACACTATGTATTATTACAATATTTGATGATACTCAAATTCATGTCATCTAACAACTGTATAGTTTCAAGTTGTTTTACAACGCGCATTTTCTTATAAATCACAATGACGTAATTAGGTGAAACCTTAAAATAGAATCATCATTTTATCGTTATAATTATTATTCGAATAGCGAATAAATACAACAATAATTTGTTTACGGGTTGTTTTTTCGTTTCTAATAGTTTTATTTAGTTACCTAATCACCATCAAAAATAATACAAACCATAGGAGTCCGAAGGTTCAAGGTTAATATTATTTTTTTGGCTAATTCATTCAATAATATACGTTTGAGGTAAAAATCGTCCAATAATAACATTATGTATTGTATAGAATTTTTACATTTAAAAATGTATAATTAATTACCTATCTCGTTCAAAAAAAAAAAAAACATTAAAAACGAATGCATGCACGTAAATTAATATAATAAAGGTTATTTAATTCGACAGAATGTTCCGTAATATTAATTATTGTATAACCATTATCGAATTATTTCGAGAAGTATTATCCATTTTGATTTCTTTAATAACAGTAAATGATAATATCTTTTATAAAGCGAAATTAGGTTAATTACACGAATAAATAATACACACATAATTACTAATTATATTTGTTGTTTCCAAGACGGATAATTTTTAATAATATAATCAATGATTTTATAGTTGTTAGTTAATATTATGGTACCAACATACAATTCGCTATTTGCTACGATAATAATAACAATTATCAACGTCACGATCAGCATGAATAATATGTACATAATATTATTTTATTCATCCATATAATCTGTTAAAATAACAATAAAAGCAATTGCTGCGCTACAGAACACGATAAACAACCAATTATTATTACCTGGCTTCTATTATTATTGTTGTAGTGACACCACAATACTTGGCCTCCGGACTTAATAATATGTTTTGAACACTAAAAATATAATACACATTGTTGTATTTCAGTATGATCACCAGTGTGACACCGGTTAAAAATCGGTTTAAAATTCCACACACATGGTACAGAGAAAAACAAACGAAAACGAATGTCAATTACTAGAAAAATAATATTTCGGAACATTGCGATAACAGATAACATATTATACCAGGGGCCTCTACTCTTTTTTACGGTAATTTACTTAATGAGAAGTTTGGAATTGTTTGTCTTTTGAAATTTCTTGATATTATGTAACAAACTTTGTTGTTCCAATCAATAACGTTGGTATAAATGTTCGTCACTTAAGTTGGTTCTATAATTATCAAGAACAACAACTAACGAAATATAATAATTATATTATTAACCGAAGAGTAGTGACGAAGGATAAACAAAGAGTTACAGATAATGTTTGGATAAAACAGCATTATATTAAAGGTCATCAAAAAAACTAAGGTAAACTGAGATGGTTCATCCTAGACTATAGAAATAGACATGCATGTCGATGGCCCACTATTGCGGGCAGTGCTGAAACAGAACCCATTAGGCAAAAGACTTCGGGGAAGACCGATGATGAAGTGGGAAGACATAGAAAAAAAAGGACGTTGAAGCTTTAGGGGATGGACCAAATCAGACGATTTTAGCGATGGATAGATTAATGGAGGTAGTGGGATTAGTTGGAATGACCCTACAGTCGGAATAAAATTAAATAGAAGAAATAATCGCTTTATACTTAACGGGTCAAAATATTTAATGCGGATTTTACTTGGGTTAAAACGAAAATTGTACACAACGTATTAAACGAACGCACTATATAGTTTACCGACTAATTAATCGTATATTCGTTGTTCAGTCGATGGCAGCAGTGTCCGTGTGTCGGTTCATTGTACCAGTGTACGTAATAATTGATCGTAATTGAACGATAAATCTCAAAAACGTTTCAATGTCATATCGTGAAACCGTAGCAATGATATTATAAGCGTATGTACGCGGCAAGCCGTTTGACGGAATATAATAACGATAATTGAATCATCCAAGACGAAAGAATATTATTTAAGAGAGAGGTGTGCAGTTTTGCATTTGAAACCGAATCGAAATCTCCATCTAACCTACTAAAACGCCACCCAAGGCTTTATGTATTAAATCTATATACGCGGTATATACACACCGACGGAATAGACGCGAATACCAGCGCACGTACGCACAATGGTCACATTGGTATTAAAGATTCTCCTACTTCCCCGCCATCGCAATATATCAGCTATATTATAGCCGCAGAGGTCCGGTCCGGGTGTGGTCAATTACGGTTAATCGAAGAGAATAATATTAACCCGTCGTCGTCGTGGTCGGAAAAGGCACGTGACCCGACGGTGGAATTGTTACTAATTGATGACAGCAGACCATGCACAGGACATTTATATGTGTAGTTCGTGTGTCGTACTCCACATAGTGTTGTGTATTATATACGAGCACCTAACCGAATATTTTTATCATTATCCTGCGCATAAACACGATATTACTCTAATATTATACCCGAATTCCACATGATATTTACCTACAGCTCAAAAATACGGACAGCATATTATATTTTGGCCGTATCTAAGTTCCGTCCCAATAACCTTTTTTTATATCAATTTCGTCCTGGATGCAAACAAATTATACACCAATTCCATCCCGCGAGTAAAAAAAGTTGATGTACCTATATTCCGTCCCAGGTAAAAAAAAAGTTAACTAAATTACAATACTATAAATACAAAAAAAAATAAATAAATTCAGACTCGCAGATGCACAAATAATGACTAGAAAGTTTAAAAGTTAAATAAAATTATCTTTATTTTTAAATAATATAAAATTATTATCGTAGTCGTACATTTTATACTATATTATTATAGCATGGAAAATTCAAAAAAGGACGGAACTCGGATGCAGCCTATATTTTGCATTCTGTAATCCGTTTCGACACTGGCTCGATGATTCTGGTTGGTCGATTCAAATTTCCCACGCTTGTGTTTTTTATCGTGTGCGCGCGCGTATTGTGTTACTAGTATCAATGTAAAATAATTGTTTCGTCTTGGGGTTTCATGAGCTCATGTCCTAATGAACTTAATCAAAAATAACCCTTGATTTTATTATATGAAACCGGTCACGGGAGAAAAATTTTAAAGAAAAAAAAACGCAAAAAATTTGTCCTATAATCATCGGTTTCGAATCCGACCACCATGGTTCATACAGACGCCGTGTAAAATTCACTATAAGACATCATCGACTTTTCATTTTATGTATCGATATCCTAACCACAAGAGCAACATGATATGATTATGACATTTCCGTACGCGTATACGATTGAAATGGACCAAGCACAAACGGGGAATATATAAGTGCTGAAACGGATACCAGAATTTTCTTCGTTTAAAACGAACAGTGTATTATATATTATTTACTCACCGTGATTGTGAGACCCATGGACTCGGAAAACGTTGTTGACGGCGGTTAAAAACGATCGGGAATCAAAAGTAAAAAAAATAAAATAAAATACAACACGCAACGACGACGCCGAAGTAACGAGGCCCCAGAAGAGACTAAATGTACGCGGTCGGCGGGCGACTGTGCGAAACACCCAGGTACATAATATAATGCGATGACGGCTTTAACTCGGGGGAAAGGAGGATTTGAGAGAGCGAGAAAGAGAAGAAACAGACACGGAACATACATAAATGGGGGACATAAAAAGACACACGGTGCAACCAGTTTACACGCGTATATAAAAACCCTGTTGCAGTATTGCGAATAAAACGGTAATCGACGACGCCATAATACCCATAGCGCGATTGGGGTGAATATTATTTTAAAACACGCTTTTAAACTATTCACACCGTGGAATAATTATCGTATCGGTATTAAAAAATTGACAATCTGCAACGACAACGTTCACCCGGATGCTTCGTCAAGACTAATACCCATATAATATTATATAAAATATAGTCGAAAAAACAAACCCCGTTGCGCAATATTTTAGATTCTGAGGGAAGCGAGGAACATATCGGTTTTTCTATTATAGTATGTGTCTGTTTTCGTGTCTATAAACGACGTTTTACGTACAATAGCGTTTATATATATACGACTAATAATATTCTGCTTAAAATCGTTTTCCGTTAACAACCGTTTATCGTTGCGTAACGATATAAATTACATTTTTCTACATAACTTCCCATCTGACTTTTCTCCAAAAACAACACTGGATGTGCCACTAAGTAACGGGCTTTTTTTTTTTTTTTTTTTTTTTTTAAAAAAACTACCGATCAGAATAAACGTTATTTAGGTAATAATTACTTATAAAACAACTACACGCAAATAAAATCAATTAGATATTGGATATATTTGTATACAATAGAAATCGGATTTGAAGAATTAAACCACACTTCTTACAACAGTATTTCTATGCTGCTTAGGCGGATCGTAAAACAATTATTATAACAGTCAGATACTTAATAATATGATGGCCGCCCAACTGCGCATACTATCACTTATGATACAATACAACCGACTGTCTGTTTTATACATCTATAATGGTACACTGATTAATTGTAATGGGTCTAAAGATTCGGCAGTAAAAACGTATTAAGTATTTCAAAAGTTAATATAAACCGAATAATAGAGTATAACTAAACGCAGAAGTCAATCGAAGTCAATTAAACGGACGTAACAAACAATAAAATCGCCATATTATAATTATTATATTTGTTTTTACGGTATCAGTGAAATAACGTTGCGCATACGAAACCTATAATAATGGTATACGATATAGTATAGCGAGTAATATCGTAAATATTATCGTAAATATCGGTATACGGAGATAGTTGACCGAGAAAGACGATATTTTTTTTAATTTATTGCCACCGCGTTCATACGCGATTATTTATTATTCTATCTATTTTTCGTGTATATAATTGCGAGCAAAATAAAAATCCTAGACGAAATAACAATAACGCGTTAAAAAAAAAAAGTACACAGATGCCATCGTTGAAATGTGTACCGTTATGTAAGTCTCACCACACTATACCCAAACTGATACACTAGCGACAAAAAAAAAAAAAGCGCACGCACGCCGCCAGAGTATTGTGGAGTTGCTGGTGAATTACTCGATATTGTGAATCGGAATATGGTGAAAAACATTTTTAAAAATCACATAATCGACGACGGTACGCGACGGTCCGAATGCCAGCAGCACGGCTGTTAGAAAAAAAAAAATGGTCATCAACAAAAAACACATTGTGTGGCCTCCTTCAATTTGCGGCCCGAGGCTATAGGCTCCTAAGCCCCCCCTAAATCAAGTCTTGTTCGGCGAATTTTTAAAAGAAAAGCTCAAGTCGATTTTGGACAGTTTTCAATACGAGCAAATATATAATTTCGACAATATCGGTTTTATTACTGCACAGTAAATATTACTTATGATTTTTGTTTTGTTTGTCGCACAATGTGTATATAGAGAAACAATAATGATTTAAAATATTTGAATCGCCGAAAAACAAAAGAGAATAAATTACATAAGACAATATTATATTATCAACAAAAAAATACGAGAACTTAAGCCCTTCTTTCCCGAGACCTAAGATAAAAGTAAAGCAAATCGTTTTAAAAAATTCATGGTCTGTGCTTTTAAAAATATAGGGAAAACACCGACATGTGTAACATTATGTTATTATGTCGTATACAGGCTATTCGAGAAATTACATATTTTATTATTATAGTCTCTTCTTGCTAAAAACCACAGACTATATTTTTGCTTTTTTCCATAAACGGCCTATGACCGTTTTTTAGGACCTTTGTACGGTAATCGGAAACGGCAATATTATCGGACTTTTTAGAATTTACCGTTTTAAAATAATACAATTATTCATATTACACGCGACACGATGTATTTTACGATAATTATTCATTTTCGTTATGAACAGCGGGGTGTCTTCGGAAATTAATCGGTGTTCAATCTCACGACAATAATAATATTATTATTATTATTTGCCGGGTCTCGTTTCGTACGTCGCCGATTACATTTCGGATGAGATCCGGCGTTCGATTTTACACATCGATAATAAAGAATAGATAAGCCATGTTGCCTAATCACACGTTCCCGAAAACGTTGTCCTTAGATGCCTTTTTTTTTATTTCACGATACTTACAAATGGAATCACAAAGCCATGTCACCTATTACTGACTTGCGAATAACGCGGACGATGAACCATTGTAAAATTAAAAAAGTTATAAACGAAATAATTATAATATTATCGCATTAGTGATGATGATAAAAATTATTAACCAAACAATTAACCGCAGTAACCATCGCGGTAAATGGCAGCTTTGTGACACAGAGATAATATTATATTCTGCTCAATAGGAACGAGGCAGCATATTACGCTGAGACTATAGACTAATAGCCAATCCATTCGTTATTGTCTATGATTTTGCCCGTCGAGATACAGGACGATAATAATAACATCGCGAACAACAGTTTTTCCCGTATAACCGAATAATAATTGAACGGCGTTTGGATAATATTCAGTCGTGCCCAACACGTCGGACCAATACACACACACACACACAATATTGTTATTATTATTTATTATTACGCTGTTGTTGGCACCGTCGTCGAAGTCGTCGGTCGGGTTAACTATCGGCACACGTATAAGTCTTCCGATTCCCTCGCCACCGTGACGTCGCGACTGGTCGTCGTCGTCGTCGTCGTTGTCGACAGGAAGGGAAACCGCACGGGCCGGTAGATTTTGCGCGCGCCGACGACGGCGGAATTACGTCACCGTCTATACCTCGCACCTGACAAGATACAAACGTAAAAAAAATATCATAACCTATACGTCGCCGCAGCCGTATGGCTTCCTGCCGTACACAATGTTATTATGGCAACGCGCGCATATTATCGCTCTCGCGAGCGCTCACACACACAATGGAAAAAGGGCCGCGTTTTCAAAATATTTCCCGAGAATCGTAACAAAACGAAAAACACGAGAAAAATAAAATAAAACAAACTAAATAGGTATAATAGTGATTCGCTGCGCGTCGTCATGTATAGGTTAGTAGGTATACGAGCGGTTCCGAGACTCCGTTTTTTCCTAGAAAATAAAAAAAAATCACAGATAATAATACACGGGCATCACCTACTCGAAAAAGGAACAAAAAACCGGGCAGATCCTGAAAATCGACCGATAATTAACACACACGAGCCGGCGAAAAAGAGCACGGGGTATTATGCTATGTATACGAAATTTTAGGACAAATAACATAAAGATCGGGGACCGAGTAACAACAAAATAAAAAAAAAAAAAAACGATTGATTCCGTTCATCAGGTCTGCTGTGATCGGAAATAAGTATAGGCTATAATGATGATACATACATAAAACGATTTAATTTAAATTCCGAATACGGCGATAAATCATTGCGAACGAAACACGATTCTGAGCGGAAGTCGAAGTATTGAAGATATTTTAATAGATTCAAATCATATATTATAATTGTATTCTATTTACACAGTAATAAACACGCATGTATATATGTATATAAATCTACCAACTGTTATATTATATTAACTTTCTTTTTAAATATTCATATTATAACTTGACATGTATATAAATTGTCCACCTACAATTTTCTAATCGTATATGAAGATATCAAAATATGTTTCTGACAGTTATTTTTTATAAAAATTACAATACCCGTGTATTGGCAACTTTGCGGCACTATATATTACAATTATTATAATCGTTGCCTCTGCCGAATGGAGTTTCTCCGAACACGGGAGAGTTAAAACGTACAGGCTTCGTCAAGGATGAGTAAAGATAGCCGATAGACTTTTGTAAAACGTTCCGTGAGATAATAAAGCCGAGGTTTTAGGTGAAATCGATAATATTATTATTGTAGATATTTTTTTCGAAAACAACAGAAAAAAAAAAAATCGAAAGTGCAGACATTTAATTTTTTTTCCCCTTAAGATTTACGTTGTCGGTGACACGTTTAGTAATAGGTGTACCCACCTATAATAATAATAATATCTACATTACACCGCACGTTTGCAGAATAATCCCCCGGAAAAAAAAATAATAATAATAATAATAATAACGGGGTACGAGGGGGAAAAAAATACGTTACGATCGTTGTCTCAGGGAGGTGAGGAGGGGCGGGGGGAAAGACCGTGCGACGCGGTTCGTTGACTCGACGGGATACGTTTAAAAACCCGCAGCCGAGTCGACGGGGCAGCAACAACAGCACCGGTTCGACTGCTCGCCCCGCGGCACCAACCGTCGCCCGTCTTTTGTCCGGGACACGTCGTCGTCGTGATCTGCAAATTATGCGTCAAGAAATATTTTTTTTTTTGACAATGTGTACACCTAACCTATACATAATACATACGATTCGGGGAGGTACGGTTTTCGAAAAAAAAAAAAAAAACCGCACTACACGACACGACGAGTAAAACGCCTTGTATTATAGTAATTTTATTGTACAAAACGGCCGCTCGCGTTGTGTGTTTTCATCGAACAATAATAATGAATACGCTCGAGTACATTAATAATATTGTAGCATTATTTTACGCGTATTGGTTCGGAAATCGCGATTTTGTGCGTTTCGTCTCTGTATTAATACTCGCGACAAAACTGACAAATCCTTCGCTCGCACGTGTATATTATTATAATACAATAGCGACGATGAGTGTGTTATTTAAACTATTATTTTTATGAACCGAAAAATCAATACTGACACAACGACCGTATAGTCATGTCGATAGACGTTGTAGAAAACCCATTTTACGAAACATTCAATAATATCTTACAATAATACGCGGCCTGTTATTGTAAACGTAGTTAACAGTGAAAAGTGTATAAATGTGCAGTACAACGATCGCCCGTATGTCATATAATATACTGTTTTGTTGTATTTTTTTTTAAATGTTCGTAGTTAAACGAAATCAACTAATCAACGTAACTAAAACCGTCATATTATAATGTTTTTAGAAGATTTCGATAATTTCATTACGTATATAAGATTATTATAGGTATATAATTAAGTGGGTACTAAATGAAATAATAATTAATAACTAATTAACAATAGGTAAGTGACTATAGCCTATACTAACTGTATACATATTAACCTATTCAAACAATATCCCGTACTTTGAATGTTGTACCGTTGATAACACGACAAAAACACGATGAATTTAATCATATCTAATTAAAATTCAAAATCATTCAAAATTAAATAGCTACATTTTAGATTTTGAACAACGCGACGAATTTATTGCACTTCACTATGATATGTTTTTTTTTTTTTGTTTTTAAATTTTTTGTTAACAACTTTTCTACCAGAAATCTTGCTTCAATCGAAAACTTTATAGGAACTTTCTTGTAGAATTTGTTTTAATTTTGTTGGTATGTTGAAAAGGTTAGTTCTTCATTTTCTATAAATGGGAAAAACTGTCAATTTTTTGTATAATTGTAATATAATGGTTAATTTCTTGGTTCTTTGGCAACAAGAGAAAAAATACGACTAATATTATAATACTCAATTCATAATTGTTTTTCATTGACCATGGTTAATCGTTGCGTATATATATATGAATTCAATAACTATAAATCTATTTACAGTACACTCCCTTCTAAAAGTAACTATGGCATACCCATCAGCATTATCGGCTATTTTTTATCTACCTATATTACAGTGAGTCATTTTCATTTTCGCAAAACAGAAAAATACGAAAACCGTATGCAAACGTAACAATGATTTTTATATGTTAACCGTATGCAAACGTAACAATGATTTTTATATGTTAACCGTATGCAACACCTCCGGTTTTCCTGTAATTGGGGCGTAATGCACAATTTATATAAAAAAAAAATCGAAAGTTTCACACAACACAGTAAGTATAGCAGGCAGCAAGGCGCATAAATTTAAACGGTAGCGTATATTATAATTAGAAGAATCTTGTACAGTTGTACATTTGTATGTACGTACACCAGTGGCCAGAAATAAAACCGACCCATCCCCTCCTCTTTTTTTTATCTTTACGCTGACCTTATAAATCACCCTGTTGCTCGGGAATTAAAGTCATATAAATATATATGTACGTATATTCCAACAGAAAAAGATTCGGCCTGAACATACGCGAACATCGCCAGGATCGGTAAAAATAATAATATAAGTCACACTAAAGAAAACTATATTTGGCAATCGTGTATAAGACAATATATAATATTATAAACAAATATGAAAAAAACCTAAGTAAATAATTAATTTAATAACGAAAAATACGCTATGTTCATACAGTTTGGAAAAGTTCCGTTTGTATTGTTAGTTTTTAAATAACCGCCTCATTTTCGAACTACGATATTGTAGATTTTACGTTTTTTTTGAAAGATATTCATTGACAAATCGAGAAAAAAAATGCACAACTGGTTACACAAGTATTAACTCGACTGAAATATTAAACGAATTTCACGAACTGCTATACAGTGTAACAAAAAATAGAATACGTATTTTTAACACACATACTTTATGTATTTTCTATACTTTTATATTAAAACACCGTTTTTTGAATAATAATCTAATATTATTGTTAATATTTTCAAAGTAAAAAAAAGTACCGGTTACCTATATATAGGTAATATACAAATAAGAATTAATGATTTATTAATTGTAAAAACCATATCAACGTTTTTGAAACTGTCCATAGTACTTTTAAAAAATTCTATATATATATATACAAAAGAATACCGTATTTAACGCATTAAGAAAAAACGTGAAAATAAAAACGAGTTTTTCCATTTCTGACACACGCTGTATACGTTTACGCTCATATCAGTATGAGACGCGAGTGTAAAATTCAAAATTTAGTTTAAAAAAAAAAAACAAAGATTGATAATAATAAACATTTTTTTATAATATTAACCTATACTTATACCTACTTATCTTTTATAAAAGCAAAACGTATTGCTGCTATGTGTATAAATAATTTATACACGTCTGTAAAAGTAGATTTCTCTCGATTTGCAAATTAATAAAATAATAAAATTAAAAATAAAAGTTTATTACATATATTATTAAGATCTGGCGTATTCATTAATCATGCATAGTCAATAGGTGTACTTTGATACAATATACAAAACCATTTTATATAATAGATACTGTTGCAGTTTCTAATCGTAAAAATAATGATATCAAAAAAGAAATTGGAAAAATCGAATATGCCTGCCAAACTATTTCCTAGCTCGTTTTTTTTTTTTAATAACGTAAGTGCGTTTATTTTTATTTGTTTGAATCGTTGAAAATACAATAATAATATACGAGTAATAATACAATTTAACAACCCAATAATGTATTAATATATTACTCATATTAGATTTAAGGTCCTAACCTAATCTAACCTCAGGTCAAAATCTCAACAAGGTCCGCTGATAAGAATCTCTCTAAAATTTTGTTGAATGTTTGACGTATTCTTATATAGAGGTATTTGCTAGAGTGGCCAGATCCCTATATAATATAAACGAGTACTCTTAAGCAGGGGTGTGAAATTAATTCAGTTATAATATCTGTCGAAATTTCGATACTGTTGAACCGTGTCGAGATTTTAACTGTTGGGAGATTTAGAACGCTTCACATACATAATTTTTTGTATTGTGGTATTTTTTATAACTACAACAAATGACAATAATAGGATAACATATTTGCAGCATGATTAGATTAAGTATGTCTTTTTTTTTTCGCAAATTACATTATTCAATTTCAAATATTCGCCTCCTTTTTGATTGAAAATAATAATAGTAATTTAATTAAATTGTTCCTTTTTAAAACGAGTACCCATATGCCGTCCCTAGTATGGTAAACATTAGGTATCTTAATTTATCGAACACGAATCGCGAGTTCTAAATCAATAATTATTTATATATATTTAAACAAATAAACGATGATTATTGCTTATAAACGTTTATAGACTTTCGCTCGCGTGCACTTTCTAATTATATTGCAAACATAAACGTAGTTTATGAGAAGGTACGAGCAAGTATCTATATATACCAACACACGAGTATAGTTGTAGAAGTACCTGAAAGAAGTTGTTTATTGTTGTTTACTCGCTATTATCGTATTTACCCATCTGACGAACATTTAAATTAATTAAACCGCGTGCAACCAGTTGATTTTTCCATAGCGCATATTATTATACCTAGTCTTTTTATCATTGGCACACACCACAGATACAGTTATAAATAATAATAAACTAGATTGCTAATTGGTGATAGTGCGTAAAGTTTTCAATCCGCCATTTAATTTTATTTAATTATTATCATCCACGTGTATGTTATGATAACTGTAGTTACGTCTGTATTAAAACATTATAGAAACCATGTGAGTCTTGATATAAATGTTAAGATAACAGACATAACAGTAATCTAGATGATAACATCCACAAAATAAAAAAAATGGCGACCGTTATCCTTCAAGCAAAAAATATAATATATAAACAGTATACAGGTGATATATTTAGTATACTCATTCAATTTTAAGAGTAAATTATGCATATTATCGTCACTTCCATGGCAAAACTACGTAACTCGCTTTTTCGAAATTTTACAGGAGGAAGAAAAAACTGTAATGATTGTTTTATCATTTCTAGATAGGTGTTTTTGGAGTACTCTATTATTACGAGCAAAACAAAAGATTATTTATTCCAAAAAACGTTTATAAAATATGTGTCAAGATTCACAGCAATGATTTCTCAAAAAAAAAAAAAAAAATCAAAATTTCGAGTTACGCGGTTTTGCCATGGAAGTGACGTTATTTTCAAATTCTAATTTTTGAAATTTTTAAGTGTAGTTAAGGACGATATTTTCGAATACTAAAACTTTTTAAAACATTCAAGTGTTATATCGTGTGGCGAAATCAATTTTAGTTTTCCAAACAAAAACCTATATTAAAAATTACATAAATAGATTGAGTAAAAGTTAAAATATATTTAGGTGTTGACATTTTTGATTTCCATCAACTCTTTTACGAGATGTTGTACTTTTAAGTTTAAGCAAAAGGAGATTAATGGAGTATTATTTATGTACAGATCAGAGCCCGGTGTTTGAATAATGCTCCACTACTCTACCCTGCCTACAATTTAAACACCAAAATGTATTTTAATTTAACTACACCATATATATTTATGGAATTTGTAATAAAGATTCTCATTTGAAAAACCAAAGTTGATAACACCAACAGGATACTTCTAAAATAATGTCATGAAAAAATATACGAAAATATCATCTTTAACTGTACTTAAAAATTTCCAAAATCAGAATTTACATAAATGCATAATTTACTCATACAAATGGGGTATGCATGCTTAATGAATAACCCTGTATATAGAGCAGTTACCTTGTATCTAAATCTGTGATATACACGCTTATAGCTCCGACATAATTCCCGATATATTTTTCTGTAATGGATACAATATTTAGAACCAGCGTTATCGGTCGTAGGGTGATTGACGTGTACACCAATCATTAATCACTTGCGACGTAGTGGTATATAGAATAAAAGGTGAAAATCGCGTTTGGATCGCTCGAATTCGTGTTCGGTTGATACGCATTATTGCGAAATAACGTCGCTAGATGTATCAGGAATGTTCATCGTCTTCAGTAAAATAATTCGACCATACGTTATAATATACCAGACATCTTCCAATCGCAGTAAACCGCGAGAATTTAATAAAAAAAAAGTTTTACAAAAAATAAAAACAAAACAATTAACTACATTTCAATACGTTAATTTTTAATTAGCAATTTGATTGGCACCATTAATAATCAGTATTGTACATTGTATATGTATTTTGTAAACTTGAAAAAAATGCACAAATGTATATAGATACGTTTTTTAAAAAAAATGTAAGTATTTTAACGATATTACGCACACGCTATTATATAATGACGTGTATAATCGAATTATATAATTGAAAAATGAAATCTTCGTGAAATTTTTCCCATTGAAAAAGAAAATTAAATTCATTGTTAGGCAAGGCAATTAAGTGGTAAATTGTAAATAAATTACAAAAATTAATTATTGGTCGCGAATTTAATGTTTGTTTTTATAATGAAACATGTAAGTAAAATTATATTATACTGTATACATATTTGATTAAAACTTAATCAAAAAATGTATAAAATATGCAAAATGAAAAAAAAAAAAACAAAAATTTCTTTATTCTATAAAACAGATAAAAGTAAATTATTATTATTTTTATTTTAATGATCAAAACTTTCAAAAATATAGCATTCAACTTTGACTTTTAATTTATGGCAGAGAAAAAAGTTTAAAAAATAACAAAACTTGGTGATTTTAAACGCTTGTTACAGTTCTAGAAATTTGAATTTTGACAATCGAAATTCAATTTGAACGAAAACTTCCAAAAGTAAAAAAAAAATTAATCTATTTTATGAGGCATAAGAATTTTTCACGCAAAACATGTTTTATACTGAAGATACGGCGGTTTCGACTATTTTAGTCCCCCAAAAGCTATCAAATCTCCACCTATGTTTAAGAAACACAACATTTATTAGACATTTTTTTTTTGAAAGTAAGCCTAAAGAATTATAGATATTAGATATTTTGTTCGCCCCCTCTCCCAGGGAGATACCTGATTCGGACTCGATAATTAAATATCTCAATACAAATCGTTATTTTCTTGTACGTATAATATAACACTGTTGGACGATATCTGTCTCAACGAAGTCGAGGAATAATGAATAATTCCATTTTCATTGAACCAGAGCAATTATATTATTTAAAATCGCAATAAATATTGTGTTTATATTAATCGTAGCTCAGTATACCTACTGCAAATCGGAACGTAAACACTAGAAAGACGTTGCACATCATAATAATATGTGTCATATTGATAAGAAATGATATGACTTGTACTATCTAATCTTTTCTGAAACAGTTACTATTTTTTTAAACTATTTAATTTCAATTAAGATAATAAAATAGTATTGATTGTTCAAAACTGTTTTTAAATTATTTTTTTTTCGTGTGATAAAAGTGACCAAGTTGAGGTGTAAAATTGTTACCAACAATTCATTATTGTGACTTGTACTGTAGTAGTAGTAGTACTCTATGCGGCGTACCTTTAACTACGCCTTTGACGTTTTTTAATAATTATTGATAACATTGGCTTTACCCATAGACTTATACATCTAGACGAAACAACATTCAGCATGAAAACGCGTTCTGGTGGGTGGAGTAGTTTTGAGGATAGAAACACGAGAGATAATAAACGGAGTGTCCCGATTACGCTTCCCAGTCATCGGGGTGAGATGTATAAGTTTTATACCCCCGAAAAGCCGCCGCCGCCGCTATCACATAAATTCCAAAAATCGTTTTAAACCATCGACATAATCGACTGTTTTTAAAATCGAACGATAAATTATTTCAAGCATTTTGGTAAAAACCAGTTTTACAACAACGAGTATTCGAGACAAAATGTCGAAAGGATTTGAGTTGACTTCCGAGCTAAGAAAAAAAAAAATATACGTAAAGTCCAGACTCTCTATTTTGAGAAAAAAAAACCATTATTTTTATACATGTATATATGTATAATAGTGTATAATTCGTTATTGCATTATTATAATATTGTTCGACAACTGGTCGCTTTCCTTCAACACCGCCGCCCCGTTGAATGATGCAACCCATCTGCGTCCGTATGATACGCGACGACGAGGAGCGCTGCAGTATATGTGATAAAACCAACGTCCGCGGGATTAACGATTCTCTCGATATTATTACACTCCCGGTCGAATTATATCGTTTTTTACGCCCATCGCGTCTATCTGTACTTCGGATTTTATTTATTTATCCTACGCCGAGTGTGTATATTTTCTTCGCTATATAATAGTACACCGCGCTACTATATTATTGTACTGCGCGCCGCCGCCGTCCGTACGCACACGCGGGACCTCCGCTGACGTTCATAGCGCGAACGTAATTCGCGGTTTATTTCTGGGCTGCACCACGTTGCCGCCGCGATTATCGCGATGTACGTATGCGCCGCCGATGAAGATAGGAACAACGTCATAAACTCGGTGCCCGTCGAGCATGACGACTCCGCATAGAGTCCTGTCCGCCTGTTATTATTATTATTATTATTAAATTACGACCCGCAGCAGATGATCTTGTGTTTCCTTTCTTCGTCGTCGTAAAATGATTGTGATACACGATAATTTTGAAACGCAATTATTAACATATCCCGGAGCGTCGGGTGCAAATATTATACACTCTTAGGGGCCCGGCCGGCCACCTTTTTGTTTTAAAAATAAAGTACAACGCGATTCAATGGATTCGACATCGAACCCAATTCTTGAAAACGTCATCAAGAAATCTGTTTAACTACTTTATTTGCACGGACCTTTTTTTCATTTGGAAATGACATTTAACTTCGACGAAATTTGTTAAAATTATAAAAATTAACCGTTTTTAGCGTATTCTATTAAACTGTATAGGATATAAAATACAGAAGAGAAAAAAAATTACCAAACTTTTAAAAATAGTTCACATCATTTATCAGTCAGAATGGTTAGATTTTACAATAATTTCTAAAAGAAACGCGTTGTTGAGACAACCAAGTCCCTTTGTCAGAATTGTTCATAGAAGTTGACATCTATTTTTTAATAGACATCTCTGAAATATCGTTGTCTTGGCTGACCTTGAGTTCTCTTTCCTGAAATTTTACCTTCAGAGATTTTCTTCATGAAATAATCATATGCTAAATCTGACCTCTAAATATAAGGTGTAGCTTTTTGTTAACGTTAACTTATTTAGCAATAATAGCAACACAGAACTGATGAGAGAAATTCTATGCAGTTTTGGAATGTATATGGTAAATTGGTTTCATTATCGCTTAAAATAAAACAGCTAATATCACCATTGACAAATGAAAATTGTACATACTATTTCTTAAAATGTTTTTTATTAATTAACTGGTGGGTGAACAATGTATCTGTATATTGTAATAACTATGTTTTAAACTCGCACACTTAAGTTTTTACAGCGTACTGAACGCTAACTTAACTGACAGTTGAAATTTAGCAAGAGAATGCAAAAACCGCCTTTATAAGTATCGTTTGAAACCAATTCGTTATTTTTCACATCATAATTTTTTTTTTTTAATTAATAAATCTTTTGTACGCCGAAAAACAATATTTGGCTTTTATCTTGATTTCGAAATTCTGATAGAGATAACTACACAATTATAAAACTAACTAAAATTAACATCTAAAATGTTCTAGGTATAATCTTCGCGGATTTAATTTGTTTTCATCAACTGTGTTAGTGCAGTAATACAAATTCTTTTTATTAACATTCATTAATTATTCATGTTATGAACAAATCAACTATTATATCGGTTAACAAAATTATTAAACAATTGTCGGTCTTAAATTTTAGTACGCATCAAGTACATTTATAAGTAAATTAATTATTATTCTATACGTTATATGTATGCATATTTTATACTTCATCCGACACAGATTCAACAAATATATAGTTATATTTTATGTATAGAATAAATACAAATTCTGATAATCATGACGTAGACTATTATTAATTTATCTACGTTTTTTTTTTTTTAATTATTAAATTCAAACACGTTTTAAGACTAAAAATAAATTTATGAGTGTTAAACAATAATTTCGACTGACTCAACAACATTGTAAGTTAAAAACAATTGTATACCTACCTAACATAGCATTGACTAGACGATGAGTCAGTGTTAACTCTTATAATGGCCAATAGACCAATAAATAAAACTGTAAATATACCTAACTACCTATATGAAATTGATAGGCTAAGATAAATTTCGAATTTAATATATAGGTAACATACGAAAAAAAAATATTCATAGTTTTCACAATAACATAATATAATATGTAAGGAAAAAGATATTTTATTTTCGTTTTTTATATACGATAAAAAACATTTTTTAAAATGTAGGAATAATAATAAATGCGATTATTATCACTATAGAATTCGTGTAATTAATATTTTTTTCAACACAAAACAAAACATCATAAATACACAACATTCGCAAATCGCAGTACTATTCCCATGAAATAATACACCGAGAATATTAATATTATGTTCAGCACACTGCGATATTCGTCATATAAAGTAGGTATACCACGAAACTGATAAAACAATAATATTAAATCCAATTATAAGGTTTCTTATTTGTCTTCCAAAATGTTTACATTATCGGAGTAGCGTGAACGTGCTTAAATATTGATAACGGTAAATAATAATCCGGAATATATAATATTTCGCAGATCTATACCAACAGTCAAATTCACATGACAAATTTTAAAATACAACAACCTAAGCAACGTACTATTATTGATATAAAACAATAACGATGTCTTTTTGACGTCCTAAAACAATAATAATAACAACTTGTACATATTTTTTTTTTAATTCAGGTCCTGTAGGTCAACCACCGCCGCTTCTAATACGCATCCCAATCCTTGTCCATGGCTATTATGTTCTACATTCTTTTTTCCCAGTTGATTGAGGTTTACAACGAATGATAGTCACACCACCGTTGTCTTTTCTAGTCTGGCAATAAAAGGCCAAAATAAAAAATTGGACATTTCTTCCAATCCCATTATGATTATTATTATTACCATGTTTAAAGCACAATAATAGACAATAATTAAGTATATAATTTCAAATAATTAAATACTTATCTAATATAGAGGATAATATGAACATTTTTGATTTGGTTATTATTATTTAGACTCAGTTTCCACATTGTGATCAGCCCCAGGATCTTTCTTATTAATTGCTACTCTAGCCGACAAACGTCCACGTCCCAGCTAAGCTTCGGGCTTTTGAGAACTCCAACTATATCTGGCTCATTAAACAATCCCTCCAACTATGCATTTGTACTTCGTTCATATATATATTATACGTATATTATATGAAATGCACGTTATGAACGTGCTTTTCATCAGCCCTATTTTACTATTTTAAAATTGTTTTTTTTTTTTAATAATTAGTTTAAATTAGTGCAATCGAATTCAGAAATTGTGTCAAAACGATTTGCGCGTAAAATTATAAAACTTTCTTAGTCACCAACTAGATCCAAAATGCAACAAAAAAGGTCTCTGGTCATTTTTTTGATTAGAGCAGGTTTTCTAGTAGAACAGACACAAAACAAATGTATAAAAAAAACACACATAGTAAAACCTTACTAATTGAGAATCTAAAAATATATAAAAATTGATTTATGGTATCAACATACATATTTGCACTAGATAAGTACTAATTATACATATTTATCTTTAAAGAATATAATAATACGTTTTATTTGTAGGAAACAACTACAGATATTTTATTAAATTTATAAATTAATAATGATTTTATTCAGTTAATCTTGTTTTTTTATTAAATGTATCGTTATTTTTGACAATGACATTAATAAACTCCGATTCGGCTAAAGTAAATAAGTAAATTTAATAAACTAAATAGATAATTCACATACATTTTATACTGTAAACCATGAAATAATAAATTGCAACGGGGTTATCATAATAAACGGGAAAACCGTGAACATTTACGAAGTGTATTATTTTTAAATCGTGAATATTACGGCCTTTCAAAAGGCTTACGACCGAACTCCGCTCAGAATCGTTTTTCATTAGCAACGATTAACCGTTGAGTACATTAAATTTCCCCTTCCGAACTTCTCACCTACAACAGTGACCCCCCACTCATAGTTGGAAGTATGTCCGTTTGTTTCTTTATATATATATATTGTTACCGTCGTTTTAAAATCAAAACGTAACACACGTAATTAGAACATGATACCAGAGATTTTTCACGCGGATATTATTTTATTTTTCGCGTAAAAAAAAACAAAAAAAAACACCCGTTTCTCGGTGAAATCGACAGCGGTAACGACGACGTTGGAAAACTCTGGCGCGAGACTAACAATCGTATCAGAATACGAAATGTACGCGTTCTCTACGCCGATCCGCGCAAGCCCGTTGTCGGCCGTCCGGATCGCGGGGTTTGCAAATAACTATTATAATTACTGTTGTTTTGACCGTAGAAAAATCACGACGACGTTCGACGGCGGATATTCCGGCCGTCCGACAAAATCGCCACACGGGGTAAAGACGAACCGTCGGTGTTGTCGGGCCCGCTACGGCGCCGCCGTTGGTTTGGTTCATTAATTTCCCGTTTATCTTCGCGGATTACCGAATAAAAACCGCCGGCCGCCGCGTCTGTTACACGCGGTACGGCGCATAAACGTGTGTAGTTCGGCGTTTCGGCAAAACGACGGCGTGTTATAATCACCGTCGTCATTGTCGTCGTTATGCGCGCGATTGTTCCGACGTTCCGTTGTTTTTTTTTTAACGGTAAAGCAATAACAATTAAGCGCCCGTGTACAAAATAATAATAGTATGATGCACGACGATCCGCACGCGTGCGGCCGCCGCCGTCGCTTTTACCGATTGATAATAATTATTACTCGACGGGTGTTTCGCGGCGAATTATTGCGATCTCATCCGAATGTTCGGGACGAAGAAAAAATAAAAAAAAAAAACCAAACAAACAAACAAATCACTTTCACACGCCGAGGAACACGCGAAACCCATAACGATTCGTCGTCCGTTCACGCAACTGTTCGGGAACAACGACGTTTCCGTTACATTCCGGGCGCATGCCCGATGATAACACACTATACACCGCGACCCCGTTGTTTAAACGTATTATTATTTTTTTTTTTTTCCCCCGGTATTTTTGTTTATTTTCTTCGGGGCACAAAAGCGACCTCTGCAGGACCCCGTCCCGTCACATATTATGCGCCCGGCCCGTCTATCTGTCCGACGCTCGCGTTCTCTCCGATCTCATCCGCCTCGTCCTCTTCCGGATAGTACCCACTATAAAAACCCAGAAAACTCGGTACGATTTCCGCAATCTCGTTCCCAGCTTATAAAAATCGTTTATTGAATTATAATAATCAAACTCAACGGATTAGCCGTATCATCAATAGAAATTTTTAATTTCTATTTAAATTATGTTAATTACGAACTGTGATTCGTTAGACAAATGATTTTTAAATTTTCAATTCGCGTTCACATAACATACCGACGACCGTTCATGTTGTGCACACAATAACTAAAGAACCGTTTCGATTCCACTCGTCGGGAACTTCAATTTAAAGCAATTAAAAACGAATCGCACTACGGCCGTATTTAAGACCAATAAACACCAATAAAAAGACCATTGACAGACGATTACACGAAAATACGCTATTATTACTAATAGTATATTTAATATGGTTTTTTTTTTTAAAATCTACATTTTTTTAAGCAGAGAATACCGTGTCAAACAATGTTTAATTTGTATAGAAAATGTACGATACAAACAAGTTCATAATGCATGTGACACGAAATTTCCATTTATACTACCGGGGTGTGATACCCGCATGCGTTGTCTCCGTATTACAAACGTACGGCATAGAAAATTCGCATTCAACGGGAACAATACCGCGCTGTTAGTTTCGATATCAAAGTAAATTGACCTAGTATCAAACTTAAATATAAGAACATTATCGGTAGGTACAACGTTGACACGCTATGTTTTTTTTTTTTTTTTTTTTTTAATTTTTAAGAGAAATATAAGTGTGTGAAACATCACAAATTAATATTGCTGTTATAGATTAATTCACTCTTATATCAAAACAAACAACACGAAATTGTTCCGGCTGAATGCAAATTCGATATACTATACGTTTGCAAGACTGGGAATTTACCTTGTCTTAGATGAAATATTTGTCAAAATAAATTACACATTACACCTAGAAAGTAAAGAGTTCCAGTAAAGCATTTAGAAGAGATGTTAAAATGTGTTGACTCCATCACCAGTGTTGAATCAAGATCAATTTTTTGGAGAGGGGGCATTACTAAAATTATAGTAGTTAACTTTTATCTACCCACCCTCTTACTAAGACCAGTCAAATTTGTTTAGTAATTAGTTTACCCACATGGGAGCAAAAAAAATTCCAGGGAGGCTATCGCTCTCACCCTGACATATACTTGAATTGAACACTGTCCATTGCCAAATTGTTTAATAGGTTAAGTTTACACGAAAATATGGTTCGAGTCTTGTTTACAATAATCAGTGTTCACGAACATTTTACGTGATTATTAATTAGTTTAGTTACAGAAATTCCATTTTATTTCCAAACTAACACGGATTAATAGTAATTAATAATCATTATTTTTATAAACTTGACGTACCTATATACACATAGTTGTATAACCTAATATCTTCTTCCGGGGGATCAATTATTAATTTTTAAAATACTCTACCTATATATTATACCCTATTTTTCGGTATGTTCAAGTGCTCATCATTTCAATTTTATTCCTGTACAATTCGTACAAAATATTATAGTTACTATCGTATAAGAGCATTAAACTATAAGCCAATTAAAACTTTTAAGGTATTCGATTTACTAATCATAAAATAAAATATAATATAATATGTTATTAGGTGTAGAAAAAACAAATTGTAACTATAAAGAACGCCGCAAATAAATTCGATCAAATAATATGTATATGGTTTAAAAATATCTAACTGAAAATAGTTTTGCAATTTTTGTGAATATTCATTCGAGGACTGTGTAATTTTCCAAAACGTTAGAAATCCAGAAATCAAATGAACAGAAAACAAAATGCCTATCAGATTAATATCAATTAACCAACATAATATTTGTCAAAATTCAAAATTCCATAGTAAAAGTGAAAACGTTTTCCCCTCTGACCTGCCCCAGTGTTTCTCACGTGTCACGACCCCTAAATGAATATTCAATTTTTGGTGATCCTAAAAAGATAGTTGGTGACTCCCGAAAAGGCCGCGATCCCCAGATTGAAGAATACCAAATTCTAGCCGACGTGGTTTTGCATAGCATAAGCATATTAGTGGTTATAGAATACCGACATGACCTCGCGAAGCCAGCGAACGGAAGTGGCCAAAGTCCTCAAACAAAGTAATATTGGAATATTTACGGTTGTTCCAAGATTTGTTTTCCTTTTTGGGGGAAGAACTGACCACAGCTTTATTTTGATCACTTTCTAGGTTCTTATTCTCTGGAACGTTAAATGCGTTCTGCAATATTCGACAGTTATTTTCTCAGTGTTTAAAAGACTGTAGACGAATTTTGTAAGTTATTTGAGGGGAAGTGATTTAGCAAAAAACTCTTTAAGAAACAAAAGATTTCTCGTTTCACGCACAATTCTAAATATGGTACGACAAATATTTAAAAATAAGTATCTATATGATACCTACTGTGTACGAAAAATAGACTCAATATGACGTATTGTAGATTATCTAATAAGGTAAACAATATACCTATTAATTTCAACGCGTAAAAATTACAACAAAATAAAAGGCAATTTCGATTTGTCAATTATTATGTCACTTAAATAATAATACGGTACCTACCTGCTCGACTCTAAATAGGCAGTGTTGTGTTTTATGTACTTACAGCCTATGTTGGTTAAGCGAGAAAGTAGCGATATATATATATATATATATTTTTTTTTTTACGTTTTTGTTTTACGTTTATTATTATCTTAACTTATTATATATTATAGTTGTAGGCCTCTACTAATAAAGACACTAACGATTCATGTCTGACAATTCGTGCTCGTAAGAAATAAAAAGAAAGCCTGACAAATCACGGTGATATGAACGTGACTTATAATCTCTTATGTATTAGAAACATTATTATGATGTGGCATGATGTCACTTTATTATAGTTGTATAGTGACGGCGAGAAGAAATTTTTTAAACACTTTATTTTGTATAAGATTTTTTTTTTTTTTGCAACTGCTTTAATCAATCAATCTCCAATCAAAAGTTGTTGATACATCCATTAGATGTATCCATAAAATTATTTCAAAAACGTAATAAAAATTAACATAGTCTTATTCGTAGAAAAAACGTATTATCATCGTACGATTATAATTTAAGATAAACGAAAAAATATTTAAACTATGTTTGTATTATCAAAATACCTATAGCTATTTATTCATACATTGAAAAAAATAGCTTGGTATCTTGACCCATACTTAATACTACCAAAGTAGGTACACATTCTTGGTTAGGTATTAGTTGTTAATTATATGCACATATGCCATGAAAACAAAACTTATAGCTACGACCAAACCACTTAAAAATTAATTTTCGCAAGTATCGCCATAAATATGTTTATAAGTGGTAATAATACTAATTTCCATCATTGTAATTCGTAAATACATGCCTAATTAATAACTGGTTTTTTTTTCTTAAATAATTAAAAATCTAAAAATTCCTAGGTACTTGATTTTAAAATATTTATCCAATACATGTTTTTTAATAAAACATGGGTCTTATAATTACAACTTCACTATAATATAAAATTAACCTTCAAATTTTTAATACTTAATGTCTTACTCAGAAACTAGTTTTATTATATTATTTAGTCAGATAAAACTTAAAAAGGAACAAATAAGTTGATAGGTACATAGACTAAAAAATTTACATCAGCAGTCTAAAAAACATAAATAGTTCACTATTGTCTATTTGTTTGCTTTTGTTGTACATAAAAATTGTAATAAGTAAGTACCTACACCTAAGTGTGTCCAAACAATTTTGGTGAATATTACCTAGGAACTGTTAATTATTTTATAATTTAACGATCTATGAAAATGATAAGATTTTTTATAACAAAATTGGTTTGATGACATAATAATCATTGCTCTCACTTTTTTTTTTTTGTAACATAGACCATATGTCAATTGACAGGAAACATGCATTGTGACTACACACTATAGGCCTACATGCTTCTGATCTCGTTTGTTCAAAAAACGGTTATTATTTTAAGTGCAAAACACAGGAAGTGGCCACTGTGAGTAAGCTTTCTCATATATATAATAAAACATCCCTGTAGTCTCTGTGAAGAGCTCTAGGTTTCAACAAGTACCTAAAATAATTGTTTACCCTAGAGATTGGTTTATTATTAGATATAGGTAATTAAAAACAAATTATTACTCAGCAATTTAAAAGGTAGATTATTTGGCAGCAAAGTCTTTAATATAAAATGAAGAATTCTGTCTGGATGACCAGGTATATATATATGTATATAATTTTAAAAAAGTTGTCTTGCCAACAGAGTGATTTATTTGAACACAACTGTCACGGTCATCTTCTTGTCAATAGATGTTAATATAACCAAAGACGTATAGATGTAAGTTTTTTATAAGTAAGTACTTTTATTTCTTTAATAAATTCAAATATATGCCTACTTCTTTAGACAATCGCTACATTAATTGTTACGAGTTTATTCCATTGCAAGATTGTCTGAATTTCTATAAAATATAATTTTCGAAATTTTGACAAAATTTGTATCTAGAATAGATTATGACATTGGATAATAAATTCAGAATCTCGAAATTCTATTTCTTTATCCATTATTTATATTAAAAGTGAGTAATTTAAGATAGATATAAACCTACAAAAAAAATATAATCAAAAAATATTATCAAGGTAATTATATAAAATATCAATAATACTTTAATATAAATAGGTATTTGATTAAAATTATACTTATAAATTAAAATTTTAAATAACCAATATAAAATGAAATTAACAAACTATTACTGTCGACAGAGTACCAAGATTTTATAACTCATAAATCAATATCTTGTTTCTTATTATAAATGAAAAATCATGAAATAACATTTCAACGGAATATTACACAGATTGCTACAATCGCTTCGCAAGGTTTTCATATTGTACACAAATAATAAACCATTACGAGATGCATGTGTGCACTTAATTGGTACTCCAATAAACTTTATAGTCTAGCAATATTATTTTATAATCGATGAAAGATTGAAAATTATATGATTACCTACATAATTTTCAATTTAAAATTTTACTTTATTTTAAAAAAAAAAAACATATTTTAAATATTCAAAGTAATGAACATAGACAAAAATTCCTGAATTGTCATTTTTTTAATGACACAAAATAAATAAAGAATCAAAAACTAAGACTGAAGTCAACTAAAACTAAAAATCAAGGTGGCCCGACCCCGCCTTATTTTTGAATTACAACAAAGTATTCTCAACTACATCTAACATCAAATGTGAGATAAGATCAAATGTCAATACAATATTTTATTCTTTTTGTTCATAAATGTATGTATATATTTTTATTTATCAGTATAAGAAAAGTTTGTTTACCTACTGAAAATAATAAATAATAGGTAGGTAATATGCATACCTAAGTAAGTGCCTATAAAGATACAGAATTACCTATTCAAATTTGAATTACTCAAGTACCTAACTGCCTATTTAATATAAATATATTTTATAAACTAAAAATCTACAGCTTTGAATAAAGTAGGTAGTATTAATGAGCTAAGTACTTGACTATACAAGTAAAATTATTATTATTACCTATCCCATTCTATTGCTATCAATATGTATACTTATTATTATAGTACCTAGAAACCTATGTAATTCAATCTATGTAGGTATGTATTAAAATCAAAATTACTCATGGAAAACTAATCAATTAAAAGAAAATTTCAAATATTATTAAACGCAAACTAGATATTTATCAAAATTATATAGGTAAGGTATGTACAAATGTACAGATAGAGTAAAGCAAGGAGTAAAGACAACTTGAGTTTTCTCACATCAAAATAGTTATTTAATATCATAAGATACCTATCATTTAATCACTTAATAGTTGAAATTATTTTTTTAAAACTATCAAATTTAAGAAATTAAAAATACAATTTCTTCCATTAATCTCACTGTAACATTATTTTCAGCAATTTATCACTTATGGCATGAATCCAAAAGAATATCAATATTTATGTTAAACGTTAGAAACAACTTAATTTAAATTTTACTACAAAAATAGTACCTACCTACCTATACTTAATATACAGTAAATAAAATGTTAAACAGTTAGCTGATATACCTAATATAATCATAAGCTAAAGAAAATATTAAGACTTAATTTAAGTTAACAAAATTCAAGGTAACTATAACCTAACTATAACTATAATATCTGATTTTATATTTTAATGCAAATATTATTGCAACGTAAAACTTCTTAATCATAGGTATCCCTAAAGTTATTTGTTGTTTATCAAGTATAGGTTTGGATATAGCCATTTGAGTAAAAGTTATACACAATATAGGAAGATAATGTTATGTTTGCCTAACTTCAATCAGAACATACACAACTACAATATAATAAACAGTTAAATTATCAGATTCATTTCATATTAGATAGGTATCTACATTTGTCTACAAAATTACAAAACAATTTATATTATTTTTTGTTTGAAATGAATTTAACATATGTACATAGATAGTAGACACCTATGCAATTGTTACGTTACACTTTATTCATACACAGTAGTAAATACTGAAGACACAGAAATTTGAATAACATATTGTACTATCGTGTATGGAGCAAGAACAAAACTTTTGACAATCATTACAGTAACGGACAAGTATAAAATAATGGTCATAAACACAGGGTTGTTGTTCTGGTTGTTGTCATACACTGCACCCTATAGTAATCCATAGATGAGCAAGAACAGAAAATAATATACTAAACTGTCAAAACACCATTGGCAACCATACTAGTAACTAGGTACCTAATGGAAATACAAACATATGCCTATGCAGTATCTACGCAGGTACCGTCTTACCAATACAATTCTTGCTGCTACACGGCTATTGTAATTAAAACGAAATAAAAAACACTCACCGATGGTTGCTGCGGCCAATCCCTCTTGTCCGAAACATCATCGGCCATCACCCTGCAATACACACGGTTGTTGGTTACACAATCTCGAGCGGAAATGTGCGAAAACTAACTAAGTTAAGTGGCCCTGAGCGGGGTCGGTTTACCTGCAGGTTACAGAGGTTTTGTCGGACGGACCACCACCATCTGTGGACGCCGCTAACTCACTTCGGCGCCGGTCGGTTCCATAATTTCATTCGTATTTTTTTTTTTCGCGCGGTCCGGGATATCGTATGCCCAGATTTCGACGGTTGTTTCGCACTCGGACACGACGACGACGAATTCAACGACTACTGGTGAAAGGGGTCCGCGGGAATCGGCGGAAAACGCGACCGCGGGAAATTGATAGCACAAAATAATACCGACACTGTCGGCGGCTGAGTTAAGAAAAACGGGCAAACGTCCAAAAAAATTGTCGACTGACCGAATGCGCGACGGCGGGACCGTGTACCACAGTACCTATGTGTACCTATCAATGACGGTAATCCAATTGTAAAAAAAAATAATAGCGAATAAATAAAAAATGATAGTTAGATACTAACTGGTGTGTTTTCCAATCAGAAACGACGGGCACCCACAGTGCAGCCAAATGTCAACTCGTGATAACCGTACCACCACCGACCAGTTAACGAAGATATTGATTTCCGTAATCCCGATCTTTCGGCGTTCACAGATTCCATTCAGGTATTTCAAATAACAGCAGTAATTATGAAGTTGACGGAGAGTAAAACGTGAATAATATTATACCTTATGCGAATCAATATGCGATTTTGATCCGAAGTCGTAATCGTATATTCACCGTGACAAAACGGCGTGCAGCGGATGAACGGCGCTCAACGATAACACGGACGAAGCTAATATCGGCTCACAGATGGCGCTGTACATTATGGTTCGACCAAAGTTGTATTTTCAATGGTATAATAGTAAATAAATAATGATGAAATAGGTACCAACGATTGATAAAGTTATTGTTTTCCAGACCGAGAAATTTGATGACGTCATGAAGTACGTCAAATTGAAAATATCCCAGTGATTTGTGATTTATTATAAAATTGAAAAATGTGCGATATTTTTGATATCTACGAAAACAATACGAAATCGTTTTCTTACCTACTCGATAAAATACGTTTTATTAATATTATTTGTTTTGTGTTCTTTCCTTAGAGGGGCCTCATTGAAAAATTTGGCCCTGGAGCCTCACAATATAGATAGGTACGTACCTACGTACGTTTTGGTTTGCCAAACATAAAATAAAAGGTCACATTATTAAATACCTACCGTATACAGACTTTAACTTATATAATTAGACCAATACTATTATACCAATGTAGGTACATAATATAATAAATTATTAATGTGTAAGGAAAATAAAATATGCGAGTACCGGGGGCGTAATTTCACATATTCCAGCGGACGTTAATAATTAAATCCACATAATCAATGTCAAAATCGATCGTTTTGACCGTAAAATGAAATATTTACCTATGTTTCCCCGTTATAATTACTTATTATAGACACGCCGACATATAATTTATATAATTTATTATTAATATTAATTTTAATTTATCAATATTATTTATTATAGGTACCTAGGTACCTGTTTAATGAACCTATATACCAATAGTTTTATTATAATAAATTTGTTAATAAATAGCCCATTAGTTTTACGTAGAAAGTACCTACCTATACGGCTATCCGGATGTATTTTTACGTGGGTATAATTTGCTTATAAAAAGTTAAGTAGGTACCCACCTATATATTACTATTATATAGTAGATTTCTGTAGCGTGCGGCTTAAAAAATATGAACCATAGAACAGCGAATTCGGAGTAGATAACAATTTTTTATTTACACAGATATAATATGATAACAACTACCTAGATCACTTATATAGTCTACTATACCATGGCCGTACAATCTTTTGAATTTGTAAAGCCGATAATGTTTACGTTCTTAAGCGATAACACTAATTGTTGATCATAATATTGTTATAATTGAGATTTTCATTTTTCGTTTAAGGGATTTGGAAGCTGTGATTTTTCTGTCATACACGTGTAACATAGGAATTTAGACGTGTTCCATTTCCAAACGTACCTAGAGAAGCGATAAGATTCAGCGAAACGGATTTGAATTTGTCGTCAAGTCTATTTTCCCACTTTATTTTCGAAGAAATTAAACTAAAAATGAAATAGCATTAAAAATTCAGTCAAGAAATATATGCTTTCATTGATTCGCGAAAATATTAGTAGCGATCTTTGTCGATAGAAATGGAGAAACAGCTAATGCAAAAGACTGACCCTAAGGAACACCGAGAAAAGGAAAATTATGGTTTCTGAACGATTTCAATTTAGAAAATTTTGAAAAATTTTAATTTAGTGTATCTAAATTTACTTACGTATAGAGGAATGATAATAATGATTGGAAAAAAGTCGAAAAACACAAGAATATAAAGAACAGTTCAAATGTGAATGGCTACAGCGGCGAAGGACAGAAAGGTTTAAAACGTTTGTTATTTACAAGTATATACAACAATATACTTACCGTCAAGGTTAGGTTAGATTAGTTATATTATTAGTTATTGTTCTAATTACAATGTTTAAAACGGAAAAATCGAAAATATTTTAGGTATACTATTATGGTAAAAAAAAGTTTTAATGAAGGGGGGGGGGTGAACTAGATAATTAGATTTGTCCGGAAATCAAATACGACTATAATAATAATATAGTCACGGCATTTTAGGCATGGCCGCCGCTTCAATTACTATCTATAGTCGATTATCTATGTCAATTTATTAACAATTTGTACACTAGTGGGGTGGTAACGGCGGTGATAGTAAATATAGACGCATTCACACGGTGACAGTACTGCCATTACATTTTGCAAGAGTTATTACTGTCACGGTAGGAGAACGGTTTGTACGTAGGAATGTAAATTATAATTTACTTATTATAATACGCAGTCGTGGCCAGCTATGTGTTATATTATCGCTTATTATTTCAATTTATTACCAATGTGTGTTTAATTCGAAACACTGCATACCACACTAAACATAATAAACACGACAGATATTAATATGCATAATAGTTTCAATTATTCGAGTTATTGACGAAACTATTGACTATTATTAAAACACAAATGTAAAAAAGCCTTCCAATACCGTTCTCGGTGACTTTTTTTATTTTCGAAAGTTTTTGACCGTATTCTACGTATTCTATACGTTCCTTTAACACTTCCAATAGTTGACATCGATTCATATATACTTGAAAGGTCGGACATAGGCAACAGCTGCTCTTCGGCTACATTTCTTTTCAATCGATTTTCGAATTCGGGAATGCACTTATTCCACAAACATGGATAACATAATTCATACATTTTCAGACATTCGAAATTCATAAATTATCATCAGCCTACATATTATAATTCCTTACCCGTAAAAATAAAAAAAATACGCTTTTAAAAATGGTTCAAAATTAAAAAAATTCTGTTCTGAAAATTATAAGTAGAATCTAAATCTTAACTTGTTGTTATATATATTGTATATGATTTTTTTTTTTTTTTGTTTCTTATAGGTATTTGCATTTCTTTTAATCTAAAGTATGCATAACTGTTGTATTATTTATTTTATTTGTAAATAATAATCTATTGCTCATAATTTTATTATATTGTAATTATTCTGCAACTCTGTGCCTCCGCCATAAGCATAGTTAAATGGGGGTATTCATAATTTTATTTTTATTCAGTAATAATTAATTGTTCTTTAGAAATAATAATAATAAAAAAAAAAATGTCTATTAGTCTAATAACAGTGATCAAGAGAAAAATGACAAACGCTTAAATATTCTGGGTTTAAAATGTTAAGTTTAATTTTACGGTACCTATTCTCGTTATTATAATATTAATGTAAAAGCTCAAATAATAATTACTGCGATTCTAATAAAATGCAAATTCATTTTATTTTAAAATTTATTAGCGCTTGTGGATTGTTAAAAATAAAGTTTTTTTTTCTACGCTTTTAGATTCGGGTCCTGTTTCGCGTTTATGGGTTACATACGCAACTGTTACGGGGCAATAACGGATATAGAACTCCATGACTCGGAATAATAACACTGAAGACATTATTACAATATTATCATACTGCACGGTGATAAAGCAAAAATGTAATAATAAACATCAGACCCTATTAAAACCGCAACATGATTTCTATTTTACCTTTTTTTTTCTCGCCTCATTTAGGTCAGTCGCACACCCGCGTACTTACTTAGTTTAAAAACAACACCTGTTATAATATTAAGACAGTGTGCATTTCGGTCGATTTAATCTCAAAAGTCAGACAAATCTGTATAAGAATCATATTTCACGGATTTCAATTTTGATAACCGATTGCGATTCTTTATAGGCTCTTTACAAGAATACGTTGGTAATGGAAATTAAATTTTTTTTTTAACGAAGCCGTTAACAAATTTGATTATATTTTTGAAAAAAGTTCAAAAATTTACTTAAAGTTTTTTGCTTATTTTACTCATAATAAAGATAATTACATTTAAAAATCATAATTTTAAATGTGTGCTATAATTTAAGAACATAACGAATTATAACATGTTCCCACAGTTTTTCGGTCTACACTTTCATATTTGTCTGTAAAAACGACCGTACCCGTTCAGAGAAACCTCTAAATACTGGATCACTGAAATTTTTATCCGCTATGCAGACTTCAGAGGGAGGAAGTGTCCGTTATATAGTGTTCTGTATTTAGAGACTTTCCAATAGGTAAATTGTGAAAATACTCGTATTCCCGATCCCGAAAAAACGTTCGCTATTTAGAGGTATCCGTTAAGAGAACTGTATTAGTATATTTTCGATAATTTATATAGTTTTAATATAATTTTGTGATTATAATTACATATTACTTATGATTTTGTCTTGATGTTTTAAAAAAATATTCATATCACATCCTCTTCTCTCCACAAAGAAAGGTCCTAGTTAAGCCACTGATCGAGGTATTCCCGGCGAGCGGCAATTAGATACTGACATAAAGTAAACCCACGGCGGGCCCCTCATCAGGGTCGACGGCCGCGGGACAGTTTTCCAAGGTACGTATAACTAATAATCTATTTTAATCCATTTTCGGAGACCGTTATTTTTCGATAATGTCATAATATTATTGTTCTAAAACGACATAATACAAAATAATATATTCGATAATATGATGCGCGCTAAATCCGCGTAACGTTCGCTTTTAGAGCCCGAAGTTTTAAACCTGCACCCTGGTTGTGTCAATGAAGTTAATGATATTGTCATAATATAAAACACGAGTATTTAAATGTTGACGGGGGGGAGCGTGCTCTACGTCCGGAGGTTATGGCAAAGATGGGCAAAATGGTTTATTTTAATACTATTAGGTCCGTTTTTAAAAAATGAATGAATTTGAACAAAAAAAAGTTGAAAAATTATAGATCTTTTTTTACTATGACGAATTTTTGTATTCACGACATCTTTGCGTACGC